AGGAATGCAGGAACTGACGTTCTTTGGCGTTCCACTTACGTCATGTTTTCTTGCCGTCATCGTAGCCCTTACGAGCCATCTGATCCTGCCCCAGGGGATCGACCAAGGCTACACGTGCGCCCAGACAGGATTTCGAAGCGGGATAATTATCACCTCGATATACCCTCTCCGTGAGCTCTCGGATGTAATTGATTCGTTCTCAAAAGCCGTTGTAAGCAAAGGAGAAGGAAAAAGTTGGGGGCTTAAAAAAGATCTAAAGGCTTCTCGAAGCCTGTTATGTTGTATGAGGAAATCGGCGCGAGGTAGGGCTTACGCTCACGCTGCAGAGCTTCGGCGCCTACATACAGTAGTGCGTGTGCCTAGAACTGCTAGATAGTAGCGTATCTGTAGGATATATGAAATATGTAGCTGTGTTCTAATTCCAAAAGCTCGAACGTGGCGTGATCCGGACCACTTGCCACGCTGTGCGGTTACATCGTATGCAGTCACCATTACAGTGAGTCGCTCCCGTAGGGTTGGAGCCGGAATCAAGTTTCTCAAGCTCTAGTATAAGCTATTCGTACTATAAACTTGTACTTTTCGAGGTGTCACGAGATGTAGTAGCGCTGCTGCAATTAGAAAGAGAATGAGAGCGTACGACGTACCTAGGATATTATAGTATGTAGGTACGCCTGAGTCCGACTCTTCGGCCCCCAACCCCCCCCTAAAAACCGATTGCAGATTCGTGTGAGATTATAGCCGTCCTATCTAGGTACGACGAGATGACTACGATTCCCGGAAGTGGTGTGTCATACTCACCTAGCATTTGATGAGAATACGACAATGGTATCAAACTATTTATTACGCATCCGAATGCTGCAGGTGCTCTTATGCTCTTACAGCTGTCTACCGTTTCGTATCGGAGATACCGTACGCAGATCACTGTACGCTGCACTTTGTAGGCTGGTGGTATCCACCGAAGTACATTGGTGGAATGCCTTTTTCGGTCAAAGAGAGTATTAGGACCTGGCAACCTAGCACGTATGTAGGTAAGTTGAAAGCTATTACATAGTACCTACAGAGACCTTGTCGATATCGCTTGTCGGCAATACCTAGACGCTAGAGGCTCTCACTAGCCCTCACATCGCGGGGGGACGACGAATCTCGGTAGAGCCGTGAAGTCGTCATCGGATTTTCAAGGGTTGCGGATCTACGCTTGATAAGGTTAAGGGCAGACCGTAGATGTAGACTCATTTCTTTATTTGGCTTCTGGGACCTATTGTCATCGATGCTGCGTTGTACTGTTGAATAATAGTCTGATCGTCTGATCTAGTGGTTTAGGTGCGTAATTAGACCCTCAGCTTCAAGGCTCGAATCTCTAAATATATCATTGATAATTTGATATGCGACAATTGCATGTGAATGGATACCAACCAAGTTCGAATACCAGGTAATGGATAATATAATAATATAATAGTGTGTAAGAAAAATAGATGGTGCAGGTGATGATGATGGTAATGGTGGTGAGTGGTGAGTGATGAGTATTAGTTAAACAACTCAAAATGTATCGATATGTCGGCTTTTGCGCAATTAATGCAATCGGTAGAATACAATTGGTAGCCCTATCATGCGCAGGTAGGTGCGCTGTGTGTGGTATTGCAACTGCAACCTTCAGGCTGTTTCAGAGCTGATCGAAAAAGCGAGAGAGCATACAGAATAGAGAGCAGCTGCGATAGTGAGGACTCAGTAGCGGGGGAGGTTCGACCTATTCGACCAACGGGGAAAATTCCAGTGAATCTGCTAGGTACACCGCAAGAACAGCTGGAGCTCTGAAGTAGCATGGGGTTTAGTTACACAACACCGGTCTGCAGGTTGGGATCCGCACCTCAAACAGGGGTTCTTACTGGCCGTTGCCATGCTGCAGGTTCAATGAACCACCTCGCGTAACGAATTAGAGGGGCCTGCCCTGGCGCTTAACTTGGCTTTTCTCTACCAGGACCCGAAAGTCATAAGCTGACCGCTACTCCACTAATGGAGAGTCGGCGGTAGCTAGTCGTGCTAGTGGTAAACTTTGCTGGGTTTGCTGGGTATGCTGGGTACGCCTGGGTACGTCGCAAAGCCTTTTTCTTGGTGAGTGGGATCGTGCGCTTATATCGGGCAGTAGTTTGCGAGGGGCTGATCGTAGAATGGAGTTGTAATGAGATCGCGTTGAAGAATTTAATCATTTAGCTTTTTTAGCATTTAGAGAAACCGCTACTAAAATCTCCAGCCGTGCGAATGCCGTCGTGAAACTTCGAGGTTGCGCAGAGATTCGAGCTTTAGGGGTCCTCACCCCAAATCTCATATATATGTAGTAAGCACTTAGGTGTGTGTGTATGCCAGTCATCTCGTTTCATACGGAGATGGTGATTAAGAGGGATTGTAAGGCTGAAGGTCCCCTGGATTCCTGTCAGCACTCTCTCGTTGACAGGTTCTCGAAAAGATCGTAGCAGAGTGGAAAGCCGTGCCCGATATTCGCCCGCCGACGTTTAAGGCAACAGAGTAAGCACTTTGTTTCCGTCCTTGCATTTTTGTAGTTCTTGCAGTTCCCGCGCCATGTCGGCGGTCTCGTGGCGGGCGGGAATCGCTGTAAGTTGCGTGGTACGGCTCTTTACGGCCCTGTACGAGACACTCACCCATTGGGTCCCGGGACTGTGATACTCGTAATCTACAGTACAGTATTGGGGAGGTTCCTGCATTGTAAGGTTCCTCCCGCATGGCCATGTGGCTCGTACTGTACACTTTTGCCAGTACTGTAGCATGCAGATCCTGTGCGTTACCAACCTGAGGTAAGTATAACTAATCATTTAATGGATATCACATGTAACCTATTTGAATATTGGCCCCCAGCGCGAGTCATGTTTTCTCTCAACCTTACCGTACAATACTGCAATCTCGTATATCGACAGCCCTTAGCTGAGTCGTAGTAACCGCAGCATCTTGTTCAACTCAGCGCGCCTATGCGTTTAGTTAAGTTAAGTCGGCGAGGACTCGCATACACATCCATACATCATACATACCTAGGACAGTAGACGCCTTAACCGTACAACGTGATACATACCCAGTATTCACAATATACGGTGTACAGCTGAATAGATGTCAGCTTACGCGCGTCATTATGATGCACAATGAGACTAACACTGACCTTTTTTATACCTCTTTATGTTGATAATATCCCACCGCATACCATGTTACCGTACTACATAATCTAAGTAGTATAGGTGGTAGAGATTGTATGGTCACTATTCTCGTCAACAGGATATTGTACGGGTTTAGGATTGAAAAGTAGCTGGAGGTAGGTACATATCGACATTTTAGCTCTTTTTAGCTTTCTTAGCTTTATGTAGGGTGCTTTATTATCCGGCCAATCATAAATATCCCCGCGTCTGTTGGTTCCAAAAATGGAAGTCCCATATAAAATTGCAGCTATGCTAGATATGGTATAATACTTATGTAAGTACTCAGGTACTTTCTATACTTGGAAGTCCTACCTAAGGGTTAAAACGGTGCCTTCGCGCCTGCCCCGGTACCCTGCCCAATCGGTAGCCAATCCACGAATTCGGGTCCGTAACGTTAAAAACCATTCCGATTGCAGGCGCGGGGATGATCTTTTTAGTCACAATCATGGTTATGGTCATGGTCAGGGTCTTTTACTTCGAATCCGTCGACTCTGTACTTTTTTATTTTAATCAACTCAGAGTACTCAATAGCTGCTGCCTACGATTCGAGTTATCGCTACGGAGTCTGATGACAACCTTGGAAAAGATGACAAAAAAATGATTCGCTAGTATCATTACAGTAGAGGTTATGGGGTACTCATCTTGAAACTACAAAGATCCTTGATCGGGGCCATGCTATCTATTGGCTGCAAATTAATGTCCCCTTCCCACTATGGATTTCTTACCCAATAAACTACAGCATGTAATTTTTTAAGGCAGGCTGTGTTGTACTTTGGTGGATGTGAAGGACTTACAAACGTACAATACGGCTCAACGAAGCCGTTCCTACTAGACTACGCTACCACGGATCGCGGCAAATCGTCTTAGTTCTGTCGATGAATACCCACACAGAGATCCCACATGATGTAAGACCCTGCGCGCTGGTTGACAATAAACCCTACGCAATCTGTAATATTACATTTGTCCAAGCTAGTAAATGAAATGGGTTTCGTTCAGACCAACCGGCCAACCGACCAACAGCAGATCGGATAGCCTAGAGATCTTTGCGAAGAAACGCCACACCCGCTCAGATAAGAAGCGATTGGTAAACGAACGGACCTCCAGCGGGCTTTCAACGTAGGGCCAGCACGGTCCAACCAGAATCAGCCGTTGCTTCAGTGATACACAACATATTGTTTCCCCATGAGTGTCCCGAGATCTTACAATGCCTTGTGCCTCGTTTCACAGAGACCGACCTAGTATGCACGTCAGAAAGACGGGCAGGACCGGCTGAGCCTTACTGGCCTATTTCGTTCACGTAGTGTCACATACCAATTTTTTATTGTTAGGCACTTGAAAAAGTATGTGTGGTGTAACCTCAGGCTTAATGAGAAGAGAGGGAGGGAAAAAGGAAAATCAAAATATACAGGGGTTAAGCCAAGGAGGCTCGCAGGTAGTGAGTGGGTAGAGCTACGATGCACACAGTAAGACGGGCCGATGGGCAGAATATCAAGATACCAGAAAATAAAGTCGTTTTTTCTGCTTCATCTAAAAGCTAGGCAACAATGCCGTGGAATTGGAGCGAAGTCCGAATCCTTCCCAGCCAGGGCAGCTTATGCCGGGGACCGCCGTGAACGCCAATTCACTTCCCAGCTTGCTAAACCTGGAGTGAGTTATCGTGATACTAGTAATACATGATATAGAAGAAGAAGAAAAGACACGCCGTTCTTGATATGATGCCCAATGTGATGTTTGTTTCCGTCGATGGTACAAGTTCTATAGCCCATTTTCCCTTAATGATAACCAAACTCCGTGTCCCAAGGGTATGCGTACAAGGTAATCAATCAATAACAATGTGGAACCGGTACAGGTAGAATGCCGCCCTGCCAACCCATCGTCTTCGTCGTTATCGTAGTTGGGGAATAATTGTAATAGTAAATAATAATGAAATCATCTCTTCGTAAATGGCATAGGTGCCAAAAGGTTGCCGTGATGCTGGTGTTGGTGTTGTTGGGGCATCGTCACAGGTGGTAATTGGGTTGCAGGAGCAACTAGGTGTCCTGGAGTGCTACCGAGTGTTCTCGTTGGCGCCGGGTAGGCATCGTATCCATCGGCGCGCAAGTCTAATGTACCCAAGTCGAAGCGTTTGGCGCAACCATCTTCCATGTGTCTGTAGTAGCATTGCATATTAGCTGCGAGTTCACCAAGTGGGGCAATATTATATGGGATTTTACCTTCGAAGGGTATCTTTCCGCGCAAACATCCGGCCACAATAATCACATTTATGGTTCTTCTCTTTCATGTGAACACTTTGGTTATGCCTTTGCAAGTCCGTCTTCCGTACGAATTTTTTGTTGCAATCCGGTACTGTGCAGGGGAAGGGGTATTCCCTCTTCTCATCGTGAGTTTCCATATGCGCCTTAAAGTTGTAGCTCCTGCTGAATAGCTTGCCACACCCCTTGACTTCACATTGGAAGTTGGCCTCCTCTTTCGTAGTTAGCTTCCTGGGTTGCCTCCTCTGTGCCCTCGGTACTCGGAGCTGCCGCCTGTCGTGAGGGAAAGCCCCTGAGGCGCTAGGGCCAGCGTAAAATTGGTCCGATTCGAGAGACGGGTACTCTGACTTTGGCCACGAACCTGAAGGGACATCCGATAGGTATCCAGAGCTGCCGGCAGTCGAGCCGTAGCTATTGGGTTCCAAAGGTAAAGACTGGGCAGAGCGAGGGCTTGGGTACTGAGTTAACTCGGGACCATTGCCGTAGTCGGCGGTCATGGCATTGGGGTTTTCCATCTTTATCCGCGGTATTGGCGAAACACTATGAGAGTAACCGAAGGCGTGCCTCGAGTTCGGGTCTGGTGAACGAGAAGCGCCTGAAGACATTGGGGGAGGGGTACTACTTGAGAGAACTGGTGCCTGGGAAGGGTGAGACGAATATAATTCGTGGCTATACGACGCATGCATGCTAGGTTCGTAGTGAGCAAAAGTGTCATAGTCGGCCGACATGATATTCGGCGCGCCTGATGTCGAGCTAGGATGCATCACGGCTGTCCCACTCCAGCCAGCCGAGGTCATCATATCCAGAGGCGGGAGTGAGTTTTCGGAACCCATATTGTTAGACATCGTCGCGCAAGACTGCTGCTCGAACATAGAAGCAATCTTGTAGATGGGGTCAACAAAATCCGGAGAAGGATAGTCCAGAGTAGGGCTGTCAGAGCAATTTGTACTTGGAGGTGACGCCGGCGACCTGGTCAAGGATGGAGGTGAGAGATCCATCGGGGGCTGTATCAAACGCAAGATACGTCCCAACAGACAGGAAAGGTTGGTTGTATAAGAAAGGCGAAGGGGGTCCCGGGAGTGTTGTGCAACGAGGCGAGTCCGCCGATGAGAGTAGTAGGTAACAGCGGGTTAAGTATGCGAGTGACTTTTTTTAATTCCCTTTTCCAACTGTGCCTAGTAGGCTAGTCAATGACTTCTGATCTGAGGCTTGATAGCTGGAGGTGTCGATACATAAAAAAAGGCTATGGGGATAGTGGGATGTAAGCAATAGTTTTATACAAGCAGTCCCTGTACTACTAAACATCGGCTCACGCCCCTACGTATGATACTAGCCACCGTTGGTGTAAGAACGGACAGTAAGAGTGAAACTGTACCCCATATAACTGCAGCGAGATAAACATAGTGAGGCAGACACACCAGGAGCAACAAGCGCGATACATCCTGCACGATACCTAGTACCGTAGTACATCCAAGGCAGACTCCGGAAAATAATACATAATACCGGGGGTGGGATATGATGCTCGTAAGGCCAGACGGGACCCAGTTTTTACTTGCGGACTTGTCATATTTGGTAAAGTAGCAGTATATCAAAATGAGGATACAAAATCACCAGGGGTGTGGGAAGAAGTACAGGTAGTGTGTCAGTGTGCCAGTGTGTGTGCTCTCTCTCGAATAAGATGCTTCGCGGCAGTCTAAGAGAAGTGCCCAGGTGGTGGTGGTGGGCTGTAGGGGGCCAAGGGAGAGAGAGGATACAACATGGTTAACTGGGTACATAACATAACGTCAGACTACCTGGTATGCATGGTACGTACAGGTGTAGGAGGTAGGGATTCCATACTTAGAAAACATAGGTTAAATGTACAAGAGAAGGAAAAAAATAGAGAAAATGGGGAGTGACTAATACATCCATACAAGCATACCGTACGACCTCCGCCGTTGGAGCCGGGGGGTTGTCGGGCGGGGGGATTAATCAAGCCAGACCGAAAATATTCGACGAACCAACATGGCAGAGCATCGTGTACTTTTTTGGTTTTTCGAAAAAAGTATCCGTACGCACTAAGCCTATTGTTAACCCGTTAAACTCGTTACGTACTGTTCAACATACATACATACATACCTGGTAGTACTTTAAATAAAGGCTTATTGAAGCCATATCCCCATATTAGAACCATATGGACATCTTCTTGGCGTTATGTACCTACCCAGGTAGATATGTACCTGTACCAGTAGGGTAGGAGAGTACATGCCCAGGAGGAGATCCAGCTCCTTGCATACACCCATCCTCCAAGTGCTGAAGAATGGTAGCCTTATAACCCCCTGTCCGTCTATGTATTTCATCGACATCCACGAAATAAAGTTCTTATCAAGCCATAACGTGACTTGCTAAAGAATGGTGTTTAGTCATTATCCTATATCATCTCCATGCGAGGAGATCGTGAGAAGCCGAATACGATAGGCGAGTGAGGAACCATTTACTTAAAGTCCTCAGAGTTCTATCAAAGCGAGAGAGTTGTATAGAGCTCGGTTAAGCTACGACCACTGTGTATGTACCTAGGATCTAGGTAGGTACTATGCTCAACTCATGGAGTCTAGCGTGGACGCGTCTTTTTTAGAAATCAAAAGCACCAAAAGCACCATGGCGTGATATACTGTTGTTGGTTCTTGGGTTGAGTCCGGGGACGCTTGGCTAACCTATTCTTTAAGCAATGTGGGACAATAGGGCAGACGGCTATTGACAATGTAATGTTCTTCTGCTTAGAATTGGGAACTTAGAGAGACGTGGACCTTGGTATAAAATCTAGCGATAAGGTACAGGGGACGGCAGAGCGCATTGAATCCAGTGAAAATACAGGGGATGTTTTAAGCCACATGGAGACGGAACGATGGAAGGCCAAGCCGTTCGGGGTTAGGACACTGACAAGAAGCACTAACTCCAGCGGTAATGATTGATTTTTCATCACTCGTGTCAAAGACAACTGTCGCGCCGGAGATAATATGTATGAAATAGGAAAGAACTTGCTTAGATATCCATATGCTTACGTAGCATGGATTACATAGTCTGCGCAGTGCATCGGCATAGTAGGCAAAATAGGATGAATGATACGCCTACTAAGAACCAACAAGAAGAATAAAGGATGAGCCCCATTCTTGGTCTTCGGACTACCTGGTCTATGTAAGGAAACAAGATAATAACTAGGTAATTATGTCCTTAAGAGTATTTGGATTTGGATTTTAAGCCGATGTAACTTTATTTTCTTCGGCTTGGATTCCAAAGTGGGCAAATACCAAGTGATCGCTATTCCTACAAGGCGCAACTGCCCTGACATGTCCAACATCCCCGCTATGAGTGAGCCGTCCGCCGTCCACCGTCCGCTTAATTTTTCCCATTTTCCCAAATTCCCATCGGGATCAGGGATCCAGGGGGGAAGGGGGGCTAATAATTTGAGTTTAGCAGGATGGGGTTTTGTATTTAGCACTAAAATCCCTAAGCGCTTACCTGGTTCTTGTTTCATAGGCTGCGCCACGAAACGGTAGGTATCAACGACAAAAAGACATGCCATCTCATAAGATCAGGGCTAATTAACCCCCAAATCCCCCAAATCTATATCCATTACAAGGACATTCCCAGGGGTCGTCCTCGATGACCCTCGATTTAACCATTGGCAAACACCCGGCCATCGACAAAGACGGCCTGTATTATGAAGATTACGATGATTATGAAGTCATAATATCCAATGTCATATCCAATGTCACAAGGCAGCAGTATTTGGGATGTACCGCCATTTGACGATCTCCAAATATATCGATTGATGTCATTCGAGCCATCTACGTCTTTGATTACTACTCGAAAGTTTTCATCCTTGGCTTCTAAGCCCTAGCTGCAGGTACGAGCATTCGCTGTAGAAAAATAATTGTTAAGGATACCGACGTGTCGTTGCCATCTTTTAGTTCTCCTCCATTGTGGCCTATTAGTGTCTCCAGGGCTATTAGCAGAGCGATGATAGGTAAAAGAGCGGCTGCAGAATGCGCTACCCACTACCCACTACCAATACTACCGAAGGAACTAAAGACTTCGGATTCTACTCTATTATCTGCCCTGTAACGATCCACCGTCAGTAAGTAACCTCTACATATGTATGTACTAGGAAATAGTTCATGTACTGATACTTCTTGTCAATACAGCTGAGAATACTGAAGCCTTCTTTTTTGTCTTTAATCGGCCCCCATCTTTCTACGCCTTTGACTTGCTGCCATAACCCACGTGTTTCGGCCGGGTCCCTCGGGTTTAGATGCAGAATATGTAAGCCCTCCTCTAAATTCTCACCAATAATTATTGTCATTTCGTCTTCGCGGGATTGTTAGACGCGGTAGTCGACTGCCCCGCCACGTTTTGATACACATGGTGTTGAGAGGCTGAGTCGGGTTGAAGGAATGAAGCTTATATAGCTCTACGTTTCAGAACTGTCGTCGACGAGCTAGCTCGCTATCGCTTTCTTAAAATGATCACAATTGCCACAGAAATTAACACTTAGCCATCTTTGGAAAACCCATGTTTTTCGATCGAGCGATATTAAACCCAAATGCATTCATAATATACGTATACATGTCTATGTATGCACGTACATCTGTACATCTTTACATATGTACATACATAGATACCCTACCTAGCCGTAACCGGTATCATCTCGACGGGGACGACGGGACGTGCAAAGAATCTCGCTAATAACACAATCGGCCGAAGCGGGGCTCTTCCGCACACAAAACGAGAAGGTCGACGCGTACCTTGTCTCCCAGCGTATCCAGTACCAGTGAATGCCAATATATGGCGTCTGTATCGCCGACTATTTCGCTGCAATGATGATTTTCACGATATAGGCAGTAGCAAAAGTGCCCAGAGACAGAAATAAGAGTGGCGGAGCGCCCGTGATGAATGATGATACCCAACGTATCCTTGGGTCTCTTAGGTCTGTAAATCCCCTGAATTTAAGAGTGGGTAGATATTTTAGTTGGACAGGTTGGAGAGTGCTAGGAGAGTGCTAGGTAGCTTAACCGGCTTTAGCTTACCTAAAAGCAGTATGCCGAATACATCGAGAAAATGTAACGATGTATCCTCGCATCCTTACCCGCATGTAGGGATTCAAGATACGCAGGACTCCCCGTTGTACCACAATTTTTCTACTGGAGATTTGCTCCAAGCGTCCCCACACGGCAGGGGGTTGCTTTGGGAAGGTTGTCTTTTAAACTCCTTACCAAAACGGCTCACTAGGGAAGATCTGGCCGCTTGTCTGGTAGCGGAAAAGTCAGCGAGCGCGATTTCAGCTTCGGGGGCTGAAATTGGCCGCTGTACGAGATGGGGCCATGGGGCTTGCAAATCCTTTCACCGTACATGCAACACCAAATTGCATGCATACATAGCACGGCAGATATCGGATATCTAAAGTAGCTAAATTAGATAACACCGACGTGAGGACGGACTACTATGTACATACATATCGTGACATTGGAGTCTGATGGTGATAATCTGCGAGACTACCTACCTTACTTAACATGTTACCTGAATTTGGTTTCAAGGATATTAGCAGCTTCGTAACGGGGTGGCTATGAAGCTCTGCTATTTACGACGACAGCAACGTTGAGATGATGTTGTCTCGTAGTGCTCGTAGTGCTTAGCAAAGCATATAGGATTTTCTTAATCTCTATAGAAACAAACTTGGCATGCGCCTAGCTCGAGCTTGCTATCGTTAGGGAATCCTTTGCATGGTGCATCCATGGATTGGAGATTTGAAATAGCCGCTCTTCGTGACAGAAAGAGACATTACCATCGCTCATCACGGGTAAACCACCAAGACGAGACGATGCAACGAAGCTGAACACATACGATGATCTAAAGATAAACATGGTCAAAACCCGACATTATACTAGAAACGCGATCAGTCAGTCTGCTAACATGACTCAGTTCGAGGCGTCCGCATGCCTTCCACAACCGGGTTTTGCGATTAGTCAACTGGTCGGTTTGCGTTTTGTATGCCGTGTCACTAAAGGAGCATTGCCTCGCAGGATTCGCAGTATTCAGCATCACCTGAAACAAGATTGATTAACTCCCATCTTGCTGGGTGACATTTACTGCAGCCTAGTGGTCAGCGATAAATTCGGCGATGTAGCATTCGTAGAATACTGCTGCTAGTGCGACATCTCAAAATAGCAATGCATATAAGGCTAAGGCTGAGAGCTGACGGTGTACATCCGATGTGCATACGTATTACATCGCGTGGTCTTCGGACTCATTCGGCAGCGATTCGGACACGGCAATTAGTAATTTTCGGTGATGGAGTTCGGAGTCAATCCTGGGAATAACGTCCGCATTCCGCAACTTCGCTGTCATAAAGTGCGGGTGACAATCGGACATTGATGGCGTCAACAAACTTATTTGTTTCCCTGTTTCCCGTTTGCTGACTAGTACAAAAATTTGGAAGTATCCGGGTCGCCAAACAGGTCGGACAGTTTCGAAAAAATTGAAAAATGAAAAATAAAATAAAAAAGGAGGCGGGAAAACGACTAAGCCTAGTTGTATCTAAAACATCTAAACCCGATCGTGCCGGATCCGGTAGTTTGGTTCTTCATCCGATTAACCCCCCAACCGGTCCCAACCCAAGGCCATGGTTAGGTGAGAAGCTATCGGGGCGATTGACCGCGCTGTCGGGATTTGGCGTCCCTATTAGACGCGTTTCCAATACGGCGGGATACCTCCCATCTTGCTAACACACGGCTCTTCCCGATGGCACAAGCCGTATTGTAGATCTTGTTTCGCGGCATAACTCAAGTCTAAAAAGTACAGCGCAGAAAGCTTATTGCGACTTCTTTCCGCCAGGTTTATCGAATTACCTAGAACCTAGCAGTTAGGTAATTTTATTTGGGAACTCAACGATGATACCTAACACCGGCAATTGCCCGCGCGATACTTTAGTTGGGTGCACGATCCGCGACAATGCGGTGACGATTAATCGATAAACCGATCGTCCAGAATTCCAACCACAACGGGTCTTGTTGTATGCAGTTGACGCCGAAGATATTTGCCAATTTGCATTATTTATTGATTTCGAGTCCCAACAACATATCGATGTTAGCAAGGGCTATGGTGGACGCTGAACCTATATGGTAACGTTAACAACCAACGACGATAGTAACGTTTAAATATGTCGCCAAATTAAGGGGCTCACAATTAATTATTCAATGGAACAACCATAAGTAGAAGTTGGATTGCAGAAAGTTTGGAAGTCGAAGATTAGTAAATTCTAGTTGAACATTGAAGTTTGCTGTGCCACTTCACTTAGGCAGGTACCATTGTAACCGCCACAAGCAAGTGCCAATTTGTGGCTAGTCTCACTAGCAGGCGGTACCTACCTCGTAGTACCGAAAACATGTAGGAGCAAGAGCCACCCTCTGCACCTCTTATCTTATCAAGGGCCTAGCAGTGTATGTAAAACCTCAGCCTAGCAACGTCAATGATGAGTGTCACCTAAAATCATAAAAAGTCAAGAAAAGTATATGACACTTCATATACTATCTGGATACCTATTCATATATAGTATCTAAAGTCGACTCATAAAATACCTGGGTACGGCACAAGTTAAGTCCTTTTTGGCGGGTTGAGAATGCAGCTACCCGCCTATTTAATCAACGCGTAAATCATCGACGCAGCTGCGCTAAGCGTCTATCACAACAATCCGATTCCCAACACATGATACTATCTTGAACTAAATCCCACATACCGAGTCAAGATGAAGTTCTTTATTGACGACCTCCCTATTCTTTTCCCTTATCCGCGCATTTACCCGGAGCAATATGCGTACATGTGTGACCTGAAAAGGACTCTCGATGCCGGCGGTCACTGTGTCCTAGAGATGCCTTCGGGCACCGGCAAGACCGTATCGCTACTCTCACTCATTATCGCCTACCAGCAACACTACCCCGAGCATAGAAAGCTCATCTATTGCTCGCGTACCATGTCCGAGATCGAGAAAGCACTAGCTGAACTCCAGGCCCTCATGAAGTTCCGTGCCGATGAGCTTGGTCACGTAGAAGAATTCCGCGGACTGGGTTTAACCAGTCGCAAGAACCTTTGTCTGCACCCTTCTGTAAAGAGGGAAAAGAGCGGTGCCATCGTGGACGCCAGATGTCGTAGCTTGACCGCGGGCTTTGTCAGAGAGAAGAAGGAGAAAGGCGAGAGCGTTGATACCTGCATATACCATGACAACCTCGACCTCCTAGAACCTCATGACCTTATCCCGAACGGTGTTTGGACTCTTGACGACATCCTGAAGTACGGTGAGCAGAAAAAGCAGTGCCCTTACTTCACTGCAAGACGAATGGTAAGCCTTCTCTACGTCACATTTCTAAGACTCTTAGACTAGAAACTCTGTGCTCACAATTTCTCAATTTAGATGCAATACTGCGATGTAATCATCTACTCTTATCACTATCTGCTAGACCCAAAGATCGCAGAACGTGTATCCAAGGAGCTCTCGAAAGATTGCATTGTTGTATTTGACGAGGCACACAACATAGACAATGTCTGTATCGAGTCTCTAAGCACAGATATCACCGAGAAGTCACTGGACAGGGCTACAAAAGGTGCTCAAAGTTTAGAGAAGAAGATCAGCGAGATGAAGGAGACCGACCGAGAACAGCTAGAGAATGAATATCAAAAGCTAGTCGAAGGTCTCAGGGATGCCGATGAAGCTCGTCAAGAAGATACCTTCATGTCGAACCCAGTTCTGCCGGATGACCTGCTGAAAGAGGCGGTCCCCGGAAATATTCGCAGAGCTGAACACTTCACTGCTTTCCTGAAACGGTTTATCGAGTACCTAAAAACGCGGATGAAAGTCCGCCAGGTTATCTCCGAAACTCCGCCATCATTCCTTGCGCATCTTAAGGAGCACACCTTTATTGAGAAGAAGCCACTGAGGTTCTGCGCCGAAAGGCTGACCTCGCTTGTGAGAACCCTCGAGTTTACGAACATCGAGGACTTCCAGCCTCTCCAAGAGGTGGCCACCTTCGCCACTCTTGTCGCGACGTATGAAAAAGGGTTCTTGCTGATCCTCGAGCCATTCGAGTCCGACACCGCCGAGGTCCCCAACCCGGTTCTACACTTTACGTGCCTTGACGCAGCTATCGCGATCAAGCCCGTCTTCGACAGATTTAGCTCTGTCATTATCACATCGGGAACTATCTCACCCCTAGAGATGTATCCAAAGATGCTGGGCTTCACTACGGTTGTCCAGGAATCATACGCGATGACTCTGGCCAGAAAATCTTTCTTGCCAATGATAGTCACCCGAGGTAGCGATCAAGCCACGGTTTCTACTAGTTTTGCGGTCAGAAATGAACCTAGCGTGGTCCGCAACTATGGTAACCTCTTGACCGAATTCGCCAAGATTACTCCCGACGGCATGGTCGTCTTTTTCCCCTCTTACCTTTACATGGAGTCTATTATTAGCATGTGGCAAGGTATGGGAATTTTAGACGAGGTCTGGAAGTACAAGTTGATCTTGGTAGAGACGCCAGACGCCCAGGAGACCTCGCTCGCCCTAGAGACATATCGTACGGCGTGCTGTAACGGCAGAGGAGCAGTTCTTCTCTGTGTCGCTCGTGGAAAAGTTTCCGAAGGCATCGATTTCGACCACCAGTACGGACGAACGGTGTTGTGTATTGGCGTACCGTTCCAGTACACGGTGTCACGTATCCTCAAGGCTAGGCTGGAATTCTTACGAGAAACCTACCGCATCCGAGAGAATGACTTCTTATCTTTCGATGCGATGCGACACGCCGCCCAGTGTCTCGGTCGCGTGCTCCGAGGAAAGGATGACTACGGTATCATGGTACTCGCGGACCGCCGCTTCCAGAAGAAGCGACTCCAGCTACCTAAATGGATCAACCAGGCCATGCAAGAAGTAGATGGCAACCTCAGCACCGACATGGCAGTCATCACGGCGAAGCGTTTCCTGCGGGACATGGCGCGACCCTTCAAGTCTAAAGATCAGGAGGGCATCAGTATGTGGAGTCTCGGGGACCTAAAGGAGCACCAGAAGAAAATGGACGAGGAAAGGATCAGAGAGCTGCAGGAGATGGAAGAGGAGAATATAGCAGCAGAGGCTCTGAAGGCTCAAGCTTTACAGTCCTTCAATGAGGACTACGACATGAGCGACGAGGAGGGTATGATGGAGCTCGATGGCGCCTAATCGTACGTTGGATAGTTCTTCGATCCGATCTTGTACCACTACTTGGCGAATTGGGCGTTTGGGGAATCCATAGGAAAAGCATACAGAAAAGCAGCCTTGCATTACGAGGCCTTAGTTAATTCACCCATAAACTTGTTTAAGGCATACCAATTCCCAATATTCGTATCGTAACATTGTATTACAATCTCCCTAACCTAGTATACTAATTACTCTAATGCGTAGACTTCGCGAGGTTCCAGAAATTCTCCATCTTGGACTTGGTCAGCACCTCTCTCGCCTCGCTATCCGTCTCGCAGACCTTCGATCCCCATTTTCTAAACGCGCGGGACTTAACCTCGCCTTCGAAGATCAACTTGCATTGGTTCTCCGCTAGGTCCTTTAGGTCTCCTTCTTCGTTCTCGGCCTTGAGCCATTGTTTTAAGGCTTCGTTTTGTGCGTCTTTCTCTCTCGATGCTAGGTTCTCCGTCCAGTTGATGCGGTTCTGCATCAGCTTCTTGTAGTGCTTTATGGACCACTCGCCGCCCTCGACGATGACTAGGTTCTGCTTCGGGTGCATGATGACCAGTCCCGTGAGCGCCAGCTGGTCCGCGTTGATGTTGATCTTGTACCGGTGCTGGCCGTTCGCTAGGCTGTTGATCTTGAAGACCAGCATGTGCAATCCCTTCGCCGCATCCTTCTCTTGGTTCGTTGCTAGCTTATCGTGTTTTTGCTCCTTGGTCAACTTTCGCTCCTCGTTCGCTTCCACGTGCTTCGCGTGTCGGTCTGCAATCTCCCGGTTCACGCGCGCTTCGACGGCCGTAGGGTCCTTGACGGCTTCCTCGCCCAGTACACGCATTAGGTTACCCTTCTTGACCTTTGGTGGCGGCGCCGGCACCAGACCGAGCCTAATCTTGGCTTGTTCTTCTTTTAGGTCGGCCATTCGGCGTTGGCGGCGCAGTTTCGCTTGTTCAGTGGAGGTGAGGTACATAGGTTTCGGAGCAGGGACGTTCTTGTCTTGGGGTGGTTCGATGGCGACAGGATGTTGGATATATCTCGTAACTATCGTATCTTCGGATTCGATCTTCAGGGCCTTGGGATTTTCGATATCATCGTAATTCTTTCCATCCACTAGACCTTCGTCCCACCACTCGATCTCTGGTGGAGCATCGATAATGAAGTTCTTCTCGACATCTTTATCCTCGTCGATACCGACCTTGCGCGTGCCGGCTGCGATCTTCTTCTTCAGGGCCTCGAGCGCGGCCTGCCGACGCAGCGCGTTCGCCTGTTGGATGTATTTACCCTTCTGGTTGAATATCAGGTGGCGCGATTGTCGCGGCTTCACACTAGGTGCCCCCAAACTCGCGTCGAAATATGGATTGCTCTTGATCTCTTCATTAGACGGTCCCGAAAGATCGAGCGCCTGTTTCTTCGGCGGTCGATTACTATCGTGGCGCGAGTTCGATTTCGAATCACTAGATTTATTGCCGCCGGGTTTCCATTGTCCAAGGTCTTCGAGTGCTGGATGTAGCCCAACGTTTAATCCTCCTTTCGCCTTGCTGGTACCTATGGCAGCTGATACACGAGCTTTGAGCGCGGCGAGCTTAGCTGCTTTGTCTGAACCTGGATCTGGTTTCTGGACTCGAGATCCGCCATCGTTGCGAAGGCCAAGGCCGGGCGAACCGTGTCGTTTCAATGAGATTCGATCCATAGAGATCGATTGTGATTATGCGTAGCCTTATATTATGAATGAACGAGGAATGTTTCGTAGACAACAAATCAGCTACTCGATTAATCTGCAATAACTTCAAATGCGAAGTTGTGCATATAACGTCAGTAAGAGTAAGGAAGAAAGGGAAAGAAAAAGTAGTTTGATATCCAAGGACGAAAGGAAGAACGACCAGCAACCAGAAGCCAAGCTCTTTCTCATATGACAGTCACAATGCATAAATTCAAAGTACAAGGTAGGTGCGATAAGGATTAAAGATAAGATAAGTCACATGACCTGAAATTTCTGCCGTTTGATACCGCAAAAAAGTTCGAGCTCTAAATTTTTGAATCAATCCGCCAACCCCACTAAAAAACCGTTCGAAGCAACTGAAGTCTGCGTCCAGCCATTCAATCGTTGGATACAATCCAGAAAAGCGCAAAGTCATGAATTAATAGGGTTTCCGGGTGCGCCTCGACTCTATACGAACTTTAAAACATCCAATTACTGGCCTTAAAGTTTATTTAGAGAGTTACGCCAGGCGATGAGCCGGTGACAGCTTCAGTCATGAACGTCTCTCAGCCTATATCGTCTGCGATCGACAGCGTCGATTTCGACTTCCTCACTCCCGCAGAAATCAAAGCTATCTCGGTTAAGAGAATTGAAAATCCAACCACCTTCGACAGTCTTTTAAATCCTATACCCGGTGGTCTTTATGATCCTGCGCTTGGGGCATGGGGCGATCAAGTGTAAGTAGGATATAGCTATAATACTACCATTTCCCGAGTATGCGTCGCATACTAATTGATCTCTTGTAGCTGCACAACATGTAATCTCTCGCAACCGCATTGTCCCGGCCATGTTGGCCACATCGATCTTCCGGTCCCTTTATACCATCCCGTCTTTATGGACCAGATTTTGAGATTACTTCGAGCCCAATGCCAATACTGTTTTCGCTTTCGAATGCGACGAGTCGATATTGACCTTGTCGCATGCAAATTGCGTCTTCTCCAGTTCGGTCTCATAGATGAGGCCAACTACTTAGACGATATCAATGCCGATACTACCGACATAGAAGTGGAGGATGAAGATCTTTCTGATGGCGAAGAAGCTTCTAGTTTCGACAAGGTGGCTCGTATGAGGGAGGCGTACACCCGATCGGTATTAAAGGAACACAGGCTTGGAACTGCCGATATCAGGAAAGGCAAGCATGAAGGTGCTTCGGAAGCTAGGAGAGAAGTGCTCAAGAACTTCTTGAGAGAAATCACTAAAGGCAGAGCATGCGCCACTTGCCAGGCCATATCTCCAAGCTTCAGAAAAGACCGTTTTGTTAAGATTTTCGAGAAACCGCTCAGCGCAAAGGACCAGGCCAAGATGGCTCAGCGCAACATGGAACACAGAGATGCCTTAACCATAAGACGGAAATCGAAGGCGGATGTAACTAAGAAGCGCAGCTACGAGTCTGACGAAGGAATAGCTGATATCGATCTACCTTCAAGTGAAGGAGAGGCTGAGGCTGAAAGCGGCGACGATGAGGAAGGAGAAGGTGAAGAGCTTGACGAGAATGGTGATGTGATCATGTCTGAAGGGCCCAGCATCTTTTCGAAGAAGAAGAAAGGCCCAGCAGCCATATCTCAGCAACGCTATGTCAACTCGATGGAAGTTCAAGCTCGACTACAACTCCTATTCGAAAAAGAGCAGGAGATTATGCGTCTGGTTTATAATTCGAGACCCTCCGAGAAGAAACTTCCCGCCGATAATTTCTTCATACAAACCGTTCTAGTTCCGCCGAACAAGTACCGCCCCGAAGCCAAGGCAGGCGATGGAGCAATCGCGGAGGCTCAACAAAATTCGCTCTATAAGATGATTCTTTCATCATGTGCACGAATTGCCCAAATTCACAAAGAAATCTCACAACATGGAAACGACCCCGAATCAGATACCCGACGGCGAGACATGTCTGAAATGCACGAAGCCTGTGTTCAACTTCAGGACAGCGTAAATTCTCTAATTGACCGAGATAGGAACCCCATTCGCGGCGCCGCCGGAAAGAGGAACGAAGATGGTATCAAGCAAAAACTAGAAAAGAAAGAAGGTCTGTTCAGGAAAAACATGATGGGCAAGCGTGTAAATTACGCTGCGCGAAGTGTCATTTCTCCGGACCCCAATATAGAGACCAGTGAAATAGGCGTCCCTCCCGTCTTCGCTAAGAAATTAACTTATCCAGAACCTGTCACAAGCCACAACTTCAGAGAGATGCAACAAGCGGTTATCAACGGTGTCGACAAGTGGCCTGGTGCTGCAGCTATAGAGAATGAGAATGGGCAAATTATTAACCTCAAGAATAAATCCGTCGAAGACCGAGTCGCCTTGGCTAACCAACTTCTCGCGCCGACAAGCCAGGAATATGCTGGAGTTAAGGGCAAGAAAGTCCACCGGCATCTTGGAAACGGCGACGTGGTTTTGATGAATCGTCAACCTACACTCCACAAGCCTTCAATCATGGGCCACCGCGCCAGAGTTCTCCCCGGAGAAAAGACGATTCGTATGCACTACGCGAATTGTAACACCTACAACGCAGATTTCGACGGTGATGAGATGAATATGCATTTTCCGCAAAACGAACTTGCCCGCGCAGAAGCCTTAAAGATTGCTGACACCGATCACCAATATCTTTCTGCCACGGCTGGAAAGCCACTACGAGGTCTTATTCAGGACCATCTTTCCGTCTCAGTCGCCCTTTGTAACAGGGATACATTCTTTGACAAAGGTGCATACCACCAATTAATATACAGCGCGCTACGGCCTGAAAGTGGCCATATCACATCTGAGAGGCTCGAACTCGTACCCCCAGCTATCATAAAACCGGCCTTGCGCTGGACTGGAAAACAGGTCATTACGACTATACTGAAGAACATTAAGCCGGCCGGCTGCGGTGATCTATGGCTCTCCGGGAAATCGCAAGTAAAGGGGACAGCGTGGGGAAAGTTCACCGAAGATGGAGATGTGTTATTTAATGATGGCGAATTCATTACTGGTATCCTCGACAAATCGCAACTAGGTCCGAGTTCCGGCGGCTTCGTACATTCGATCCACGAAATTTGGGGGCCCGAATCCGCCTCCAAACTTCTCAGCTGTTTAGGCCGAATGCTTACCCGATACCTTAACATGCGCGCATTCAGCTGTGGTATGGACGATTTGCGACTTACACCCGAAGGCGAAAAAACTCGGAAAGAGAAACTAGAGAATGCCAACCATATCGGTCTTGAGGTTGCCGCGAAGTTTGTGAGCTTGGGTGACCGCACAGACGTTAACAGCACAACGCCTATATTGCTAGAACGTTTAGAGGAGGTTATGCGCGATGACTCTAAACAAGAAGATCTTGATCATATGATGAACTCACAATCAGGCGTTCTCTCTAGCCACATCACTGTTGCCTGTCTCCCGGCAGGTCTCAAGAAACAATTCCCCAAAAATCAAATGCAGTCGATGACAACATCTGGCGCGAAGGGAAGTTCGGTTAACGCAAATCTCATTTCTTGCAACCTTGGTCAGCAAGTTCTTGAGGGTAGGAGAGTCCCTCTCATGATTAGTGGTAAATCGTTGCCTTGTTTCCGTCCCTTCGAAACTAGCGTACGAGCTGGAGGCTATATCGTAAATCGTTTCTTGACTGGAATTCGTCCCCAAGAATACTATTTCCATCATATGGCTGGACGAGAAGGTCTTATTGATACAGCCGTGAAAACATCTCGATCTGGTTACCTTCAGAGATGTCTTATCAAGGGTATGGAAGGCTTGAAAGTGGCTTACGATTCATCTGTACGAGATGCCGATGGATCAATGATTCAGTTCTTGTATGGAGAAGATGGTGTGGACATCACCAAGCAGAAGTACTTGACTGATTTCGGCTTCGTGCTACGCAATCAAACATCACAGATCGATCGACTTGGTATTGCCGAGAGAGGATGGGACCAAGAGATCTATGAGTCCAAGGACTTTGCTCAGAAGTACCAAAAGAAAGCCGTCAAGCTAGCCAAAGCGAACGATCCGAAGGCGCTTGATCCCATTCATACCGAGCTCAACCCCAACAGACATGCATTCTCTACTTCAGAGAAGTTTTACGAGAAGGTAACCGCATATATTAAGGACAATAAAGATGGGTTGATCAAAGAGAAAGGGGATAAACGCCAGAAGAATTCAAGCTCCGCAATTATTCCTCGTAAATATGCTGAGAAAATATTCCATGCTAAGTATCTGAGCTCGCTGATGGAACCTGGCGAGGCCGTGGGAATTGTGGCCGGCCAGTCTGTCGGTGAACCGTCGACCCAGATGACGCTGAATACTTTCCATTTAGCTGGTCACTCTGCGAAGAACGTCACTCTAGGTATCCCGCGTCTAAGGGAAATTCTTATGACAGCTAGTGATCACATCAGCACGCCCTCTATGACGCTATTACTAAACGAAGAGTTATCTGAAGAGGACGGCGCGACTTTTGCGAAGGCGATTAGTATTCTCCCGCTCTCGCACGTCCTGAACAAGGTCACGGTTAAGGAACGCGTCGGGAAAAGCGCCAGTTATGCGTTAGCGAAGAAATTCGACATTCACCTTGAATTCTTCTCCTCCGATGAATATACAAAGACGTACGCAATTAGTATTGCTGACGTACTTCGCACTTTGGAGATCAAATTTATGCCCATGTTGGAAAAGTTGGTCAACAAAGAGATAAAAGCAAAGATTGATCGGGCGGATGCCGCAGTACCCGATGTCGGTACTAAATCCGGAGTAGTGGAAGTGGCGTCTGGCAACCCCGATGCTGCTGCACGCGATGAAGATGACGATGATGATGACGGCGATGACGACGATGCGACAAATGCGAAGCAACGCGCAAACCGGTCACAGGCAGTTTCTTACGGTGCAAATGACGACGAAGATGATGAGATTCAAAGGCGAATGGAACGCGAAGCGTCGCCCGAGGATGAAGACGAACCTGAAGATGAAGGATTTGGCGGCAGCCCACCACCACAAAACGACGACGGGGATAATGATTCAGATTCTGGTAAAATGGCTGACACACGCGCAGCCCGGGTGTTAGAAAGGACACAATTCGTATCCCACTTCAAATGCGACGAGAAAAAGGGAGAAAAATGTGATTTCACACTCGAATACGATTCTGACATACCTAAAATCCTCATGTTGAGCATCGTCCAAGACGCTGTCAAGAAGTCGGTCATACAGCAAATTGATGGAATTCGCACATGCGTCTTCGTGCCTAATGAGCAGATCATCAACCCGCGAACCGGCGATAAAGAAGAGAGAGCAGTGGTTCACACAACTGGTGTCAATCTCCGAGCCATGCAGAAGTACGGCGACTTCATCAACCCCAACCGAATCCAGACGAACGACATTGCAGCAGTCAAGGAAGTATACGGTGTCGAGGCAGCACGCAGCGCCATCATCCAGGAACTGGGTGGCATTTTCGACGGTCACGGAATTAGCGTCGACAAACGCCATCTCAACCTGATCGGCGACTACATGACGAGAAACGGAGGCTTCACGCCGTTCAACCGCAACGGCCTCAAGGGCAACGTCAGCCCGTTCACCAAGATGAGCTTCGAGACCACTCTATCCTTCCTCAAGGACGCCATCCTCGATGGAGACTGGGACGACCTAAGCACGCCGAGTAGCCGCATCGTTATGGGAAGACTCGGCAAGACCGGCACGGGAGCTTTTGATGTCCTTACCAAGGCGCATCCGAAGAACGGGAAGAACAACTTGGGCTAAGTCGCGGTGTAATAGGATTCGAAAAGTGGGTGTATGGGAGTTTTTTCGAGCTCGGGTTGGGGTATATTATGTATTTATCGTCGTTTTTGAGAATATAGCAGAAATGTTTTATACGTTATAATGATTTAGTATCGTGATTAATGACGTAGGATGTGGTGTGTACAGTTGAGTTGCCGCTATGTCAGTTTTTTCAGTCATCACGATGATTATCACTTACCACCGGGAAACGAAAAGTAACGAATATTTCAACATATGATCCCTATTCTTAGGTATCCACGAATACTACACGTAAAGTTACAAGTAAATGAAATCGATTAGTCGAATCAACAGCTCATATAAACATAAACAAAGCCGTCCATCTCCAAGAACGATGACGATCCCGTACGATTTGCCACACGCAGGTTTTGCCACCCCAAGGCTTACACCCAGCTCCGTGTAGCGCAATAAGTGCCCCCGAAGGTAAGTAATCGAACAAAGCAGAGCCTGGGTTTACCGGAGTACTAAGATATCGAGTTGTATGTAGCATAGCCATGAACATTCCCAGCGAACAATAAAAACCGAGTTAATGTAAGAGAAATATGTTTAAGACTCCATGTTGGTGGATGTTTCCAGCAAAAACGCGAAGGCAGTTCGTTCAGAAGAGTATCGTAAGTGGATAGAATAGTTTAATTTATATATAATCGATGTGCTCCGGAAAACTGCACGCATTATTACTGAAATGAGATGGCAACATGATGCTATTCATATATATTACGCGAATAACACAATGAAGGATATCATAGCTATGGATAACTTCAACTACGAGATAACCAGAAGGATGCCACAGTATTAGGACCGACAATGGTCAAGACACAATCATATTCTATTCGGAACACATCAATGCATCATTCATTGTCATGGTTATTGTTGATGTTTATTGTCTTGCGCGGTAAACTTTACAGGTAATGTTCACCATGGTCCATATCACAATAGCAGCATAGTAAATCAAGTATTGTAAACAGGTGTTCAGATTCATGTTGTTCAGTGTGGTGGCGCCCTCAATGACAGCCTAGAACTGATGTACAAGCCATGTTCTGTGAATAAAAGCACCGCGATCAACTCATAACGCCTTAATGATTACCCATCCCGTGCAAAACCGAGTCATCATGCCATCCCTGTATCGTGATAGGGCACTGTACGCCCTAAACCCAATTGTCCATGAAGGTTACTAGAGTACAAGTACAGCAACCGCTTAGTTGCGTTCGCCACGGAGACGGCGAGCGAGCTGGATATCCTTCTGTAGAAATTGTTAGCATATAGATTGATAGATAATGATGATGCAAGTGTACTGACCGATTGGATGGTGACACGCTTGGCGTGGATGGCGCACAAGTTGGTGTCCTCAAAGAGGGAGACGAGGTAAGACTCGACGGACTCCTGAAGAGCACCGATGGCAGAAGACTGGAAGCGCAAGTCGGACTTGAAATCCTGAGCGATTTCACGAACCTGTTAAATGACGCGTTAGTATGATGTTTACAAGTCGCGTCGCGGGGAAACCGCGTTGGTGTTGTGGATATATTGTAGAAAAGTGCGACCGTGGCACCCATGCGACAAATGACGCGATAGGAGCGATGATGCATTAGATTAATTGAATATTGACTTACCAGACGCTGGAAGGGAAGCTTGCGGATGAGCAGCTCAGTCGACTTCTGGTAGCGACGAATCTCACGAAGAGCGACGGTACCAGGCTTGTAGCGGTGAGGCTTCTTGACACCTCCGGTTGAGGGTGCGCTCTTACGAGCAGCCTTGGAAGCAAGCTGCTTACGGGGAGCCTTGCCACCAGTGGACTTACGGGCGGTCTGCTTAGTGCGGGCCATTGTGGTTGATGGTAATGTGTTGATTGATGATGGGAAAGTTGATGAAAGTGGATGGATTGATGGTTGTTTTGATGGAGGGTGAGATGAGATAGTGGTTGTGGGTTGGAAATGTTGAAAGGAAGATGGATTGGATGAGGGGTGGGGGACAGGTTTAAATAAAGTGAGAGCCTGGGTTCTGGGGCTGGCTGATTATGTGCAAAGGGCAGTAGTAGCCTAGAGCACCTAAAGCAGTTGGTCAATGCGCAGTGCAGGATCAGAAAATTCAAAAGCGCGCCTACTTGGGTTGTGTTATTGATTATTTTTTCGAGGGGAGACAGGGGTGCGTTTTGCTGTTAAAAAATGCTTTGGTTTTAGGTGGGAAATTCGCATGCTTGGTTGCCATTTAAAACAGCTCTAATTTCTGATTGGGTGCAGCAATCCGCAGATCCCCACAGCTTAGTGCGCTTTACCACATTCGTAACTCTCAATAATCCATATCAAGAAAAAAGTACAATTATTATAGGCAATCACTATAGAAATACTTAAGTACACACTGCGACCGATGAGACATTTGGTAATGTAATTGCCTAGATACTTAGGTACATCACAACGGTCTTACCTTTAGTAGCTTAACATATTTGTGAATGGACACTGTAATCGCCGCCATATTTGGAAACTGCAGCTTAAGTTTAAGTCATTAGAATGTACTACAACTTGGATATTTTCATGTACCTACCAACTTTATGTTGACACTCAGGTAACTTTATCAAGGTTCTAGTCTTTCATCAAAGATATCATACTAAGTAAGTGCACCTTGAAAGAGACACATCCATGTTTGAAGCTTCGAATCAAGTATTAAGCAGGTGCGCCTCAAGTGGAATTACATCATTGAATGGTTCTGTTAATTGGTTACACATAGAAAGACCCCTTAAATACTTATGTAGGTACTTAAGTATGTACATACCCAAATAGTAATATAACCTGTTCTCTTCGCAGTAATGTTCATATATTAGCTTTAATTATTAAAAGGTGCAAGTGCGATTTACGGTACATGAATACTTGGTCACAGTACCAGAACTGGTAAGAATGAGAATTAATAATTGGTTCGTTTTAACATAAGGTTTTCCAAAAACTGGTCTTAAACGGGTATAGCGCAACAGTCGCGGGTTCAGTGTAACTATCTGTGATGCGCTTATCTTCTTTTTTTCTATTGGCCAAAGTAGCCATCTTTATTTTTCTCTTAAAAAAGATTGGGGCTGATCAGGCACGCAGTTCGCGTTAATGGATCCACCAGGCTGATCTGACTTTGCGCTAATGCCATTTACTGTTCCTTATTTAAAACCATCTGCTTTCCCCACGTCTTCAACCTTTTAACTTCAAAACAACCCGCTTACATCTCAGCCTCACCTGCACCCAACCGTAATTACCATTAAACACCCAATACAAACTACCACTTCTCACTACACTTAACCTCATTCAAGATGACTGGACGTAAGTATCCCTTAGTACTTCTAAGTAGCCATGCTCGGTGTCGCCTTGCATTCAGCTTCAGCCTCATGAACGAGTATCGCTAACACGTCTTCCATAGGCGGCAAAGGTGGCAAGGGTCTCGGAAAGGGTGGCGCCAAGCGTCATCGCAAGATCTTGCGTGACAACATCCAGGGTATCACAAAGCCTGCTATCCGACGTCTCGCGCGTCGTGGTGGTGTCAAGCGTATCTCAGCTAGTAAGTTCCATTAATCGCGTCGCGTCTTGTTGTATCTTGTACTAACGCGTCTACTCAGTGATCTACGAGGAGACCCGAGGTGTCCTGAAGTCCTTCCTTGAGGGTGTCATTCGTGATGCCGTCACCTACACTGAGCACGCCAAGCGCAAGACCGTCACTTCCCTAGACGTCGTCTATGCCCTGAAGCGACAAGGCCGCACCCTGTACGGTTTCGGTGGTTAAGTCATCCGTCTATATTCGGTTTTGGGAAGGGAGTTCACGTCTGTTACGAAAGTCATTTTTCTCGCGATTACCACATACAACTCGCACTGTGGTTGGCACGATGGTCATGGATTGGGTCTGCGTTTATGGTGTTCACTGTACCATACGGGTTTAAGGGGGGTCTATTACATGGATTTGCCCGTCGAGGCATAATCAATTCAATGAACACATGAAATCATCCTCTACTCGCTGTGATTGTTATGAGTAATTACACTGTCCATGACGCGTCACGCGTCCATTTAGACTTGTCGGCTTCCGTCCTCGGAACATAGTAAACCCTATTTCATCTAGCCTTGATTTGTCTTGTGTCATGTTCATACTGTGTTTACCAATGTTTGCTTCGAGTAATAAGTCAATCATGAGATTGCAATACTTGGATATGTTGTTCCAGGGAGTTGTGACTCAGATATGACTACATGCGTATTCAATATTAGCACCACGTGCTCCTACGTACACCTCTCATTCTTAGAGTAGATCATGACAGTAGTTATAGGAATATGTACCAGGTGAAATCTTATCGCCATGTTCATACGAACACCTAGTCAGTGTGAATGCATTTGACTCGTTCGAATGACTACAGCGGTTCTCTACATGATCCCGTGGGCGTTGGAGTATATGACTCACCAAATGAGTTTTCGGAAGTACAAATCCTTCCGTATCGGTGAAGTTACCTTCTTCTTGATACGGAAAGGTAACACCTTTGGTTCAAGTGATATGTCAATTTGATCGATCGGGAAATGGGGCAGAAGTAGCTCAGTTGGCATGCCTTATCCAGTGATCATGGAACGTTTGATATGGTTATATGGGGTTTCGTTTGCAGTGACAACATTCTGGGGATTACACTGGCCTAGAATGTACCATATTATGACCGGTCCATCATAGCTGTGTTCCTGGTGTTAATGGCTAGGTTAAATCGTTGTAAGATACCTGCCTTGGTTCTAAGTTATATGAGCCAAGTGCATATTTATTCTGTATGTGACATGTAAAGGCCCAGAGTACGGTAAAGAAGGTACGGTTATTTTGATCTATCTTGCTAACTTGACCGCCTCGAGTTTGGTCTTCCAATTTCCTGGCCAGGTATTCTGGTGATAACATGGTTGGCAAACCCGTTTTAAGCGTATAATCCCATATGATGTGTAAGACATGTTAATAACAATGAGCTCATTGTTGGATGTTTTGTTTTAATGCTTTACATAGGTAGCTACGATGATATTGAACATGAATATAAATCATGATATACTTACAGTACGAACCATAGTAAAATATGTTATATGTCGAATATATTAAGTACTTTGTATTGCTTTCATATATTGAAATTGCTCGTAACTTTATTTTCAAAATAAAAAACTTCATATTAAGAACACACATTCTCATGATCTTTTTACCTTAAGTATATTACATATCAATTTATTTTATTATATGTTTATTAAGTACGTTAGGATTTCTACTTAATAGTTTGCCGGTCACATGAGTCCTTTTTTCTTTCATATTTCCAACTGGTTCGACTTATAAACAATAAATTTAATATCTATGAGGCGTAACAAGTTTCTTTATCTCAATATCGGTAGGTATGTAAGGAAATGCCAACTAAACTAAACCGACATTGACTACTTAAGCAACTAACGTGACTAAGTTTACTCGAGGATGTATCTTGCGGGTTTGCAAAGACTTTTGAAGCCAACTTTTGTACAAGAGGGAAATGTTATATGTTGATTATCCTTATCTTCAGATACGACTCACTCTATTCACCCAGTATCGAATCCACACCTTGCTAACGACAACGCATAATGAAAGTTGCCATGACCTTAGCCTGCTCGGCTCAGCTGAGTAAGGGGAGAGCATGTCTACGAATCCAAGGTCAACCAAACTTCAAGGCTTAAACTACCCAACTCCTTGCGATAGATGCGAATGACCATAACACGGCCTCATGAGCTATGTCTAGCACACCACATACGTAGTTACCTGTTGCTCGTAGCACATGATGCATCCCGTCGCTGATTATGGCATCGGTGGATGAGGGGGTTGTGTAAAGCCAGGTTGGTCATCTAGCCTCGTTGTTGGAGATATTTAGACCCGGTCTATTACTCAACGACAACGCACCCAAAGCTCATATTCCGATGATCACACGTAGAAATTAGCAAGCACACGTAAACGCCGAGTGACTCATAAATATGTATTTTCCCGAGTATCCGAAAACTGGTTCCTCATAGCTGAGGCAACTAACACCATCACGAAGTTTCGACAATCTCAGCCCTTCAAGCGTCTTTCTTAACAAGCTGTGAAGTATATGGCTGTTGCCTATAAGCATTCGCTGTCACAAGAGTAACTACGGTTGAAGGTATGACGATAAGTTGCTGCCTATCATTTCCACCATTAGATCAGAGATACTACCTGGACTACAAATCGACACATCCCTTGGGTGTAACGCATCACGCCTTATTTCCGAGCAATGCTAACCGGTAAACTTCCCGTGACAGATTGAGGATCCCCGTGAAGCCTCATTTTTTCACAGTGTGGCGAGCATACCTGTCTATAACCTCGGAACTTGGATCACATGAACTACTAGGATCCACCAATGGAACAACCTACGTCGACTTTGGACAAGCAGCCTGGATATTCTTGCCACGATACCACGTAGTAACCTAAACTAATTGTGAATATGTAGGTGCCTGGGTGTATTTGCACCAACCACGTCACCGTCCTTATCGGTGTGATCGGCTCCATAAGTGTGGCGTTCGCCGGGAACAAGCCACTGCCGACCGGCTCATCCGATAAGCCGGAGGGGAAAGCCCCCAGATCGTACCTGATTGATCCGGATCCCCGACCATACAAATTCCTGGATCATGCTTCCGCCACAAACCATAGGTACTTACTTACCAACGCAGGCGGGACCGCTGCACATCCATAGCCGAGCGCCGAAATTGACGTCAGAACCTTTCCTCCCTTACGGTGCAAGACTTCTTGCCCCACAAAGAAAGAAAGAAAGAGAAAGAGAAAATCAAACCTGGAAAGAAAGGGGAAAAGAAAGGTCAAAGCAAAAGAGAAAGAGAAAGAAAGAAAGAAACGTCCACTCGCTGAGGCGGGTTGATATATGCGGTGGTATGTGGGGGTGACGCCATGGCTGATTAGGACCTTCGACGCGAAAATACGCGTGTTTTGTCCAATTGTGGTTTAGACTGGTCGCGTTTTATGAGAATATCGACCAGTTTCATCCATATTAGGATTAGTATCAGCTTAATCACTTAATTACATTCGCCCTGCCATCAATGTATAAATTCACTATTTTAAATTTTAATGTGGCCATATGCTGTTTTCACCACTGCTACCTAGTTTATAGTTGAACAGGCAGCTGTTCGATCTTCTGCCAAGCACTTGTACGTGGGCTTCGAATATAAATCGCACGTGACTATATTCTGCTGCGGCTAGCCGCCTGTGTGAGCGAGAACGAGGTGTAAATTTCCGAGGTGCAACGTGTGGTGGAAGTAAATTATGCGATCGGGAGAGATGGGCCTATACGGAAAGGCCGTGGATTGCAGATTGTACCCAAGTGAAACCAACATATTGATGTTGCTCAGCAGGGTGAGAAAATTTTGCAATAGGGGAACACGAATAACTGTTGTCTGGACACGATGCAACCTTCAGTGCGGATCTAGCCCAGGTGTCTCCAATGTCGGGCATTGTCCTCTTGCGAAAGGAGCCAAGCAATACCAAGACCATGGTACTGTAAATCTGAGTTACTCTCGGTTGGATATCGGAACTGATATTGAGCGATCTCTTTCGTGTTCAGGGCGAGGCTATACTATTGGTAACCAACAGTAGGAAATGCATTGCTAACTTGCCTTCTAGACCATTTCCTCTGGCAGGTGTCTGGATGCATTCGTGTAACGCTCCATTGTAAGGGAGCGTTTAAGTAACGATTTACCACGCCAGTAAAAATCTAGGCCTGCGAAAGCGGATCCATACTGGCTAGGCGCCGTTTATGCATCTTCGGGGCGCACACATTTCGGCAAAGTGTGAGACTTCCAACTTGTACAATCGTACCTAACAGCCTTGGAGATTGTCTTAGTGATTTCTAGATCTGGGTATGCCACTGACGTGCGGCTGTGTAAGTCAGGTACCGACACTGCAGCCCCAGAGGCTGGTGTGTGCGCAATAGAAACGTGGTTATGCGGGGTGATAGGAAAAAAAAAAAAAAGAGTGAAGAAAAAAGTGAAGAAAGGACTTAGCTGTGTAAGGCGCTAGTCTATAAGAGGTTTCGCTCGTATACGTTTGAACCCACCGAGCCGGGGCCGGCCGACGCACACTGGTAACACAAATTACTGATTTCAGCTACCCAGGGAAGACCCATATGCATTACCTAGGAGTGAACTATGTGCTGAGGTGTAACAAGTAACGTAACTCTGTCTTGGACTTCGTGTTTTTCGAGTTTGGTGGGTATTTGATCTAAGCTGACATTCAGGGCGACGATTTCGGTTGAAGCGAGCAACGGTCCCACGTGGAAATCATGAAAAGGTGGTGTTTGCAGGAAGCTGAATGCCACTTCAGCCCCAGAAGATGCAGTAGTAGACCGGATACACGACATGAATGATGGAATTTTAGAACCGTATTCTGAACTTTCCCATGTGCCAAATTCGTGTTCCGTCAGCACTATCGGTTGTGAACGGAAGGGCTGTGCGCGCTTAGGTATACCCCTGCTGGATGACCACTTATGCCGGAGGACCCTAATGCCCGGTTCTTAAATCTGCTGGGTAGTGTGACGAAGACGGCGATACGTGGAGATAAGCGAGATCAATAGCGATTATAGCCGATGTCAGGAATGAATCATCACCGAGTATGTGCGATTGAGTTTGAGTCGTTGTGACTATGGGCGGCCTCCTGATTTCCATCAATACAGTTTATTACACACGATAGTTTTGGCTGGGTTGTGAAGACCACTGCCTACCTAGGTATGTACCTACCTGCCAGTATTCCCTGATACTGGATCTAGGTGTGCCCTATGAGAAAAAAGGAGATGCAGCGACGGTAGGTAGCGAGAGGATACAAGCAACCGGGATAACCGATATGTAAGGTACCTAAGCGCGTAAGTACAGCTGCACAGCCACTTTTACTCCCTGTGTCGATCCTTACCTAGATGCGCCCAAGCGCCATAGGGCCACGCATCTAGCGCACCGTAGAATGTTCCACGGCGTTGTTTCCTTTTCTTCCTAAGCGGAGGGTCCAGATTTCAATTTTGTTTCTTATCTGCCGGTTCCAGATCTCCGGGAGTTCATTCCCCCAACAAGAAACCCAAAAGATCGTCAACCATCGACCATCGAGCCTTGAATCCAGACCGAGTAGGAAAATGCGACCCGAGGTCTAGCCCTACAAACGACCGACACCGTTGGCTTCTGTTGACCTTATGGATGCAGGTATGCATGCATCCTACCGATGTAGGTAGGTAACCTTCGTAAATAATTTTTTCTTCAGGTCATTCAACGTTGCGACGAACGGGCTTTGAGTGTCACGTGTATTGTCTAGTCTGCGATCCCCGGGTTCGGGGTCTGCGTGTGAAACCGAAATACGTTGCAATCCTGCATAGGCCTGCATACCACACACGATAAAAAAATTTGTCAAGTAATCTTCCGCTCGTCCTCAGCGTTCATAGCCGAAGCAGCCAGAGATGCCGGACTCGTCGGGATGCATTGAAACTCGTCGAGGGCTTGCAGATGCCTGGTCCGATAACCAGGCCGATGATTTCTTTTTCGATGTTCCCTGTAGGGCTGAATAAGGCTAAGTTGCGCCCTCGTCGCGCCCTCGTGCGCTCTTATCCTCTAATGCCGAAAATGTCACGAATTGACGAGTGCCCTTCCTTTCCGGGGACCATCAATCCCCCGCGGGACAATTTTCTGGATTTTGTAATCTGAACCCTAGTAGAATGTTAGAATGTTTAAGAAGAAGAAATTATAATCCGGTTGCATGACCAACATAAACCCGAAAATTGTCGGATTGTCGCATCGTTGTCGCCGCATCCCTCGGCGCAGCGGTCCCATGTTCATGTCTTTACGGCCGCATCGCTCAATCCACCTGTCCCGAAGCGAAAAAGCCCCGAAAGATCCATAGATGACGATGTTCCTTCGAGATATAGTTTATCGCGGGGTGAATTAGTAACAGCTGCACTATCTAGCATATTCCACAAATGCCGTGGATGAGTCTTTTTACTTTCAATTAGATTATAGTATGTTTTTGGTATAGTTCACGATAATTCATGATTAAATGTTGGTGTTGGTGACTGTGGGACGATTATGACCCGACGACCACGAGAGAGTGATCTGACTGGTACCTGACATGTGACTAGATCTCACACGTGTTAATGGATGGATCTCTTCATGCCAGTCATCGTTCTAGCCTCGTAATCCGTGCTGAAATCGACGATGACTGCCCTATGTTTAGTACTTTCTGTACTTTTTCTCTCCTAATCTGGTCGTATTGATTTGTTAGTCCCTCTCCTTAGCTATGCACGAAGCACCTTGATTGATTCTTTTCGGAACCAATTGCCAAGATCGGAATGTCCTTTAAGTCTCGAACTTTTTACTTGCTGATTAATTGTGGCTTGTCTCTCTTGGGTTCTCTTGATCGCTCTTGTCCATCCGAGGTCTTCTAGAAGTGGCAGTGCATTACCTATTAGGTACGTACTACCGCGGATGACCGGATATACGTCGGATTCAGTTCAGGGAGTACTTGAATACCTGTATTCATATTAAAATAGACAGATGACTAATGATTGCGTCGGACAAGAATCGGAACTTATTAAAACTGAGTAGACCTAAAGGGGGAATAGTGATGCAAGCTTAGAGCGGGAGGGAAACGGGAAAAAGTAAAGAGAAAAATTTGGAAGGGAAAATCTCGACTGTACAACGTACATACGTTGTGTGACCCTCCTAACTACGATCGACCCACACACGCATCTTGAATCAGAGAAGACCCAACTCAACCCCTGCCTACCTAAACCTGCAAACCGCATATCTACCATAATACATCGCAAGTTACGTCATTTTTAAAGCGCTAGGCTAGGACATCCCCATGCAAAGTACCCCAATACTCTGTAATCATGTAGATTTTTTACCCTCAACTTTGAAATCGATTACATACCCAACCTGGAACTGTACATTCATCGTCAAATCGGCATTAACGTACATGCGCATCTCTATCCATGGGACTTATTTGCATTACTGAATCAATGAATTACTGGTGATGAATAATTCGCTTTCATTTTTACGATGAATGTTACCTTACATTGAGGATGCATGGATTGTACCGGCAGTGCTACTGTATATACCGAATACTTAATGAAACAATAATAAATATCACCAGTCACCGTCTTAATTTTGTATCATCTCTTCACCCTAAGAGACACAGATAACACTTATATACACACCGATCCAACTCCGATATATAATACTCGATCAAATCGAAGATTAGAAATAACCCGTAACGCGGAATAATAGGCCAAAGACCGGTCCGAACTAGCAAAGCGAAGACAAAGCCGCGCATCCTCAAGTTGACAACTTTGGTTGGACCACATGACCCAGCGCTTCATTATCAAGCCATCATCATTATTCACCTGACTATTACTCATTCGATTCAAGAGGAGAGAATATTGAAAGAGCATAATAGAGACGGACCGCCTGGACTCCGATTCACAAAAGAATAGTCTCTGGAGCTCTTTCTCAATTGGTGACTCTAACGGCGGAATCCGGGTCCGAGTCGCTAATACCAAATAAGGTTACTAGAGGCTCCTCTATTAAGGTTCCCCTAGGCACTTTGTCAAAGTTCCTCGGCAGGTGGAGAAGTAGAGAAAGGAATTGGGAAAGACCATCCTTGTACTACGTATACAAGTACTTAAGTACACTTGTACCTCGCAGACCCCTGTCGGTACCCTCCCACCCCGGTCCCTAGTATTAATCTGGTTGTCAATTCGATACTTATAAAGTCATCATAGTCGCCACTTCCTCAGCTTTCCACCCCACAATCTACAATCTATCTCTATTTACTATTCACTATTCTAAGAAACTAATACACCAAATATTTACATTAATTCTTTCAATACTCATCATCAACTACGAGAACACAAGCACAAAACACCTGTCGACGTCTGTCTGCTCACTCAACACATCGCATCGTCACACAATATGATGCAGATGCTTGACCACAATAGCTTTTCGTCGAGAACTCACCAACCGTTCCAGTTCTTTGCCCAGCAACCTCTCGAGGGTAACTCACACTCGAATATAGCATCGGGAAGGAATAGCGGGTTTCATCAATCATCGTCCCTCTCGAACTTGTCGAACTTAGATACCGCCGCAGCTGCGATCGCCGCCACTCAACGGTATAGGGCTCCCGCAACACCGTCGCAGTCGGGATTTGAAGGGGGGAATAACAGTCAGAGTCTTAGTCAAGTTCCCGATTTGATGCCGTCGGACTCGTGGATGCTTCACAGCAACCAGCAAACTCCAAGAGCCGCGCACAGGTTTAGCCATCAACGCGAATCCTCTCTCTCGTCGCTAGGATCCAATGGCCCTGCGTCGCCATACAATGGCAACACATCGAACCCTCACATAGCCGTCACAGATTCGAGCAACGATGCGTATCACGACATGGGCAATGGCGACAACAGTTACGCATACAGTTTAGGAAAATCGTTGCCTATGGCCGACGCCGCCTTCTACGCAAGCGCCATGCCGAACTATAACCATCGCGACAACATTACTAATGCCAATAGCCACACCCGCCATAGTGGCCGTGATACTCTCAGTGGTCAGCACATGTCGCGCGATGTAGCCTCGGCTGATGGCTTACCAAACATAGCGAACCAACAGCAACATAAGTTGAGGAGTGACCGAGGCTTAGCGCCGGCTCCTGAGTTGTCGATTGGCGGTGGTTCATCTACGAGATCTCATCCCGTATCAGTGGCAAGTTCTATTGCAGGCGGTGACTCACCAGCTACTCCCTCGTTCCACGAACCTGAAGATGACTGTCGAAGACCAAGGAATGGTGAGGCCTCCATCCTGACGAAGCATTTTCTTTTCGAGAGTGACTTTGATGATTATGAAAACTACTTACACCTTTTCGACGATGCAGTTTACAACAACCATGTCCCAAAGTTAGATCGTACCATGACCGACATCTATAACGACGAACTCTTCAACCCGAACTTCACTATAACGTCAGCGTCTCCACCGCCGCAGACGCAAATAGCCATGTCGCCAAGCAACGAGTTGTTTGCCCAAAGACTTCAGGCTGCTAATAGCCAGCACTTGAGTGCCGTTCAGTCACCCATATCCAACCCATCGCGAGACGACCAGTCACCATTCCGCCAAGGCTCTCCATACGCTTCTGCTATCAACGACTTTCCTCAGGTGGGTATGGAACAGATGCGACTTGGGTCGGCTCGACAAATGCATCAACAGCGAAAAGCAGAGCGGGAAGCAAACGAACTACAACAACAACTCGCGCGCAATTCTACACAGCAACAAGGCACGCCAAATACTATCTCACCCAAGGATGCACTACTCGACTTCAACGAATCGGACGAGGGTTCCAACATGCCTTTATTTCCATCTCAGGAATCTCATAACTACACTATGGACTCGGCAAGAAACGATGCCGTGAATATGGCATCCAGGAATATTTCCCAACATTCGAGCCCGTCCTTCCACTCAGTGGCATCGACACCGATGCAAAGCGGGTTCAACTTCTCAATGCCATTACCGCAGCAGTACCCCTTCATCGCCCAGCAGCGGTCAACGCCGACAACTTCGACATATTCCAGGGTTAGCTCGGCCGATGCGAGCAACTCTGAAGGTGGCGAAGTACCAAGCCAAAAACCAGCGGGGGCTAGCGCGGATGGAGGCACATACACTTGCACGTATCACGGGTGCACTCTGCGATTCGAGACGCCAGCATTATTACAAAAGCACAAGCGCGAGGGGCATCGTCAGGCCAACGCTCTGAGCCACGTCAGGTCGTCCCCAACGACGTCGGGCGGTATGCCGAGTAGCTTACTTAACAGTCAGGCTGGGCCGCATAAGTGCGAGAGAATCAACCCTAGCACCGGCAAGCCCTGCAATACGATCTTCTCCAGGCCCTACGACCTTACCCGTCACGAGGACACGATCCACAACGCACGCAAGCAAAAGGTTCGCTGCGACCTCTGCACGGAAGAGAAGACGTTTAGTCGGGCAGACGCTCTGACGAGACATTACCGCGTCTGCCACCCGGACGTGGAGTTTCCGGGCAAGCACCGGCGACGTGGTGGCGTTGGCGTATGAGCTGGCGCGCACACGATGAGGCCTAAAGCTCTGCAACACACGAAGGTACCTAAGTATCAAGGTATCGAGGTTAGCGATTCGCCAAGCAGAGGCGTCGCAGGTTGCAGGTAGGCGAGAATGTTCCTGGTGGGGAGCAAGGGAGCGTGCTCGAATGGTCTGGAAGCCGAACAAAGGCCCAATGCATGCAAGGCGCCGGGGTTTGCAGGTGGGGTTTCCGTTGACGTTGGAAGAAAGGGTGGAATATCAGGGTCCAACGTCAATTCTGCAGGGTCCTGCGGGCTAATGATGCACCTGGCTATTTGCGGTATGGTCGATTTTAGCGTTGGTCCGGCTCTCTAGCCTAGGGTGTCACCTACAGGGCGCTGATCAATCAGAATCGCTTTGGGTTGGAACCCGAACCCGTCGCAAGCCCGCAAGCCCCGTCCCCGCAGCACCCATGACTGGCCTCTTCCTTTATGACGTCGTCCCCATGACGTAACTACTCAAGGTTCTTGGGGGGGTTCTTGGGCATGGGTAGAGCTGGCCGCAGAATGCAACGAAAGGTACTACGGCATCACCACCTACATCATACTCATCATATTCCATATCCGCTTATCATCGTTTTGCATCATTGGCAACCCATCCCGACCGTCCCAACCCTTTTTTGGCGCATTCTACCGGAACAGCTCATCCACGGTTCCCGTTTCTGATGGGTTCCCACGTTACACCATCGGCACCATCAAGTACCATCAGATCACTTTTGGCTTTCTTGTGGGAGCCCATTATGATGTTTCGCATCTGTCATCACTTTGCATTGAATCGGGCTCTTTTCTAGATAACCCACATGGAGCTAGGCGTCATTCGAGAAAGGGTAAATAGGGGTACTCTTTGATTTTTTATCTTTTATCCTTTATCATTTTCGCATTTCCTTACGTCATCCGTACATTTTCATGCGGTTACGCGGGTTCGGGTTACCTATAGACATGGGGACTTTAAAAAATTGCCGGAATCGGATCAGCGATGTGTTTCCTCATATTTTATATCATTTAATGTTTCTTTTTTCCCCTTCTGTATAAACTGCTTTTTTCCCTGTGTCTATTTACCATTCTCCAAAAAATTGCACTTTGGGGGTGTTGTACAATTCTGGCAAAGGGGAAAAAAAGAGAATCTTTTAAAACTGGCCTCCGATGATTGGGAGAGGAAGCACGACGAGACGAGAAATATCTTATTACCAATTATGAATGTACGATCAGCGGGCTATCATCTGTTTTCTTCTTGCTTTTATTCATCCATTATCATGAGTATCATCATCATCATCGACATCGATATCAGGCGGAGAGCACTGGGTGGCATGCAAGAATTCATCAATATCAAAAATTGACGCCGGCTAAAGATTGTACGATACAGCGGGGGAATTGATGGCCTATAACAAAAGCGAGAGCCGTCGGAGATGAGCTCGTCACGATAGATTACGTATCCTGCAAGGGTAACTTAATAATACCACCTACCTAGGTAGTTTTTCATGTACCTACCTACCTACATATTAAAGCTTTAGAGCTGTGATGCTATAAAAATGGTGCCTTATGTTTGGTGCGTGTAAATTTATCTGCGTGTTATGTATTATCGTAGCAATGGAAGTAAGTGTGTAGTATATGTGTGTGCATGTACGTATACGTGTCTCATTCTGACGGCGTGCAGATTAAGCTTATATTTCGCGGCGTGACCTTGGGTGGGAGAGGTACTGGAAAATAGGTAGGTCGGTAGGGGAAAGAAAAAAAAACAATTGCTATTTGGGCGGGATGCCATTGGTTGCGACGCGCCTCGGCTTAAGACGCTTACGCCGGGGCTGGTGGTTGTGAGGCGGCTTGGCTTTTTTCTTTTTTCCTCTTTTTTTTTTTTATTTGTTTGCTCCCGCGGAATTTTAGGGGTCCAAGATTGGGAGGTGAAGGGTTTGTTTGCATCTCTGCACCCAACGTTGCGAGCTTGCGATTTGGTAATTTTGGCATTGATGATGATGATGATGATGCTATGCTACATATACATACATGCAGGTGGTTGGGCCCCTATTTCTGCTGCTGCTGTTGTTGTTTGATCATCTCCAGCTTTTTTGGCTCTTGTTTTCCCTTGCCGATTGACCTAACTATCTGATCTGACATACCGACATGAGGTGCTATCAGGAACGTGTCAAGCATACATACCTACATACACACTTACATGTAGATACATATTAGGTAACTACCCAAGCATCTGGCTAAATTACCGCGATGCACGCGAAATCCAAGGTATCGTCAGGTTCGATGACTGGCATCTGACATCTCCACGTATATCGCAAGGCGCGCCGAATGAGAGCTTCGCTTGTCCCTCCCGCGTCTGTCTGTCTATCTATGTTTCGCCGGCGCGCATGAATAGATAGATACCATCGCATCGGCAGGATTGCCCGCGCATCGTTCGAAGCTGGGTCAGATTAAGGTAGCCCAGCCTGCTTGCTTGCAACGTAGTTAGGTATCATCTTACCCTACCCTATCTCGTCACCTATTCGACTCAACGACTCAACAACTCGAGACTCTTACACAGATAGGTATGTACATAGCCCCCTCCCCGGAAAAGCATCATCCCATATCAGGAGAACGAGGGTGATAAAACAGGTTACCTGGGAAGGGAGGAGTTACATTTTCCCTTGCCAGCCTGCCTAGGTAGGTACATACGGTCAAGCCCAAGCCCAAGCCCCGAGCACAAGGTTATTAAATCATGATACATTATCTACTGTAAGTAAATTTTTAATATATGTAACTATGTATGTAGATAGCTAGGTATACCAATCGTATCTGCATCGATGCATCTCTATAATACATCTATGGAATATACCTATACTTAGCAGCAAGGGTAGGTATGTAAAAGCTCGCATCGCATATGTGGGTGCGTTCGTATCAGTGGTCGAGCGCAGGGATAGGTAGCGCTACTGCACGACATTGCAGCGTTCGTTGCATGACCCCCCTAGGAAGCGATGATGTAATCGGACAGGAAAGATGAAAAAATATGCTGCGAATCTGTACCCTCGAAACTCTGGAATCGTTACCGTCGCCGGTCCCATTCGTATCTGTATACTACTAGGGGTATACTCGGTCGTATAGCTCTTCTGGTTAGGCGAGATGTACATCTGTATGTACCTATGGTCCTATGCATGTACCTATCAGTTTTTATCCACCGTCCATCGGAGGGCGGTTCCTAGCCCGGTTCCCCTTGCTCGATCGTGTTGATCGCATAGGATCGTCGGGATTCCTTGATTTTCTCGTCCGTTCTGGAATCTAACTCGGCTCTAGCCGAGGTAACCCGACGGTACGCGAGAGACACGATTAATTTCCCCACACCCATCTAAGACTTAGCCACAGATCTGCGGCGGGAGGGACGAGCTTGATTGATGTGGCTTCTCGGCAAATATGTGGCTGTGCACCTATAACGCGTATGTTTACTACGTAACATCGACGGGAGGGCCTGGGATTATAACAAGTATGCACCCACTATAGCCCTATCCAGGCAACTATTAAGATTCAAGTGTTATTTTTAGAGTCATTGTACCTACATCGCTTGACGTATGTACTTGTGCTAGTCTAACGTGCAAGTTTTGTCGCCTCAAGCTAGATACGTGCCTGTTGTACCTAGTGTGCAGATACTACTAGGTAGGTAGTAATGTAATATACGTCTAGGTGCTTCGCCATGAGGTGACGCAGGTTCATCTTGATGTATCTCAGTGGTATTTCTCGAAGCGGTGGCCAATTTAGCTGTATAGGACCCAGGTCCTAGGTTTCTTGGAACGTGGCTATCCAAGATCTACGTAGATGAGGCCGCCTGCATTCTCGGTATCTAGATACCACGGGGCTATAGCTTCGGTCCTCCCAGCCATTGAGACAGACTCCTAACTCTCCCGCGGAGACGGGCCTCATCCATCCTTGAAGTGACAGCTTTCACATGTCGAGTGGCATAGCCACTTCAGGTATCGTAACTTGAATATGATGCTGAACTTTCTTCCCACATGTGATACCTACTATATAGAACGAATTAGCGATGCAAGATCAGCAATGAACCATAGCCTCATGCCGTTAGCTTAATAAATCTGTAGTACTTCGACAAGACAGTTAGGTAGTAAGTAAGTAGTGGTTTATTTTGGTAATATGGCTACAAATATCACGAGACCTTTTGGTGAACCGTCAACGCCGTGTAATTACACCTATTCGCTCAATACGGCCGTGCGCACATCGGAGAACAGAGGTACTATATCTGTCCAGAGTTGGAACTGCAAGTAGGTTTCATTAGTAAACCGGGAATAGCGCCGTACCTAGTGCTGCTGCTGAGGTGATACATACCTGATAATAGCCTTGCGACGCAAGCACCTCAAGTCCTGGAATGGTAGTCCAGCCTGAGTTCTCTGCAAGTTCCATCAATGGCGTACGGCGAGGCTTATACGCCATCTCTAATAGGACCCTAAGCCCTTCATCATGCCTGGGTTGTTGTAACACGGACCCAACTAGCTCTACCATCGACGTCTCGATCGGCTTGTCCGCGGGAACCGTGCTGATGATGACGTTTGGAAGGTGATGGACATGGCCTGCCTCGCTTACTTGTTCGATGTTGAAGTCATTGGGGAATGTTGTACGGAAATTGAGGGCAGCATCGGGATTCCGTGCTACGACGTAGATAGGGCTGTAACCAAGGGAATGGAGAGCGTAGATAGCTGCCCTACTAGTGCCACCCGAGCCTACTACCATTGCACCGTTCGTTGTTCCGCCAGTCGGTGTTACTAGTCCTGCTCTGCGCAAAGAATAGACCATGCCCCTCCAGTCGGTGTTATCACCTAATAGGCGTTGTTTCGACCCGTCCTGTTGAGACACTGGTATGATAGTGTTGACGGCGCCAATGACACTGGCTGATTCTGAGATGTCGTCGACTAACGCCTTCACGTCAAGCTTGAGCGGGATTGTGACCGATGCGCCTCCGAATTCGGACGACTGAATTATTTTTGTCAAATCAGCGGCGGAGTCGGTTTCAAACAGGGAGTACTGATGAGGCAATCCTGTCTGGCGAAATAGGGCGTTGTGCAAGGCCGGGGACCTAGATGCTGAGATTGGGTTCCCGAATAGGTAGAACTGTTTAGCCTCGAGCTCTCCGATTAAGGCTAGGCCGTTGCGGATCTCAGCTGCTGACAGCTGGCCGGGGGCTGCTTTAAATGGGAGGTCGGGGTGTGAGACAGGCGTTAAAAAGCCATTCAGCACTCTGGACAGCTTCCCAATGGTGCCCATGTTGAGAGCTATTATGGGCTTGCCGTGCGCAGCAAACATCCTTTCTTTGAAAGTAGCCAGCGAGTAGTTGTCTTCCATTTTCTTTGCAACTCCCACCAATTTGATAATGTCGCCGTATTGCAAGGCTCGGTTGTACCACGTTTGCCAGCCACCATTCCTCCAAGACAACTTGCCCTCTGGGTCATGATGCGACGCGATGACACGTGTAGAGTCGCTTCGCGACTGGATGATGGTATTCAAAGTCTCTTCCGAAAGCGTCATTTCGAGATCTATGTATTCGACACCTGCGCGAATAGCTGTCCGGTACAGCGGAAGCAACTCATTTTCTGACGTGTATTTGAAACGGCCACCCTGGGATGTAGACCGAAGGGTGAAAATGATAGGTATCTTTGCCGTGGAACGCAACAGCGAAATCTGTTTCCCGACCGATTCGGGAGAAATGTCATCTAACAAATCGACTCGTAATTCAACAGCGTCTACACCAACCACGACACGTGGGATCACTTCCAACGCGGACGAAACGTTAGGCACAGTGAGCGACACGAAGAACGATTGGCGTTTCTTCTTCGCATTCTCGAGATGTGTACTCTTTCCGGTGATTGACGAGACAAATCGAACGAAGTCAGTAGGTGGATCACTGTTGCTCTTAGGTGGCTCGAGGTAGGGACTGTGGTATTCGTAGTTACTGCATTCCTGGAAGAGAGGTTTGCGCCGTTCGTACACGCCTCTTATATCCTCAGTGTAAGCAGGGCGGGTTTTATCCCGTGTTAGATATTCTATTATTTGCTCGGAGTCACGTTCGACGTTAAGCACCACGCCACCATTGCGATGGTAAGAGACGAGCAATTCCCGAGCTTCTGGTGTCTCGACGACACCACCGCCGCAGGAGAAGACATGGCCTTGACCTTGGTTTTTAAGGACATCTTTTAGAAGTTCGAGTTCGTCGCTCCTGAAGCCTTCCCAGCCTCGGCCACTCTCCCGTATAATCTGGGGAATAGTCATGCCAGATCTTTTCTCTAATTCTTGATCGAGATCGACGAAAGGATACCCAAGGATCTTGGCCATCCAGTGGCCTGTTGTTGTCTTTCCAGCTCCTCGCATGCCAACGATGATGATAGAAGATCCTATTTCAGATTTCTTCACCTTCTTCGGAGCGTGGGGAACGACATCATCACCTGTTAGGCTGACTTTGAATGATTGAGCTAATACGTCCCACCATCCGGGCCATGTCTTTCCAGTGCATTCACGCTCTAAGATAAGGATAGGGCCCGGAGCTATGACAGATAGAACACTGAAGCTCATCGCCACACGGTGATCATCGTAGCAGTAAATGCCTTCGCTCGGCTCGGCCAACTCGGTGAGCTTCTTGCCTGCAACAATAATACCGTCTTCGAGTTCCCTACAATGAATACCAAATTTTGCGAGTTGTTCCCTCATCGCTGCAATGCGGTTGCACTCTTTGACACGTTGATTCGCAATTCCAGTAATTTTAGTCTCTCCTGATGCTACAGCAGCAAGAACAGATGCTGTCAGGAATGCATCAGTCATGGGCTCCATGTCGACCTCAATTCCCTTCAATCCGCCCGGACTTGGGCCAGTCACTGTCGTCGACGTAGCAGTTTGCTCCACGGTGCACCCCATCGGACGCAGTACGTCAGTAGCGAAACGGGCGTCTCCCTGAAGCGAACTCGCGCCGATGTTGGGAATTGTACAAGTCGTTCCCGTAATAGCAGCAACTGCAAGAGGGTATGTTGCTGAGCTAGCGTCGCTCTCAACAACATATTCTTCGGGGTTTTTATAGACACCTTGAGGAATGTGATAAGTATATGGCTCGTCGGGAGATTTTGTGACAGAAATGCCGAATGCCTCCATCATGGCAATGGTCATATCGATATAAAGTTGCGAAATTGGCTTGCCACCAACTAAGCGAAGAGTTACTGGTTTCTTGGCGTAAGGGGCGCACATCAAGAGAGATGAGACATATTGTGATGAAATTGTAGCAGCCAATTCAATGACTCCACCATCAAGACCACCGGCCGCGTCTACTTGCACAGGAAGACTATGCTCCTTTTCAAGGTAATTGATCTTGATACCGTTGGATCGCAAGGCATCCACAAGCGGGCCTATGGGTCGGGTTTTCATCCTGGCATTACCAGTTAAAACTGTCGATGTCGCGCTGGAAGATGAGCACAAAGTAACCACGGTCGTTAGGAAACGGGAAGCGGTGCCCGCATTCCCTATATAGAGAGGTTCTTTGCTTGCTTCGAGTTTGCCGCCTTTTCCAGAAACTACGAGAACTTCACCAGCGTCCTCCCACGTATACGAGGCCCCGTTAAGTTTAGCGATCGCTGACAGCATAAATTCGGTATCATCCGAATGAAGGAGGTTCTTGACACGGCAAGTTCCTTGGCCGAGCGCAGCAAGAACAAGAGCCCGATTCGAGATACTTTTAGATCCAGGGGGAGTTACCTGCACGTTAAGTTCCTTGGGTACACCTGGCGTCACACGTGTGGCAGGAGAAACAACAACTCTGATGGCACTGTCGTCGACTACGCTGGCTTTGGGTTCATACGTCTGGCCCACGGCAGAGAGGAGTACAATCTTCTTCTTCTTGCCTTCATTCTTCTTGTCTACCGCCATTTTCTGAAGCACCACATCTACGGGGCATTTCTTTCCGGCTGTCAACTTGACAATACGTTTGTCGTGAAGAGATGTTGGTAAGTCGTAACTCGCGATACATTTGACTAATCGAGCCACAGCGCCGGGTCGCAAGACGCCAAAGTATCGAGCTAGCTCTGCCTCCTTAACCATTCCAATTGCTACCGCTTCACCATGTAATACTTGAGGAGTGAGGATTGCTTCGAAAGCATGGCCGATAGAATGGCCAAAGTTAAGAAGGTTTCGTAGGCCCCCCTCCTTTTCATCCTTGGACACGACCTCGGCCTTGACGCGGGCGGAGGCAAGTACGATACGCTTCAGTATGGCGCGGATTGGTAGTAATCTATCATTTGGATCGGGGGTCTTAGACCGAATAGCGCTCAAAATTGCGGCAGCATTTTCTTCCAGAGCTGTAAACTCGATCTCATCCCATATAGCGGCTGTCTTGATCACTTCGGCCATGCCGTTGATAAATTCGCGAACGGGAAGTGTTTCGAGGAAAGCTAGATCTATGTAAATGCGCTGGGGTTGCCAGAAAGCGCCGACGAGGTTCTTTCCCATAGGAGTATCGATGGCAGTTTTTCCGCCGATAGATGAGTCGACCATGGAAAGTAGAGTGGTAGGGACCTGAACGAAACGGACACCACGCATGAAAGTAGCAGCGACGTAACCGATCATATCACCAATAACACCACCACCCAGAGCAATGATAACCGTATCTCTCGTACATTGCTGGGCCAACATCCAGTCTTCTATCTCGGCCTTTGTCTCGCGACTCTTGGAAGTCTCGCCAGGAGGGATGGTATAAGTAAGAAGTCGAGTTTGTAGATTTCGGCTCTTAACGGCCTCGTTAAAGATGGTTACGAAGGGAGGGACATAGCGATCGTGGAGATTGGAATCAGTGATTAGAATATACGTCGATGACTTGAGATTCTCGAGGAGATCGTCGGGGACAAAGTTTCGCCAGATGCCGTGATCGATGATAATAGAGTCGGTTCCAAGAATGGAAATACGGGTTGGACCCGACGCACTGTCGGCTTGTGTAGCCATTTCAATACTTCGATTCAACAGTATTCAATTTTAAATCGACTCCCACACCCGATTAAATTATTCGAAGGGTGTCTAATATGCCTTAAGGAACGTAAAGTTGAAAATGTGCTTTTAAGAGGGTAATATGGATAATATATACGTAAGAACGAGGTGACCCTCTATGAAATAATAATAACTCGCTAGATCTCAGTGAATTCCAGCGGTCCTAGACGTCGACTCCATGAAGAGTTGACGATGGCTTGTCTTCCCGGGTTGAGGGAATATGTGCACCTATGTTGGAGGTAGGTGCTTAGTTAGGTTTGAACAATGAAGTTCCGTTGTCGTTGTGTCGTTGTGTTACGGCAGGATGAGTCGACGCTTTGAGGAAGGGTCCGAAGCGGTGGCCCCGCCAATTTTTTTTGGTTGTTCCTGCCACATTGAAGAATCTTTGTGTGGTGATCTGGTCAATTGACCAATAGGAGATCAAATAACTGGCTGTCATTGCTCATAGTTTTTCGAGGTGCGACTCCGATATGCGGGGTCGTGGTGGAGGGGCTGGCAAGCTTCATAGATGCATAGACATGTTTAGAAAGATATATATCGTTAGGAAGAGTTACCTCTTTAAACGCAATGGACCCTTCGCGAACTTTAAAAATCAAATCAGAGTTTCAACAGATCGATGACTTTTGGTCATCAACATTCAACCCGTGACATGACATGAGTCTCCACCGTGCTTACCTTTCTCTTTAGATATAGAGCCGTCGGCGATAAAATAGGAGTTACGAACCGTCTCCGGACGTACCTCATACGACGACCCAAATCCCGAAACCTTGAAGCAATCGGCTTCGCGGCACCGCTTCCTCTTCCCGACTCGGAACATTACGGGGATGTTCCCTCGTCGTTCGTCGCGAAATTAGCCAACTACGGCGCGATTCTGTGCCTTTCCCTTTCTCTCCTGTTGAGAAACTCGACAGGTCTGAGGTGACCGCATATTATTATGGCACCAGTTGAAAATCTCGATAATGCTTGAAAAGAGCCAGGGTGGGTGCTGATTAATGGATGCAACTATACCTAGTTGATCTCGTCCATACAGGGCAATCTTTTTGCCTGTCAGCCTGCTAGGCCCTTGGAGATGGCGGTGACCCCATCTTAAACGACCCGCAACTCTTCGCGTCCTCGCGTTTTGCCTCTGTTTCTGGCACAGCAATCCATTTTTTATGGTTGCATGTGGGGTTTTAGAATTACTAAAAGAAGGAATGCCGTAGTAGAGAGCCTCCATCGCCTATTTGAACCTCACCCGTCCCTGATCCTTCGTGCTATAATGTCTTTGTGAAGCATCCTGTAGAATCGCGTATCTGCTCAATAGACTAGGGTCATCTTTGGTTAGCTAACCCGAAGCAGCATCGTTACGTCAGACATCTTCACCAGACCGAACAATAGCGCTGACTCCTCCCGTGGTGGCGCGAAAGGGTAGGATATGGCTTCCGACATGGATAAACTCGACCCGGAGAAGCTTCAGGTTGACTCCCGACTGGGGACCGGGCCGAATAGAGAAAGATTACACGATTCTCCTAGTTTAACTCAGATGCGTTCTTTGTCCATTGCCCGCGTACGGTCCAACAATGGCCACGGATGCGCCGACTTGGATGATGGCGACGACTCAACCGATGATACAGTTACACCTGATCACCCTCAGGTCGAAAAGGACCCATTCGAGGTAACATGGGAGAGTGAAACGGATCCATTATGTCCTAAGAGCATGAGTATTGTTCGAAAGTGGCTTGTTGTGATAACTGTTGGCATGGGAAGTCTATGTGTGTAAGTGATCCGATACATCACAAATCAATGGTATTTGGCATATGGGTTCATTCTAATGATAGTGTAGGACGTGTACGAGTTCCATTTATGCGTCAACATATTCTCAGATGAACCCCGAGTTCCATATATCGAGCATCGTTGGCACTCTCGGTCTATCGCTTTTTGTGCTAGGCAGTATGTTTTGTTTTTCATCGGCGCTCTCATAAAGTTACACTTGCTAAGTTTATAATAGTTGCTCTTGGCCCGCTACTCATGAGTCCCCTGAGTGAATTCGTTGGACGACGACCGATTTATCTCATTTCCTGGGCTCTATTCCTAATATGGTTGATACCAAGCGCAGTCTCTCGCAACGCCGCGACCATGATGGTAGCACGATTTATCGATGGATTCGGTGGCAGTTCGTTTCTCAGCGTCGCGGGTGGGACTGTCAGTGACATATTTAATCGAGACCAAATCCAAGCACCAATGGTCATAATAGCGTTGAGCCCCTTTGTTGGTATGTGACTATTGACACATGCCGAACATATATTAATTTTACATCGAACTAATAATATATAGGCCCTAGTCTAGGTCCTTTACTCGGCGGTTTCATCAACTACTACTCATCCTGGAGATGGACTTATTACGTACGTACTCTACTGTTGTAGTGTCAATACGAGTTCGAATTACTAATATTGGAATAATAGGCGATGCTCATCTGGTCTGTCGTTGAGTTTGCCATGATAATATTCTTCGCGCCCGAGACATACCGTACGTGGCTATGAAATATATTATTCGGAAAATATATGCTAATTAGTAGTTTAGACCCAATCAAGCTCCGCGAAAAAGCCCGAAAGCTGAGAAAGGAGACGGGGGATGAACGTTGGAAGGCACCTATGGAAAAATCCAATAAGTCTGTTGGGGCGACTATTGGAAACTCCCTGCTACGCCCCTTTCAGCTGCTTATATTTGAGCCCATGTGCCTACTACTCTGCCTATTCTCCGCCATCTTGCTCGGTGTCCTCTACTTGTTCTTTGGAGCATTCAGCCTAGTCTTCGGAGGTACCTATGGTTTCAACCTTTGGCAGTCTGGCTTGAGCTTCCTTGGTATTTTCACTGGCATGATCATCTGTTCTGCGATCGACCCCATCTGGCGTATCAAATATCTTCAACTTTTGGAACAAAACAATGGGCGTCCCGAGCCCGAGTTTAGGTTACCATCTGCGATTGCTGGTGCATTCCTTGTTCCTATTGGCCTATTCATCTTTGCATGGACCGCCTACCCATGGGTTCACTGGATAGTACCAATCATTGGATCGGGCATTTTTGGCTGCGGCACGCTAATGGTTTTCACTGGAATATTCACTTTCCTCGGTAAGTTGAAAATCATATGAAATCAATTATTGGTCCAGTTGTAAATGTTGAAATGGATTAACTGATTATTGCATTAGTGGACGCGTATCCGTTGTATGCTGCTTCAGCACTCGCTGCGAACAGTTTCGTTAGATGTACCTTTGCTGGTAAGTGGAACTCAACGACAGGAAAATCTAAGGACTTGTCATCAGCTAACTCAATATTTCTATAGCTGCATTCCCTCTTTTCGGAATTCAGATGTACCAAAAACTTGGTTACCAATGGGGATCTAGTTTGCTCGCCTTTCTTACGGTGGCGATGATGCCGTTCCCGTACTTGTTTTTCCGATACGGAAAACAAATCCGCAAAAACAGCAGATTTGCTACACATTCGTAACCTGATATATTTATATTAAATTGATCTAGGACTTTTGTTGGTATGTGGCTTAATGTCTGATACCCCTTGCCACAGCCCAGAGCTAGATCACATTACTTTCTTACAGCCAGGGTATCGCCAGACGCTCACCCTGCTCGTTCATGCATCTAATCACAGAGCTGTTGGTGGAGACGAGAGCCGAAAGTGCACATTTGCAAGTTGGTTCTAAGGGTTTGAAAATACGCTATTACGTAGATATGTATATAATGAGAACAGAACACGAAGCATGACATGGTATGCATATATACCTGGGTAGTCATGAATCAAGAATCTATTATTCTTCTATATAAGGGAAACGAGGATAACGGCGAAGAGATCGAACATCTTAGCATTGTTTTTCTGGCTAATAGAATAAAGCTGCATCCAAATCACACTGCTTGTCCTGATATTAAGCCATTCGTCACTTTAGTCCTATGTAGGTAGGTATGGATATTCTAGTTTGTACAAACATCGACGTCTTTTGTCATACGATTGGTTGTCATAACTTATGGCCTGGTGTGAACGGCGAACTTCTGCCTCTTATATTTAATGATTTTTTCATCATCATGTCATACTCATGTATCCAAGACAAGTTGAAGACTCAGGGCTGAGGCAAGTCATAGTGCTCAGATAGTTGGTACAAAATCATGTGTTTAGCGAGATCTCGACACACATTTACTGAAAAGAATGATCCTTTCCAAGGCTGAATTAATGATCACGGGTATAGCTGGCAGGGGTAAACTGATGATTGCTTCACATTGATAACCTTAATTTTTTAGCATCCTATCTAGTCTATGGATAACGCATTTGGATGACTGGTTGTATATCAAGCCGTAAAGCACCGAAGTTTTTACGCAGTGGCCTTTCCTTATTCTGAATCTTCTACAGATAATAGAAGTGCCTACTTAAACTATCCCTTGGGAGACATCATTATCTGCCCGGCGTCTTCTTCAAACGACCATAGCTCCCGCTTGATCCAGCCCACCAAAGGAACAATAGCTCCCGCCTCGTCCGAACTCCACGAGAAACGATAGCCTTCGCCTAGTTCAGTGTTTCGAAGCAACCGCAGTATTTGATCGATCCGATATTCCAGAGCAGTGGTTACACGCCCCGTTTAGTTTCCAAGAGCAACAAATGCTCCCGCCTAATTGGAAATTTCGAACGACAGACCGACTTCTCCTTCCCTCTTGACCACCTTCTCAAAAACCACATCAAATCCTCTCGTCATATCATTATCAACAACCCTGGTTTGAACTCCGTACATTCGTCCGCACCAGAAAGACTCCTCATCCAACAAACACCATGGCTGCTGGTTGGACTAGCCTCGAAGAGAGCAGCTTCTCCAGCCAGCGCATCGAAGCGGGAGTGCACCAGTCCATCACCTGCCTCTGTGGACGGGTATGTACAATACCAAGCAAAGAGCTTCGCCGAAAAGGGGGATTTGTTAACGTCGCATTTTCGTAGATCCAAGGCTTGATTCGGGGTCACCGTCCTCTCCACGTAAGCTGAACCATTATAATTTCATACCCTCCTAACGCCCCTAAAACTAACCAAAACTAGCAAATCTGCCACTGTGCTGACTGCAAGAAAATCACCGGTGGAACACACGGTGATCTCCTCGTCACGAGAGAGCAGTTCTTGGAGATTAACTCGGGTAAGTTCTTCAGTCTTGGTCATATCCACCCATACTTTTCCATTAATCCCACCAATCCCAACACTCGTTAATCATCGACAAGGAACCACTCAAGTACTCTCCTTCCAGGCCACCCAGTCGACCTCCGAATTCAAGAAATATCTCTTCCGATGCGAGCACTGCAGTTCCCCCATTTATTTAAAGGAGAGAGATATGCAAACGGATCGCATCTTTATCTTTGCCGGCTGTCTAGTGAACCACCAGTGGCTGCAAAAACCCGATATCGAAATATTCATGCAAGAGAAATGTCGCTGGTTGCCTAAACTCCGAATGACTCCAGCTCCTTCACCGGAGCCTGATGTGGAGTTGGTACAGGCCGAGCCAGACATGGAGATTGTGAGATCGTACAGCGCGAGTGAGGAGTCAGATGAGTAATGCGGGGAAAGATGGTCTCTCGTGTTGTGGTCGGTTTACGCGTTCTCTTCCCTTGAGAGTTTGTTTCGTCCCGGTGCCATGGTCCGGGTTGATCACACGCGTGACCGATAAAGGAAGGGTTGAAATTTGCTGATGGTATGCGAATAGGGAGGGTAGCCTGAATCCATAGTGCATATAGCACATCGTTGATTTATCGTCATCTCGACGGTAGTATTTTCCTCGCATATTCACGACCTAGCTTCAGCATCGCCCGGACATGATCCTCGAGTCGCCTGTCTTTCCGCCTCCGCATCCATAGTAGTACGATGCCTAGGACCACCATGTCTACTGCTAGATGTTTTGTAACAATCCATAGCATCCATTTAGTCCATGAGGTGAAACTCTTTTCTTTCTTAGACCTCCACTCGCGTCCAGCCGTGATCTGTTCCCGTAGAGCTGCTACCTCGGCGGATAACCGGACAACGGCGCGTTCTACTTTGCGTGACCACCTGTCTCCCTTCTTCACATATTCCCCTTCGACGTCGTCGTCCTGCGCCTCGCGATACTCCTGTTCCGCCGCGTCGTCCTCGCTCATGGGGCTAAGCATCTTCATCGGGCCTTCTGTCCCGCTTAGTGGTTGTTGAAAACGTCGGGGTTCGGCGAAGGTGGCATCTTTTGGAGATGCGTTCGACGACGATGGGCTGTTATTCTTAATTTGATCCCAAACGAACTCGAGCTCCGCGACCAGTCCCTTTCCGTCACTATCAATGCCAGCTGTCAGTCCAATGCACCAGCCACCGCCTCACTCGTTCAAGGATGGAAGAAGCCTAGTTCTACCTTGGAAACAACTATTATATCTTGCATGAAGAGGGGAAAACTTACGGCGTAGTGGCGTATCGATGCATAGTCTCTATCAATGCTTCGATATACCGCCTTTTGGCCTCGGTTCGACTGAGTCCACTCTGGGCATTCCAAGCGTCCCATTTATCGCGCTCGCGCTCGAGCTCATCGGCATCGATACCCGGACGGCGCTCTGGTCGTTCCATGACACCGTCCACGTCTCCCTCCATCGCTTGTTTGTATAATCCATATAATCGCAAACGATCGCCCGGCGGGGGGCGCGACGCTCCGGTCTTGGGAATCTTCTTCACCGTATTCAGGGCGTGCACGAACACGCGGTCTACCGAAGGTGGGGACTCTATCAGCGACGGTGTGATGGATTGGGAACTTATGAGTAAGGCAGGAAGAGGAAAGGGACGGTTGATGATTGGAGTTGTTGATTGGCTCGGCGGGTCTTGATTCTCAGGGGACATACCAACTGAGTCGGCCATTTTGAGCCTCGCATCTGTATTGAATACCGTATATGATTCTAGTTCCGACTCTTTCTTTGCTCTTCGTATCTATATACCCCTATCCTTGCATGGATAGAGGAACCTGGTACGCCGAAGGCGTGGCGAGTGGGAAATCGTACGTACGCGTAGCGAGCCCGCTACGGCTGCCCGAAGAGCAGGTCGAGACAAATTGAAGCTGATGTTGGATCACCGCCTAATGCGTTGGTTCTAAGGCTACCAATAGGGAGCCCAGGTTCAGGAACACGTCATCTATACAGGTGGAAGACGCAAGGAAATTCTGTCAGGTCGCGGAATTGAAAAAGGTACGATTCTGAGCTGGTTTTAATATAAAATAACAATTAAGTTAAAGGATTAGGCGAGTAGTAAACCAGATGCAATGAGCAACGAGCAATTACTATCTTAAATGTCGGTCGTGAAGTTTGTGGTTTGTGAGATTCTCCCCCATAATGAAAGCTTATACATTTTGGGGTTCGTCACGTTGATCGCGGGTGTTAGGGAATTGAGAGGAACTGAGGAATTGGAATTGCCTCGGTCGTAGAGAGAAATGGACCCCCTAGGCAATGGAAGCAGGGGTCAGCTCCTTCTGTAGATCCCTCTGTAGGTCCTTCTGTGGAAGCTGTAGGTACACTTTGCCGTGCTGGCCACTCGCGTGGTACAGTGCGTCACTGAACTTTCAACCCCTGGAGTCTGTGGGGATCGACCCATCTTAAATTAGTGGGAACCGGAACCTTAGTTTTATGGATGGTATTAAACCCTTCTCAGTTCCCTCCGCATCCGAGGAAGGCACGTGAAGGGGACAACTTCAGATAAGAATTCATTTCTAAAGTGTAAAATGGATGTAGATAGGACAAGTGTAGCGTATTTATCCCTTGCAATCTTACATTTTTATGAGGTAGTTTTGAGTGTCTATGGAGGTGGTTTCATGACTGACTATGTCTAGACCTAAACCAACAGCTCGCCCGTTATCACGAGGATACCTAAACACTCATAGGATGATTTTGCTTAATGGATATCGAAACCAGCATGAATGAGCCACTGAGCTAACTAAAACCTACCTAGTATCAAACTGGGGATACTCTCTTAGGAATGGTGTAATAGATACTAGGTAATTAATTCGGATAACTCTTTCTATAAGCCTTTGTTTTATGGTCATAATTTATAAATACCTGGGTCCTAGTGCTACATAACAGGTACACTGCATACACCATGTACCCTGACATCGTACATAGCAACAGCATATGTCATTCACCTAGGTAGTAAGTAGGTAGCTAAGACCAGTTGTCATACTCTTGCTGGGTCGACTCGGCTGACTTTGCTAATTTTAAGGATTCCTCTTTCTTCTTCTGCAGGCGCTTGATCAAATTTTTGTTCTCCAGCGCCGCGCGAGCTGCATTGGCCCCAGCCTCCTTCTTCGACAATGCACCTCCAATGCCAAGCTGGAGGTTTTTTTCTCCAAACCCATCGAAGAATACACCCACGGTATACCAAGGGAGCTTCCCCGAGACTTTATCCATCTTTGGCTCACCCACGTCATTGTATGCAATCCTCACACCTTTCGCGCCAATGACCTGACTAAGCTGGACCTTGGGATTTAGGTCCTGTTTCGCGGGTTTCTGGCTGTCGTCATTGTTTCCGGTTTTCGAGTGATCATGGGTAAGACGCGGTTGAATTTTGCATTCTTCTCGTATCTCTTGTGCGATTGTTGTACTCCAAAGGGACTTTATCCAGAGTGACACACGCGACAGGCCTTCCGAGTCTCCCAAAATTGCAGCTGCAACGTATGACTCGAAAACATCACCTAATACTTTTTTCTTCGCGTTCTGAGACGCCTGGCTTCCGCCAATTCGACCATGCAAGTCAAACTCGGCCGGAAACTTCGTGCGTTTGTTAATTCCGTACTGTATTGTGTAGCTGGATAGAGTCCCGTTCTTGATAAGTCTCTCTCGTAACTGAGAACATCGCCCAGGACTTAGATTTGTGAAAGTTTGGTAGATGAAAGATGTAGACATTAGGTAAAGGTAAGCGTCTCCGATCCACTCGAGTCTCTCATAACTCATATCTGTTGGTCTCGTCGTCATCCCAGAGTGAGTAAGCGCAGCTTGCTCGAGAGTAGGATCTAGGATAGGAGGCAAAGGCGGTAATCCCGAGCTAGGTATATCATCAAGTGTCCACCGAGTCAATGATACAAGTGGTGGTATGATAAGCGCCATATGCATATTGTCGTGCTTTTTTCCATCGCCGTCTAGCTTTTGAATCTTGTGAGATTCGGGCTCATGTCGATTAACGGTAATTGTCTAGTAAAGCGTAAGCTAATAATGAATATAGTATCGATCCAATGATTGAGCACTGACCCCATCTTGAGTAAGTAATTGGGCGGATGACAATATTTTCTTGTTGTGGCGCTGTAGTATCGATGCGATTTGATCGTTTACTTCGGGAGCATCACGAAATGTATCAAGCTCCTTCTTTAAAGCCTTCACAGCTCTCAGCAAATCTTCTGCATGTTCCAAGATTTTCGAAACTGGCGCTACATCATGAGATGCGAAGTCCGTATATGAACGCTTCGACATTCTGATTATAGAATCAGATATACCAGTAAGCAATTGGTATGTACATAAGTTTGATGTTCTCACTATCTGATTTGGATTTATATGTGGAGATTATCAATTTGACGTTGCGAAAATTGATGAAGTACGAAGTACTAAGTACATGTACAAAACTGGGTAAGTGGCTTATTGCTCTTACTTCAATATTATGTAAAAGGGGTTTTAATATAAAGAAGAATATTATGTTACCGAGCTATTGCCAATCTTCAAAAATAATTGACCGATTTTTATCCGACCTGCTTTGCACTCTAATCGGACAGCTTTTGACGTCGCGACAACTCGATTTACTCAATTGCAAAACGAGCAGAGGCTACTTACCTAGGCGTCCATATAGCCAAAATGGCAGCAGTCACTCGTTCGAGGCTGCTGAACCTCACAAAGGTAAGCATGCCGATCTACTCAGTCCTATTTTCCTCGTGCAATCTAACTAATGTTAACAGGCTCAATGCGAAATCTTCGCAACAACGTACAATCCTGACGGCATACGGATGGGCAACCTAATCCTTCGACAAAGGTTAAGAGGTCCGACACTTGCGAAGTACTATCCTCCACGAGGCCCTACAATCAACACATTAGAGAGAGCGTTCAAAGGCTTGGGGTTGGAGACCATCAACGAGCAAGAAGAGGATAGATTAGAGCACTTGGCGGGGTATGCTCTCCCATATTTCGATCACCAATGCCGGCAGACAGAAATCTAACTAGTTGACAGAGTAAAATCGCGTGGAAAAGGCGCACCGAAGAAAATAAGGACTCCCAAAGGCAAAGGACGTTTTGGTATGCTATCTTCCTCTTGCCGGTTATTGAGAAACATATTAACTATGATGCAGACAAAAAAAAGAAATGAGACTAGCATGTGCTATATCTGTATATATGTACACAGCAATGACGGCGTTCATGTGGTTATGGGATGTGAATGTGTTAATAAAAACAAAGAATTCTCCGAAGTCGAGACTACTGTCCCCTGTTTATGATGGAATTGACATGACACCACTATCTCTACGCTTTTCTCCGCAGAGTTAGATTCTTCGGTAGCTAATTCATTTAGGTTCCTAGGAAGGGCTAATCAACAAGAACATGAGGGTTGCGTTGCTCGATTTGATGTGAGGGTGTTTTATCGAGGATGATTTCAAGATTAGAATTTTTTTAAGGAAAAACATTAGGAAGGTACAAATGTTATGTGAGTACTAATGTATAAAATCCAGGTAGGGGACAAGTTTAACATGATCAGCAGGATACACTATCAATATGAGCTCGATTTTTCATTTCTGGTTTAATAAATCCCGGGGTTACATAGGTACCTACCTACATAGGAACCATCAAAGAGAGGCAAGATAATACCCACTAATTTTTTAGTGCAAGCCTACAAGGTACAAAGATGGATCATGAACTTTGCTGTCGCAGTTACATGCTAGGTACCTCAGAAAGCATCTATAGTAAGTACCTTTGCACTAAGTACCTTTGCACTGCAAATTCCTACTGTGGGTACTCTGATCCTTGTACTTCACTTTTCTAGACAATATTCTAGACAATATTCGTAAACTTAAAATACCTACCTAGTACGTACAGCTTCACTGATTTCAACCTCAAGAGCTTGTTCTACCTAGTAATGTATTTCAGGTCTACGAATTTTATTTAATCCTAACTTCCAAAATTCTAGAGATTTCTTCTCTTATTCCATCCCAACGCTTTACCCTCAAGATTCTTCGTTCGATTATTATCACCCTTCACTTACTTCCTACATACATTTCCTACCTGCCCTTCGTCTCTTCTAATCCCACCTTCAAGGTACATCAATCCGACTTTCGTCATTACGAATCTTTCACCTTCACCTTTTAATAATCATCTGTTCCTCCTTCATATACCATCGTGTTCGACCATTCTTCACGCGTATATACCAACGACCAACGACCAAAGATTACTGAGCTACTTTTAATTTTATTAATTCTCTCATTCTTGATCTATATCACCTTCGGTCGATACCTTTACCTTGGTCCTTTCCGCCTTGGTTATTTAGTATTAGGTCATCTAGTGCTGTTCATTGGGTAAGTGCTACTTTAACCTTATATGCCCAGTGGTGTACCTTCCTCTTCATCCCATCCTTCGAATATCCTCGCCCACTTTCCCGTTTCTTAAAACCACCATTTATTTGCGCCTGCCCAAAAATTATTTCACCTGGGTTCCAATCGCTTGCACCTACCCTAACTCAGTCATAACATCTCCTTTACAAAAATCTTTTTTTCTCTCTTCTAATCTATTCCATCCGTCCCTTTGATTTTATCCTTCACCTCTCATCACCCACCATACCTTTCACCCCATCTACCACTACATCACACTGCACCGCAACTCATCCACCTTTCGTTTCACACCATACCATACAATACCATTTAATAGGTCTTGCAACACAAACCAGGCATCTCTGCCATTTGTCAACTTTTGTTTTGAACACTTAGCGTGCCAGTCGAACAACGATTTCTCTGATAGCAGGTTACGGTTTTCTGCCACCTTGAATACTGACCAAGACAGAAACCATGTCTACACCTGTTCCTTCGACTGGTTCCCCTACTCCTCGCCGCCCCATGGCTACTAAAGCGGTCTCGAAAGAGGAAAACGTCAAGGTTGGCACTGAGAGTTCCTCTACTGCCATTGTAAGTGATATTCTCGAGCGTATCCTTCCTCAAGTAAGTGGTTATCATGTTTAAGATGCTTGATATACGAACTTGGTTGATTGGTCGGCCTTGTTCATCTATCCCATCTATTTATCTTTATCTGCTAAATACATCCTGTTATCTTTGCTATAATGTTGGGATGGTAGAACTGAAATTAATATTTATTCATAGCCTCAGAAGAAGGCGGCCTCGGCTCTTTCGACCTCTTCGTTGGTCAACCAGAGCTATCCTAAGGTCTGCTCGTCTTACAATTTTCCTTTCCTGCGATCCGTTTGCTAATTACAGCAGAAGATCAAGTTGAGCCACGAGCCATCCGGTCATCCCGATTCGAGCCCAATGGACAACCTACTGGAGCATCTGAACCACCATACGAACGTGCTCAACCAGCAAGGTGAAGCTTTCAAGGCTTCAGAGGACGGTAACTCCGCACCTCCTACCCTTCAGCATGCATCATCGAGCAGCTCGGTGCCTATCACACCTGCTACCGAGACATTTGGGAGCACAGCTCCGACTACCCGACCGGCCAGTGCGACTCTAAAGAAGGATGGGGAAGTCAACAAGGATGAGGTTCTTCGTTTGAAGCTAGAGCTTGCTCAGGCTCAAAACAAGATTAGCCGACTTGATCACGAGCTTACACAGACTCGTCAGATCCAGCCTGGTTTGGAGTATGGCATCGGTGGCTCTCCTGTAGACAACGAATTCTCTCCCGAATTCCGCCCTGATTCCGACCCATCGCGGGTCTTGGGCCCTTTAGCCCCTAACGCTGTCGGTCATCAGGCAATGGGCCGTGAGGGTCAATACTGGTCTTCCTTCGATGATTCCAGATCGGATACCAGTGATGCATTGTCGGCCACTGGTTTTAATCGTTCTCGTAGGCTTTGGGGCCCCAAGAACAACCAAGGTCCTTTCCAAGGAGGTGGCTTTCCGGGACCTGACACCCCGCATAACCAATGGAATGGACGTAGCGCTCAGCAGCAGGGTTTCATGGACCAGAACATGGCCTATGAGCCTTCGGTTTCCGGCAACTACCGTGGAGATCGTTTGACTCCGGATTATGACTTGACAATCAGACCTTCTAGTAGCCGACGAAATGCCCGATTTGATACTCGTCTCGGAACTCCCGCCTTTGGCGCAAACCCGGGACTTAGTGGTGGTTACAACTATGGTGGTAGTAACTATGGAGCCGACAACGGTACGCAAGGTCCGCCTCAGGCTCCATCTAATTCGGGAATGTATTCCAACTACCAGCCAACTCCTGTTGGTACGCCGCTTTCGCCCTTTGCCACCGAATTTACTTCAGCTACGGGTGTTGTGCCCTGGAAGCCAGAGGTATGTCAACTATTCTTTTATTACTTAAATTCTCTACTAACATAGATTTGTCACAGCCCGCGTCTTCGGAGGGCCAAACTTATCTGCCGACTACCGAACCTTTGAACTATCGTCGCTTGCTCGACCGCAATGTCAACTGCAACTGGAAGTACATTGTCGACAAAATCATCTGTAACAATGATCAGCAAGCTTCTATTTTCTTGCAGCAGAAGCTGAAGGTCGGAACCCCGGATCAGAAGTACGAAATCGTTGAAGCGATTGTTGGTTCGGCCTACGCTTTGATGGTCAACCGCTTTGGTAACTTCTTGGTGCAACGATGTTTCGAACATGGAACTCCAGAACAAGTGATCAAGATCGCCCAGGCCATTAGAGGCAGCACACTCAGCCTCTCGATGGATCCATTTGGTTGTCACGTAGTGCAAAAGGCTTTTGATGCCGTTCCGGAGGATTACAAGGCCATCATGGTCCATGAACTTCTTCGACGCATTCCCGAGACCGTCATCCATCGATATGCGTGCCACGTTTGGCAGAAGCTATTTGAGCTGAGATGGACTGAATCGCCACCTCAGATCATGAAGTATGTGAACGATGCGCTGCGCGGCATGTGGCACGAGGTTGCTCTCGGCGAGACGGGAAGTCTGGTCGTCCAGAATATCTTTGAGAATTGCCTCGAAGAAGACAAGGTATATATACTCAGTGCACATCATTAAGTAATTTTAGATTAATATGCTAACTGCCTACCTTGCAGCGTCCTTGCATTGAAGAAGTTCTGGCCAATATCGACATCGTTGCTCATGGTCAGTTCGGAAACTGGTGTATCCAGCACATCTGCGAACATGGCGCACCCGCTGATCGAAGCCGTGCAATCGATCACGTTATCCGTTACGCGGCAGAATACAGCATGGATCAATATGCCTCTAAGGTGGTTGAGAAATGCCTCAAGATTGGTGGCCCTGAATTTCTGGCACGTTACCTTGACCGTGTCTGCGAGGGCCGCGTGGACCGTACTCGCATCCCATTGATCGATATTTCCAGCGACCAGTATGGCAACTATTTGATCCAATGGATTATCAACAACGCGTCTCCCCAGCATCGTGAGATTGTTACAGCTCACATCAGAAAGCATATGGTTTCCCTCCGTGGATCCAAATTTGGATCCCGTGTCGGAATGCTCTGTACCAATCCAGCCATTGTCACACGACCGGGACCTGGCACTGGTACTGGCATGGGACGAATGCCCGCAGGTCCTCGTTACAATGGCCGTGGCTACCAATAATTGCGCAGCCTTATTAGTTTCGAGACCCGGGGCGTATTCAGCTGAGGAAGAACCCTACAACCATCGCGGCATGCTTTCTTAGAATCACGATGCAATTTTATAACGTTTAATTCCTACGAGTGTTTTCTTTTTTCATTTCTATTTCCTATGTTTCGCGTCTATACACGACTGGACGCTAATGGCAAATTTCGATTCGATTCACATATGGCAGGTCTCTCAGACAGCATCATCTCGAGCAGGGAATTTATACGCATCCTACGCCCGGCGGGCTACTGCCTCGATCGGACGCCTTGGACACATCATGCTTATGGATTTTGCAATATCAGCCACGCCACGCGATCCCAATCTGTTCGCCATCCTTTTCGCGATTCCAACTCGGTTCACTCATTTCAAGACCTCGAATTGGATGGCGAAGATACCTAAGGCCGATCAAAAAGTAAAATACATAGTATTTCACATTGCCTTCTATAAGAGTTGCATGAATGGTTTTCCCGATCTCAGCTGAAGTGAAACATTCTGCAGAGGATAGCTACATTGTGTTGGGAATCAACTATTCAGGTTCGCATGGCACTTTCGAAGCCAATACAAAATTCGGAAAAGGGGTGGACTGATCAGACGTGGCCAAAATCAGAAATGTTAATATTTTGTTTTTGCGCTATCGATGAGAGGTCTTACATATGCTCCTTGTATTACGGAGAGTTATCATTTACACTCATTCGTTTAATTCACATGAAATTCTATGCTTCTACATTGGCGATCTCATCCAAGTCCCATGTAGAATCACTGGAATACGATGTGACATGCTTCGACCTTTCTGCCATACACCAGGAGACACCAATGTTGAGACTCTTTCTTTGGTCATTTCCTTGAGTTATAGTTGTTTTCATATGCTCTCTCCGGACTATCAGATACGCTGAGGATGAACTGTCGCAATCTCGGCAACATTGTACGAATGTATGCTTTTTTCTTTTAATAATACGCAGGCTTCTTTCTTCTTTACTTTACTTTACTTTAATTTAATTACCTAATGCTAATGACTTGGAATTGTGATATATCTTATAAGTCGGGGGCTAGGACAACAGACGCTGTTGCTGTGTAGACTGGGCTAGGTGTCGGCGACTTCGTTATATGGCGGTAGCCTTAAATTAGGGTTCGCGCTCAAAAATAGATAAATATACGACGAAGAATTCTGGGCGTTTTATGTACTTCTTTCTTTCTTCTCTACTCCGTTGAACCAAGTGCTATATGTACACTAACGATGCCATGTATGTCTGCGCCCAGCAACAAAGAAAAATCAACCATGGCCTTGAGTACTATAACCCCCCTTAGCCATATAGTAGCGTCTGACTCGAAGCCTATCCTTTTGAAGCTCTCGTTTCATCTATCTCGTCACACCTCGTAGCATTACTCCTATGAGCCGTATGCCACTTGGCCCATCGGCTTGTCTTCGGTTATGCCGGGGGCCATTAAGTTGTTATCTGGGTTGCCTGTCGCCTTGGCGACTGAACACCTTGCCATCGTTGGTGAACTGTATTGCGTGTTAGCGATATGCATGGACGTTGACATAGGGGGAGATACTGACCTCCTAGAGATAACATCTGTGAAATAGAAGTCTTGAATGACCTTCTTAAGTGGCGTGTTTGTGGGCTTGGCGCCCTTGTTCTGGTCTACTAATTGCACCTTGCTCAATGACTTCATCGATGTGGGCTCGACAATATCGTATGAAGCAAGCGCCGGGCTAATTTCGACCATCCTTTCTCTTAATTGGGCGACATCGTCATATGGTAGAGGAGCTCCGAAGAACTCGCTGATTGCTCGGATGATCTTCCAATCTGTTCGGGCGGCGCCTGGAAGTGATGTGGCGGCACGAGTCATTTGAGCTCGACCCTCTGTGTTGATATATGTACCGGCCTTCTCGGTGTAAGCGGCACCGGGTAGGACGATGTCGGCGATCTGGGCACCACGGTCACCATGGTGGCCCTGGTAGACGACGAAGGCGTCCTTAGGGATATCAGCATCAGCAAATTCATCGGCGCCAAGGAGCCAGATAAACTTGGGTTTAGCCTGAGCGACTTCAGGAGAGGGTGTTGTGAATCCAACCTCGAAAGCACCTGCTCTTGAGGCGGCTCTTTGTAGAATGTTGAATCCGTTGTGCTCTTCAGTCAAGAAGTTCGCAGCATTCTTCTCGACGAAGGAACCGATAAGCTCATAGAAAGCCTTGGCATCGGGGTGATCCGTTACACCAGAGCCAACGACGATCATCGGCTTTTTGGCTGATTGAAGCTTCTTGCCGAAATCACCAGAGAGCGCTTTCTTCAATGCCGCAAAGTCTGTACCGAGGTTCTCAAATTCAAAGGTTGATTCAAATGGTTCGCCCACAACACCAACCTCTAGATCTGATCTTAGCCATTGCTTTCGGATACGAGCATTTAGACCGGCAGCTTCGTGTCTTGGGTTGGTGCCGACGAGTAGCAGGGCGTCAACCTCTTCAACAGCAAGGATCTTAGAGTTGAAGAGATAGTTTGATCGGACATCAATACCATGGGCGAGAGGCTGGCTTCCTGAGGGTGTGTCAATAGCTAGATTGTCGGATCCGAGCTTATTGGCCAAGTCCTTCATGGCAACTAGAGACTCAACCTCGGTTAATTCACCAGCGATGACCTTAAATTCATTGCCCGTAGGTGCGAGCTGCTGGTAGGCGGCGGCAATCTCTGTCAGTGCTTGCTCCCAAGGTGCTGGTTCGAATTTGCCCTCTCGTCGTACTAGCGGCATAGTCAATCTCTGGGTCTTTAAGCCATCGCAAGCGAATCGGGTCTTATCGTTGATCCATTCTTCGTTAACGTCATCATTTAACCGGGGAATGACTCGCATGACCTCTAGGCCACGAGAGTCGACGCGAATAGCAGATCCTAGACCATCGAGCACATCAATTGACTCGGTCTTCTTTAGTTCCCAGGGGCGAGCTCGGAAGGCGTATGGCTTTGATGTGAGGGCTCCGACGGGGCAAAGGTCGATGACGTTGCCCGACATCTCGGAGTCTAGGTTCTTTTCTAAGTATGTTCCAATCTGAATATCGTTTCCTCGTCCGAACGAACCCATCTCGGGGGCACCGGCTATGTCGTTTGCGAACCGAATACATCTCGTACAGTGGATACATCTGTTCATTGACGTCTTAATTAAGGGTCCAATATTTTTATCCTCTACCGCTCGCTTGCCACCAATCTCATGAAATCTGCCCCTATCGGCACCGTATCGCATAGATTGATCTTGAAGATCACATTCACCACCCTGATCACAGATAGGGCAATCTAACGGGTGGTTTGCTAGGAGGAATTCCATCACTCCCTCTCGGGCTTTGTGTGTAAGCGGCGAATTTGTTTTCACCACCATACCGGGTTGTACAGGCCATGCGCAAGAGGCGACGGGTTTCGGTGCTCGTTCGACTTCGACTAGACACATACGGCAGTTTCCGGCTATCATCAACTTCCTGTCCCACTTTGTTAGCAGCCGTGATGTTTGCGGGGTGAATTATACGGGATCGATTGTACTCATGGTAGCAATATCTACATATATAATGTTAGCAACGGTCTCTCTACGTATCTTAAATATTGCAGATGTTCGGTAAACTAACCTAGGGACGGTGCTGCCGGCCTTTTCACAGGCTTGAATTAAAGCTGAGCCAGCTGCGGGCTTAATTAGTAAATGCGTTCGGGTACATGGCAAGGCCCGGCAATAGGTCTATACCTTCAATAGACACCTTCTTTCCATCTATGAAAATGTTAGGAATCACTTTAGAGGGTCCGACTGCGATTATAAAGTGAATGTGCTCACCAATTGTAAGCTCCACCTCTGCCGGCCGTTGAGGTGTCGCAGAAAAAGCTCTGGAGGATCTGGCGGCTTGTCGGCCAGTCCGCCAAGCCGAACGAGCTAGAGATTGTCGAAGCATCGTGTCGTCTCGACGGAATTAGGTGATTACGGAGAAGGAGAAGAGTAGGATTCAGGTCGGAGGGCGGGGGTGGTCAATTGGGAGGGCCGTTCAAAATGTTGACGTCTTTCTTGTGAGGTGCTTGGTCGGGAATAATTGGATGTTCTCCAAGTGGCGCTAGTGCGATTAATCGCGATTATTTCAGCATCTCTCTGATTGGTTATAGCTATGGATATTCCTGCCCGATTTTTAAGGCATGGACTGAGGTCACACAAATATACGTATTTCTTAGTAATGGCCTCAACCTGCGCAATTTGCTAACTTAGTGCGACGCTTTGACCAGAAAAAGAGTGGACCCAAGATTCTCTGAGATCGCTTAATTTGAATTTTTGAAAATCTTCTCCTCTGCTTCTTCTTTCCTTTCCTCACAAATTGTACTGGGCATATATCGTAGGCGAGCTTGAGCAAGCTTCTAGATTTTCTAGATTCTCGTTATAATCGAGTCCTCCTCTATCATATGCTCTAGAGAAAATTATTGACGCCGATTTGGAAGCATGTGAGAGTTTTCGAATCTCGAGGATCGCTGCCTCTTACCGCCGGCCGTTACATATAAATGTTAGACTCACGTATACATAGACTCGAATCCGGATCTGAGAAATATCAAATACCAAATATCTTAATATCATATTATTATACATATACTTCACGTTGATATACTGCTATATTATGCCGTTAACTTGTCTTGTTCTCGATGCCGCCAACGTCAACGATTCCAGATAATATTCATTAACAATAGCTGACTTACAGCGTAGGTACGAAGCCAAGGTCTGTTGGCTGAACGCCATGTCCGATTTTGGACTACGAACGCCATGTGCGAGAAATGGTCATAGCGTCTTTGGATAACAATTTTTCTCCCTTCCTAGGCTTTTCTCAGCATCACGTCGCGTGATGATCGTCCTCTGCACCGAATATCATCGTATTCCTTCGTTTTACGATCAATTCCTCGCAAACGTAGTCCTTACGAGCTATCACTTCTGCATTGCCTTCCGTCGACCTCTCGAGTGGCGGTAATCTCCTCTTGTTAGACCAAATGGACGACGACAACGACTATGGTGGACACCGGCTTAATCCCAATTGCCAACGCGTTGACCTATCTCGAATTACCACCAGAGAATTGGTTTACCATGTCGCTTCGTCCATCGCCGGCCTTCGCAATGACTACCCCGACAGATTCGAGCAACTAGAGCAAGTCGTGCAGGGAGAGTCCAATGACTGGAAGGAAATATTGGAAGATATCGGGAAGAATCTCGAGTTTTTACAATCAACCCTCGATGATTGTCAGGAAGGTCAAGAAGGCGCGGACGGGGTCAAGGCACTTCTCCGCATAGTAGAGGACCATATCACCGATATGCAAACGGACCAAGATCGGCTCTTACACGCCATAGTCGAATTCGCGAGTGCCAACCAATCCCGAGTTGAGAGTATGAATGATTCCGTATCCGCTCAAATGAGTGCTCTGCGCGCCGAGGTTCAGGCATTGCGTAGAACCATAAGCCAAACACCTCGGTTTCCTCAATTTAGGAGACTGCCGGCTGAAGTCCGATTTATGATTTGGGATTTGGCACTCCCACGGCGGATGGTAGGCCTCAAGGAAAGTTTTGGCAACGACACAGAAGAATTCGATAATCCCCGATATGAATTCATATCGAAATTACCGCCGCCCTCCGTTGCCCAGGTCTGTCGGGAATCTCGGGCTATAGCATGTCAAAGTGGCAGGCTTGTGTCGATCAGAAATTCTCCGGTATATTTGCCATCCTGTCTTAGAGTACAATGGACGTGGTTCGACTCAAGTCGAGATAGTCTCTTCTTTCGGCTCTCCATGAGTGGCTATAGCCTCCACCCTATAAGGGACCTGACCAGCCGCGCTCAGCACGTCACCATAGATTATGAAACATTCGACGATGATGTTTACAATTTCTTCGAGAGTTTATTCACCCCGAGTTCCTTCCCGCAGCTGAAGACTATCGATATTGTGGGAGAAACATACACCCAACCTGAGCGAAGCGACCCGGTTTTGGAGTCTCGAGTATTTACACGTGACTGCAACCATCCTATTTCTATCGAGAAGCATAATCAATCTGTCAAAAAAGCTTTTCTGAGAAAGTTAAAGACAAACCACTCCTCTGATGATGTCGACCAACTTGAGAGATTCTTAGAAGCTAAGGGGAATACAGACGGCTTGCCACACGATAATATTCACTATGACACTCAGGCCTGGCACGACCGCCTAAAACAATTACACGACAGATGGCTCATTAATCAATATGAAGGTGGCGCCTCGGGCGGCGACGTGAATGGGGGGAGAACAACGTCGGTCAGAGTCAACGAGAAGGAAAAGGTTGGGCCGTCCTACGATTGGCTTGTCATGATGAATCTGAAAATACCTACTATCCGACGCGTGGCTCTACTTCGCCTGAGGGGGGATGGTTGGAATATTATGTAGTCGGGGGACAATATTTGGCTATGTGTTTCTTTGTTTCGTATTGTCGTCTTGCTTTATTTTAGGATTTTTGGGGAGTTGTTATGATGGGTTCACGTAACGGAGAATAGGGGTTGCAATATTGGTACTTGATGGTGCGAGATTTACGAATTTTTTGGTTGCTTTCACGGTACAACAGAAAACTGGGTCATACTATCAAGCTCCTTCGAAGTAGAACTCGATTGTCCTTAATTTCTATTCATATAATATTATGTATACGAGTTGATGAATTCCAATATTGATATTCAAGACTACAGTACCACAGTTTATGATTTAGTGATGTTATACTTTAAAGAGCTGTATCTAAGGGCACGATACCTAATATGCGTGACATGCTCGATTAGTTAACGCTTGACAACATCAGGAAGCTATCGAAGTAAATTTTGTGTTTGCTTGTGATGTTAGCACGGGTGTATGATTCTGCAGCTCCCAAGCTCTCAAACGACGCCGCCAATTAAACCAATCATCGGATTTCCCCAAAATCTCCACAGGTAACATCCCCACATTCGCCTAGCTACTAGCGGCAAGCTAGTGCAAAAAGCTAATATGAATACCAGTAAGCGGCTGACCAACAATGAACAATGTCTTACTCTTCTGAGCCGACAATGAAGTCATCTGGTTTGGTGGTCTAGTGGTATGATTCTCGCTTAGGGAAAACCTAAAGCTGATATGCGAGAGGTCCCGGGTTCAATCCCCGGCCAAACCCTTTTGTTTTTGCCAGTTGATATTTATCTTATGTTAATTCATTTTTACTATCATGATTGATTTATGGCGCCTCAAGTCGGAAGGTCTGACTGACTCAATTGAGGTTTATTATTTTTTTTTTTTGGCTTGTATTTCTTTTGTTTCACGGAAACTTTATCCAAAAGTGGGGTGCGACAGCTTCTATACGCTGTACAAATGAATATTCGGGGCTTCTTCTTTTCTTTTTCGTACAGAACAGCGCTAAACTAAAGTCCCTAAAACATTTTAAGGCTACGAGATGCTCTAGGGAAACAGTTTGATGGCCTTATCCTCAAACATTGACATCCATGGATGATTGTACATACGTATGTTGACTCCCTACGTTTCTATTTTTTCTCCGGTATCTAGGACTTTCAAGGTCATGTAACATACCCAAGCAGCCAGGCGGCAGACAGCTAGACTTTTCTCGTGGGCGGTAGGGCGGTAAGTACCTACTGTTAGGATTCATTGATAATTTGATGTCTCATTTCGGCGCTGACCAATTCGCGCAGTTTGCAAGTGGACAAGTGGACCGCCCAGCCAATATTTGCCGGGGTTAGGGAGTCCTGACTTACATGGGACATTTAATAAGGCAAAGAGTCACGCTGCATATCTGCATATTCCAGAATAAAATTTACAAATTCTCAAGTCGAAGTAGATCGTTTGCCATTCAAGTTAAATTGTCGAATAACTCTATTTATGAATATTTCGAACACGATGAGAATGGATATACTGATCTATATACCTTAGGTAATATATCGAAGTTGCATCAAAAGCTTCATTGACTTCATGTCCAAGTTTACAGCACCTATGCGGCTACACACATAGACGCACAAAGCAAATAAAAGCTAGCAGCCAAGCCTTTTACCGTCTCGTCTACCGGGGGAGCTTAGCCGATGTTGCAGTCCCGAGACCCCTGACCGAGGCCTAGGCTAGGCTCTGTATGTCCTAATGCATCACAGTCATGTCGTTGCTAGACCTATTAGGGGGCGTCTGAACTTCCTATAAAATGAACCGTCAGCCCTTGAGATCCCACGATGGTGTTGATTCTTTTTAGTTCGTGTGCGCGAGTCAAGACGACGGTATCCAACCTTTTTGCTACCGAACCCGTGTTCAGATCGATCAGATCTCTCCAACTGATTACATTCTTTTAACAAACACTATCAACATCATGCTTACCAAAACCGCCATCCTGGCTGCGGCCCTTAGCGCTACCGCTTCCGCGCAATTGCGATCTCCCGCTCTTCTTGCGCGCGCTACCCGCACCCTCGAGACTGCTTCCAAGCCCGAGTCCACGGAATCCTCCTCTCCCGAGTGCTTGTCGCGCATCCAGTCCTGGACCGCGGCCTTCCCGACGCCCGCCCCTGCGCTCGAGGACGCCCTCGATGATGCCGACAACTCCGAATCCGGGGTCGGCGCTGAGGGTCTCGAGGGCCTCTGCGACTTCGCTGCCGAGATACCCGCCAGCGTTACCGCCGCTTTCACCAGCTACAACTTGGAGATGTACTCGTACCTGTCTGCCCAGAGCTCCAACCTACTGGTTCTAGCTACCAGCTGCTCCACCGATATGGGCGCCGAACCCTCCGTCATCACGAGCCAGCTAGGCGAGCTTCTCAACATGTACTCGAGCTTTTCGGCGGGTGCTTGCGGAACTATTACTGCCACGGCATCTGCTACCAGCGCGTCTGCGACTAAGTCCGCTAGCAAGTCTGGTCTTACGAGCGTTGTTTCTAACACCGGCTCTGTTACTGCTGCTGCTGAGACTTCGAGCACCGGATCGTCGGCGTCGTCGTCGGCATCCGGCTCCGCTGCTACTACTTCAGGAAGCAGCGCGAACGCATCGACATCGCCCACTGTGTCGCAGAACGCTGGACCCAGGGAGACTGGTATGCTTGCCGCTGCTGCCATCGCTATGGGTGTTCTCGGCGCTGCTGTCGTGTTGTAGGCTGATTATATATATAAATTAATAAATTGTGATACAATTAATATAATACAAGTTTATGTTGTGTTACGTTTTGTGAAGTTCTGGCTATGTTTCTGTGATTTGATGATTTCTCCTAGTTATTTTACCCGTAACTCTGTTTTTATTTGGTATTTGGAACGATGGAGCACTATTCTCCTTCATTAAGAATATGGCTTCACTGCAGCTTATTCTACATTTGAATTTGTCAAAGCAGCCTTCGTGACCGACTCTTAGCACCAATTCCTTTTTTTCGCGGGGATGAAGACATCTCGGAATTGAGAGGACATGGGATGGAAATGCCACGCCGCAATGTCGGGTCCTTCCCGCAGGGGCTCCGCGTAGACGACACCTGCATTTTCTAAAACAAGAAGGTCAGCCCTGGAGACGGCCTGGGTCCAATTGTCATAGTGTCGGATATGACACCCCTATCACGGCAGCCGACATAAATAGGGGAAAACGGGGTAACTATTTCTACAGTACCCCTTCCCGATTTTCGTCGGCCACATACTATGGACGACAACTTATTAAACAACATTATATTCCGTTAAATGCGAATGTCATAAAAGCGCACATTTACTGCCATTTTCGCTAAATGCTAAATGTGTTTAAAGGGGACTCTTGTTGCAGTTGGATTTGGTTACGCATGCGACGTCAGATAATCTAGATCCTCACCGGTTCAGATTCCCTCGCCTCTTAGTGGAGAGTCAGCAATACCCCGGAATTTCACATCTGAGATGGATAAACATGCATTGCAACGTCTAATCGGGTATAGTTTACGATGTAGCCACCGAAGCAGATATCCAACTCCAACGTATTGACGTCTCGATGAGCATAACCTATAAGCTACGCTGTGACGTAAACGCTTAGTGGGAAATATCATAGCTACAGTAGGTAGCGACCGATACCGATGTTAATTGGTGTTGAGTCTGGGCTCTTTTCCCATCGGAGCCCTAGCATGATCCGCACGACTAAACTCCTACCAAAGGAAATAGATATAAATAATGAAAGAAATATCTCGCTTTCTTGCAAAGTCAGGAATCAATGCATTATATTCTATCATAGATCCTGCTCTCTAGTTCTACGTTATGAATATGGGTTTCCTTAGGTATATCTCACTTGCCATCGCTGGTGTAACACTATGCGTCGCCCAGAATAACGGAGCAAAACCGAATATCGTCCTTATCTTCACAGATGATCAGGATCTTCATCTTGGGTCCGTAGACCATATGCCTATCCTCCAGAAGGAACTTATCGAGAAGGGCACACAGTTCACCAACCACTACGCGACCGTTGCTCTGTGCTGCCCTAGCCGCGCCTCTCTATTGAGAGGGCAGGCGGCACATAATACGAATGTGACGCATGTCGACGCACCCGGTGGCAACTATCAAAAATTCATGGTATCAGAAGAGAATGAAGATTATCTTCCTCATTGGCTTGTGTCAGCTGGATATAACGCGGAATGTGAGCACCTAGCCAGGTGTTTTGAATAGAAAGAGATGTGGGCTAATATTAGTAGATTTGGGAAAATTCATGAATGGATACACCAGAGCAACATACATGAATGCTCCAAAGGGGTGGACATATACTGACTTACTCGTACGTTGTATCATACTGCAGAGGCCTATAAACCTTAGCTAATGTGACTTACCTGGCAGGTTGACCCGTTTACCTCTATGAATACAACAATGTCGTGATGTCCCAGAACGGGCAAACTCCCATCCACTATAAAGGCTTCCACCAGCTTGATGTGATACGAACTAAAGCGTGGGTATCACCGTATATATCGTGTGGTGATATAATGAGCTGACAATAATTAGACTCGATCGGATCGACCACTTGTCAGCAGAAAACAAGCCATTTTATCTAACGATAGCTCCCTCGACCCCCCATATTGAAGCGGATAGCTTGCTACCTACACCCCAAACAAGACACAAAGGAAGTGCTCAAGGCCTGCAAGTCTCAAGAGACGGTAATTGGAACCCAAGCGACGAGAGCCAGGCCCAGAAACCATCGTGGTTGAAAGAGCTTGCATCCATAGGCCCGTTGATAGCCGACAGCATTGATGCCCACTACAGAGCTCGGATTGCGGTCCTTCAGGGGGTCGACGAAATAATTCAGGATGTGGTTGATCGTCTTGATAAGCATGGTATCTTGGACAATACTTACATCATTTATACTAGCGATAATGGATACCACCTTGGAAATCACCGAGTCGCTGCTGGGAAGTCGCTTCCATATCGCGAAGACACTAACATGCCGCTCATAATCCGCGGACCACAAGTAAAAGCAGGCGCAACATCTGACGCGCCGAGTGCCCATTATGATTTCCCACCCACATTCTTGGATATTGCTGGCGTCAAGTCTGCAGACCTCCCGCCTTTCCTCGATGGCCAGAGTCGTCTCAGCAATTGGCATAACCCACAGACCGCGTTACCAACCTGTCCCTTTAACGGTACACAAGAGGTCATCAATGTGGAATTCTGGGGCGGTGCCGGTATCGAGTCGCTATTGCAAGAAAAACCGTATAACATCGGAAACAACAGCTACAAGACCTTGCGCATCGCCGGCGCAGAAAAGGGGTATCTATACTCGAAATGGTGCACGAACGAGGAAGAGCTGTACGACACGACAGCGGACCCGTATGAGCTTCAAAACCTGGCGAAAGACCCTAAGGACGAATCAATCAAGCAACTCCTAAACCGCCTCAATGCTCTTCTCTTAGCGACTAAATCTTGCGCCGACGCAACATGTCGCAACCCGTGGAAACTGCTACAACCAGAAGAAGGGCGTTGGGGGATTATAGTTGACGACGACACCTCACTAACCATCAGATGTCTCGACCAAGCCATGGATCCAAAATACGACGCCCACTTCAACGACACCACCATCTTCCCGCGCGTCGCGTTCCAGGAGTGTATGGAGTACCAATACATCGATAACGAGGGCCCTTACCTGCCTAAGGACCCGGGGCTAGGGATGAAGTACCGCAAGCCTACTGATAATTACTATGACCCTAGCGTCAAGATCGCTGCGCCGGTGATTCGGAACCTGGTGGATCAGGGGGGTCCGGAACAGAGAAATGTGACGCTGGCTCAGATCATGGAGATGTCTGTGGTGTTGACGCAGGCGCAGATGGGACTGGCTGGCTGAGCATTGTATCGTTCTCTTGAATTTGTATTATGCTGGCTTGGTTAGAAGCAGCTTTATTAGAATAGATCGTACTTAGATGCTAGGTAGGTAGGTAGGTAGGTATAAGATAGAGCCTCGAATTCGAGCGCCGGATTAAAATCGATCGAACGTAAAGATTTATAAAGGGAAAGGTTGTATCTCTAAGTTACTGGGCGACGATTTAGGGGAAGTAGTGTTAAAGTTAGAGTGCGGGAGCCCCTGAATTTTAGGGGCTATATGCCTAGCTCTTGGGTCCACGCATTTTCCACGCGACGCTTAGCGCGCTGTAACCCCGCACCTAATCATCCACAGCACAGGTTCAGGCCAAATATTTGGACTATGCGCTGGCGCCCAGGTGCATCCATTCCAGGTTATCCCTCTTCCAACCGCGCGGATTTTTCTACAGTGGCCAAGCTCCCTAGAAAGGCTGAAATCATAGCGGCTATCCGCTGGAATTTAGCGGATAGATCACTATCAAGTTTCGCTGGCGGTCCAAAATTTTGTTCCGAACCACTCCAGGCTCAGTTCTTTCACAGCCCATTCTTCGATATTAACAATTATATACATCTGATATTTTTACATTTTACTAACATGATATATTTTCCATATATACGAACTTTCAAATATACATTCCACATCACATCGTAATAACCAAAACTCCATTCTTATTATTGCAGAACAAACTGCTGCTTATGCGACTTATGCAAAACGCTCGTATCCAAAACCTCACCCGTCGAAGACCTGATGAAATCGACCTGCATATTACTTGTGTCTAAGAAGCTGATTTTCGCGTAGCTGAAATCGTCTGCGTATGCGAACGAGTTAAACGACACGTTGCTGCCGACGGCGCTCAGGCCTTCGATGTTACCCGCGCCGCCGGCGACGATGTACATAGGCGCGGTCGGGTCGTTCATCCCCTTCGGGTCTACGGTGTTGTTGTAGACTGGCTGGAATCGCTGCGAGTTGTGCACGTGGCCGAAGATCGCGAGGTCGACACCGTATTTGTTGAAGAGCGGCTCGAAGGCGGATTGGCACGGCGTGCAGCCGTCTCCGCCGGTCGTGTACCAGGGTCGGTGGCCGCCGACTACGAGCCATGGTGTTACTGTGCGGTCGACTGAGGCTAGGTCCGCTTCTAGGAAATCAAGTTGTTGGTTATCGATGCCGAAGGGTCCGCTATTGAGATGAGCTGAGCCACCTGGCGCATCGGGGGCATCGTCGAAGTCCGTTTCTGTGTTGATCATTGTAAAATGCAGCATGCCGTACTCGAAGGAGTACCAGAAGGGCGGCTTAGCGAGTAATTGCGCTTTATTTGCGTTGACCTTCGCAGCTTGGACCCGCGACTGCGATGGGAATGCGGTGGACATGGTGTCGCCGAAACGCGTCATGAAGTCCGTGAAATTCTTCTGGCCGGCGGGGCACAGACCAGTCGTAAAGGGTATCTCCTGACAGGCCGCCTCGTGGTTACCGGGGCTGGCCATGTACGCCTTGCGGCCGGAGATCGGGGAGAGCTGGTTGTAGAATTCCTCCAGGATGGCCTGGAATGCGTCCTCGCCATCGAATAGGTTCTTGGGCTTGAGATACCAGTCATCGGCGTATGCGAAATCACCAGGATGCACGACAAATTCGTAGTCATCGACGGTGTTGGCAAGAGCGCTGATGGTGGTATGATTTAGTGACGGATCAATGGTGGGAATTATGTCCCGTTTGGTCTGGTCCATTTTAATGGTGTATCCGTCGGCGCCATAGACGCCCATGTCGATCACGGCGTTCATAGCAAAGGGGGTTGTGTCACCAGCCACTCGCGGACTGAGAAAGTGATCAACGCTGGAATTTGTCGATACTATCTTGTAGTAGTAAGTGGTGGCTGGCGCCAAATTTGTGAGAGTGACCGCATTGGAGTAAGTACGAGACGTCGAATAGGTGACTGAGTTATTCGAGCAAGCCTCCAAGTTGAGTGCATTGCTAGATGTACCATACTGAACACATGGCTTGCCTAGCTTCTCGTAGGTGTTCCAGCCGACAGAGATGGCTACCGAAGAGGCGTCATATTAGCACTGCGATGATTGAGCGCAATTTATAACGCCGCTAACTCACCATTGGGACCACTGACAGCAAGCCGCTGCTGAACTGGAGTTGTCAAGTCAGTAGGTATCGCCGGATAACTGACGGCAGCAAAAACAGAAGCAGCCAAGATCGGCAAACTCTTCACGGAGGCGAATAAGTACGCCATCGTACTTACAGAGTTCCTACAAGGGAATAAAGCGCCAAGTCCTGAGGCTTACATCCTTACCTAGAGATTCGCGATCTACCAAGATCCAAGGTATTTATAATGCAGCTATTCTATCTGGCTGACGAGTAACAGGTCCACGTGCGATATCATATGCAAAAATGGGCTGTAAATGGTCTGTCAGAATGCCAGTGTAGTGTCAGAGTAGTGGAGGGATCGCCAATCAGGGAAATTGTATTTTCAATGTTGCATGGGGCGGACGGGGAACGGTCCATTTCCGCATTACTGGAGGTAACTGGTGCGAGCTGGTGTGAACTCGTGGGTCGGACGATTGGTCGATAAAGTATCGAAGCTTCGAAGCGGCAGCAGCCGGAGCTAAGCTCACCTACGACCGCGTTTTCCGGCATTATTGTGCCGCGGGGATTGCTTGAAAAGGAAGGAACCTTTCTCGGTGAGAATGAGCTACGAATTATATTAGCTTGAGCATCGTTACGGCTTGCATTAGTTATGTGACGGATCGAATTTCGATATTTGGAGAAAAAGCAAAAAAATGTTCAGCGCGACGAATGATCGACATGAATATATCCCAAAGTATGCGGTTCGCCTTGACTAATTCGTAAGCATGTCTTAGCTCGGACTCTAGAGATAAACGGTCTGATATGGTAGCTCAATCTCACCTATAACCTCGGATTCGTTAGATAATCACAAGCAGCAAGATGATAGTATATTCTTAGTACTGCCCCATTGCCTAGGTAAATGTTAAGGTGGTGAAGAAGATAAGCCCTTTCAACCAATGAGCCCGAGGTTATAGGTCAGTTTTACCTAAGTCAGCTCCTTTTATGCGGCCTTATAATGACATGCGTATTCAACTCAACAGTCTGATGTTCTTCAATTCGTGAAGTCGAATTTTTGCTCTGTTGATAAGATCCATCCATGGATAGGTAGCTAATCTGACAGTCTATCCGGGTCATAGGGCTACTACTTCGGCATACAGGGGCGCTCAGACTAATTGGATTCTCAGAGCAACGTCAATTTCTCTTTAACATAAGAAGGATGTTGAGTAAAGCATAAATTGATGGAAATGACCCGAGTGTTTGATCTTGACGTAGTACCTGCAGCCCCCCACATGAGGCTGGAAATAGGTAGGTAGCACAAGACAGGCTAGTGTCTTGGACCACCAATTAGCTCTTGCTAGATACACCCATTTAAGGCTGTCGCCCCTAATCTATATTTTGTAACTTGTTTGCTGGTCTTGGCAATGACCTCCAACACGATTGACGCCTATACAAAAATCCAGACAATTAGACCAGATATCTCAAAAACAATAAAGAATCCATCGATAGTTCAGGTCATGTAAAATAGTTTTCGGATAAGAAGTTTTAACCTCTGGGGGAAATATACGAAATAGAAAATTGAATAGGAAGAATCACACTTTGATCATGTTGTCATTCCAGAAATTTAATTGAAACTGACATACCCAGTACTCAACCATATGAATAGACAAATTGACGATTTGACACGAAGAAAAAAGAAGCCAAACATAATTGAACATAGTTAGTGTTTGTATGATGTTCGAGACTCACTGTACGAAGTTTAGAGGGAGTAAAAAAGAAAAGGGAAAGAAATAGATAATTTGGCCGGCGAAGGAATCGAACCTCCCGATGCACCACACGAGGAAACAAGAGCAATAGCAATGGCATCTACAGGTGAAGCCATCTCGCCAAGCCGGCCTTTCCTTCTGTCTGACTTTCCCTATTAGGTTGAAATTCCTTTTTTTATCCTGCCTTATACTCAAGCTTTTCAACGCATTGGCCATTTACACATATGAAAAGTATTGCCGATTGGATGGGATTATGTAAGTAAAGACTTATAGGGTGGATCGTGTTTACCTAGCATTAGTATACTGTGTGCTACTGCACTGTGGACTGAAGTCACGAGTTAGACATCGATTGAGTCTTTCCCTACGTAAAAAAGTACCTAGGTAGGTTTGTCTCAATTATATCAATGATGTCATATGTCTTACAAGAAAGGCAACAGCTATGAAATGACCTAAAAGGTTTGAGTTGTTATGATGTTAGGAGTTGCGAGTGAGTATACACCTAGTAGTTTCCTAAGTTATGTGTTAGTTTTCAGGGTTCAACTGTAGGTATTGACCTGTTATGATGGAAAGAGGACTAATTTTGAATGTATTATATACCAGGTACAGGTTGTCCGCTTGGGACTTAAGAATATGGAATCAATACTAGGTATAACGAGGAACATCAAATAGGAGCAGATATATGATTTTTCTCTGCTCATCAAGATACATCGATCCCCCCTGTTCCGAGCTTAGATAAGCTCATACTTCGTGCCTCCAAAAATAGGGGCCATGCAGCCCGGCATCTCCTTCTCAATCGCAACCTTGAATCTCCACCCTGTGCAATGTCCCGGCATTAGCACCTTCGGTTCCAACGCCTTCAAATCCTCCAGCGACTTTTGCAACTTCTCAGGTGCGCCATCCGCTAAATGGTACCCGCCCACAACGGTATATAGGGGAACACCACCCCCCAACTCCATCGCGTGGCGCGAGACATTAACCACGCCAGCATGGCTACACCCCGTGAAAACAACAAGCCCCTTCCCTTTCAAATTACACATAACCAGCCTCTCATCCATAATCAACTCATCCGTCTCCCACCCCTTTTTCTCACTAAACCTCACACCCCCACGAATCCCACCCTCATACGCCGTCCGCCGCGGAATCTCCCCCGAGACCAAAAACATGTCGTCAAGCACCGTATGCGCCTCCGCGCTCTTAAAAACCTCCGCACCCGCGTCTTCGATCTCAGAAAAACTCGGGTCCGCCTCCAGCGCAATAATCTCATGCGCCCTGATCCCCCTGAAATCCGGACGTTCGGGATGTAAATCCACGACCACTTTCCCTTTCTCTTCGCTTGTAGCTGTAGCAGCCTTAGCCCCCTCAACCATCCTCACCGCACCCAGCAACCCCCCCGAATGATCCCGATGCCAATGCGACAGCACAATCCTCTCCACCTTCGCCACATCCAGCCCCAACCTCCGCGCATTGCGCTCCCAAACCGCCTCCTCCGGTCCCGTGTCGAATAACAACGTGTGTTCCTTCCCGTCCTTACTCACGGTTATTAAGAGCGATAGCCCGTGCGCCCCGCAACACAGCGTGTCCATCCGCATCTGCAGCTTTGCGCCTCCGGGTTGTGCAGATGCGGGGAGGGGCGTTAGAGGAGCGCCGAGGAAGGATTGAGCGTGTTTTATGGAGGGGTGCGGGGACGGCGAAATTTGGTCGATTTCGTCGTTGACGATGGCGTGGATTGTTAGGGTGTCTACTTCGGTGAGTTGGGGCGGCATGGTGGGTGGAATACGCTGTTTGCTAAGGTATGTTTGTATTGTCTCTTGTGTGTTGTTGAATGAGTTGATGAAGTTCCACATACTATTTATTCCGTATGCCTGGCTCAGCCCTTTATATATAAGTGAGTCGTCATATATGTTAACGACATGCGATTGTCGTATAGTCATGTTGATATTCCCATATTAGATCCGAACCACATATGCGAACCCGAACCCGATGTTCGCGGAGGGCTTAGGTCTTACGTGGACTTATCCAACTTCGGTTTTAACGGCCAGCAGTATGTAACCCCGGCTGATCTTGAGTTTCAAAGGAGGTTTCTCCAATTTTTCAAAATTTCAATCTTGATAATAATCGGCGAACAGTGAAGCCCGTGGATGCGGTTTCTCCGGCCCCCACGAGTCTTGGACGGCATTTATGCCGTGCCAAGGTTGCCTCATTATGCACCTAGTTTAGTTAGCTGTGACTCAAGAGCATACTTAGGTACTTATTACCTATACGTTATTATAGCTGATACTCCCAATTTCACAATTAACGCCGATGGTTTGAAAAGAGAGGAATGGGTTCGAACTCCCGGTATTATCTGCACTATTCAGCTACGTATGTACAATCGTCCTTCACCACCCACTCCACCGTGTCACTTTTCGGACCAGTCACGCCAGGTAAAGGTATTGAAACCCCTTTTCGCTAGAATGAGTAACTCAAGCATCCTTGTGTGACAGGATAGACTGCCCCTCAGCGGCGACAGCAGCGCCAAAAGTCGTGTTCGAAGTCTGGTTGACCAAGCCCAAAGACAAAACAAAGCCATACTTCCAGCTATCAGCTCCGGCAGCGACAGCAGGGGGGTCGATATCCTTGCGGGAGTCCTTGATTTCGGTAGTGTTAACTCCGAACAGCTCGTCTCTCTTGTTCACGAAGTCAGGGGTAATCTGGTCGTCTCCGGTGTAGCCCATAACAAGCTCTGGGATGCCGATGGGGTACGTGGAGTTCTGCTGGTCGTAGCGCCAGGTGTGGAATGTCTTTCCGTAAGTTCCAACCACTGTAGAGCAGATGGTCAGCAAATGTAACGGCTTTGAGCGAGCTCGAAAAATACTTACAGACGTCCTTCATGATGGTGTGGTCAACGGAATCCGGCAGGCCGGGCTCGATGAGGAATCCGCTGGTGATTTCGTAGACATGACTATGCCACATTTGGCGCTCTGAACCCAATTAGTTACTCGTCTCACATCTGATAGGTTTTGATTTATCACCTTCGTAGTCCAAGGTCTCAAACGCATCCTTCGTGATAATGTATTCGATTCCAGCCAAGCGCGCGGGAGTCGTGTTGGTGTTGTACACGGCGCATTGCAAAGTATCGCTCGCAATGATAACGCAATAATGGTTGGCAGAAATCTCCCAGTCGCTGTGTCCCGAGACGAAGTGGAATCCGTTCAGGAATAACACGGTACCTTCAGGGCCATAGTGACCGAAAGGAAGCGCTGCTGACACAGCCATGGGAAGGAGAGCCAGGGCAGCGGAAAATGCGCGACTAAGTTGCGAATACATGGCGAAGATTGCGAATTTAGGACGACTAGAAGAACGACTGAGGAACTCGAGGCTGTTTAGTCTGGCGATTCAAACGAAACAATCCAGAGAAGCTGCGTGAGAAACCATCCTTATATAGGCCAAAAACACCAGAAACCCGTCACATTTTCCCGTCGAGATTTGCAAATGCGTTTTTTTCATCTCCCCCGCCGGGAATCGGTAATAGAAGGGGGACAAGGCGTCCTCCACAGCATCATCCCGCCGAGCATGGTGACTTCGCGAATGGAGAGGACAGAAAAAAAAGTTCGCATGAACTCATCGTCTTGGCTTGCTATAACGCTGCATCGTATCGCTCCGAGATCCTTGCTTGGGAGCACATCTTCTCTCATTTTTCATTTACAATCTGCCCACGATACGGGTCCACAGCGAGAGGCGACTCCGTAATTTCGACAGTAGTTCGCGAGTAGACTGCAACGAAGGAGCATGGGCTCAGGCCACCGTCGATTACCCAAATAGTCGCCCCGCAGTGGTCGCCTAGTTCGTCGAACCGGTTCTCCCCGCTCGTCCCCGTCAGCGTCGAGGTCGCCGATTACAAAATTTGCCCCTAAGGATCAGACTTGACGTTCTCCGAACCAAGATCCCGTAGATCCCGTCGCCCGCCAGCCACCCGTCGCGGGCCGCCAACTAGTTCCATTTTTCTCGACGCCACACCAATGAAAAATCGTCACGATAGCCGACGCCCGATACCCTCATGAGCCCTATCGACGGCTTCCTGATGGTCCCACACTTGAGCAAGTTTGTCAGCACGTGCCCTCCAACTCCCCGTCAAGTCTCCGTCAGTCGTCGTAAGTCTCCATTCGCCCCTGCCATCGCGCTGCGCGAAGTTGCTAGGGACTGTCGTTAGGATAGCAGGGGGAGCTTCGTCGGGTGCGTTACATCATCTCTAGCAAAATCACCATTTTCCGAAAATTGGCGGAAAATGGCGAGAAAAAACGCTGAGAAAACGGGACGAGTTGGTATAGGAAGATGAAGTCTCAATAGTCGGAAGAGAAGTTAAGAATAACTTAAAGATGGAAGAGGAAGATGACCATAGATATAGTGTGTCGTGGACGTCGATAGCATCGAGCACGCCATCACCCCTGTCCATCCCTATTTCCTATTTGAGTCTTGTAAAGCTCTGGAATATCAGCGGGTCCTAATTGCCGAGTTGAGTGCCAATGGATTCTCATGGGTCCGCTTCGATTACAACGCTGGTGAACTTCTATTTTATATTAAAGAGAATGACCCAGGTAGATCTTATTATAACGATACCCGATGCATTGGACCTGTCCGCTGCGCTGACGGGTATTTTGGCCGACTGCCGGGTTGGGTGACGGCTCTCTAATTGAACTGGAAGATAATACGCATCTATCTAATAGTAGTAGGTAGGGAACTGCTCAGGCCCATACCATATACTTTAACAGGTTACAACGTTAGAAGATAGAATATTGAGTCAATGTTCATTTACGCGCACTTAGTATTATTTCTCCACGTTATGAATCCTTATTAGACACCTTCAGGTTGATAGCAGCACAGGTTCAATTCTCTGTAGTCGACTATTGACCTGTAGTCAACGAGTAGACATCTTGCCTTCTATCGGCCGTCTATCCTTAAAACACAATCCCCCAACTCCGGAAACTTCAAAAACATAAATACCCGAACTCCTAACCTTCAACCCTCCCTTTCACCTCTCCTCCACCCTTCCCGAATCCTCCAATCCTAAAATCGTAACACGTCGCAGGTCGTAAAGCCTTAGTCGTTATGTCTCATCCGTCGTAAACCAGTGACCAAGTTCCTTTTTTCGGTCTATTTGGGTTCCAATTCCCAGAGTATGCTAGGCCGTCGTAGGCCTTCGTAATCATTAGTGTAGTTGCATTGATGCGTGCGGTGTATTTATCGTAAAGTGGGCAATCCTCTGCCGCGTCATGTGATGTTGTACATGTCAACCCCTTTTAACCAGGCAAGCTGTATAAATAACAGAAGAGAAGTGAATGGGGAGTATGTCCCCTCGTCTTTTGTACATTAAAAGGTGTTTGTCTCCCTTCCCAATGCCGAGTAATGCGTCGTATGCAGGTCGTGAATGTGTATGGAATATCTAAGTTTCGTAGTGGAGAATGAGATGATGGGATTTGTTGCGGATTAAGTAGGTGGATTGTATCGGATTGACGGATTATTACTCTTGATGAGGTGGCTTCAAGTTACTTCGCCCGTTTCTATGTTGCACGGTTAGATAACGTCTGGGTTATGCTAGTTTCGATGGAGTATCTCCAACTCGTTCTGTGGATGAAATATTAGTTGGTGTGAAATACTGTATGGGCGGTAGTATAACTTACCGATGATCATTTTAAAATGATATTTCTTAGTGCCCATCGCCTCGACTCTCGGGCCGCATCTCGGGTTGCCTCTTGGCTTTCGGTTGGGTTCTGATGACTGTCATCCTTTTGGAAGGGTGCTAGCTTTTTACGCCATCGCCCCTCTTCATCAAACTGGCGCTTGATGAATTCTGGACCAACATCGAACTCTTCACCTACTAGCCAGTCATCGTCGCTTCCTCGACCCTGACAACCCGCGGTGGAATTCTTATCCTTCTCTTCGAGATCGGGTATGTCCTTAAAAGGGTCGTCGTCGTCCATGACACTGGTAGATTCGTTAGATATGGAAGGGGTTTCGTCTGCCTTTACCCAGCGCATATTCTGTGGATCGAAGATCATGTCACCAACCCGCTTAACACCCTTAGTGGCGGTCATGTTGGTAATGAGCACTGGTCTTGATGCCGAGCCTTCTCTATCACGTGTCACATGAGGGGGCAAGGAAGCTGCTGACGGCGACGAAGCTGGGACGTCGAAAACATTGAGGACGTTGTCGTTCCCTTCCCAGCGAAAGGTATTCGGGTTGTAAGTCATGCCGTTGACAACTACAGGCGGCAAGTTAGCAGTGTAATTAGGGATGAACTGAAGGCGCGATGGTAAACCGGAAGGCTTGTGACATTTGTGCCATTCGTGCACCCTGTGATATGATCTGCGGAAGGATTTGGGAGATGAAGGAGACGACTCAGGAGAGGGCGTGCGAGACAAAAAGAGACGGGTTGGGTGCTTCTGAAACTGCTCAGATTTGCGAACCCGGTGAGACTTAGCCTTATTCTTCTTTTGTATCTCAACTTTCTGAGGTTTGGCGGGCACCTGCGGCTTCGTAGGTGTAATCTTCTTGATGGGTGCATGTATTTTCTTCACGGGCGCAGCTGGTTTAGGTAGCTGCAGCCCCTTAGGCAGCTCGGCTATCTTAGGCAGCTGTGGCTTGAACGTTTCTTTCTTCGGCGACTGAGACTTCTGCGGTTTGTAAAGTCGCTCTGTTGCTAAGGGAATTCGACTCATGAGATGCTTCTTAGAGGGACCTGCAAGTCCTTGTGATCTTTGAAGCTTTTCGGGGCTCTCATGAGCCCGGAAGATCTGAGGTCTAGACACTTGTGTGTGACGGTGTGGTTCATGTGTTCTCGACTTCTGGACTATAGGTTGTTGATGTTTATAAGGAACTGGGATCATACCTTTAGTCTCCTTTGCCGAGTTTAGGTTGGAGATTAAATGAGGCTTCTGCTGTGGGACTCTCTGAGACTTCCTAGACCTGGAAGTATTGTGGCTATGAGGCGCAAAATTCACTCTGGCCGACAGCTGTGCAACCCGCTGGTTGGCAATAGGCGCGAGAGGTCCAGAAGGTGTACGCTGTGCGAGATTTGTCTCCCTGGCGATGCGGCTAGCAGCTGTGTCTCGTGCGAAATGAGGCAGAGAATCGGCATTCGCAGGTGAAAAAGGCGAGACAGGGCTCGGTGTACCACGATCGGGCAGGACATTTTGGTACAGTTTGTTGCGAACGTTTGTTCTATTTCCGCTTCCGATGGGTTGTTTCACGTACTTGGACTCGGCTTGAGCGGAAGTTGGAAGATCGTCGAATGAGTCAAGCTCGTGGCCGTCACCGAAGCGGCGTACACGGCGAGGCTTATTAATCTGTTGCCACACGGGCTCATTAGGTACTTTCTCGTTACGTGCCCTTCTTGGGCTTGGAGACCTTGCTGCAGCACGAGAGATAGTGCGTGACAAAGGTCGGAGTTCCGGACCTAGATCAGAATCGTGGCGTCTGAAAGGTCGCGTGGTCTGTGTGCTCTTGGTGCTCACGTGCTGCGATTGAGATTGAGAAGCACCGGCAGGCAAAAAAGGGTTCCTTCTCGCTTGCGCTGCACTTGATTCATAGCTGGTACGAACACGGTCGACTGGAGTCTTAGGTCGCAAGACAGACTGAGGTCGGTTGGATTCAACTCGCGAATCGGTTCGAGAAGGCGGTCGATCAAACCGCGAGGCGGCAGGCTTCGTTGATCCCGGAGCGTGACGCATAGCCGGGAGAGAACGTTTCAATCGAAGTAGCTGCGCGCTGGTCGTAGTGGGCTCATTGCGCAATGCTCCGGTTGACGCCTTCTGACTAAGTTCTCTTCTGCGTGGTGTGGCAAATTGTACTGACGAAGCAGACGAAGGTGTGGTAGGTGTGTGAACACTCGAGATGGAAGATTGTGCCGAGTGGCCAAGACGCGACTGAGGTCTTCGGGATGGTCGTGGGGGTATAGGGCCACCGCTTTCCGACACGGGCTCTAGCGAAGGCTGGGTCTGCGCACGTTCATGGCTGCCCATAGGTCGAGGCAAACGGGAAGCAGGTGTTGATGTGACAGGCTTGTTAGTGAAAGTTACGGAAACAGCTGTCTTCGGTCGCACAGGGCTGGTGGGCCGAGCTTCCTTGACCTTAACGTTTCGATGTAGGGTTGGCTTGTTGGAGCGGAAAACATCGTCATCACCAAAATCAAGACCATCAAATGGGTCTTCATTATCCGCTACAGGCTTGATCACACTCTTAGGTGCCGCCTCTCGCTTTTCTGTTACAGGCTCAATCTTCTCGTGAAGTCTCTCTGGAGATGGATCCTGCTTTCGTCGATTCAGTCGTCCACCAAGATCCAAAGGCCCAATAGGGATTAGTAGACCATCGAAGATCTCATCTTCACTCTCGGCCGTGACAGAACTAGCCAGGCTAGGGCTAAGACCAGAGACGGAGGAGCTTCGAGTTGAGAATGGATCACGTTTTGTACCACCAAACCGGGTCCCCAAGCTACCTTCTCCCCAGTCCAAGTCATCGCTCACACTCATTGCAGGAGTTTTGGGGATGTCTATCCTTCGAGAGAGCTTTAGCAAGCCATCCGACGGCAACTCCAGATCGCCATCCAAATCGTCATCGGTTTGCTTCTTCTGAGGAGAAGGTGTAGGTGGGGTGATAAGAGAAATAGGTCTAGATTGAGGGAGTAATTTGGGGGCTTTGATAGTTGCAGACCCGTCGCCAAAGACATCGTCGTCGTCGTCGTCATCGCGAAACTTATCTAGATTTATGGGTGTCGCCAAGCTCTTCGGCAAGACTGGTTCGCGAAGTAACTCCTGAATAATAGCAGGGGCTGCTAGTTTCGCCGGGCTAAGGTCTAATGGCCCACTAACATGTCTCAAAGACTCGGGGTATCGGTCGCCGTCTTGTGGCTTTAAACGAAGAGGACCAGCAAGGGGGAATTCTAAGTCATCACCATAATCTTCTTGGAAAATCTTCTTCACTTTTCTTCCTCCTAATCGCTTGATGGTACCGCCCATTAAAGCGGTAGGTGGTACGTTCGTGGGTATAGGGATGCCGGCGTGGGCAACCGCGGCAATCGCATCTAATGTTGACTTCTCGTCATCACCAGGTAGATGTACATGTCGTTCTTCGTTTCCAGGCAGAGATTCGCGGTCGGATCGGAATGAGGAGAGGCTGTCGCGGTGGTGGGGGTGTATGTTCGCACTGGAGTTACTTCGGAACGTAAGATCATCGTTGTCAATCATGAAGTCATCATCATCACCCCAGTCCTCGACTTTAGCGACCTGGCCTTCAAGTTCCCGAACCTTGGCGACTACTGCCCGTCTCGTAGACAACTCTTCCTCTCCTTTCTCTTGTACTTTCTTCTCTTTGTCGAGTCTCGCCTTCTCCCATACGGCCAATACATCCATATCCTCGTCCCATCTATTCTTCTGTTCTCTCTTTTCTCTTGCTAACTTCTCGTTCCACGCCTCTAAGGAAATACGTCCCGACATCATGGCGTACTAAGAACGATGCTATGTTTATCGAAGTGCACGTACGTAATGGTCAAAGAACGGAGACCAACGATAACGGTGATCGCAGTTCTCGAAGTCAATGTCCGAAAACAATGCTTTTGGCTAAGGATCGATCACAGCTCGTCGCATCATATACTCCGAGTGACTGATCGCCGGTTACTCCAAAAACTGTATAAGGGATTGATGTATTGGTCGAGAAATGTGACAACTGTGCGATGCGACAGCGTTGTCAAATGCGAAAGGTCGAGAGATAAATGTGGGTAGGAACTAATAGGGTAAGGTACCGAGGTATAGTATGATCAAATATGATCGATACAAAATACGGCAAGTGAAGATAGGAGATTGTATCGGAATAAAGAGGTTAAGGTGAGTATAATAAAGTGGCCTGAAGTACCTAAGGTAAGAAGGCAAGGTGAGGTCGAGTATGATAGTAAACTAAGGTAAGGTGTAAGGTGAGCACGGTTGGTTATTCGACAGGTGCGTCGCAAGCTGTAATAGCTAGGACAGCAGTACGATAATATCGGATTAGGTGCGCGCAATCGAAACTCGATGTCGCAAAGTGTAAAGTAAACGTAAGTAATTACTTGATCGCAATTGAATCGCAGATCAGAATAAAAAGTTGGATGTGTTGATCGCAAGAATTGACTTTGGTTGGATTGATTGGACAGTAACAACCAAGACAATTTGTAAAGTGCGGTTGGGTTGGTTACAAGTTTGAAAGTTTGGAAAATCTGGAAAGGAAAGTGTTTGTGGAGAAAGAAGGTTTGGTTGGGTAAATGTTGGAAGGTTGGAAAACTGGTAAGGCAGGTACTTCTCGATTTCAGGTGGTTGGGTATCGTGCACAGACCAGTTTTAGGGCTACAGTGAATCAACAACTAATTTAGCCAATCAGATGGTCTATTTAGGGCGGTTCTCCGCGGCAGAATACTTTACAGTGACGCGAATCCTTGGAAACGCGCCGTAACTTCTGCCCCTCATAAACATTTTTTTTCGGGGTGGTAAGTACTAACCTAACAATTAATAAGGAAGAACCAGCCCATAACTGGAATATGTCCGATCTTAATTATTTTAGTGCTACTTTTCTGCCTAGGTGGCGCCCCTCTACCAACCCGCTTATTTGCCAAGACTCGTGAACATTCATAGCAATCGGAAGCTGCAAGCTGTGGATTCATAGGTCTTGGAGCTACATGCTGCCTAAATCAATACTCTTTCCAGAAAACCAATCCTTTTTCTATAGCTCACAATATTAATATTTTTTCAAGAACACATCCAGGCATTTCTAGGAATCTGATATTTATGTTTTGCCTTGATCGTATTCGCTCCACCATAACGACAATAATCAGTATATTTCGTATCACCGGGATGAATCACTAAGATACGAGGTCCGCTTCATGATAAATGAATTCGAACGTAAACCCGAAGTGTTATTTCTTCCGATTAAGTAGCGATAAACACAACTCCCAGCTGTTGTGAGTTATAATTGCGAAAATATGGCAGAAATTTCGATATTGCGATTCCCCATCTTAGGAAAGGAAAATGAGTACTTTTTGTTAGAGGTGTCTTCGAATGGGTCTCGGCCGCTCGATCTGAAGCTGGTCGGTTCGGAGAGCACAGCTGTATTCGTGACGAAATGTAAGTTCAATCTCTTTCAGCCCGTCTCATCTCACCCTACGGATCGCCGCGCGTTCCTCGCATTATGCGGTCCGATCAAACCCCAGGATGCGAATTTCATGCGCCATCAAATCTTTATGACCCGGTCATCTAACCCAGTCTATTTTTATCCCTACAGTACGTCATAAGAGGGTTGGCGATTACAAGGCACAAAATGATCATTGCTCTCCCGAAGAGTGGGAAGAGATCCTAACATCCACCTTAATCAACCGGGATCCGGTATCTGATCTCGAGATCAAAGCCGACCTTCAAACAGATGGTGAATCCGTTTCCCTTTCATTTCGGAAGAACATACAAGGAATCACAGTGCGTACTCTACACTTTCCTTTTTAAAATAAATTGGCTGACCCTTTTCATTTGTTTAGCAACGTCTAGGAACCATCACGCTAGAAGAAAATGAGAAAACCGAGATCTCTCCATTTGATTGGTGTGTCTCAGCCATCGGAGCTCGGGAAAAGGTTCAAGAGAATCTCGTCACCACCATTGCTAAGGTCCAAACTGCTGAGGATTCGCTCAAGGAGCTCAAAGACCAGTTAAATGAACTTATCAAGATAAAGGAAGAAGATGAGACAGAGCTTCTCGAGAAGTTCCGAGACCTCTTGAATGAGAAAAAGGTCAAGATTCGGCAACAGCAGCGCCTACTGGCGTCTGCAAGTGTCGACCCTGACAAGCTCGCTAACATTGGTGGCGGTCGGAAGAATGAAAAGCATGTAGCTCAAGTGTCCCGTGCTTCAAAACGGAAAATCAAAGAAGAACCGGAAAGCAGCGATGCTGAATTTGAAAAGATGGATGTCGAGGAGGATAACGATGATGGTAGCGCACAGCTAGATATTGAGGAAGATCACGGGGATACCACAGCGGATGAAACTGCGAGTGGGACGGGCACAGATGACGAGCCAGCACCTCCACCAGCCAGGTCCAGAAGGACCCAAGCCGCAGTGCCAAAACGAAATGCTCGAGCGTCCACATCAGCAAAGGCAACCCACAAATTAAGTAGTTCAGGAGAGGACAGCGAAGAACCTCCACCACGACGAGTCTTACCATTCATGAAGAGCAAGCAGCCTGCAGCCCCAGTACGGAAACCAGCCGACGATGATGAAACCGAATCTGAAGAAGAGCTATGATTACCTAATGTTAGATACATGCCGCAAGGACAATGAGAGAACGCGTTCACGATGCAGATGGACGGGACAGTATTTTTGGTGGCCTAAGAAGCCTTAGCTATATTTGTGCTAATATTGTGTGATGAGCAGATCTATGTGACCAAGCCAGGTAGCAATTCCAGCCCGCTGGACCTAATGCGATGTAACACTACCAATGATGTTGATGACCCCTCCGACCCGACCTCACCAGAACCTGAAAAACCCGCCACTCAAAAAATAGAAAAAAGGATAGGCCCATTCTAATATGCCTCCCGTGAAGACGGTCTAGCAGCTACTACCACTACTAGCCGAGAAGGTATAGCTAGATGGCGACCCTCTACCGTCTGTCGTCGGGACCGTAGATGTCGTTGAAGTATCCTCGGAAGTGCTTCTGCTTGCCCTGGTAGGCGAGCTCCTGGATCTCGCCCTCGGTCAGCTTGAAGGTGGGCAGATTCCTTCTCAGGCTCTGCACGCGCTCCTCGCTGGTGCTGGTGGTGACGGCGACGATGCCCTGGTCGAGCACCCATCTTATAGCGATGTCAGCCTCGCCGACGCCGTACTTCCGCGCGAGCGACGCGAAGATGTTGTCGCAGGGACCCGGGTGCGCCTTGGTGATGGGCGCGAGCGGCGAGTAGGCCGCCGTGACGATCTTGTGCTGGCGGTGGAAGTCGAGGAGGTTGCCGTGCTGCAGGTAGGTGTGGTACTCGATCTGGTTCACGGCAGGAGGGATCCGTGCCGTTTGTAGGATCATCTCAAGGTGGTTCTGTAGGAAGTTGGAGACACCAATGGACCGGGCCCGCCCGGACTGCTTGATGGATTCCATCTCTGACCAGATCTGTTGTAGTCGGTCGGGCTTGTCGGCGATCTGGGGCCAGTTGATCAGGTACAGGTCGACGTAGTCGACGCCGAGGCGCTCGAGCGAGGCGTCGAAGGCCGCCTTGACGTTGGATGCGACGGTCCACACCTTGGTGGTGATGTAGAGCTGCGATCGCGGGACACCAGATTGTCGGATGGCGGCACCGAGTTCCTTCTCGTTTCCGTACACTGCGAAGTGGAGTTAGCACAATTGTGCAGAGAGGGTGTTATTAGGGGTTGTTAGAAAAACGTACCCTCAGCGGCGTCGAGGTGGTAGAAGCCATTCCTGATGGCTGAGACTGCGGAGTTGCGAACTGAGTCTGAAGTGCCGCCGTGGAAAGCAGAGCCGAGACCGAATGCAAGCTACAAATTCGATTGTTAGCTTCGAGTCAAGTTGTGAAGATCGGGTGACAAAGACTTACGACTGGGATCTCGTTGCCATCATTCAGTTTCAGGGTGGGGATGGAGGGGGACTGCTTCAGGCTGTTGACTTGGCTGTAGCTCTGGTTGCTGCTCTGGTTATAGCTCTGGCCGTTATTTTGGCCATAGCTTTGTTGGCCATTACTTTGGCCATAGCCTTGGTCGTAGCTCTGGCCGTTGCCGGAGAAGTTGTTGCCCCGGTCATAGTTCATGGCATGGCCGCCGGTGGTCGCTAGGCCGTTGTTCTGGCCGTAGCTGTTCTGACCATAGCTCTGACCGTAGCTCATGGTGTTGCCGGAGGCTTCGGGGTAGTATCCTGATTCGATGGAACCCATGATGGCGAATGTGTGTGTTCTGTTGAATCTCTCAAGTGAAGCTTGAAAGAGACAAGATGTGAGATTGGGATGATTATTCAAGACTCTTTGCAGGAGGTCGTGGTCCCTTTTTATCCACGACAGGTCTCCGCCGTCTGCGCGTTCAATATCAGGTCGATTGGAGGCGATCTTGATGACATCCACAATACTACCCAATTCGTATAATTATTGTTGATGGCGAAGTCTGATCAGCTGTTGTGTCCGGCCCTGATGGGATGGACCGCAACACGAGGCCGCAAGTGGAGGTGATCTTGCATCGGGATTGACAAGTAATTACTTCCTATTTGAACGCTGTCAAGATTGGACACGTAGGAAACGAACCAGATTCTGATTGTCCACATCTTGCATTAGCCCCGGGGATGCTACGCCCGCCGTAGTTTATCTGGTTCGGACCCCTAAAATTGGACTATTCGGTCTCTAAGATCCTGTTGGCATAAAGCTCGCATCGTTTACGTGTGACTCCAAATCTGATGATCGACGACAGCATATAGTTCTAGAGCTTAGCTTGATTCATATCCCAATCGAGACCCTTAAATTACCAATAGGCTTCATTCCAGGAAAATCGTGAACCCCTATAAGTTATCTTATGCTTTGTTGTTCGCGGCATGACCCACAATAACCACGTACGAGGGCCGACGTACGACTATTTAGGAACAAATAGCTACCCAAAGTGAGGCTTGACATATTCTCCGTCGTTGGGTTACGCCACATAGCAGTTTGAATAATTACTATTTGTCAAGAAAGATTCCTATGGATCTTTGGTAAGCAGCTAGACTGTGGCAAACCCAGAACATTTCCTTAATAATATGGGAACCTTGTGAGGAGTTGGGCTACCACGTCCTATAGCGCTAGATAGTTTCACGTAAGCACTCCATAGAGCCAAGAACCAATTAGATCTTGGTGGCCAACGTTTCGAAATGTTGGGTTGCCCCTGGCTATCCCAGATCTCAGGACTTTGCAATTAGATCGGTCTTTGGATTCATCAGAGCATTCAATATTATGTTTGGTGAAAGATAGAGGTATTGTGTGAGATATACTACTGTAGTTGATTGTGATGTAGAAATAGCCGGCTAGTATGGTATCGAGGAAAGGGGAATTTATAGCTCTTGTAAATTGTATTAATGACATACATGCGATATGCATAACTTTTCTAACCTTAAGTAATAGTGTATTAGTACACCCATATGTCTGATAATTATGGCCTATTTTGTGTCTTAGCCATAATCTTTGAGATATTCATGGATGCTTTTGTATGAGGATCAGCTTCTTAGAGATTGCTGAACTTTTGGCCTTCATATCAATCAATCCCTAGAATCCATGATAGGTATTGGGCTGGCAGAATATAGGAAGTATTATGAATAGCTATAGATGCGATCTTACTCTCGGCCGCCTTTGGACGTTCTCGGCTGTAGATTCTTACCCCTTTTCCGATTACTCAGCGCGGTCCGACTCAGCGGAGGCACGATAGTCGACTCAAACAATGGACGCCGTCAATATTCAATGGAAAGAGCTTTCTGTGCTCAGTAGATAGTAGCTAAACCAATTCAAAGCAAGTGTTGATGCGTCTCTACATTTAATCTTGTCATTTTACGTGTGCGTGTATTCCCCAATCTCATCTCGCATCACAAATAAGGGCTACCTTTGAAGGCACCTCGGCAAGAACAGAGATTCACATCTTTCCGCCTCTTATCAATGAACCAAACTCGCATTATACGTACTCCAGTGTTATCCTTCTGCCATAACGACAAGTTATCGGAAAAATTGAGTATTCTGGGTGAACAACTCGCCCCATTCGACGGAACGTAGGCGAGCAGAATTCCCTAGCACCCGCGGATCGAAGCTATTATCATCTCGTTCCGTGAAAAGACACTCTAACGGAGAGTAAAACCCGAAGAAATTCGATTTTATCCATTCCAGTTGAACCCGTTTTGAATTAAGAAGACTTCTAACCACCACCGATCTCTCGATACCGGGACAGATCGACCAGAATTAACTGCATCTTCGTAGCCAACTATCGCTCACATAGGTAAACCAATATCCACCGATCCATCATCGATTGTATTTGACATACTAACAATCTCTAGTACAAGATGGCGAGCGACGGATATTGGTGGGAATTGCCTTTGGTGGTCAACTTGGACAACGCGGTTTGCGAATACACCACAAGAGAGCTATTGTGCAACGCGGCTGATTACGAGCTCGTTGGCGAGAAATACAACGGCTGGGCGGGTCCTCTGGACGTGTTCTCGGTGGATTTCAATGACGACGACGAGTTCAACTGGGCGGTTAGTGTTCCTTCCAATGGCAATCCGCACATCCTCCTGATCAAAAACGCCCCGGAAGACTGGGATATACCGGGATTTGCGAACAGCGTCCTCATGGAATGGTCAGGGTCAGACAACCCCGACTTGACCTACCTGTTGGTACTGCCTCCGCCTGCGACTGCGTTCATGAAACTCGAGGAGTTCTGGGCAGACCAGATACTCCCTCATTCTGACGAAATAGACGACCTTTTTGCTCATAGAGTCGTCACGCGTCATGGCTGGGCTACCATGGACCTGCAGTATTTGGATGCTTGGATCAACTCAATCGATGCGGATCACCAGGTCATCGAGGAAGAGGATGGATATGATGTCATCCAGTATCGATCTGAGCCCGAGCCTTCAGTCCCCGTCCTACCGTTTTTAACCGCTTGATCATTTAGAGACTCGTTATCCAAGAGAAAATTGAGCTTGATAAGACGGCTGAGGACTGGAAATCTGGAGGTATTTACAGAAGCTTGAAATGGGAATAACTGCGACTCCGTGGCATCGAGATTACTGAGACATTAAGGGTGTCTTTTAGTTGAATTTGCCATTCTTGGCGCTCTTCTCTTTAGGGCTCTATTTGAGCAGGACTAGGAGTCCTCTACCTCATAAGACAGGATATTGTGCAAAGTTGAGCTGGAACTGGTATGGTTGATTGGAGGAATGCCCGACGATGATATTTGCAAACCTGTAGCTAGCATACCGAAAAGGTGCAAACGATAGGAGCTCCCTGCTGTCGCGAATAACGGGCGCTCTTTCGAGTCGTATGAAATCGCTGCTTCTCTTTAGCCAATTGAACTCTTATACGTAATGTCCTTAATAGTTGATATGACCCGGTCACCCATCGTAGAAATTTGGTCCGATGATTATCTTAACATCCCGGGATTATCGGAGGGTGGAAGCTCTTGGTGCCTCTGATACTAGTACGCTTTTATTTATACATCGAAACATCCAACGAGGACTTCTCAGGATTTCGCGTAGAGATGTCTACGTAGCATTTCATTAAGAATTGAGGGTATTGGTAGAATTAGATGCGATGGATTAATTGATTGATCGATAGGTGTGTGTATCTGTAAAAAGGGGCATTCACTTATAAGATACAGTCTTGTACCGATTAGTTACATATATACCACCTAAGCGGGGATTATGATGTAATAGCAAATTGCGCCACCTTCGAGCCGAGGATTGTTGAAATCGAGATGATCATATTACCGCACATCTGCTTCATACCCATATCCTTCAATCATTCCCTTTCTTTATTCCTAATGATACCTGCCATTCCTTTCGTACACGAGATCGTTGTTCTGCTATATAATATACCCTAAAACCTCACCTAAATATTTCCCGGCCCGACGAAGCCGTCTATATGCTCCCCCGCCGCATCGCGCACCGAAGCCTCCCACACCTACGACTGGCGCAAATGGCGTCCCAATTCTCAACGAACAGCGCGACTAGCACGGCAAAATCCATCAACGACATCCCGAAATTATGGACCTTCACCTCAAAACTCCCTCCAGACTCCCTCTTCCCCACCCCCGCCGCCTCACATAAAACCGCCCGCGACCAAATCGGCCCCCGCCAAGTCCGCGACGCCCTCTTCACCTGGGTGCGCCCCCAACCAAGCACCACCCCCGACCTCCTCGCCACCAGCCCCGCCGCCCTCCGCGACCTCAACATCGATCCCGACTCCGTACAAACCCCCGACTTCGTCGCCACCGTCGCAGGAAACAAGCTCCAAGGGTGGGACGAAGAAACGCTCGAAGGCGGGTACCCGTGGGCGCAATGCTACGGGGGCTTCCAATTCGGACAATGGGCGGGCCAGCTCGGGGACGGGCGTGCGATCTCGCTTTTCGAAACGACGAATGAGAAGACGGGGAAACGGTACGAGCTGCAGTTGAAGGGCGCGGGGTTAACCCCGTACAGCCGGTTCGCGGACGGCAAGGCCGTGCTGCGCAGCAGCATCCGCGAGTTTGTCGTCAGCGAGGCGCTGCATGCGCTCGGGATACCGTCGACGCGGGCGCTGAGCCTGACGTTGTTGCCTGGGGAAAGGGTGCGGAGGGAGACGACGGAGCCCGGGGCGATTGTGGCGAGGTTCGCGGAGTCGTGGTTGCGGATTGGGAATTTCGATATCTTGAGGGCGAGGGGCGATCGTGCGCTGATCCGGACGCTGGCGACGTATGTTGCGGAGGATGTGTTTGGGGGCTGGGAGACGCTGCCCGGGAGGCTTGATGATCCGGATAAAGCTACGGAGTCGTCTGCGCCGAAACGGGGGGTTCCTGCTGATGCGGTCGAGGGCCCGGATGAGTCGGCAGAGAACAGGTTTACGAGGTTGTACCGGGAGATTGTGAGGCGTAATGCATCTACGGTGGCCAAGTGGCAGGCTTATGGATTCATGAATGGCGTATTGAATACGGATAATACGTCGCTTTTCGGGTTGAGCATCGATTTCGGGCCCTTTGCGTTTATGGATAACTTCGATCCTAGCTACACGCCTAATCACGACGACTACATGCTACGGTACAGCTATCGTAACCAACCGAGTATAATATGGTGGAATTTAGTACGCCTGGGGGAGTCTCTCGGCGAGTCAATTGGCGCCGGGTCGAAAGTTGATGACCCGAAATTCGTCGAGGATGGCGTGAAAGAGGAAGAAGCAAATGGCATCATTGAGAGGGCCGAGAAGATTATCATGCAAGTCGGCGAGGAGTACAAGGCTGTGTTCCTCGGCGAGTACAAGAAGCTTATGACTGCCCGGTTCGGATTGAAGAATCACAAAGAGAGCGATTTCGACGAGCTGTTTAGCGGCGTCCTCGATACTATGGAGGCATTGGAGCTAGATTTCAATCTCTTCTTCCGTCGGTTAAGTTCGGTTAGAATCGATGAATTAAAGACCGAGGAGGCAAGGAGAGATAGAGCTAGTGTGTTCTTTTATAGCGATGGTGTCACAGGCATTGGAGGCGAAGCTGAGGGCCGCAAGCGCGTCGGCGAATGGCTGGGCAAGTGGCGGCAACGCATCCTCGAAGATTGGGGTGATGGCAAAACTGTCTCCGACGAGCAGGATAAAGAGAGGATGCAAGCTATGAAGAAAGTCAATCCTAGCTTTATTCCCAGAGGTTGGATACTTGATGAAGTTATCCGACGAGTAGAAAAGGACGATGAGAGAGACATCCTGGATAGAGTTATGCACATGGCTCTACACCCATTTGAAGAGACCTGGGCTGGTCGTACGTTCGATGGTAAAGAATACAAAGGCGACATAGACGAAGAGACAAGGTGGATAAGCGATGTGCCAAAGACGGGTCGGGCTTTGCAGTGTAGCTGCAGCTCATAGTCTTGGCATAAGCTTTACGGCGTAAATCAGATTATCAGGATTCAAACATCTTCTTCTCCGCTTCAGCTGAGATGGCTGATCTCTTGGCGGATTTTTCGCCCGATTTGATCGCGATTGAACGTCTAAATTTCCACATCTTAGGAGAGATTCAACGTGTATATCGGAAGTTACATACTGCTTTGCGAGGGCTGATTGCAATTTAACTGATATATGCAAGCGCTTTTTCAGTCGTCGACCGTCAGCCCTATGTAGATCGTTCTGCAACCCCTTGCCTTGAAACAGAGCTTTAGGCATCACTTTAGCGATGCTTCGCCACGATCTTCCGACGGGTGCGATCCTACCTTGGCACTTGAGTAGAAAAGGACTAGCATCCCCGCTTCTCAGCCTCATCTCTCTTATTTCATCGTGATGCAGTTTTCTCTTTTTCTTCATCTTTGAGATAGATTAGACGTCTAGAAGTATGGACGTTATTCGATCTCTGTGGCCCGGTGTTGTCGGTGGAGCAGACAGCGCGAGACAGGCCTTTCAAAATGAAATAATCCCCCAACTCCATTCGGGTCGATCTATCGAAACCTTGGTAGCACGAAAAGCAGATTCCAACGAAACTATTAAAATTATCATAACAGTTTTTCTATTTATTCAAGGTGTTATCGCCATACTAACATTTTTGACCGTACGTACCTAGCTTTCCAATGGGGTATTTGACAGGAATCCTAACTGCTGCAGATCGAATATACCGTTTACAATTTATTCCCAGTCTTGGCTGCTGTCGAGGACGATGGTGCTCCCGAATCTTACGAACCACTGGCTAATAAGGATGCCGTGGAGCTGGAAGAGTCTGAAGGAAGTAAGCCCGTGGAGGTCGATGAAATCTTAGCTCCGCGACCGAGGCCTACAACTTCAAGCCTCCGTTCTACCTACCGCCATCTACGCTCCGTCAGCGGCAGGTGGTCCCTCTTCCGAGGCGGGCGATGCTGGATGATCCTTAGATCGGCCACCGTCACGGCCACTTTCCTTCTCAACCGCATTCCATTTTTACCAGCCGCCGTCGCTTGGCCTATCGCTTCCGTGCTCACCTTGCCTTTGTACGTTGTCTGGACACACATCGTGATCACGGAGCCCAATCATAGGAACTTCTGGTACCGTTTCCCGCCGCTGGGTCTCGTATACCGCGCTGTTGCTCGCGCAGCCCTGCCTTACTTCCTCGTCAGGGGGTTCGAGGGCTACATCGTTTCAACGGTGGTGTTCGCGCTGGTGGGCTGGAAACCGAGCAGGGGCAGTATCCTGGCCTGGCTGCTCTCCCTCATCGTGGCGTTCATTGTCTGGGTCTGTGTTGTGATCCCTACGCACGCAATCTTTATCCGCGTCCAGGCCTCGCTGCTCGCTAAGGAGGAGCGGACCATCGTACCGCTTCACCGCTCGATAACAGCGCATAGGATCGAGGGGAAGGAGTATCTGTTTACACTTGATGCTTGGAGGTCCTTCTCGCGAGCTTCTTGGAGACGGCTGTTTAAGCTGTATGCTAAGATCTGCTTGTTCTGCTTTGCGCTGGAAGCTGCTGTGGTTGCGATTGCGGTTATTGAGTTCTTGATTATAAACCCGATCGTTACTGGGAAGTAGAATGGGCGTTGATGAGTATATATAGGTCCGTAGGTGCGTCATACATACACACATGGATGTAAAATTGAGCACATGAACATCCACTTGGAGCTATGACCTTTCATGACCCTGAGCTTGGCTTCATCCCATAATATATCGCCCTATTCAATGATTGCTTGGTCAATGCTCTTGAGGAGTGACCCGGCCTGGTGGTTCGCACAGTAAAGCATATAAATCTGAAGAGAGTCTAAGTGTAGTAACAATCCGCGACTGGATTAGATATAATGGCCGGGTTGGTACGGTGGTGCTTACAAACCGATTGAATTGCTATAGCTCTGACTTCACTAGTGAGCACCATTTGAGGGTTCGATTCCCTCGGTGGTCCGATCATTTTTTAGGAACTTCCTTTTTATTTCAACACCACTTCAAATTGATTATTAACATCGTTACATAAGCTATATTAAGTTTACCTAAGCTTCTTGAAGCTTTAAATGTTACCTAACGCTTATTAAGAAAACTTTATGTAAGGCTTACATAACATTGAGCATATGAAGAGATTAGTCAGGCAGAACCTAAATCACAATTCGCTTCTCCTCCTTAACTTAACAGGCGTCGGATTCGCATTCTCCCAAGTGGTCAAATTCATAACCTGCACGCCCCAACCCTCCAATTCTTTAATTGCAGCCTCCTTGTCCTCGGCGCTTGTAGACTCGGTCGCGTCCTCGATGAGAATGACTTCGTATCCTAGCTTAATCCCATCGATACTGGTGCCGCGCACACATGCATTGGTCAAGAGCCCGGTGACGATAAGAGTTTCGATGCTGTGCAACCCCAGCTCCGAGTGCAGAGTCGTAAACCGATGGTACTGGTTATCCGCGAAGGCTGAGTATGAGTCCACGCGGTGGTCCTGCGCCTTCTTGATGTAATTGACGGGGCTACGGTACCCTTCGATCAGATGCAGCCGAGTCTGGACACCGCTCTCGATTTGGGCGCCCCAGGTCTCTGGAATGCAGTGGTCTGCGTAGAGCATCTGCGTTTCGATTTTGGTGGGGGTGTCTACGAAGCTGTCGTTCACCGAGTCCCCGGATACCGCACCCGGATGGCTTGAAAAGAATGAGACATGTCCCCGGGGGTGCCAGTCTAGGTCCTTGAAGTCAGCCACATCCGCCCCCAATCTCTCGAGAGGGGCCAAGTTTCAGGCCCAATAGTTGGCAGTGTGTCATTACCTTGTGATGCAACGATGAATGGCCATTCATGATTGTCCAGAAGCTGGTAGATCTTAGGCAGAATCACAGGCGCCCGCGGATTAGCCAATGAACCATTGATAAAGTCGTTCTGCACGTCGATGATGGCGAGGGCCGTGTTTTTATGCAGCCTGTTCGAGTACTATAATAATATGAGCCCGGAGAAATCGAGTTCTGTTGGCGCTGTCACTTACCGGAATCGCTGACCCCAGGCCGCCAAGAGCAAGTGTACAGGATATGGTGGATGGCCGCATGCTTACGGTTTCCTAATTCTGGTTACATGAAGAAATGAGTTGTAATTGAGAATAGGACGCGATGCATTGATCTATGTAAGCATCTATGGAAATACTAGTATTTTGAGACAATTTTTCTAATTCCTAGTGGGGATAGCGACATATGTCTTAGGTGATAAGCAATTGACTTACTGCTTTCTCGAGGTGAATGAGGTCTTATCTAGTACCTAATAAACTGTGAGCTATTACCTATTCCATCAACTCTTTCAGGGGTTGTGATATCACGATTATAAGCGGGGTTTAGATAACGAATACTATATCCTCTCTCGTTCTAAAAAGTCGGCTAGGTTGAAAGTTCTATTATTTGTACGAAACTATTCTTAATGTATACCCCATCAATTATAAAAGAGATAAAAAAAAGTCTGTTACTATCATTAAAGGGTAGGAAAGTCACGTTGTCAGCCCGTCCTCTAAAATGTGTTGGCGTCTTTACAATGCCTGATGTGTACATATGTACAAATAACTTTGCTTTTTAAAGGTAAAGCTGAAGACCCCAGGAATTCTGTAAGGCTTGGGCGTTAGATTTCCTATTCATATTATTTATAGAGAGTTTCTTGTCGCTGCCTACTAGTAATAATGTTCACTTGCTGATATAGACAAAACATATAATCTTCTCTTTGATACCCAAGCCTGATTTATACACCTATATTATTTACATATTTTTGATATTTTATTGGCGGTATCCCTCGAACCTGCGTAATCGATCGACTAAAACCGTAGCCTTACCTCGACGAAGATCGAAAGATAACTTCTGATAGCAGAACCAAGCACCTAGGATTATACATACCGGCACTCAACCTGAGATAAGACCCGTCGACATGTCGTCCAACCCAGGTTTAGAAGAGCCAAAGGACAACGAATATACTGTTGGCTGGATATGTGCCTTGCAGGAGGAGTATGAGGTGGCCTGTAAGATGCTGGACAAAAGATTCGAGGGCCCACTAATGGCTCATCCCAACGACGATAACACCTACGAGTTCGGTCGGATTTCGAAACATAATGTGGTCATTGGATGTCTACCTTTTGGTGACTATGGCACAAACTCTGCGGCTAACGTCGCAAAAGATATGGTGCGATCCTTTCCTCAACTACGCTTCGCCCTACTGGTGGGCATTGGCGCAGGCCTTCCGACAGAAAAGAATAAAATTTGTCTTGGTGATGTTGTTGTTGGCGCCAGTAAAGGGATCCATGGAGGCATCATACAGCTAGATGCCGTAAAAAGGCACAAATCAACTGATGGCAGTCTTTCCACCGAACTATATCGCCATTTGAACAACCCCCCGAACGTGTTGCTCGGAGCGCTACCCAAAGTCCAGGCACGCTATAACGACCCAGACGAAGAGGACAAAATTGCTAGGAACCTAGAACGAATGGCTAATCGTCCTGAATTCATGCGCCCCCCAGAAGACAGACTATATCTTGTTGATTATCCACACCAAGGAGGATCGAATTGCGACAAATGTGATGTCGAGAATCTGGTAAAGCGGGATGCGCGGGATATCACACACCGTGCCGTAAAGGTACACTATGGTACGATCGGCAGCTCTAACTCTCTCATGAAAAACGTGGATGAGAGGGAGAAGTATGCTAATGACCCGGACCTTGGAATCTTGTGTTTCGAGATGGAGGCTGCTGGCCTTGCAAACACAGTTCCTTGTCTGGTAATTCGGGGCATATGTGATTACGCGGATTCACACAAGAACGATGATTGGCACAATTACGCCGCACTAACCGCTGCTGCGTACGCGAGAGAGCTTCTTTACGTCTTACGGGCAGATCGGGTTGCCGTCAACCCTAGCTGGGAGAGAGTGCTTGACGAAGGTATGAGAAACCGTGCGTAGTTATTTGGGGTTTCATAATTTTGGCCACATGTACCATCCCACTGTCGAATACACACTTTATTCCTGATATTTGCAAGGTGTCTCAGTCGTAATAATGGTAAAGCTAACCTATGCAAATAGTACAAACGCTCAAAACCGATTTCCATCAAGGCGTGTAACCCAATCCTATCTCTTACAACTTTATACTTGACCCTGTTCTGCTTTATATTTTTATAGATAATAACATTCTGTAGATCGGAAAAATCGGGAGACAGACAAGATTCTTTCCTGGATTGTAAAAGACAGCGTTAAGGAATGGCACGACGACACTTACGCTGATTACTATTCCAAACGTCATCCCGGGACTGGGGATTGGTTTGAAACCCACCCCAAATTTCTGGCTTGGATTGATGGAAAGGATCGAACACTGTTCTGCCAGGGCCCACCAGGAGCTGGAAAAAGCGTGATTTCCTCTATCGCCGTCAAACATTTGGAGTCCAAGCAGGATGACCAAGATATAAAATGTGCTTACTTATACTGCGAGTTTGACAGGATAGATGATATCGATCAGACAACCAAACCGCTGCTTTCTGTCTTGCTTCGCCAGCTTTGTGAGATCACAGGCTTGCCGGATCTGATTGAGAACCATCGCCGGAATAAGAGCTTATCCCTCGAGGAGATTTCGACAGCTCTGTTAGGTATTGTCAAAAGTCGCCACCGTGTCTTCTTAATCATTGATGCTCTAGATGAATGCGCGCCCGACATTCGTGAGGAGTTGCTAGACGCAGTGATGAAACTGCAGGTTGGAACAACGGTTCGTTTCATGGCAACGTCACGGGGGGGCTTTCACTCTATTGAAAAGAGATTTGAAACTTGTTCGACAATAGAGATCAAAGCTGCGGAAGAAGATGTGCAAGCTTTCGTTAGGAATGGGTTGAAACATATTGGACATCTTGACAAGCACCCTTTACTGCGTGATTCCATACCCAAGAGAGTTGCCCAGGCAGCAGGCCCACTGCAAGTGACCAGATATCCTTTATTGACTGCCCTTAAACTGACTTCGTTTACCTTAGATTTCTCTCGGTCTTCGTTCATGTTGGAAACCTAAAGGGTACGGATACAGAAGGTGATATCAGAGAGGTCCTGGAAGGGCTTCCTAAGATACCAGTCAAGTTAGAAGAGACATTCGAAAATTCACTTAAGAGGATTGACCGATTGAACTCTACTCAGCGTAAACGTACATATCGCCTGTTGTCATGGGTATTCCACTCTAGAGAGCCTTTGGATCTCGAAAGTCTGGAACACGCGTTGAGTTTGGAGGAAAGAGATAATCAGCTCAACACAGAAAACTTACCCGATGCCCGCCAGATCATTTGTCGATGCCAAGGTCTCGTAGCCGTCGATCAGCGTCTAGGAATAGTCAAATTTATCCACGCCACCATCCCTCAGTTCTTTAGCGACAACCCAGTCATATTTGAAACAATTGACATGACGTCGAGCTATATTGCCCTCGCATGCGCCAGATACCTATCCTTCGACGAATTCGAAGATGGGCCATGCGAAATAGATGAAAAACTATACAATAGGCTAAAGACGATGCCCCTTTACACGTACGCAGCGTGCAACTGGGGCCACCATGCTCGTATGGCTGGCCACCCAACCGAGACCGACAAGACTATTCGAGAATTTCTAAAGAACGAGATGAAAGTATCAGCTGCTGTACAAGCTATGATAGGCTATGGGATGCGTCGCAACAATGTTCTGCCCCTTACAGGATTGCATTTGGCATCATGGTTCGGACTAGAGGGATTGGCGGAATTTCTCCTCGACCAGAGAGTTAATGCTGAAGCTTCCACGTGTGACGGTCTAGCACCGTTATATCTCGCAATCGACCAAGGACACGAAAATATAGTACGCCTATTCTCCAAAAAGCGCGTTGATATGAATTTCCGTAATCCCCTCCCAAAGGAAATACAGAATACTTTATACACTGGATTTTGGGCATACAACATTCGTCGTGAGTCCTATGTGTTTCCGGGACGCCAACTGCATGGCCAGGCTCAATTAACCGACTGTCGCGGGTTGTCATATTTGCATTATGCCATCATAAAGAAACAGAACGAGATAGCCAACATCTTGATCAAACAAGGTGTGGACATAAATGCACTCGATACGATAGAAATGACACCGCTGCATATAGCGATCTTAACTATGCAAAAAGACGCCGTGAATTTACTACTCAGTCATCGTGCAGACATCAATGCCAAAGACAAGAAGGGCCGAACGCCACTAATTACCGCGATAATGAATCTAGATCTAAGGTACGGACTTAACGAGGAGAAATTATGCGAGAGGATGGACAAGATTGTGAAATTGTTGATTGATGGCCGTGCAGACTTGGATGCCGAAGATATAGAAAGCAGGACGGCACTATACTATGCAATCCAAGGGAATCACGAGTTCCAAGTCAAAAGACTTCTTGATGCAGGTGCTAAAACTGAGATGGACTTGGATATGATGCTACATGGCGTGATCCTCAAGCACAGGCCTCATAGGGTTATCAAAGCGTTTCTGGAACATTTTGCCTCAACTCCAGCACGATTGAGATGGTACGCAGAGTTAGAGGTATATGTCGCAGCTGTTGAGGGTCGGACAGAAGAGTTGAAATCGTTGCTCAATTCAAATAAAAGCATCGATATAAGCAGCGAGATTGTCGAATCCGCGCTCTTTCATTCAGCTCAACGAGGACTCGATGCTGTTGCGGAAGTGCTGCTTGACGCGGGAGTGGACATTGAGAGCACAAATCGTGAATCTCAGACGGCATTGCACTTCGCAGCTGAAGCAGGGCATGAGTCAGCTGTACGCACACTGGTACTTTCCGGGGCTAACCTCAATGCTATATGCTCTGATGGGGATACAGCTCTTATTCATGCTGCTCGGGGTGGCCATGATACTATCATTGAAATCTTACTTGAGAGCGCAGCGAGGGCCGACTTTCAACCACGCGCCCAGTTCGACGATCTTCAAATAGGAAGGGCTCTCATTGAAGCATCATCGATGGGGCGAATACAGTCCATAAATATTCTACTTCAATATGGGGCTCAAGTCGATGTCACAGATGTTGCATGTCAGATGACAGCATTTTCAACGGCGATAGTCCATTATCAGCTAGAATCGATGAGAGCCTTGATTCGAGCGGGTGCCAATATTGAAAAGCGTTCGTCCCAACAGAACTTAACGCCGCTGCAATTGGCAGTATTGGAAGGACACTGCGGGATTATGGAGTTTCTACTCGAGAATGGGGCAGATACCGGCGTGCGAGATGAGAACGGGCAAACACTAATGCATTACGCAGTCCAGGCAGGATTCCCAACTGTGAAGACCATGCTTCTGAATGGCGAGGTTGATATCAATGTTCAGGACAACGAAGGCATCACTCCTCTACACCGTGCGGTAGTGTCTTTGGACAAAGGGCAGAGGTTTGGGGATGTAGTTAAGATGTTGTTAACACAAGGAGCAAATCCTGGAATAAGGGACCATCTCGGGCGGACCCCGGAACATATAGCTCTAGAGATGGGACACACGGAAGTGATACCCTTACTCACAGCTCCCGCTCAAAGCTTGACGACTAGTCGCCAAGAGTTATTAAAGTTCGGGGATGGTTTGACAGGGCACGATTTATTTCTTTTGAGACAAGTCATGCGCCATATACCCGCATTGAGGAAGGCGTTCGGCATAGAGTGAGTAGCCGGCGGATGGATTAATGCTTAGGAAATCCAGATTGGATCAGGTATGCTGCCCATTCATTACAAAAGCGGATGAAGATAACCTACACTTATATTTTTAGTGACGTCGCATAAATACCTACCTAGGTAGTCATCCAGTCATTACCTACATAGTACCTATGTACGTACAGAGGCCGAAAGGGGGAGCATGTATCGGTTCTATTGTACTGCACTGTAACAATATTATCTCCTACGTTACACAGCCAGCGTCCCTCTCTTCCTGTTACAACACTTGAAAGTGGCCTGTACAGACAGAGAAGGAAGGAAGTCGTGCTGGGCTTCTAAGGTTTGCCAAGTATTGATTCCACTCCTAAGGAATGAGCGACCTGGCCATTGCGTGTGTGGGTTATATATCGGTACTTGGGTAACTTATACCTAACATGTAATAGTGTTACCATGGTTTCTATCGTAATGCAATATTCTAGTTGTTTCGACACCTAAATCAAGTCTACTGTTTGGGAAATTACCTTGGTCAACTTACCACCATTGAGATCGTTTACGAGGGGCTTGATAGCATCGTAGGGAGCTGTTATTTATCTATGATCGGGCTCTTCAGGTAATGCCATTCTGCTCTGCAGCTTTCAATTAGATGGACCCATACCTAGGAGGCATCGGACTACGTCGCGAACCACCATCTCAGAATACCGCTGATGTCGGAAGACACCAGAGATGGAGAAGCTTACGATACGAGCCATATTCCATGGACACGCGGCCTTCATTCGGTCTATGGTTGAAAATAACTTGGTTGGATATCCTCACCATGCTGATTGTCGGCGCAATAGCCCTTGGAGTGAGTTTGGGAAATTGAGTGGCGTATTTAGTGATACTAACGGTATGTAGTTATACAGTCTTCCTCCTCCCGGAATGCGGATGTTCCCCCTCACCGTTATAGATGCACGCACCGGTGATGACACCGGCGAGGTAGTCTACCCGCAATTCGCATATCCATATCGACCTCAGATTATTTCTTCTTGGTTAGATACCGTCCTGGCTATCTTGATTCCCCTTTTCTTTCTCGTCATAGTCCAGATTCGGGTGCAGAGTTTTTGGGATCTGAATAACTTCATCATGGGATTCATCTATGCCCTCGAAACTTCGTCGGCCTTCCAAGTGATGATCAAATGGCTTATCGGTGGCCTGAGGCCAAGCTTTTACGACATCTGCAAGCCAGATCCTAGTCTCGCTACCAATACCACCCTAAATGCCGCCGGTTATAGACAATACATGTATACCTCGAAAGTCTGCTCGGGCAGCCAGGGTCGACCTCTATGGAATGCGATGCAGAGTTTTCCGAGCGGCCACTCGACTACCATTTGCGCCGCGGCTGTGTATATCTTCCTTTACCTAAACGCCAAGTTGAAAGTGTTCGCAAACTATCACTCATCGATGTGGAAGCTTGTTCTGCTCTACTGTCCTATCCTAGGGGCTGTTCTCGTTTGTGGATCTTTAACCGTCGATGAATCTCACAATTGGTATGACATCCTCGCAGGCGCCATTATCGGTATCGTGTTTTCGTTTTCGGCATATCGCATGGTGTATGCCAGTATTTGGGACTGGCGCGTCAATCATATCCCCCTGAACCGCAGTTCTGCGTTCGTTCAGAACGGCGAATGGGAAAGCTCAGATCTGGTGTTTACCAACCGGGCGGGATGGAGAGCGACGCGTCCGGATGCCGAGAAAGAGACATTGCCGGGACCGGCTACGAGAAATGAGAATAGGGGCAGTCTTTTTGGCGAGCAGTCTAACGGGAATACTAGTAATGGTTTTGCGGGACCTAGTGGTGGTGGGAATGACCCAGGGTAACCTCAACTAGGTATCTATCAGGCATTCCTAAGACTAGATCGCTAATCCGGCGTAGACCGTATGCTGCAATAAGAACCTAAGGGTATTGGGTAGCTAACTATTAGTTCATCAGTATCGAAATAGCATTTCAATGTATAGATTTTATTTCCAAGATATGGAGTACTCTGTGACCTCCTATGAACTTACTCCCCTTCCTTGCCCAGTGCGTGATTGGATAGATACGCGGTGGCTGAATACTGTATTATCTAGTACCTGGGTTAGGTCAAGACTTAGACCTAATAGTGATCTGTCCGCCTAGAACTCCACTAAGATATAGCGGACACCCGCTAAGTTCTTAGGGGCTGAGCCACTATAAAAGAACGCCACATGGTGCGAAAGGTTTAGGATCACACGGTGTTGGCTTTAAAGCAAATGTGCGAAATTTCTGACCCAGACCTTCGTAATCTAAAAGATTTTCTACTCTGTATATTGATGCCTATTGATCAATTCGGTTCAATCGAAAATATCGAATACTCCCAATTTCCATACAATTCTAACCATACAGGATGTCGATTTCTAGGTTTAAAGTACGTGTAAATGATTTGCTGGCTTACTAAGCGAAAGTGCCCCTGAATCGTGATTAATAAGCAGTCAGTTTCGACCCCTTTACTTAGCGCTTCGATTGATGTTATGAGCATTTCTTGTTAGGTACCTACCAAGGTAATTACAAGATAATTTTCGAAGAGATGGGTATTTGATAATCGTAAGTATTCTGGGGTGCCCCGCTACCAGCCTTACGTTATCAACTTCTTGCTGCCTATGATGACAAAGTCTAAATCTTGTCACCACTGCTCTTTGTCCTACAACATCCTCATTTTCCAGGCACCTATCTACTAAACCAAGTTTCTACGCGTTGGTAACAACTTTTACCCAATGAATGCAAGGTACCTACCTACCTAAGGACATCACTGAGGAAAACACTTATGGGTGTCAAAACTTTTGTAAACGTACAACAAACTTATAAATCCATGTTGGTAACTTAGAGACCTTCTCTATCTCAACCTCTCTAATTCCAACACCAAACTAGCCGGAAATCACAATGAGACAAAGATGGCGCCTACTATCGACATTATCCGCCACGCAGAAGCACATCATAACATCATAGGGAGCGATATTCCAGATCCCCGTCTAACTCACCGAGGCTTGAGGCAATGTCTTGGCCTTCAAAAAAGGTACAGGAAGATCGACAGCGGAGATAATATCACACATATTATCTCATCTCCTCTTAGACGAGCCATCGAGACAAGTTTAAGCATCGCGCAGTTGGCGAAGGAAGGGACTGGAATTACTCTCAATCCCCAATTCCAGGAAGTCAACGCCACGCCCAGCAGCACGGGAACCGCCGTATCAGGACTCCTGGAACAATATCCCAACGCTAACTTAGATGTGACACGGATGGACGAAAACTGGTACCTGAAAGGACCGGACACGCCTTTCGCTCCGGACGTAGAAAAACTCGAGACCCGGGCGCTCCGAGCACGGTGCTTCCTGCTCGCCATAGTCCGAGACTTGGTCAACCAGGAGAAGCAGGACGCGCGCGTCGTGGTTGTGGCGCACGGCGAGTTCGCGCAATGGCTTACCAATGACTTCGTGGGGACCGGTTACCATCGCAATTCCAGCTGGGCTAACGGTGAGGTCCGATCGTACCAGTTCGAGAAACTGGACGTGGGCAAAGGGGACGAAGTTCCGCTAGTCGAGACGCAGGAAAGTCTGACAAGACGGGGGATTACTGAGGCTATATCCTTGAGCGACGAGCAGAAGGCTGAGCTGAAGAGGATCGCGTCCATACGCGTGGTGTCGTATGCTTCGAGCTATGCCGAGAGTGAACGTCGGGAACGGGAGGCTAGGGAAGAGGAGGAATGGGTGGATGTGGAGGAGGAAGAGGCTGATAAGGAGAACACGGAACCGTCCCTGCCACATCGAACTCCTCGTCGTAGGCACAGACATCGACCATCTCTCCTTACCCGAGGTTCGTGAGATTCTGGCTACTTACTCTCGTAGTATCGCGGCGGGAAGAATTAGATACCTACTAAGTAATCAATGAAGATGGCATGAGACATGACGCCTACATATGGTGTTGTACTACTAGTCGAGCTATTTCCAAAATAGGGACCGAGCTCCTTCCTCATTGGGTACCAGAATTACCTGAAGCGTGTCCCACTCTGCCGGTGGCCGTTATGGTTATCCACAGTTGTAGCCGGTTCATCCCAAACGAATGGCCACGGACATACGCGTTAATTAAAATTTGTTCTGAAATAATTTAGCTAACATGCTCAAATATCATAGTAGATGGGAAAGATATACTAGAACTTCGGATCTATGTTAAAGTGACCAAGATCCACTCCCGCTTTTCTCCAAGCCCAATCCAAGCAGCTTCATCAACCCCAGCAGCGCAGATCCGAGAAGCAACTCGCTTCTCCCTGTCTTCCCACTCAACAAGCAAGGCATTTAGTCTCTTCTCCGCCTTGAGGACTTTGAGGTTGTCGTCATTGTATTTTCGCGACATTACAATAAACGATTGTTTCCCGGACGGTTTCTGCATCTGGTATGGCCAGAACGGCTTCAGCTCCCCGACCTCTTCTCGCGCATCGTTATATATCTTGCCATCCTCGACGTCAAGCACTGCGTGGCTCGTCCAGAACAACAGATGGCCCGAATCTCTAAATTCGCCATCGTTATCCATATGGAAGAGGCTGGGATCAATCGAAGTATCCCCTTTCCAGCCCGCCGAAGTAGACTGGTCGATACCGCACATATTGAGCTTCATAACAGAATCGAGTTTCTGTTCTTTCGCAGAACACAACTTAGCTGCCTTGCCGTCCAAACTGAGCTTCATGAACTGGAGTTCCGGCTCAACCAGGACTTGCTTCGGCGCCGGGCGCGACACGCCCTGGATATTCTTCCATCCCAGCCAAGACCAACTCGGGAACCGCACTTTATGCACGGTCCCGTCGCTCGATCTCACGCGATGTGTTTCGCGTCTGCGTTCCGGCTTCTCCTGCGCTTCCCACTCGGAATCCGGATACCAGACGATGTTCGCCCACCCTAGACTATCGTCGAACCTCATCGAGACCGAGTGGCCCCAGTAAAATTCATGGCCCGTATTCACCGCGACTCTCCTTAACACGCCCGTAAACGCGTCCAGAACGTCTGCCTGCACGGTGAGTTTCCTCGTACAGTAACTCCGGATCATAGAATCCAACTCCCCGAACGCGAAATTTTGGCCTCCGCCTACTTCCCCGAAGACTTTATGTCCAGTCAGCACGTTGAAGATAATATCATTAGGGGCGACGGCCGTGGGGAAGGCCTCGAAAGCGATGCTCTCGCAGCACTTGGACGTCTCGCAGCTCCAGTATACCTGGTCAGATGTTATGATTAGAATCCGACGGGAGCAGAGGCCTTCTTGGAACGTCCACCCTCGGGTCATCCATCGACTGTTTTCGTGACTTTGGTCTAGATGTAACACATCCATCAAGCTTACGTCTTTGGCGACACGAGCTATATTCTGCTTGATAATGCGCTCGGTGCCGTTGATACCTGCCAGGCCATCGAGCGCGGTACCACACGCTGCCACAATTGACATAGTCGCGTGAGAATACACGAGGTCCATTTGCGGGATCTGAACCGCCTTATCGGCATCCGAGTCCTGGATGACGCAAAGTCTGTCGATCCAGAGGTAATCCACGCCCATCTCCCTAGTCAACACCATCGCATCGACAATAGTCTTCGGCAAGACCTGCGCCTCCAAAAACCCAGGATCCTTCATCGCATGAAGCCGGGCCAGAGTCGTCTGGAACGGGTCCTCCTCATCCCCCCACACATAACTCAGCGCGAAATAGGGGCACTCCTCAGGCGCATCGACAATACACATCCTGCGCACATCAATCAACCGCAGCCCCTCCGGCCACTCGGGGTCCTTTCCAAACCATCTCGGCCGACTACATTTCTCCCCATGTTTCCCACAACAAGTCCGATACCATCTCCCAAGCAACCCCACATTAACCGCCCCCCTGACCACCCTCCCAGACGGAAACACCGCAAACGGCTCCCCCTCCTCCTCAACATACGCATCCACGCTCGGAACAGGATACAAGCACGGATGCAACTGCACAAACGTCTGCGCCGTCCACTCAACAGGACTAATCCCCGCAAGCACCAGTAACCGATTTAGACTAACATTCCTCCTCCTCCCCCCCTCCTCCTCCACCCTCTCCTTATCCCGTCCAACCCTCACCCCCTTCGCGCCCAACTCATCCAACAGCCCTTGAAGCGTCAGATTCGTCGTCTTATACCCCGGTTTTAAACCCCGGTACAGCGTATCGAGCACCATGCCCGTGTTCGCGAGGAACTGGCTTTGAAGCGAGTCCCCGACTTTATTCCTCCCGCACCAGAAAGCGCAGGTTATCCCTGCGGGTTGGGATAGGTATTGTGCGATTGGCCACCAGGGCTTGAGGGTTTGCGAGGCATTGGAGATTAAGGTGCAGAGTTCGCAGGAGGGGGAGGCGCGGATGAGACCGAGGTTGTGCTCGGCGCGCTTGAATTGGCCGTTTTTGAGAGGGAGTTTTTGGGGGTTGAAGGGCCCGGTTGTGAGCTCGGCCCAGTTGATTGAGCTGCAGAAGGTGCAGAGGTTGAGGGGGTCGTCTGGAGTAGCCATGATAGTTATGTAAGGAGCCTATATTGAACTAGGGTTTAGCTATTCTGGGAACGAAGGACTCTACTGTGCATGTTCTACGATGTAATTATTAATATGGTTCTCTTGACTTCAGAAAGATGGGGTTGGAATATATCCAGGGGAGAATAGATCTTAAAAGAATCAACGGAAAGGAAACTCAGCTGCGGCTGAAGATATCATGCATGTGTATTTATCGTTAGCACTAACGCTGATCGAGGCAGTGTTGATTACTAGGAATAAGACGATATCGTATTCTTTAAACATAAAGCTTCTGTATAACTGTATCAAGTGACATCGGAGTACTACGAATCTGGTATAAGTCAAGGCTATGTCGCAAACTTCGCGGGAACGATGTGGGAGAAACCACCTATGGGCGAAGCATGTCAACTGTTAGCGCAAATCACATAGTAGAATGCCAAGAGGTCTAGACCTTTACCCTGTATTAATGGAATCGCATTGCTCATGTAGCCCTCGAACTACCTTAGCAGCTCTTTGACTACCTAGGTACTCGTACTCTTCTTTTTGCTCTTCGCCTTGCCCTTACTCTTCACCTCACCCTTATTCTTCTCTTCAGCCTTACCCTTCTCCTCGACCTTGCTTTTCTCCTCACCCTTGCTCTCCTCTTCACCGTTGCTTGTCTCCGCCACATGCTCGGTCGTCTTCGGTTTCTTCAACGACTTAGGATCGAGACCCCGTTTACGCATAGCGTTGTGCTTCGCGCGCTCAATGTACTTCTCATCTTCATCATCATCAAAACCACCAAACTCATCCTGCTTTTGAGCAGCGTCATCATCAGCCGCAATAGGGGTCTTATCGATAACTTCGCTCACATCTGCCTGTGGCGCAGACGAGGCTTGACCGGACTTGTCCTTAATAAGGTTGGCAGGCGTCGGTCCGATCTTCTGGAATTTAGCGACGAAGAAGCCATCCACGTTGTAAGTGTGCGGGTAGTATCGGCGTGTCAGACGTAGGCTCGGGTCGAATTTCTTGCCCATGTAACTAGTGAAACCTTCCTTGCCGAAGGGGAGATCCGTGGTGACAAGCTTGACGTTCGGTCGCTTGCTTAGCGCATAGTTAACTACTTGCTCGTTCTCCTCGACAGTAACTGAACAAGTAGAGTAGACTAGATAACCACCAGTCTTGCTAGCGTGGTTGACCGAGTCGATGGCTGCTAGAAGCAGCTGCTTCTGCGTGTGCGGTAAAATCATGAAATCTTTCTCGTCCTTGTTGGTCTTGACAGAGGGATCCTTGGCAATAACTCCTGTACCTGAGCAGGGAGCATCAAGAAGTACTCTGTCGAAGCCGCCCATAACTCTTGGGAATTCTCGAGCATCGTAGTTGCAGACAATGACGTTGCGGGCGCCAAGACGGTGAATGTTACCGATAAGACCCTTAGCACGAGCCTTGCTGGGATCGTTGGCAAAGATGCAACCGGTGTTCTTCATCATAGCAGCCATATGTGTCGTTTTACCACCAGGAGCAGCAGCCATATCCAGTGCTCGTTCACCCTCTTGCGGGGCTAGAGCCATAACGGGCAAGAACGAGGAAGCGGCTTGGAGAATGTAGTGACCAGCAAGATATTCGGGTGTGGCACCAAGGGGTACATTGCTCTCAAAGATCTGCAGTCCCACCTTGGACCACTTGCCGACAGGTTCTAGAGTAACACCGCGATTTATGAGGGCTTGAGCCAGATCTCGGCGATGTGTTCGTAAAGTGTTTGTTCGGATGACGACGGGTCGCGCCGTCTCGTTAGCCTCGAAGAATGCGAAAGCTTCTCGGGGCGTGAATAGATTCATAAGTTTCTCCGCAAGGTACTCCGAGTAACCGTAGTAGGCGCAAATGTCTTTCAACAATTGGCTGGTGTATTCCGAACGATTTCGGCCTTCCGCCGCCAAATTCGCAAAGTCGTCTAACACACGTATGGTATCCGTGATTCTGGTTCTTAGTAGTTGTAGATCCGGTGCTAATAGTGCCTTCGTCTTCAACGCCAAATCATCCTCCTCCTCGTCATCGAGAACGACTGGTCGTTCAATGTTGGTCTGCATTGCTGCCTCCTCCAATTCAAGTTGCGCATTGGCTGCTTCTTGTGCTAGTTGATCGTCCAATTTTCGCGACAGACCAGCGATATTGGCCGCAGTCAGCTTCTCTTCGGCGTCTGACTCGTCTTCATCTTCCGAGAACATTGCTTTTCGGTCATTTTGAGCTTCCGCATCTGAATCATAAACTGAATCTTCCTCGTGTATGAAATCGTCGTCTCCGAATCCAACGTCCATTACACCAGACAGATCGTCTCTTGCTACGGGATCATCAATATCATCAAAAAAGCTGTGAGGAGCATCTTTGCGGTCTTCGTCTTCATCAGATGCTGGCTCCGGTGCGGACTTCTTCGATCTTGGGTTCTTCTCATTCTTCTTAGAGGCTGCTGCAGTCGTCGTGCCATTGGACTTGGAGGCTGGTTTCTTCGCAGTTTTCTGCTTCTTCGGTCGTGGTTGCGCCGGCGGCGCTGAATAGATCAAAGCATCATCGATAAAGGCATTAACTTTTCGCTTCAGCTTTTCAAAATGTTCTTCTGGAAGAGGCTCAGGGGGTCCCTGCTTCTTCATGCGACGTCCGACACCCATTTTGTAGATGGCGACGTTGAATGAAAGAGATTTGGGGTATCACGGTAAATTGTTGTTAAAGATGCGCCTGGAAAATTAACGGCGTCCCGCCGATGAATTGACCTTCAACTTTTTTTTTCTTGCGATAAGCTGATAGTGATACTGGTACCCACTTGTACAATACAGGGAAGCGGCGATGGGATGTAAAGTGGGGTAATAGGTACATAGGTACACAACCGTATGACCTCAGCAGGCTCAGCTAATGCTCAGCCACAAGGTGGGACAGATTCAGTGGCGTATTGAATGTGGGACATCACGATCGTCACCAAAGAGTTGACAACAGCTTCAGTTATTTGCGACATAACTTCTCACCCTCTACAACTCCCGGAGTCTCCTTAAGAAAAAATGACAGAAGTCTCATTTGCGAAGTCGTTTCTTACGGCTCTGGACTCTCGTCCGGTCAAGCTCTCTCCCGACCATGTCGAAGATCCGAAATCCTACCCAGCGCGCAGCGCCGTACGTTTCTCTTCAGCAAAATATCTGATGTCTTACTACCCCGCTAACTCGGAATAGTATATACTTCCCAAGATGCCCAAAACTATGAGCAAACGCACGCCCCATGCCGTCGCCCCGGGTCAGGAACGAAGTCTTACCGTCCTCGTCAAGTCCCTACGCAACCCGCCGTTAGACATCAAGCTCACCTCCCAAACGCCTAATACCTCTATCCTAGATATAAAGACCTCCGTTTCTAATGACTCGGGCATACCCGTGGATAAGATGAAGATCCTACACAAGAAGAAACCCATCCCGGATAGCAAGGTGCTTAAGGACCTTGCGGGAGAGGACGATACGAGTATCGAGTTCTCTGTCATGGTCATGGGTGGTGCTGCAGCTATTAAGAATACGCCAGCTCACACTGAAGTCGCACAAGGACCGAGCGGCGGAGAAGTCTTAGAGACGAAAGAATTTTGGGATGATCTCAAGGGGTTCTTGTTACAGCGAATACGAGATGAAAAGACGGCTGGGGAGCTAGCAGATACATTCCAGGCTGCCTGGAAGGCAAGATCATGAGTTATGTACGGGACAAGCAAGCAAAAGGTCAGCGTGGCAAATGAAAACCAAGCAGACTATATACCTAGAGGTCTCGATGGATAATAGAGTCCCTAATGAATAATGGCATAGACATTTGTTCAGGAGCGTGCAAGGAGAATGATCTACATTCCAAATGGCTTTTTTTCGGCTGTGTGGTGTATACCCTTGGCCAACATCAAATCTGGAGAATTCATGTCATGCCTCTAAAAGGAAAAAAACGACTAAACTGGCCCTACTCCATAGTGAAATGGTAGGGGGGGTTTTATGTCCATCCTGCGGTTTCGTAGACATCGTGGGATCCTTGGCACGCGAGTGCCCCATTAACTAGTAATCCTCGGCAACTTTCCTCTCTTGTTGCTCCTAGGTTTTCGGAGGTTGAATACGCTTAACCAGCCAAGCCCTTGCTGACCACCTTAAGTACTGTATCGTATTCGATATCGTCCTGGTCGTTGGCCTGTAGTTCGGTGGCAATACCATTAAGAGAGCGCTTCAGCGCCTCCTTTGACGAGGCGTACACCATCTTGGCCTTTTAGCGAAGTTAGCGCTATATTCTCATACGCTTTCATAATAGCTCAAGATACACTTACCATGACGTTAGCATCATCAGGGGACCACGCGATGAAAGTGATTTTGTTTCTACGGTTTATTAGTCTGATACTTGGGTTCACGCGTTTTCGAAAACTACTAACCGCGAGCCTTCTCCGCTAGCAAGGCTGTATTCGAAGTCGTACACAGCGTATCGGGGTCCCTTGCCAACAGCACCCTATTATCGAATAGTCAGGATGATATTCCAGGCACAATAATATCACAATAATCTACTACTTACAGACTTGCTCTTGGTGGTAGCGTTAACGAGCTTCTCGCGGAAAGCTTCCCAGTCTTGGTTTGCCGAAGCTTCCTCAACGACAATCTCTCGGTTGTCGTCTGACAGCTTAAAGACGATGTACTTGTACTTCTTCGCAAGCTTAAGGTCGTTGTATGCAGTGATGCAGTCCTGCGAGACTGTCGCTCTGTTTGAAGCCGCGATATTAGCTCCTCTTCTCTAACGACTCCCATCTCCCAAAGTCATGCATCGTGAAGTTGCATAATGACGCGCGGACGGTGGTCGCGGACAAGAGGCAAAAACGAAGGGAGTATTAGCTAGGTAGAGGGATCACGAACCCTGATTGAGACTACCATAATTCGCCATTAGCAGGTAATTATGAATGATTGGATTTTTGAAGGCTTACCATTATGGCGGTCTGCTCAAGCTACGTCGGTACCAAATGAGAATCGGAAGACGAACTACGATGTGGGTTGGGTTAGCGGGGTTCGAGAGAAGGATCCTTGAGAAGATGAAAGAGTCGCAAGTAGGTTTTGAGGTAAAGATGATGCTGTATCAATCTGGTACTAACGTGAAATAAATGTCTATTGAATTCTCGCGGGCGAGTAATTCTCGTGGTTAGGTTTGTATGAAGTGTCGGTGTTCGGGAGGGTACGGTAGAAAGGAGAGAGATTCCAAGGGTTGGAAAGATGTAATGTTTTTAGTGTGGGCACTATCGCAATGGAGGGGAAGGTCGGGCTGCGGGCTGCGGGCTGATGAAAAAAAGAGGCACGCACGACGAAGCAGAGAGAAATCAACACAACTGTAACAATAAAGCCTTGGTGGGGTTCAATGTTTTGGGGAGGGGGTTTTAGGCGGGTGGTAGGGATGGTAGGGGTGTTGTAGGGGGAACAATGAGCACACTGCACAGTCTGCACCTGGGTAGGAGGGACAAGAGGACAGGGGTGGGCAAGGGGGGCTTGTTTATTAGTGGGGACTAGGCCGAACAAGTGGGAGAGGTTGAAGAAGGAAAGTGGGCAGTTGTTGGCCATAAAATATGGTTGTGTGATGCTTGCTTGCAGCTCTAAGAACGAACTTTTTCTTGGCGGTAACTGGGTCGACCATCCCAGACTGCACTGTCCTACCATCGCTGCCATCGGGCAACAAAGACCACAATGACCGCAACATGATTTCGTAATACTCGTACCGACCTCTTCACGTGATCTCTTTTTATATTGCAATATAGCCTTCAACCACCGCCAATACCGCTACTTAACCTGCTAACCGCTACCTAGACAGTAACCAGTAACCTGCTGCCTTTGATATTACAGGATGAGCCACCAGGATTCGTCATCGCGCATCATAATATAAGGCATCACCTTAGAAACCAGGCAGAACTTACTATGGTAATATAAACAAAATAAACACACAATCTTGGAACTTGATGCCTTGTTAGGCACCAATGAAAAAAAGGGGAGGCAACCGTGTTATCAATCATATCGATTATGATCATCCACCGGGAGGTAGGTAATTTCGTGACTCGTAGTTCTAGTATACAACTCTTTTTTTTACAACGCCGCTCGGGATATCAAGAGGTATGAACAAAGTATGGGAAGAGGGTAGAAGGTAGGTAGGTAGAGGGGAGAGATAAAAAAGATATGAGAGCCATCATGTAATCCGTCCGCATAACACCGAGGTCAATGCTCCCGAACCCAAATTTTTTTGATACATGACAAGAGAAGGAGGACATTCAATCATAGACGTCTTACATCATTCCTCCCATACCACCCATTCCGCCCATTCCGCCCATGCCTCCTCCCATACCACCAGCAGGCTTCTCTTCGGCAGCCTCAACGATGGCAACCTCGGTGGTGCCTAGTAGCGAAGCGACACCGCTAGCGTCGATTAGACCAGTTCGGACAACCTTGAGAGGGTCGAGGATACCAGCGTGGATCATGTCGACGTACTCTCCCTTGGCGCTGTCGAATCCCTTGTTGAAGTCGCTGCCAAACTCATCCATGAGCTTACCAACAACTACGGAACCTTCTAAGCCCGCGTTCTCAACAATCGTTCTAGCCGGTCGTGTGATGGCGTTCTTGACAATGCTGACACCGAGTTGCTGATCGAAGTTACTAGACTTGACATCCTTCAGAGCGTTGCTGGCAGCCTTGAGGAGGGCAGTGCCACCACCAGGTAGAATACCTTCTTCGACAGCGGCACGGGTAGCGTTCAAGGCATCGACAAAGCGATCCTTCTTCTCACCGACCTCAACCTCGGAAGAACCACCGACCTTGATAACGGCAACACCACCGGAGAGCTTAGCAAGACGCTCCTGCAGCTTCTCCTTCTCGTACTCAGAAGTGGAGGGGTCGGCCATAACGCCACGGATCTGCTCGCATCGCTGGGCAATAGCGTCTTTAGTACCCTCACCGTTAAGGATGATAGTATCCTCCTTAGTGATTGTGATGGAACCGGTGGAACCAAGCATATCGGGAGTAGCCTTCTCCAGCTTGATGTCGAGCTCATCAGTGAAGACGGTACCATTGGTGAGAACGGCAATATCGCCGAGGACTGACTTTCGGTTGTCACCGAAGCCGGGAGCCTTGACAGCAGCAACCTGGAGCTGGCCACGGAGCTTGTTCAGGATACAGACAGCTAGGGCTTCTCCGTCAATATCCTCGGCAATGATAACAAGAGGTCGTCGCAATTGAGTGGAAGCCTCAAGAGCAGGGATAATATCTTGGACAGCAGAGATCTTCTTCTCGGAGAGGAGGATGAGGGGCTTTTCGAACTCAACCTTTTGCGCCTTGGCGTCTGTGATGAAGTAGGGAGAGACGTAGCCACGGTCAAATCGCATACCCTCTGTGACCTCGAGTTCATCGTTCATCGTCTTTCCCTCCTTGACGGTGATAACACCCTCCTTGCCGACCTTCTCCATAGCATTAGCAATCAACTTGCCAATGTGGGTATCTCCGTTAGCGCTGATGGTGGCGACCTGAGCGACTTCTTCGCTGGTCGTAATATCCCGCTTGTTCTTCTGGAGGTACTCGACGACAGCATCGACAGCCGCTTGAGTACCACGTCGCAGATCCATGGGGTTGCAACCGGCAGCGACATTCTTGACGGTTTCGGAGAAGATAGCCCTGGCTAGTACTGTGGCACTTGTAGTTCCGTCACCGGCAGATTCGTTCGTCTTCGATGCGACGTCTTGTAGTAACTTTGCGCCGAGGTTTTCGAACTTGTCTTGTAAGCTAATAGCTTTTGCAACGGTAACACCATCTATAAATGCCATAGGTTAGTATTTACGGTCAAAAGTATAACTGGGTTGATTACATACCCTTTGTGATCTTGGGAGAGCCGTAGCTTGACTCAATTAAGACATTTCGGCCTTTGGGACCAAGTGTGGTGGCAACGGCTTTAGCGAGAGTCTCAACACCAGCGAGCAGAGCAGCCCGGCCTTCGACACCAAACTTCAATTCCTACAGTAGTTATAGTCAGCAACATATATGGGAAGATATAAAAAGAGTCCGCCGGGGCTGAAGCTCTTGGGAGACGATATACCAACCTTGTGCGCAAATCGAACCTGTTGAGAGAGTCCCGCAGTCCGGTATTTCTTTGCAGCAGCCGAAGATAGGACCGAAGCCCGCGCTCGGGAGGAAAGAGCACGCTGCATTATGATAGTGGTATTTCTGGATTAAGTAGGAGTAGAGAATTAAGGTAGATACCACCACCTGGCTACGAATCACAGAAAGAAGAAGAGAGGTTCCTTAAGAATTGTTTAGGTGAAGGTGGTGAAAGTTAGAATTTGGAGGCCCGGGGAAGAAAAGCTTCAAAAAATTTAATCGTCCAATGACGAAGGAACCGGCCAGAAGCCGAAGCTCGTGGGCGCTAACCTGTTACAGCATAGCGGTACCGCAGTTGGGGACCCATAGAAATTCGTAGAACTTGATTGTTGCAATTCTAGAGTCGAATGTTGCGTTTGATCGATTTTGATTGAAAGCGTATTGGTATTGGCTAAACATTCAATGTCTGTTTCTAATTACAATTGAAACTATTCGCTGCAGAGATGCGAGTCCGTAGGATCTTCAATACTACCTATCCGGAGAGATAGGTACGGTACTCGGAGCAATAGACAACAGCCAGTAGGCGATTCATAAGCTGTTAAGGTTACGCTAGATTTGTCAGCGTCAACTCTGTCTACTAGGCAAGAGGAATTAGTAAATTGCCAGCAGTGTGCCTTCTCGAGTAGGTATTGATATGGAGGTTAGAGAGCTCTTAAAACCTATTGCCGTGATTACATATACGTGTCATAATAATATATAATAAACGCGAGGGACGGATGGTTTGAGATTGCTCCCTCAACATAGCAGTTTCCCTAACCTTCTCAGATACGATTTCACTCTTCGACATGTCTACGATTGCAAAGACTATTGTGGCGACCGGCGCCACTTCAGGCTTGGTAAGTCTCTAATAAATGCACTTAACGTACAGGTGTTCTAATTCTATCTATAGGGATTTGAATTGGTCAAGCAGCTTCTTGCACAAACACAGCCATACAAGTTTATCCTTGGAGCCAGAGATACCAAGACAGCTCAAGCAGCTTACGATGGACTCAAGTATGACGGCAATAGACACAGCTTAACTATTGTCCCTTTGGAGCTATCAAACCTGAGGACGGTCAAGACTTTCTCGCAGCAAGTTCTTGATAAAGTCGGACAGGACAAGGTTGACTACCTGCTACTCAATGCAGCAATAGCTATCAACGCTGACGAGCCCGGTCCTCATGGTTCTAAGTGGAGCGAAGCTTACATCGTCAACCATCTTTGTAAGAAGCATAGTACTAGGTAATTTACCACAATCAGACAATTAGCATTAACAAGCATATCAGCTCAGCATTACCTTATTCATTTACTCCGAGAGAAATTGGAGTCGTCCCGATCGCGCATTGTAGTTGTCTCAAGTGGAGCTGTGCGAATGGTCAAAGACACCAGTTTGCTGGATAATGACGTCAAAGGCGCTTCAAAGACAGAGCGCAGCGTTTACAGCGCCACCAAATTCATTCAACTCCTCGGAGCTCACTGGTGGCGCCGCCAACTCCAAGGCAAATGCGATGTTGTTGCCGTCTCCCCTGGTTTGATTCCCGGTACCGGACTTCCTCGAGGCACCAGCATGCAATTTACCTCGAACCATCCAGATGCCAAAAGTATCCCCGAAGGTATGTTCAACATTGGTTATTCGTACTCACATATGACTGATCAAATAATCAGGTGCTCAAAGTATCCTTCGTGCATTCACGCGGGATGACTTCCCTGAAGATCCCGATCAGATCTTCTTAACAAGCTGGGGCGAATGGTGGCCTAAGGATGTATTTGAGCTCAGTTTGGACAAGAACCTCCAAGACAAATGGTCCCCGAGTAAAGATGAGATTGAAAAGGAAGAAGGCTTGACTGCTTGAAGTTCGGTGTCCGAAATAACAGATAATTCGGGAAGGAGTGCTCTGGGAGACGCGCCCCACAGTCTTTCGGATACGGACACGGCGACACACGGTGTCTCAGTACTTCGCGGACTTGAATTTTTCTTGGCATAGCCTATCGCATCCCATACCGTTGCCTTGCGGAAATTAAATTAAAACTAATACAGCTGATTATGAATCTATTATTTCTATTTTCAAGTACGTATTAACAAAGAAAATGTCTACTAAGATACAATCTATGGCTTAAATATAGTACAGTGCTCCCTACTCTGTATTACACTCCAATAATCCATCCCTGTTACTCCACCAATCTTACATCACTCAATCATATTATACCCCTAAATTAGTTCTTAGGTCGAGCTTCCAATGATATTTCCCCAGCGTTATTCTCCACGTCAGCCTCCCGCTCAGCAGCATCTTTCTTAGAGGGATCCTTCATTCCGTACTCTGTCTCGAGCTCTGTTCGGAGCGGGATCTCCTTCTCGAGGAAAACAAGTAATACTGCAAGACCGCCGAATGCGATAGCTACTTCGAAGACTAGCTTCAGCGCATCACGGTACACACTGACAACCTCGCCTTGTAGCGGCTGGGGGAATGACCCTACAAAACTCGCTGACCCGTACTGGTACGCACTACAATTACCAATGTCAGCATCTCCGAATAGTGTGAACTTCTTCAGATGTGTGAAAAACTTACTCCCCGTTGGCCAAGAGGTCCCGCACCCCTGAATCTGAGACCCGCGACAGCAGTTCGTTAATGCGGTTATTGAATATGACACCAGGGATAGCAACACCCCACACATTCCCAAACGTGCGTATGAAGCACCAGGACGCTGTCGCGGCGGCTTGGTCTGATTCAGGTACAGGAGCCTGGAAAGCCGGTAGCTGCGTGTTGAGGACCATACCCGCGCCAAGAGCTGCGATGGACTGGAACACCGCCCATTCCGCTGTTGAGGAAGTCTCGTCTAGGTATGCGAACAGGCCGATTCCAAGGGTGAAAACTCCGAATCCGGCGAAATGTAGGGGCTTGTACTTTCCCCAGCGGGAGAGCGCGACTGCTGATATAGCGGCCCCGGGGATACCGACGAGGGATTGGGGTAGAAGCGCGACGCCGGAGTAGGATGGGCTGTAGAGCTTTACTGCTTGGAAGTATACGGGCATAAAGTACACAATCTGCAGAGCGTGAGATCAGTAAAACAGTGATATATGAAAATGGGGTGTAACGGATCGAGAAATCACTTACCCAGTAGAGAAGAGCAGAGTTGAGGAAGGTATTGACGCTCACGATGACCGAAGTGCGGTTGTTGAAAAGCCTCGGTGGCATGACAGGCTCGGCCGACCATCCCCATTTCTCATATATCGCGAAGAGTCCAAAACCAAATATACCGAGGACCAAGGGTACCAAGACATTCCACGAGCCCCACGGATATTGTACTCCGCCTACCGTTAGGGCCCACAGGACAGCCACGGTCGCCGCCATGAGGATGCCATTACCAACCAAATCGAGGCGCTTCAGTTTCTGCATAAACGACATCTCCTTGTTGTAGTTCACATGAAGAGAGAAGTACAGCACGACCAAAGCGAGCCCTCCGATCGGGAGATTCATATAGAAGACCCATCTCCAAGTCGTCACTTGCACGATCGAGCCACCGATATAAGGCCCCAACGTGGTACCGACACCATAGATAGCCAGAATAACAGCTACATAATTACCGCGCTGTCGCAAGGGAACCAGATCCGATATGATGATATCTAGAGACCTGTTAGTAATCGCTTATGTAATATCTTACTCAGACAACTCACCAGCAGCCATAATAATGCCTCCAGACCCAAGCCCTTGCACCGCGCGGCCAGCAATGAGCATGGCACCACTCGTAGCGCCTCCACATATACCGCTCCCGAGAGTGAAAATCGCAACGATAACGAGGGTTGTCCATCGTCGCCCGAAGACGTTGCAGAGTTGACCGAATAGGGGTTGGAAGGCCGCGCTTATTCATCCGATTAGTCAGCCAAGTCCAATACCTAGTATTTACTCTCGGGTCGCTGCGAGGGGGGTTTCTTACCTGCAGACAAAGAACGCGTTCGTGATCCAGATATAATTCGCCCCGAGCCCTAGTTCGGAGACGATGATCGGCGCGGAGGTGGTGACGACGGTGTTCTCAAAGGCTCCGAGAAGGTTGGTGACGCCTAAGCCGATGATGATCGCCCAGAAACGAAAGCCGCGCTTGAAGTCGCCCGACTCTTTGATTTCTTCTACACTGTTGTCGGAGCTCATTTCGCGTTTCTCTTCGATGGGGTCGGAGTGCGAATGGTGTGAGCGATGGTCCAATGGATCTAAAGAAGTCTGGTCTGCGGCCATGGCGAAGGAGGAGAGAGCGACGGTAAATGAATTGGACGAATCGAGGTGGGTAACATTCCTATCTCATTTGGCATCTAGATATCTCTTATATAGATGATGCGCCGAATCTTGCCGCTTTGAAAAGCGGCACTTGATTCGGAGTCGGATGCCCCTTCGGTGTCGGTGTAGAATTGCCTTTTTTGGATGTGTCTCGCAGGGATCGGACATGATGATTGGCTGGTTGAATGGGCTAACGATGGCAGCATGCGATTTCAAGATCGAATTCCAACTGCAGAAATCCAGAAGAAATATAGTAAATGATATCAATGATCGAATAGTCTATTGAACGTGTCCTTCATCATCTGAGATCCAAATCTAACTTATATAGTAAATGTGGGTCTATCGCGAAGGGGCCTCCTGGGCTATTACGCTTTATCGACCACGACATGGGATATCCGCTATAATGGCACGTTGTTACATGCCATTCATATCGCACCGGTCCTGAAGACACCTCATGGCGTTATTTTTTCGCGCAGGAGCTGTTTCGTCATGTCGAGAAACATACGCAGTGACTTAGCGCCCCCTTTTCCGCGTTCGGGCTGATACACAAGCTCTTCCTTCAAAATCATCATGTTAAGAGCTCCATTGACCTCTTCTTCATTTAATAAACCACCGTCGTCGGATCCGCGCGTACCAACTCGGAATTGCCTGGGTATTCCAAGTAGACTTTCTATCCTCTCGAACAGATTGTTGACAATTTCGATGAACATCACGGCTTGAAGATTGCCAGACTCTGTAGATATCAGTTTCTTTCTCTATTAAACTTGGGGACATTCATTATACATTGTGCGTGTATGAATGAGGTTGGAGAGACGTACGGATGGGTAAATCGCCAAAATCGACTCCGGGGATAGCACATAAAGAAGGCTTGTCGCTGTTAGAGATCTCTCTGAGACATTCGTAGGTATGTGCAAAAACGATTAGAAAGAGTCGCGTGACGTGTATGTAAGACGTGAGTAAGAGTAGCAGTGTTGTAGCGTCTAGGGTGGTTGTGGGCTCGTTGGTTGGTGTAAATACAGGGTTAGGATTTGCTAACGTTAGGCTGTATACTTGGGAGTTTGAGAAGCAGCCCTGTGGTGTAGTTGGAATATTCCTATTCCTGCTAGATTCTGACCCCTGAGACCCTGGGGAGGTACCATTAGATGACGAGGAAGGTGGTCGTCGGGTCGCACCTGCAAGGGCGCGTAGAATATCTATAAACTCGCGTGTCCCGTCCGTTATACTGTAAATCAGGCTTGATGAATAATCGTTCGCTGGCGACATAAGGGTGTTGAGAGACACATGAGGGGACCCTTGACAAACACGGCTTAATATGGTGACTAGATTTAGATTGATCTTGGAGAGCCGTTGAATATGAACTTCTCCTGGAATCGTACTGCCGAGTTGGGAATCTTGATCTTGGGTAGCAATGACGCCGTCTGAGGAAAACGGCACGACATTATCCCAATGATTCTCATAACATTGAGAACGTGACGTACTTTTTGGTGAATGCTGAGGTTGAGATGCAGACGAGCTTTCTCTAGGACCGTCGTCCGTAAACTTATCAATCTTATTCGCTGCGGTATCAAAGAAGGAGAAATTTCCTTCGAGAGCATCGCTAGACATCAATCCGTATATAGAAGGGTCTAACAATCCGGTCAGTTCGGAAGAGAAAGGGCCCTGGTTCGGCGAATGACCGGCACTTCCAACGGTGTATGTGGAGAGAAGATTGCTTGTTCCCTGGTCAACACTAGGAATTAGATTAGGTTGTTGATATCCATCATGTCGCGCCCGTTTACGCGATCCGGCCCCAGTGTCATCCACTCCCGAAACGTTACGAAAGCGTAAGGTTGGGGTAGTAAGGCATTCTGCATTTGCTCGTGTACATCGATAACAACGCTCTTGTCCTTGATCCCGCAGGCATCTGAGCTTCTGGCCCTTGCACCTGTCACAGGCGGATCGGCGCGATGACAATGCAGACATAGCCGTCTGGACTCTATTCTTCCCGCGGGGATTCGATATCTTTTCTCTTGGCGGAGTATTGCGAAGCTGAAAACGTCGTCTTCAATGGTTTATCTTTCATCTGTTTTCGATTGAACAAGGCTACGAAATGGATAGATTAGGTAAAATCAAATCGTCGTAATCTTCTGGATTTGTGCGGCGCAGGCTGTGCCGCAGAATGTGAGGCATGATGGTGCCCCCCGCATAAGACTGGGGTAGGATTAACAGCCTATCTGGGATTATTTTACGTATCTGCATATTTCCCGCGCTTATATAATAATATTATGATGATTTTGAAAGATGTTGCTGGTTGGATTATTCGTCAAATTTGTATGCCTCTACGACGTATGGTACTTAGGTGCGTAAAATCATTTTTGACAATCATCACACGTAATCAGATGCTTAGGTAAGTACTTAGGAATCATATGTTAAGTAATAATTGGCTTAGTAGCAATACCTTGAGAAATGAATATTAGTAATATATCTATGCAATTAAATATCCTACATAGTTGAAAAGGGGGTTTCTGCTTACTCATTTGTAAAATTGTAAAATCGTTAACAACTATAGGGCACTTCGCCCCCTAAGACCACTATACTTCTTACCATAGCAGCACCGTAGACACTGACATATTACGTAATCGACAAACATTCCCAAGACAAAAATCACATTACTCAGAGCCACCGCTTGAAGTTATACATAATTTTGCTGCCTATCGTTTAGGCAGCTACCAAGAAGTTCTAGATTCCAAACTGTACAACTCGTACTATACGAGTACGAGTACCAGTTTGGTGAAAGACCTTTAGGCTTGTGCGAATCCGTACGAAGTACGAGTAGAAAAGCGGGGTGGATTCTGGTACCTATTGGCTTACATAATCCAAAAAGATTCATCATTATGTAATATGGTTATATAATCATGGTTAGGACTCGTACTTTAAGCTCGTACGCGCACTTATTGGTACGAGACTAGTCCATATTTTTAACACTCTGCCCAAAACAGAAAACCGCTGAGATCGCGCTGAAACAGCCCGCGAGATTTGGCTTACTTAGGGCACTGCCAGCGACGACCGGTCAACCAGGGACGGTCAATTTGTCCACCTCTCGCGGAGTATGGACCGTATAAAAGAACTCCGACGGGTTAGACGGACCCTTCACTACCTCCCGCTATCCTTGAATTGCTCAAATAGGGCTGATCTGGGCGCTGCAAACGTCACATTGCATGCGCTACCACAGCGAATCGAGTCGACAATCTCAGGGGCTTAGCCAGAAAAGTTTTATCGGTTGGAGCAGCAATTGAAAAGCTATAAAAGACCGGTTTCCTAGAGTTTAGCTTGGAAGGTATACATCTAAAATCATGATTCAGATACCAAAATTCCTTCATGATGTGCAGCCCTGCTACGATACCATATCCATCCCTTCCAGGGGTACAATTCACATCGCTTAGTTCCTCTTTGATCTCTAATGTTACCACTCACATACCCGAAAGCCTATATGTCAACAATGGGGCTCTTGATGTCCAAGGGGTTAGTTATTGCCATGTAACGACTACCTACACCCATACTGGGACGACCGACAACGTCACCGTGGATGTATTCCTTCCACAGGATGGTTGGAATGGAAGAATGCAAGGTATAGGCGGTGGAGGATGGGCCGCTGGAGGCCTTGCATTTCCATTAGCAGCCTACTCTATGCTTGGAGCAGTGGCCGAGGGATACTCTGCCGCGACTACCGATGCCGGACATGCCTCTTCTGACCCTGCCGACTGGGTACTATCGAGCCCTGGACATGTCAATTACCACCTATTGGAAAACTTCGGTTATACATCACTCAATGAATTGTCTATTATTGGAAAGGCGATCACAGAAAGCTACTTCGGCAAACCACCGCACCATTCCTATTGGAGCGGCTGCTCCCAAGGGGGTCGACAGGGCATGAAGCTTGCTGAGAAATACCCTACGGCATTCAATGGCATAGCAGCTTCAGCTCCCGCGTTGGATCTCACTCTAATCGGAGTGGGTGATCTCTGGCCCCAACTTGTGATGAAAGCAATGGGCCAGTACTCGAAGAACTGCGAACTTCTCGCTATAACTCAAGCTGCGATTGATTACTGCGATGCTGACGATGGATCGGTCGATGGAATCATCTCTGATCCAGATAACTGTAATTTTGACCCCCATTCAGTTGTCGGCGAGCCTATTAGCTGTAATGATACAGGTGTCCCCGAAACCATCCTCATCTCGGAAACAGCGGCGAAAGTTGCGAATGCGACTTGGACCGGAGTTCGAAAATCGGATGGCTCGCCCCTTTGGTGGGGACTTAAGAAAGGGGCGGCATTGGTTGAAGAAGATATCGGGTTCACTGTCATCCACGGTCTTGCGACAACTGTCTGTTACCAGAATGGGACTTGCGTGGGAAAGACAGGGAGCATGATAGATGAGTGGATACGGTTTCTTGTAAAGAAGGACCCTGATTTCGATATCTCAGCTGTAACAGCCGCCGAGTTCGAAGACATTTTCCAGGCCTCGGAGGAAGAATATGGGCCATTCTGCAATGTCGAACCTAATCTCGACGCATTCCGAGATGTAGGAGGGAAGATTTTATCTTACCACGGTTTGGTAAGTATTAGATGCCTACTTGGATGTTGCTTCTATAAGTCGCTAACGAATTATTGCAGGCGGATAGCACTATTCCTCCAAACTCCACAACCCACTTCTTCGATCAAGTCGCCGCGAAAGACAATCGTGTTCACGACTATTATCGCGTCTTCGAAGCTCCAGGGCTTGCTCACTGCTTTACTGGCGCCGGGGGATATTATCCTGCGGGGCTTTTCAAGGCTCTGGTCTCATGGGTTGAGTCCGGCATTGCCCCTGACAAGCTTCCCGCGTCCGCTCCCCAACAGGATGGAACGATGCGTAATGGTGTTCTATGCCCATACCCTCAGAAAGTACGTTATAAAGGATTGCGCTCAAACCATAAGGATGATGACTTCTATTGTTGTCACGAATCGGACCTAGCATGCGAAGAAACGGTGACGCCGTTGGGAGAAGAACTCTAAACTACTCTCGCTAGGAATACGGTACAAGCACTTGATGAGCTTTTCTTCTACTTCGCTCCATGATCCGCTACTAACAGGTCTCCATAGGCCAAACTTCCATCTGACCAGAGCTCTGAAATTTGTGAGGGATAGCTTATGTGTGATTATGTAAGCTACCCAAGGCAAGTCTATTAGTGGATGCAGGTTCGAGGGAAGGTTATGACAAATATTGGCCGTTCTAGTTCAATTGAAAAAAGCTATACATATTATTTAGCCAGATTGTGATGTTGCGCGATATATACAATTTAATAAAATATAATAAGGGGTTGCCAGAAGTTTCGCATATCTGTCCAAGGCCTTGCCCAGTGTGTAACTAGTGGTAGGCACCCAGTTGGTACTGTACAGATTTCAAGCTAAGACGAGAACCAACAGTGATTCCACTCGCTGCAATTCAGCGGGGAACTGCGGCAGCCCAGGTAGTTTAGCCACTAAATAATAGCGCTTCACTACGCGTTGAGATTTTGAGTCACACTCTGACCGTATGTTCAATCCCCACTTCCCCTTTTCACGACGTCTTTGTCATCACTAATGACCGTTCTAAGAACTAGAAGTAAAGTCCTGGTATGCTGCAAACATCAGAACCGCAAAGCTCTGGGCTTCCGGAGATTCGGTGGCAGGCGTCCTGTCGTTCCAGTTCAGGGGGTTAATTACAGGAGATAGAAGACCGTCACTGTTGATCTTCCCGACGATGATCTGCCTCTTGCTGTCTGCCCACGACGTATAGCTTTTTCCGAAATCAGCAGGCTCGAGTTTTGCCATGCGGTATGCGGTAGCTGTCAAGATTGTCGTGCCTGACAGCTCGCCAAACCAAGTAGTGTCATTGAGGTAGTTGCGCAGGAGCGGTTCATTGGGTTCGGCGTTGTCGCGCGCGATTGCGCCGTCCAAGATTGATTTGATGATTCCTTTGAGTTCAGAAAGACCAGACTTGATCTTCCCGTCATTTGCGAAGTGCGACTTCTTAGCCGTCGCATAGACACGGCTCATCCCAGCGGCAGCCCAACCGTTTCCGGTACTCCAGATACCCAAATCTTGGCTCTGGGGGCCGATGATGTGATGCCAAAGTCCACCGGCGCTTTTATCATTCTTGGGAACACCTAGAACGTCCCGGTATAGAACGCATTGTTGGATAGCGATACTCAACAGGGTGGCGTTGTTCGACTGAATGGCCCAGTACGCTAAAGTTGGTGGCGCCATGTAAACGAAGTCGGCCCACAGTTCCGCTACTGATTCTCGGTGGCTGATAGCGCCATTGGAGTATTTCGGGACGGCGGTTAGCAGGTGCTCTACCTGGCGTTCTGCCGCTGAAAGATACTCAGGTTGGGTTTGGCCAATGAGTATAGCGGAAACGCCCAGTGAAGCCGGATCGCCAGCGGCACCTATTAGCGGATTAGTTGAACTGTACCTACTATAAATACAGCAGAATCAGTGAAGTAATAAAAGTTACATACCATCTCCATCAACAAGTGTATCACCACTAGTAGAAATATGAGGCTTCACATACGATAGCGAGCGAGTGTTCGCGACCTGCAAAACTGGTACCTTGCCATCCGGGAACGAATTGCTACCGAATACTGAAGATTTCGGGTTATCCCACTCTAGCAAAGCCTCCGCGAAGGTACCATACTCCCAGCTGTGCGTAGCGAGACGCTGGCCCTGCGTTATAACGCTGTTTATAAGATCGGCCGACATCGTTATTTTCGTGATTTTTCTTTGGTCGGAGAATCAATATCGAAATGATGTCGAGATCGATATATAAATATCAGCACACTCGAAGAAGTAATACCAATATGTAGGTGAGAGGGGTTCGCTGTCGAGAATCGCATTATGATACTACCTTTGGCGATACAGAGCGCTACTATTTATGCTAAAGATAAGATTGAGATCACTATCCCGAATTGACTCTAGGGACATTTAGGGGCTCAAATCCCATCCACAGTGATGCTATTTATATCTATGATATCCACATCGCGACCTCATAGCACATTGCTGACGCCATAGTTGATATCTACCCCAAGCCTCATTTGAATCAGCTCTCGAAGCTGACGATCGCGTCGAGTTAGATCAACCCCTCAAACGAATGCAATCGCTTCGCTTCTTGAGAACTAATGTAGCTATTTGAATGAACAGGGCATGGTTTATATCGTATATCTATGTGATCAATATTATCGGCATCCCCATCGGCATTCCGACGATTCTCTGGGCGTAGGCTAGGCACATGAGGCTTGCAAGGATAGGTGAATATCTGCATGTCTCAGAGGTTGCCCACATGTTTAATTCCTACATAATTCATCATTACGACAGACGTATGAACTTTCTTCCCAGGAGATCTATCCAAGGGGCAGTATCCCTCGAAGCGACATTCGACTCTTCCGAATCCTAAGTTCCTTGAACCGGATCCTGAGAGTAGTTGGCTTTTCTAGTAATAAACCTGACATTACTAACTTTATTAATCGATGTACGATCCTCTAGGTAGATAAGCCGTGTAACATAGAATTATATACGCTATGCCTAATTCCTACCCATAGTTATAGGAAATTCATCCAACAAAGCGCCAAACAATCACAAAGACCGGAAAGGTACCTATTTAAAACATCATCTAATTATTGGTATCTATCAATGTCGCTGATCAAAGAAACTCCTATCCAGATCCTAATATGTCCTCAATCTCGACTTCACACCCCATAAGCCCAAACATCTCAACCATCCGCGCCCAAAATCCTATCCCCCTTAAACCCAACAACCGGCAGCCTACTCTTCAACAATAGGCTACTACAAATCACACTCACGCTACTAAGCGCCATCGCCAAGCTCGCCCACACGGGGTCCAACCTCGTATGCTTCCCGTTCACGACCAACGGGTACAGAACACCCGCGGCGATCGGAAGTTCCACGATATTATACACCAAAGCCCAAGCGAAGTTAAACTTCACCCTCTTGAACACGGCGCGGCTGAGGCTGGTTAGGACGAGCAAGGTGTTGAGATTCGGGTTCACAAGGACGAATTCCGCGGCTGAGATCGCGACATCGGAGCCGGAGCCGATGGCGATGCCGACGTCGGCGACGGTTAGGGCGGGGGAGTCGTTGACGCCGTCGCCGACCATGGCGACGACGGCTCTTTGATTAATTGATTTCGAGCCGAGCCCGAGAAAGCCTGAGCTTGTTTTCGCTTGGCTCTTTTGAAGATAGCTGATTTTGTCCGCTTTCTGTTCTGGGAGGACACCGGCGATGATGTGGTCGGGATCGATGCCGACGAGGGCGCCGACTGCGTTTGCCGTCTTGCTGTTGTCGCCGGATAACATCCAGATGTCTTTGCCTTGGCGTCGGAGCGCATCGAGTACGGGTCTGGCCTCTGGCCGAAGAGGATCGGAGGTAGCGAAGATACCAAGAAGTTTCCATGATGAATTCGTGGATGAGGAGATGGATTTTCCGGCTACCAGTACCACAGACTTTGCTTGATCTTTCCATGAATCCAGCATTTTAGATGCTTCGGGTGTGATAAGTACAGCGTTATCATTCATGAGAGTTTCGTTTCCGACAAGGATTTCAACAGTTCCAAGAGAGGACCCGAGGTCAAATGAGGCTTTCATCCCCTTTCCAGGAACTTCCTCAATACCAAGAGCTTTGATGCCTTTGATACCTCTGTCCTCGCAGAACGACACAATGGCCCTGGCAATAGGATGACTACTGTTCGATTCGATCTCTTTAAGGCAATCAAGGATTTTCGATTCAGTCCAATCGTCTGACTCGGAGAATAGGAACTCGTGATCGGTCAGTTTCGGTTCGCCGCCTTCTGTCAAAGTTCCTGTTTTGTCAAAGACAATAATATCAATGTTGCTTGCCTCCTGGAAGGCTTCACCCCCACCCTTTGCCAAGATCCCGTGCTTAGCTGCCAACCCGCCTCCAACGAAGAGAGCAGTTGGTGCAGCTAGACCGATACCACAGGGGCAGGCGATGATAAATACGGCGATTGCGAATTGAAGCGACCAGAAAGGCCAGCCGCCAACCGGGGTATCGAGATACGATTGTGGTAGGCGCCCAGAGAGGCCAAGGCCGAGCCAAATGAGCCAGGTTGAAATTGCGATTAAAGTAACGACAGGAACAAAGTAGCTGGTGAGGGCATCAGCTACTCTTTCGATTGGGGCTCGTCGCGCTTGACCTTCCCGAACGACTTTGATGATTTGATCTAGCATTGAGTTGCCCGAGGCCCCGGTGATGCGCATGGATATGGGACCGCCTTCGTTCATAGTACCAGAGAATACTTGGTCGCCGGTGGTCTTCTTGACCGGCCTCGACTCCCCTGTCAGGCTCGCTTCCGAGAATTCCGCCTTGTCGCTGAGAAGATATCCATCCCATGGCGGAGACGCACCGTGAACGACCCTGACCACATCGCCTGTCTCTACCATGTCAACATTGACCTTTTCGTAGGTCTCTTCGTCACCGTCGGTAGAGGTAAGAAGAAGAGCTTCTTTCGGTCGCAGGTTTCCTAGCTCAGAAACGGCCTCCCCGGTCTTCGCCTTGCTGTAAGCCTCTAGCAATCGTCCGATTAGGAGAAACATGGTGAGAAAGACAACGGAGTCGAAGTAAGTCGTGTTTTCTTGCATCTGCTCTCCGTCTAGTTGAGTAGCGGCGATAATCAGTTCAGCAATGGAGCTGAAATATGCGATAGATGTGCCGAAAGACATGAGCATGTCCATACTACCGAACTTATAGAAGCGGCGGAGGAGAGGGGCGGGGCTTCCGGGTCTCCACAGGGAGTACAGTTCTTTGATCGCACGGCGATGGAATATATCGGCTGCGAAGAAGTATACTGGCGTAGCCATAACCAAGAGGGACCATTCTGCTCGAGTTACCCCCTTTAAATGTTGCATCAGATACTGACGACCGGGGTTGCTTGTTGGCAGAAGTGCCATGTAAACGATACCGATTATGAAGGACGGGATAGCTATAGTGATTGATAGCAAGACTCGATACAGTATTCTTTGGCGAATTCTGCGGTGCATCTGTCTCGCGCGCTCTTCAACTGTGGGCGGGTGATAAATGGTGGGGCGGAATGCTGTGTCTATGGCGGATATCGCTGCAAGGATGTGGCGTATCGTGAAATCGGGCGCGCTTGGAGAGTATGAGATTTTAATGATTGGATCTTTTGACGTCAGGGGCTTCTCGATTGTCACCCGGCCGTCAAAGCTATTCAACGCTTCTGTTACCCGCCCCGGGCAGTGTTGGCAGTATGTTCCTTCCACTCGAATCATCACCACCCGTTCGGTAGTCTCGATAACCTCCTCTCCAAGCTTTGTCGTTTCGTTAACTGTTGCGCTGAAGCCAATATCATCGACCGTGTTCACCACGTCGTCCACATGGCTCTTACCATCGACAACGACTATGGCGTTTCCAGTGACGAGGTTGACGTTTACTTCCTTGACATATGGTAACTTTTCGAGGACAGAAGTAATGGATCCAACGCAAGAGGCGCATGTCATCCCGGTAATGGATAATGATGTAGACCATAAATCATCACCAGGGCGTGATTTAGGTGAAATCGAAATTTCTTCTACTTGGGCAATACTCGCGTCGTAACCAATATCCTCGATCGCTTCGGCCAATTCTTCAGCATTGTGCTCGCCCTCATATACCACGGTGGCATTTTGCGTGATCAGCGCCACATCAGCAGATTGCACCCAAGGTATTTCGCGAAGTGTTGTAGCAATTTTGCCGACACAGGAGCTACATGTCATGCCGACAATCGAGATAGAGGCCCTAAATGTTTTCGAAGGGCCTGATTCAACGACAACTAGGGACTCCTCGCCTGGCGTGGGCGATCGAGTATGTCCATCTTCGGACTGCTTTACTTCGTCATCCTTGCGACATTGTTCGCAGTGTTCTGCATGGCGCTTTCGACGAGCCTTATCATCCGACACCTTGTGACCCCATAGTAACCACCGACCAAGATGCGAAATCCACTGGAAGGGAAAGTCATCGTCAGAGCTACCGTGAGGGTCGCTTGGGTTTATTTCTTCGGATGACGCGCCCCTGAAAATGGTGTCGACCTCATAGCCAGCTTCTCCTAGAGCTCGCGCGATTGAACGGGAACTAAGGGATGTGGGGTGTTTGACTGTCACGCTATGTGATAGGATAGAGGTTTCCACCTCTATAGGTCTTGGCCGTAGAGCAAAGAGGAAGCTCTCAAGAAATGAAGCGCAGGTCGGACAGTGAATGCTTGGAATCAAGAAGGTCGTTTGTATGCTTCTGGGAGAACCTAGACGATGGATAGCCATGTTGTGGATATGCCGTTCCCCGGATCCGAGTTATCGGGACGAGATGTTTGCCACTGATATAAGATCCAAGATGGCTTAAGAGGTACTTGGATATTTGAAGAGTGATATGGTGATTTATATTATCGTTCACACTTCCTTAGCCAAACATCTTTATTAGATGGCAGAAACCGTTAGAAATCAAATGTGGTATAAGCAAAAGAAGCTGCTAGATATTTCAGGGATAGAATAACAAATCCATTGTCAAGTTAACAATCAGAAATATGTTGATGGATGCTGCCTTAGTATTGGTCCTTCCGTGCCGTGACTGCGAGAATTGTGCGTCGCGAATGGAGCCGACCCACTTGGTTCCGTCCCGGAAGGCAAATTCTACAGGCAGATTACGGCATTTTTGCGGAGGTAGGAGGTTGGTAGCGTCATATGCCACTAATCTGTACCTACTAAGCTGCGCGAATTGTGCTGAAAGATTTGGCCAATCCACTGTAAGGTCTGTTTTTTATAGTGGCGACTCCAAAACGGACCCCTGTAATTGAGGCTATTTCGCCCCATTCTGCCTGAGCTTCCAGCCTGCGAGCAGTTTCAAATCTGACAGAACCGAAAATACGATATCCATTAATAGATTCAACCATTTTGGTCGTCAACTCAAGGCCTCTGACCATAGTACCCTTTTAATGCTTCGGAGCGGAATGTGGATGATTACCATCTATCTGAAGACAGGAGTGGAATGTCTGGGGAAACCATGGCGCCAGTGGGCAACCATTGAGTTTGTTAGCAGAAACCAACCACGTGATACCTTTAATTTAACTCGAACGCTATTAACCTAATAATAACGACATTGTGAGTTAGAGAGTCTGAACTATTAATAAAGATTGCTGGCATTCAAAGACTTTTGACGATAATAGCTTTGTTTCCTTTGTTGCATTATGTAATCATGTTTCAGCCCCGATCCTGGCTTTAGACTTAGTCAGCATCAAGGACTAAGCCTACCTCCAGCTGCAACATGTTTCTCAGAACTCGAGTCTATGCTGGGAAGTTTTCTTAAATAGTTGATACTTGGTAGCATATTATAACGAGTATGTGGGAGCGAACATCATGAAAATAATGGTGGGTTTCCAATGTCTCGGGAAGTGCTGCTAACGGCTAACTGCGTTTCTTTTACCGAAAACTTGAAACGGTAATCTAAAGAGAAGCCTACGACTGCCATATTCGATCGAAGGGATATTTATATCGTAAGACAGAGCGGGTAATACCGTCACACAAAAAGTTATATCGGTCCAAGATCTAGAGTTCGGTGATCATTATCCCTTTACAAAACGGAGAATAAAGATGGATTTCTTCATCCTTACTTGATGCGATCTGCTTACCTAATTCGTGAGTTCAAAAACAAGATCTAATCTTCGAGCGGGAAGCCTACAAACAAATGCAACGCCAGACGGAGCTTCCAAGAGCAATGACTCCAAGCTTCCATTAGAAAAATTGATATTCCACGTAATCAATATTAAGAAGATCAGCACGTTCCGTCGCTGTATAAATCAATTGGCTTTCACGTGTCAGAATGGAGTCAGAAAAAGCTGCCCATGTGCTAATCTTACTATTTACACTGTTATTAAAATTATCCCCTCTTTTACACAACAGGCATTTTATACCAATAATGACAGGTACAATAGGTATAAATTGCCAATATAAGCAGAGCAAAGGTTACCTACTTGCACAGTCTTTTCTGACTCCGTTCTGGGTGTCTGGGTGTCTTGGGAAACTCGGTCGCTGCTCCCTAACGGTCGTAGCCGTTGCTGTGTTACTTGCCCTATTTGGCAGGTGATACACAGGCCTAGCTTGTGAGCTAGCGGTCGCGCGTCCATCCACTAGCCACAGCGCCGAAGACCCAGTGCCAAGGCGACTTTAATCCTGAATCTGGGGTTGTGAGACAACCGGTTTTTGTAGTGTTTGCTCAATTGACGTTGTTTAGCTATCGCATGAACTCCTTGTTAATAAAGGATGAAACGAGCCTCAGAATAATATTGGTAGGATCTTTAGTAGAAATGGTATGTATGTGTGTATTCGGTGACGGCGACGGGAACGCCTTGGCTCCTTCTGGCCTGCGCTGACCTGCCCTACTGGGCGGATTGAGCTGCTGATGGGGGATCCTCGCGGGTGGCCTCATCACCTGCAGGAAATCTCCAGCGTACCGTAGATCCCCACGTGCCTCACTAGATGGCTGTAAATTGTGGCTGATCGAACGAAGATCCCGGCGCTAGAAGGCTCGGCTTTCCTTCTGGGACCAGCTCTGCAATTTTTAGTGGTCAACAGCGCTGTTATATGCACTATAAGCAGGGATTCCCATTGGCCCTTCCCCTGAATCGGCCTCCCAGGGGCGTCAGGGGCACGCTGTAATTCCAGCGGTAGTCCCATGCGCAATGCAACTCGATCTGATAGACCCCAAATAAGCAGGATATTTAAATGAATCGACAGCCCACCTGATGTAGCTCCCCCAGCCGTCGTCTCATCGATCTGTGATCATCGTCGAGCCTCATCGCCAAAATGCGTGCCCAACTCCTTATCTCCGCACTGCCCGTTCTGGGAGCACAGGGTCTGCGCATCCTTCAATCGAACGATGACGGCTGGGCCGAGAACTACATCCGCACGTTGAACGATGCGCTCAACGCCGCTGGTCACGACGTCGTTCTTTCCGCCCCGGCCGAGAATAAGTCCGGTTCTGGTAAGTCAATCCCCGACCTTATCATATAGCCACCCAAGCTAATACAACCACAGGCTCAACCGACATTGAACCTTCCCCGCGCAGCAGCGCTTGCGAGTACAACAGCTGCCCCGCGAACAGCGGCCCCATCGGCACCAACGCCACCAACACGCGCCTGAACTGGGTGAACTCCTTCCCGGTAACCTCCGCGCGCTACGGCATCGACACCATCGCACCTCCCCTGTGGAACGGCGCAGCCCCCGAACTCGTCGTCTCGGGTCCCAATGTCGGCGGCAATTTATGGCTTCAAGTCCCGTTTTCCGGCACCGTCGGCGTCGCCGTCTTCGCCAGCAAAGAGCGCGGGATCCCCGCCCTCGCCTTCTCCGGCGCTGACGACACCCGCACCGCCTGGGACGCGAGCCCCGTTCCCGCCAGCAGCACCGTGTACGCACAGCTCGCGACCCAGCTCACCCAGGCCGTCATCAAGTCCGGCACTCCGTATCTTCCTGAAAACACCTTCCTCAACGTCAATTTCCCTAGCGTCTCGGGTGCCTGCACTGATCCTGCTAAGTTCAAGTGGGTGCTTAGCCGTATCAACCCGGGTATTTTCTCCGACAAGGATGTTGAGACTTGTGGGACTAATAGACTGCCTACTGAGACGAGTGTGATTGATGCGGGGAATTGCCAGATCTCGGTTAGTGTGGGGGATTCGAATGATAAGACGACGGCGCCGGCGGATAAGCAGGCTGTTGTGTTGAAGAAGCTGGGGAGCTTGTTGACTTGTATTCAATCGTAGGCCCTTGGAGGCTTGAAGGGGGGGGTTGGGGAGGAACTTCGAGTGTATATTTTAGGATCTAAAATTCTGTAGGATGGGTAATAGTTAGTTGTGTACGATGATGATCAGGCTGGATAGCACTGGTGCGATACTTAGCTGTGAAGTTCTTGTTGGGAGACTTGCACCCTGATTTGCGAACGATGTCGCGGTGTATGCGAAATCTGATAGCCTGGACATGGTTTAGAACGCGAGGGTTCTTGCAGGTCGCGTCGCTGTACGGCCTGGGGGAAGGTAATCATCGTTCGGTTCCTGGAAGCACATAGGCATACGATTAATTGCACATATCTTGCCCAAAGCCTTCGACCGTGAACTATGGGGTGCCAGTATATCTCTAGAGGTATAGGATTTCTTTCTTTCGGAAGGGGGATCATGTCTTTGGCTCTAATGGGTGTACGACGATTCGTATGCATAATCTTGGAGAAGTACTGGGGGATCGGCGGAGGATTCGATGATTGAATGAGGACCTATAGCCAGTATTTGGTACTAGTATTGAATGTAGACCTCAGATGATCAACAAGGAGAAAAGACATCTAGAATGTACTCGTCTATAAGCTCGTGTGTATGGTCATAGATATATAGGCTGGATGTGTCTCTCGGAGGGGATATATGGCTGCAAGAAGCTTCGTTAGCAGAGGTCATATTGGAGAGGATCTAATAGATGGGAATGATATGGTCATAAGTACCAAATTGCGTCCTTGTGTCGATTATCCTCTAGTTATCTTGTAAACATCTCCATTGCGCTCCAAAGGCGTCACGTACCAGCGCTATAGCTACTCGATTCCATGTGTAATGCTTCGATCTGAATTCCCCTGCCCTTTTAGCCACGAAACGCGATCTTGGGCAAGATGTCTACCAATCTAGAAAAATGGCCCGTCTCGTCCATTCTTTCCATCCCAGCCAAGGCCTCGATCGCATCCAGGAATAGTGGTATCGCGTGTGATAAGGACCCGTACGCGGGGAGATGATAGCACGCGACTTTCCGATTGTAGTTTATCCTGGAGGCGAGAAAGCTTAGGGATCTTGTTTCTTGCTTGCTCTGAGGTCGGCTTAGGCGATTATTCTTGATAAGAACAGGATTTCGAATATTACTATTGACTTGTGTCGGTACTGGGCTCCTCGTAGGAATTATTACCGGATGTGAAGTCAGTACTGTAACGGGTACGTTCGGGAAGGAAGAAGATTGGCATTCTGCATATTTTGCTCAAAGTGTTGTTACATACCGTATGGTTCTGCGACCTTGATAAGAGTAGCAAAGTTATCATAGATTAGACACCTACCATAAAAGTGTAGATACCAAGCGGTCGCACCGACCATATTCTACTAGGTAGCTCGAGTCGGGAATTAATGCTAGAGGAGAATGATTTTACGGATAACGCGAGCGGACTGAATCAACGGCTGCTCTGTAGGAGCCGAATAGAAAGATAGAAGCCTAGATCATGGGCATAGATAGATGACTTGCAGAAAATCCGTAAAACGGTTCAACCTATGGAATATCGCGATAGCTTCAACACCAGGTATAGAATCACTAGCGAAAACGCGCCTCTACAGCGAGCACATGGGCATGGATACTTCATAGAAAAAAACAATGGCGGTGGCAATATGATGCTACGGCATACCTTAGGTCTTACTACTACATGAGGTTGATGGAAGACGCGAATCAGCCTTCATTATGGCAGTTCAGTCACATACATTATACAAGTCACATCATATAAAGCATTCATCATATGGGGAACTGACAGTTTCCATTACTGAAGAGGTAAGTCACTTTTTGGTTACAGTCTTGATGACTAGTAACAAGCACCTATACTCCATCCCCTTATAAACAACCCATGCCTTGCCCTGCCTATCCTAGGCGAATAAAAAGAAAACAAAGAACCACCCACGGTTAGGAACAGTGACGCCTATGCGCCTTCGTAGTGACGGTTATGCCGGGAAAATGACAACACTACCATGCTCCTCAACCAATGCAAGCCTAGTGACCAGACTTGCGGAAACCCTTGAAGATACCCTTGAAGAAGGACTTGATCGACTTCTTGTGGGTATGACCATGACCAGTGCCGAGAGTACCATTGTGGTTGCCGAGAGCGGCAGCGCGAGCCTGGATGATGGCGATAATAGGGCCAAGAGCTGACTCAAGAACCTGAGGGAGCATCTCGTCAAGAGCCTGCTGGATCATCTGAGGCAACATGTTGACAATAGTCTGGAGAAGACTAAGCTGGGTGTTAAGAGAAACGACATTGCCGTTAGTCGAGTTGAGAAGGGTACCCATCGCGTTGATATTGTTGCCTAGAGAATGAACGTGGCCGTCGATAGCGTTGACGTGCTGGCCGATGGCGTTCAAGTGCATGATCTGACCATCGACACGGTTGATCTGGCCATCCATCTGCTCGACGCGTTCACCCAAGTTCTGACTGAGAGCGTGGTCGATCATTCCAAAGACGTCCTCGAGAACAGCTTCGACGTTAGCACCGTCGATATTGTGAGTGTGATGCTCAGACATCTGGTTGATGGCAGCTCGAATGCCCTTGAGCATCTGGATCATGTTCTGACCAGCCTTGTTCGCAGCCTCATCGTTACTGTCCTTCTTGATCGCATGGATGACTGCATGCTGGACGATGCCGTAGATTCGGGACTCAGTGTCCACACCGTTCATCAAGTTGTTCACAAGCGTCTTGACGCGTTCCTGCTCGGTCACTTCGGCCATGGTCTTATCACGGGCACGAATCTCCTGAGCGATACGCACATTGAGCTTAGACACCTCTGGCATCTTGTGCCAGTCCTCACGAGCGGAACTTCCACGAGCCTGGTTCAACTCCTTGAGACGACCGTAGTCGTCGATGATTGCCTGGATGTTGAAACCAGGGGTCTTGGTGCGAGGGAAGATTCCTCGCTCGCGAGCCTCGGAAAGCTCAATGCCCATCACCTCGATATCTTGGGCAGTCACAGCAACGCGAACACCATCATCCATCACCAGCGTGGCAGTGCTGGTCAGGCGGCTGGCGATGGCTAAAGGGAAAAGAAGTTAGCATTTTTTTCGTCGAGTAATGGGTTTATCAAATGCTAGGATGTTACTTACCCTCTTCCATGGAATCATGGAACACACCATCGGACATTCCGATTGCCGAATCGGGAGCCTCGGCAGGAAAAAAAACTCGACCCTCGACAGCGGGGTGCCTAATGATTAATGTTAATTGATGTCTTGACAAATGATAGAAGGAATATTAGATTAGAAAAAAAAAGGGAAAACTTACGCTTCTTGCGAAGCCTGGTCCACACGGGCACCCTTGGTGGGTGTCTTCATTGCCATCATCATGGCGTCGTTCGTCCTAGATAAATATGTTAGTGTATGCTGGTTGAAGTTAATTGATGAAAATAGGAAAGAATAATACTTGGCAATGATGGATCAAAATGGGGTGGTAGTACAGTGATGGTTTATATAAAAAGTAGTCGGAAGTTATGAGATGGTGTGATAGCGGAATTAAGAAATTTAATTGGGGTGGATGATGTTTGATGTGAGTGGATAAAAGTAGGGCGAATAAAAAAAGGAAGTGTGGAATGGTTGTGGAAAATAAAAGTAGAGTATGGGTGAAGAGTGATGGATAGTGGTGGTGGATAAGTAGTAGTGTGGAATGTGGAAAATGTAAAGTGGAAAAGTTGAGAAAAATTGTTGTAAGGTTGATGGTGATGGGAAATTTTTAAAATGGTTTGGGGAAGTATGTTATATTGTGGATGAGAAAAAGATTTAGTGTAGTGATTTGGTAGGTGATGGGTGGTGAGTGAAGTGGTAGGTGACGAGTGGTAGGTGGAGTGGCAGGTGACGAGCGACAGGTGCAGGTGAAGGTGAAGTTGAAGGTGAAGTTGAAGATGAAGTTGAAGGTGGAGGTGAAGGTGGAAGTAAAAGTAAATGGGAATTATGAAATATCTACTACCAATGCGTCGCGTCGAAAAAAACAAGGAAACGTATCTGAAAATAAATGCAGGATAGGTGTATGATACTTACGGAAGAGAGAGAGGTGGAGGTATGGAGGTGGTGGAGGTAATTGTGGTTGGTATACGAACTTGAAATTGGTTGGCGGTTGTGGTTGTGGTTGCGGTTGTGAAGATTTTGGGATTGTGGTGGAAGAGAAGTTTAGAAAAGAAGGTTGAGAGAGGAAAGAAAAAAATAAATGAGGTCTGAGGAAAGGAAAAGTGTTATGTAGAAAAGATTGTGGGCGGTGGGCGGTGTTGGTATTCTGCCCAGTGTGTGGTGGATGCGGTGAGAAATTTAGTAGGGAAGGTGACGAAATTTATTGGACTTACTTCACAGATCTCTCGCGTATAGCGCGTTAAGGAGATCGATTACGGGAGGGGGTCAACGGGATGGTAAGCCGTTTATAGAGGATTTGGTGATAGTTAAGTTGATTTGTGTGTGAGGTGGTCGGTAATCAGAATTGTTGATGTTCTGGTGATGGGTTTGGTATTTGTAAGTGGAAGACTTTTTAGTAGTCTGGACCACTAAGTAATCGTTACCTTTAGTGCTTGGGTAGCTGTGAGAGAAAGGAAGGGAGGATTAGGCGGAGAGTCGAAGGTTTATATAGATTTTGGTGCGGCAGAATATTTGGCGGTAGGTGACGAGCAATTCCACAAACGCACTTAGACCGCCCAGTTAATTCAGTTAATTAGGTACAGTATGCCCCCTAAAGCTTCTGAAAATTTTGATTGCTACCCAGTAGAAAGAATGGTAAAGGTCTGATCTGTTAGTAGCGTACTGTAGATACTGCCTGATTTCATTTTATGCCGCCTACCCTTACGAGTCCTGCCCAGTATGGCTTTTTACTTAGGGATAGTACGGTATGTAGAGTCTGATCTTGGAGCTGGAAGATAATGATCGGATTTGACGTGTAATGGCATCCATCCAGGCGCGTCTTGATCTACATCGCATTCTTATTGTAATTAGTTTGATGATTAGAATACACTGGGTTCTCGGGGAAGAATCACTGGTTCGAATGGAATCGAAATCAACACTGTCTAATAGTACGGTGCCTTAAAAATTGAATGCTCAACCACACTTGATTTTTTTTTCTCGTGCGAGGATGAATTATGGCGGCCTTCTTTTCCTGGCTTTGGTTTAAAGTGTCGTCCCATGTAGGCCGCTTTTGCCCATCTTCAGATGCTATAATCGTATATATTGACGTGTAACTGTCCTCCACGTGAATGGCTTACTGTAGCGCCGATAATTCTAGCTTGCCCACCCAGTAGCAATTGAAGAATCTTGCTGTAACAGTTCCAGTTAATTAGTAGGATAATTCTCAAGGGAACACTAAATAAACAGATATTTACACATGTTGAGACGCATCTGATCTCGGCCTGGTCATTTATCGGGTTTATAAGATACCTAGCACGTAGGCAAGTACTCGACTGTGTGAAAAGGGGATGTGTAACTGAAAGACATGCGGCTCAATGAATGGACGTCGGAATTAGCGTGGATTCCGTCCGCAAGGTTTGCAGATCATACCCTAACTGCGCTTAATTTGAGCGCCACACGGCTTGCAGGACCCCACATCCCGTTCTAGATCGATCTCTTGGCACCACCATCTGGGAAGATCTAGGAAGATATGGCTCGTCAATCGCAGAGTAATTCATCTTAAATTGGAATAAATGCTACCTAGTGCATAAACAAACATGTAATTTATCTAGAATTCGGTAGCAACTGTGCGTACTAGGTAGAAACTACGTTACCGCCCCGCATTGGATTAAGCTCTGTATGGTGGCGGGGTAGTCGCATGTGCAAGTGTTGAGGGAAAAAAGACAGTATCCGTACAGTAAACGGTTAATTAACGGCCGTAAAAGCATCGCGACATGAGATGAAAGTGCGATTCTGATGCAATGACCAATCGAATGCCAATAATTCTCTCCCGTGACCAGCTAAATAGAACACAGTCCACTTTATGAAAAGTTAATGTCTTTGCATTAGCCATACTGCCTTCGCTGTATTTGTTTTCACCCAGTGCCCAGTAGAGCTTTTGAAAATCCGCTCACTAAATCGGATGTCGGCTTATATCATCGGCAAATGTTTCAAGATTGACATTTGTTGGATTATTCAGGGAAAATGCCGTATCTAAGCACTAAGCTAAGCGGTCGGAGAGATTTCTACGGATTTGGATGGAGAGGGCCTGAAGCTATTCAGAATTGCACCAAAGCTATGTAACCGTTAATTACGTAGAAGAGATACGGAAAATGAATTTGAAAATCAAAACGGTAAGACTGGTAAAGCCAGTAGTAGAATGTTGACGCGGTGCTACGATGCTAATCATCGTCGTTGCTATTAATTTTGGAATAAAGGCTGTGATATTGGTAATATATATTAGAATACCTAGATGGACAGGCGTTAACTCAGACATCGTATTCTTGAATAAGGTAGATTTAAGTCCGGCCGATCAGATCAAGATCGTCCCATCCCGATGAATCACTGGTTTCTGAGGTCATATTAGAATTGGCGACGATTATCTCGTGGAATCAGAGAGGCAGCATTTCATCTTGTATATCACGTAGAATGTATGTAGTCGCAAAGCGGATGTCCACCAGCCCCAAATCAGAATCGGCATGAATGGGTCGAGGGCATTGTGGAAAATATTTCACAGCTTTCTGATAGAAAAATAGAGAAATCATTTTCACGCCGCTGATCGCGATCATACGTCATTCTGGAGAATCCTAGTGCTTGGATTTTATTCCAACGACCGTGCTCACCTCTTACCGGAACGGCCGAACGGATCACTCGGCTACCCCTCGAGAAACACGCATGTTATACGAGAATAAGGGAATAGAAAGCCATCGCTGATAAGGTAAATGGCCTCTACACGTAAAATGGGCTCCCAGGATAATCATACAGATGATTTAAGGGCAGCAGCCATGGGGATTTGGAAACAGGCGGAAAAATAATACGATCAGGAGGTTAAGAATGGGATCGTATTCTTCTATGCCAGCCCTAAACACCACGATAACGACCTTCGTAATTCCTAGAATACGACTCGTAGGTACATTATATAGAAACCGGATAATCTAGTATGCCAGCGCTGACACCTGAATGATGGCCGAACGGCATGATCGCAAGGTACGCTATGTAGAACCACTATCAGATTGAATCAAATCCAGCTTGAGTACAGATCAATCCAGTCTGAAGGTAGTGTCCTCTATGGAAGGATTATGGGGATTCAAATTATCACCAAGTAATCCCATAGAAGCGACACCGAAACGGATGTCGCAAATCGCAGGCACGACATGTCACGAATACCATGCTATCGGTATTAAAAAAATCTAGAAAGCAGTCAACTAGATCCATGTTCTACTCTATTTTCAACAGCTACTTTATTTGAATCGGCATTTCTCTGCGATATTATCACGGTAAAGTAGAAAGCAATAGATTGTCCTAATGAGAGCTAATTATAGCTAAATCCACGTCCTATGTTCGTGCCAAGCAAATCGAAAACCATTGTGGTTCAGCAAATGTCCTCCCCATGAAATCCTTCGTAATATCGTAGAAGGCAACAGCAAATCCTCCCAGCGCGTATTCCCGGTCTTGATATGTACCCTTATTTTTACCACCTGTTTACAGAAAATTAGCTAATGCGAAGGCGCGAGAGGAGTCTTGAGGTTACATACCACGAGATAAGAGAGATTGCGGTTATCGTATGATTCCCTGAAAAGCTAGAGGATATGTGCTTGCTAATGATAGCTATGTGTCTCGTGGTGTGGGTAAATCCATGTGTTGGGTGAGAATCCATAAGGGAGAGGATTAGGCGACATCGTCGCCGGAGTCGTTGGAGTGGGAAACTGTTGAGGGAAAGCGGTGTTAGCAGGGTAATCAAATGAATGGATCCCCGGAATCATCGGAGCAGGCGAATGTGAGTGCGAGTGCGAGTGCAAATGCGAATGCGAATGGTGGTGACCACCGCCGTAGACGAGGCCACTACTATCATCACGCTTCTCCGTCGCGCAAATGACTAAGACGTCATCGTCATCCTCGTCATTTTGTGCGTTGGTGGAAGGCGATGCATTTGTTTGACCCGTAGGTGCTATCCCGTTGACGGATGTAACACCGGGTGCAATGGTACTCGCGCTGCTGCTATTCTCCTGCTCCGCTTTCACGGCGATTGGATCTTCGGTCTTGACTTCACCTTTAATCTCCTTCTTGATGGGCTCATCGACATCTCCGGCATCCTCGTCAACTGCGGCAAGCTTGCGCTTCTTGCTGGGTGTGGCGCGAGTCTTCACGCCCTCCTTGGAGTCCTTGGATTCCTTCTTAACACTGCTGGGGGAGCTGATTCCATGGGCCTTCATGAGACGTTCATATCTCTTAGCTCTAAAAGAAAAAAATGTAGTTAGCGTCACGAATATTTTTACGTTGGGTAGTGGCTGTGTCGCGGTTCCATATATGAGGCGATGTAGGGCGATCAAGATCCCGACTCGACAACGTTCTACCTTTGCTTGTGTAGCGGACTGATTCTTGAATTATATGCTCTTACAGATAGGATATGTTTTGTGGGAAATAATATGGGAATAGAATGGGAGAAAAACACTTACGCGGCACCCTTCGTGATGATGGAAAGTTCCTTGGCGACCTCGTTAAAGTCGACCTAATAATATTAGCAAAATATCGCGAAGGACATGATTTTAAACGTAGGTCTTACCTTTCCAGCAGTCGAGTGCTTGATGCAGGCGATGAGGAACTTGAACTGGGAATCGGTGTCTAAGGGAGCCATCTTGATTGAGGTAGATGATGGATCGATTGAGTAGAGATAGTTGGATAGAATGAAGAAGGATGTGGTAAATGGGAGAATGGAGTGAATAAGTTGATGTAAGAGAGATGAAGTTCTGAAGATGGAGTTCTGAAGATGGAGTTCTGAAGATGGAGTTCTGAAGATGGAGTTCTGAAGATGGAGTTCTGAAGATGGACAGGTAGACTGAAGGAAAGATGTTTAAATGGTAGTGTGTTACAGGTATGTAGAAGGCAGCCTGGTCTATCGAAGCGAAGTCGGGTGTTATCCCGGACACCTCGTAGGGCGAGAGCAACTGCAGTTGCTGTTTTGTCCAACGGTACCCGCCTCCCGATCGTGATCGACTACGAAACTAAGGCAGGTTGTTTCCTGAAGCACATCGAAGTCCAGGGGTCTGGCCAGGAAGTAACCGGGGTCGTGGAAGTGGGGGTCGGTTCGGTCAGTTCTTCGACCTTGCAGATGGCTTACGATTTGTAGCTTGTAACTATTTTTTGCTTTCTAGTATGTCGTAAATGTGGACACACAGAGGGATTGAACGGACAGTTGATGTCAGGGAGTAGCAGCTAAAATATGATGATTCTTTTACCCTACTATAGCCAACTGTCATGAGCTTGCCTTTGAATGTCGTGAATAATCTTAGACGCGACTTTCAAGGGTAACTACAAAGATAGGAGAGGACAAATTATAATCTTTTATTAATGATAATATAACATATTAAAGACCAGAACATCATCTTCTATGATAGCCTTTGTTTACATCACAGAACTTCCTCCTATGTGAGTGGTATCATTGGCGTGCATATACTGGTGGCCAATAGGAGAGGAGCCTGGTAGCATCTTAGACCAGGGTAAGATGCCCACAGGAGAGATAGTCGTAATTACGACGAGAGAACCGGGGTAGTTCCGAGTCTTGGCCCTGTAGTTGCTACTATGGCCTCTATGTTATCTATCAAGTCACTGTTCTGCGGGTTTCCAGGCCGAGGATCTTAGGAGAGGCATGCTTAGATGTCATCTACCAGACCTATGTGAAAACGAGTCTACCTAGACAAAGATATGAGAAGGGTAAATGCAGCTGGGGAGGGGAGGCATACGTCACCCCCTTTTAAAATGAAAATATTGAAGAAGACAATCTCTGTCTATGAGAATAGCAATAACCAACTGGCAAGTGTCTTCCTGTCCAATGGGCGAGTACAACTCTCAATGTCCGTTTGCACCTTACCCTTAAATTCATCAGCTCCTACAATCACAACAAGAATATCATAGTGTCACAGTCAGGAAGTAGCAGTTGGTAAGGCAGTGTATAGTAATAAGTACTACCTAGTCTCGGAAATCAACGCAGAACGGAATAAAATGATTGTCCCGAGGAAAATGCCAACCCAGATAGGAGAAATCTATCCATAAATATGTTAAAGCCCTAAGTCCCAAGGCTCAGATGATGGGTCAGCAGTCAGTATCCTCCAACGCCCACGTTTTGTAGTCCATCAAAGGGTCTACTATTTCTCGTCACCAGAAACAGTCTCCTTCTTAACGAAGCCATTCTGATCATCATCGCGGCCTCCCTTGATGACCTTCTTCTCTCCATCCAGGGCGCCCTTGAAAATGGACTTCTTCTCGTCGTCATCACTCCAGTCGAGGCCCGCGCCTTGCTTCTTGGCGCGACCCTTTCGAGCAGCCTTGGGCTTCTTGACCTTGTGGGGATTGGCCTTCAGAGGAGATGGGGTGGCGCCGCCCGCATGTTTGCCAACAGCGTACTTGCGACGAATCTGTCCAAAACGGGTCTTGAAATAATTAGCTATAGGCCATACGTGTAGAAGTAATGGACTTGACAGACCTTGGCAATAGTGACGTCCTTGAATCCCATCTCCTTGGCGAAATCGTCCCAATCCATGTCAAGAGTCTTGGGAAGATATTTGAACAGAGTGGTGAAGAACTTCTGCTCCGCAGCACTGGTGTTCATGTTATCGATCTTGGCTGCCATCTTTGCGAATTTGGCGTCTTTGCCTAGAAACGGATAACAGTTGCGAATGCGATTGCTATGGTGGATAGAATGATTAGTCGCTAAGAATATTTTTGATGGGGGTGGCAATGTGAAATCGAGAAGTGTAGTATAGGAGAATGTACCTATATAATTCGCGACGATGAAATGGCGGTGGTGGTATGAAGAGGATGACAAGTGACTGGAAAGATACTTACATCAGGGTCTGGTGGGCAGTGTCGATATCTATGAAGCCGGTAGGCAAATATGTTGTTTATTTGTCACAGACCGAAGGGAATGTTGATCCTAGACTCGTGGTGGAAGGAAGTAGATGAGACTATGCTACCTTAGATGAAAATAGATAATCTCGAGATTTGTATGGGATTGATGATGTGTAGAAGTCAAGAATTTCTCTGTTCATATGGCAAGCGTAAATATGGAGGAGTCGGGATCGAGACTTGGTCGTGTTATAGAATAAGGGAAAGAATGATCAGATGTCCGGTTCAAAATATGACAATGACTTTGAATCCACAGGTGGGGATGCTGTAAGTTCCTAGCCCAAGTTTATGCAGTTGCCATACCAACTATTGTGTAGCTCTCGCAGAATGCAAGTCGGTTGTTGCTTGGTGGTAGCAACTATACAGCTGTTGCCGTACAGACACAGGGGGTATTATCAACAATGGGGATAACACGGGATAGTCGATAGCAACCATAAGATCTAAACACATTCAGTAAACAAAAGTCATGTGGATAAACGATAATCTCACCTCTGTTCAAGGTTCTGCTTCTTCTCATGAAGTTAGCGTCAGTTACATCAGAAATAATGCCATAACAATGAACGACTCGCCGGTACGTAAGATTCAGTGACCCCTTCTTTGTGGAGTGATAATGATCAATATCAAGCTATTGAGACTATCATGCACCTTCCTGTGTGCCATTGATCTACCCAGGTAGTTGGATTCAACAAATAAAAGAAAGTACTTGCCCCTTTAATTGTGCTCCTCAAGTCGTAGATGTTGATTACGTAATATTGGTTTATCAGTAGTCAACCTTGAATTCTTGTAGACATTCTTTCTACTACCATACCTCAATTCTTGGGACATCATAGTAGCATTTATACGAAGTTCCTGGTGTTCTTAGAGCATCATTCTTAGGAAATTCCCTCGCCAATGTGACACCGGAGCCCAGAGGCAGACCCCAAACAATGTGATTCATTTCAAAGAATGACAGCCGACCCTACTGGTCAAAAAGCCAAGACCATAAACAGAGAAATCTAGACTACGGAGATCTCTCCGGGATTTAGGAAAGATATGTGCTTATTGTGAGCATGGGGTGGAGTATCACCTCCAAATGGAGTATAGTGCTAGTAATCCAACCCCTGGTCCATAACTTGGGTCGAATGGTACCTAGGTTAAAAAGCAAATGTAGAGATACTCGACAGTATTACACGAGTTTGGTACTGTTGACCTTCGTAAATGATGAAAACAAGTCTAGGTAGACTTATTTTCAATTGGGCGGAACTACAGAGGACCATGAGAGACCATCTGCTAACTAGGATCTGAAATGTCTTCTTATCTCTTAGTATATTTGAACATTAATAATTTCTTGTACGCTGGCTACACTTCCAAACATTCCATGGCCAAAAAGAAGGCCCTTCATCAGCTTATGACGGCATCCGGCCGAAATAGTATCTTCTTTCATGCGAAATCCATGCATGTCGCATCGTATCTCGGAATTTCCTAGTGCTTTCCATAATTCTCGTTTACAAGCACGTATCTATAACGCGCCTTCCCATCTTCGAAGTCGACGATAGCCTGGTTGGCTTCCTTCAGAGGTCGTTCCACAACCCAAGCCTTAATATTTTTATCTGCTGCAAGTTGCAACATTTCTCTGATTTCCCAAGGGGCGCCAGTGTGGCTACCCGCGATTCTAGTGCCACTTGGAATCAGGGCGAAAGCACTAACGGGAGGTAGGATTCCTCCATCGGGAGCACTATGTCATGTTAGTTCAAGTTGAACTCATACTCCATTAGGGAAGCACAATGAAATCCAACTTACCCGACTTGGACTAAGGTTCCCTTTGTCCTTAGTAGGGACATGTAGCCATTCAACGGCATCTTCTCGCTGGATACGGTGCAGATGATGATGTCCAGGGATCGAGAGTGCTTGGCAACCCAATCCTTGTCTTCGTCCGTGGCAACATATTCATCGGCGCCAAGCTTCAGCGCGTCCTCTCTCTTGTCGGCCTTTCTCGAGATGCCGACAACCCTATCGGCGCCCAATGCTTTGGCAAACAGGATGGCGAAGTGTCCCAGTCCACCAACGCCGACAACACCCACAGTCTTTCCCGGTCCACATCCATTTTCTTTCAGAGGAGAATAGACTGTAATGCCAGCACACATCATAGGCGCAGCACTAGCTGAATCCAGTCCATCCGGAATGCGGAAGACGAAGTGGCCGTTTGTACGATTATAGTCGGCGTAGCCACCATAACTCTTTCCTTCTCCGTTGGGGTAGATCGATCCGTATGTGTTCGTCAGTTCGTTATGGCAGTAGGACTCAAGGCCATTGCTGCAGTCCGGGCAAGTGCTCTGTTGGCATGTTCGTGCTTGAGCACCCACTCCGACACGGTCACCGACTTGAACATGCTTGACATTCTTGCCCACACGAACAGCCTTTCCAACAATCTCGTGTCCTACAACACAGGCTACAATATTATTAGTACACGTAAGGTGTAGTAATAAGGGGGGGCGTACGGTATGGCGTTGGAAGCCAGCCCGATTTCATAACGTGGATATCGGAACCACAGATACCGCAGTGGGAGATTTCTATGTCTACATCGTCTTCGGACCATTTCTTAGGCTCGTATTCGCCCCATTCCCTATTGAATGATAGATATTAGAGATGATTTCTTATTGTCCTCAATGGTGAAGCTGTGCCTCGGTTGATTACTCATCAAGCTTGAAAAGGGGCTGATATCACACAAAAAGACTCGAAGTTGCGAGTAATACTTACATCTTTCCATTTACCGCTTCTGGGCTCTTTCCTAGCCATCCTTGGAACTTGGGACTCGTCTGCGATGCCATTTTGAGGTTTTGAGGTGAATTGGTAACTTGTAAGGTAGGTGATTAACAAGATTTCCAAGAATATGTCAAGCTACCCGACTACGAGGCCCTTCCAATCCGGGTATAAATATCGGTCTCGGATTCTTCAAGTCCCCTACATACGCCATTACTGATATGATTAGTAAAATGATGTTGCCGGGTATCTAGGTACCCGTCTCGGTTTGTTGACCTGGGACGCTAAGTGGAAATGATGGCGACGGATAGAATACCGCATCTAGCAGACACGCGATTAGCTAACCTCTCCTCCACAAGCGCATGCCGAGAGAGGTTACATGCCGAATCTTTAGTCCAAACTGTTCCACCATCTAGCCCATCTCTCCACATTATATATACCGGCGTCCATATCTCGATAGGGGATGCTAGCAGATCTGGCTTAATTAGAGCCTGAATATCATGAAAATCTAGAAGCTAGTATCCAAGTTTCGGCGCTATACGTCATGTACCATGTTTCGGACTTAGCACTATTCATAACAATGGAAGTTTTTTTTTATGAAAACCTTTAAAACACGACTCGGTCAAGGGAGAGGTTGACGAATTCGTATAAAAGGAGAATTGCGAAACGCTAAAAAAGCGATCAGGCCAAGCTAGAACACGTGGAATTAAACTTCTTTGCCCCTGTATCCACTGAAAATTTATCTTCTAGCTCAACAATTCGGGAACATTTCCCCTCTCAGCAGTAGTCTGTTCTTTAGACTCTAGAACAATGTGACTTTACGTCGACAATCCACACTCCCATCATATCCGACCGATCATTAATCATGAGTCTAAGCATCATGTCACTTAGGCGGTAAGGGATTATTACTGATGGAATATCGGCGATAAGTAACATTTCTCCATATTTATGGGAATAACCTCATTCATTAGTAATGCGTTACGTAATTAAATTAATTCCCTATTAGGTTATTTTCGGCTCATTTCATTGGTCAATCTTGCGGTATAGCTGGAACTTGCGGTATAGCTGGAATAGTTACGATCGTATGGAACAATATCATCGATCTTTTCGGCTGGTGACATGTTTCGCAATTAGTTCGTGGCAGGTATTTTGCATCATGGACAGTATGTTTTATGAAAAGAAAAGCAGGAACCTTGAAGTTTCAAAGTTTGCTCCCGCGGATTCGTGGGCTTAGGTAATACACATGCTTAGCTAAGCTGGGTTAGCACCCTGAGATTAGGTAATTGCGTTAAGCCCAGACCACAACATCAAGGGATCAATTAGCTGACATAATCGTTGATTACCTAATTAATTCCCTTGTGGCATCAATGGTATGAATACGAAGTTATCATACACTTTTAGACACTAAGATAAGGAAAGATTAGGAATTTACTACAGTGGGCTAATAGGGGTAACTATTTTCCATGTCTTCAGGTATCTCCAAATAACAAACATAAGTTTATCAAGCTAACTGACCTAAATACCTAGATAGGGAACAATCTCTCTATTCTGAAAGCAGTAATATGTAAAGGTGAAGTTATCTTGCGTAATGGAGAATATTTGAGAGTGGGGGGCCAAATTCAAGGAACAGGGTCGAGAAGTGCCCTTGCTTCAAGCAAGCTAGTAGGTCGCCAGTAGGCCGTCGTCAGCCCTACGGACAGACTAGACAGAAGTACGACATTCTCTACTACCTGAGACATGGTACTACTGCATGTATCAGCTACAACGACCATAGTACTAAGATGGAGTACACATGAGCGTTCTAGGATCAGTATGGGGTTGTGACACAGCTATGATAACGTATGTTTTTCCAAAAGGGGAACAGTCTCCTCATAATGTGTGTCAACTGCCTGGCAGGAGGCGAAAGCGAAAGTATGGCATATCACAAGGTCTACAGTTACATACTCTGAGCGGGCCAATTTCCGGTTCACCCCCCGAGTACGATTATTCTCGGGGGAGGGGGGTGCCTTCTCTAAGGCGAGTTTTCGCCAATTAGGTAGTCGTCAAAGCGTACTTCAACTCATGACGAAAGAGCTAGACCCCGAAGACGCCTGTGAATAACGTATGTACGAGCGTATCCTGAACAGAGGCGCAGATCTTAGAAGAAACCTCCTAGTTCACTGCAATGCAGACAGATCACGCAGCGCAGAATGAAAGCTGTTATTGTCATGATCTCACTGAGTCAACCCTGGCTCGACCCATCTTAGCTGAATCAACAACACTAACAGAGCCTGTGAACGGGCAGTTCTAGGCAGCTCTCAACCATTCACCTGCATATCTGGAGCATACGCATGTCTATCAGCCCTAATGAGGTCACTTGCGGCCCTAAAAACTCGATAACATTCTCCGGGATGCTTCCGAGGTAGTATTCTACAGCGTGTGAATTCGAAGGTCGTCGAAGAGCGACGAGCGACTCTGTAAAACGAGTGTAAACACGATCCCTGAATCATCCCAGGCCATCTAAGAGAGCGGTCAGAATTGTAGGCCGACTTGTAAACGCCAAGGATCTCAAATGTGTACTTCTCTGCTCAGATCTGCCTCCGATATGCCCTCCGTATCTAGAACCATGGTGTCGGAAGCAGAGGACCGATGAGGTGACAATGCGGATATTCTCCTGCATGATCCGGAGTAATGGTGTGAGATCGGTGAGACCCTCCATGGAGGGGTAAGGTGATGAAAAGGGTCACCGGGACCATCGATAAGTCTATGCAACAACAACAATCCCCATCACGAAGTGTACAATTGACTGTAGAGTTACTCTCGCGATCACACAACGCGCATACCTAAGAATAGTTCTGGCATCCGAGATTCCTATAGGCCTGGTCTTATCGCCACCGGTGGGTGACCTTTCAAGGTTGCGTCCCTCACCGACACGTTATAAGTTAACCGAAAAAGCACGGCCGTTTTTTATATATTTCCACGTAATAATAAGGCATGATAACGAGGATGTTAAAATCCCTCATAGGTCTAGATGTTGTGTAATAATAAGCACTAACGAAGCCACTTAGTTATAATGAAAGCCGGGCGTTAACTAAAGTCTGCCCGTCCCTGCCCGTCGTATCGGGTGACTTTGCTTATATGCGTGGGGAAAAGGGGGGGAGGGGGGAGAGTCCTACGCTCCTCGAATGCTCCAATGAGACAGCCGCTGACGTCGTGGTGGGGTAGGACAAGCCCTACGCTCCCAGATCTAACGATTCAATATGCTTAATCGTGGTCGTTAGGGTTACATGCAGCCGTTCCTCCCGTTTTGTGTACCGGGATCTTGGGTCCGGCCCGGACGGGCATATCCCATTCTGAAGTGATCCCGAGGAAATCTGTAAAAATCGAGTAAAGACATTTCCAACACGAGTAGACGATTAGGGAGAGGAGATAGTCTATCGTTATTTTGTCAATATTGATAATAATCAATTGGTGTGCGTGCGCGGGGGGTTTGTGATGAGGTGGAGGCCGAAGAAGGGGTCAAAAGTGACCTGTCAGAATTTTTAAGATACTATGGCGAGACCCTTTAACGATAATCCCAGTAGAAATTGCCCCAGGCAAATGAATAGCGGATGTGAAAGAAACCGAGAAAGTAGTCGGAGGAGATTTCCTTCAACTCCAAAGAATATCTGCAATAACCGCCGTTGATGTAATTGTCTTGTTTTAACCCCCTGCCCATCTGAATTCACAACAATCCGAGGCCTATCGTGTTTCCAGAACCGCCCGTCTTTAGGTCAGCCACTCTGTCTCACCAGCAATTTTAGAATGAATCCCACACACGAATGATCGCTCAAAAAACAGCTCCGTAGCGATCACATAATGTATTCAAGAAGCACTAGCCTGGATATACTCCGACCTAATAGGTTTGTCCAAGTGTCTATGGTACTTCCTCCTGGCGAACAGAATCCCAGTACGCCTGCCTTAGACGCCGATGTCATTCCGCCAAATGACAGGTCCGAGTTCAGCCATGTAGGGAGGGTCACAGATACACGTTTAGACGACACCAAATTTTCGCATCCCAAACGCCCAAATTTTGACATTAGTGAAATTGGGAAGACACTAGCTCGTAACGCATTCCCAATCCAAAATACACTGCACACTTGAAATCCTCTTAGAAACCAACATATTACCTTGGTCATAATTCATGAAGTCATGTAGACCAAGAGCGAAATCCAATTGCCTCGCTTGCCCATAATTTTTTGTCCGCCCTCAAAAGTCATCCCAAGACGCCTCGCGCTTCACGTTAACCCACTCCTCGTTGGGGTCAATTGGCTGGCTCGGAAGCCCTAGATGGACTTGCTGGGGGTGCATGTGAGGGTGCTCGCAGTGCCCAGCGCCATAGTCTTCGAATGGGTAAGATGGTGAATATGCGGGATACGATGGGACGCTCGGCCACATCGGGTCGTTGTGGTTGGGACACGGCGACTCACGGAATTCGAAAGAGTTGCGAGGAATTAGGTCGGTTCCGGGGCTAGACATGAGGGTTGGCGAGGGAGAAAACATGTCCATGTCGCTACATGGCGTCAGAAGTCGAGGTTGAATTACGCCAGAGGTGTTATGCATAGGAGGCGGCATTGAACCAGGCCCAGGAGTTAGGCGTGGAGTGAGCCGACTCTCGAAGCTAGGATATGGGGACTCCTGCTTAATTCTTGGGGGAGTTGTCTCAATCGAGTCATGAAGCTCGGGAGAATCTAAAGCAAGTTCAGACTTGACATTCTCGCCTTTCCTCAATCTCGGCTCCTTCTTCGACTTGGTAACGCGAGACTTCGGCTGGCCTGTTCGATTTCGTCGAGTCGGCTCAAGACCTAGCATAGAAGATCGGAAGCGCGAATATCTCATCCGAGCAGCGTGGCCATTGGTGATCTTCTTGCCTTCACCCAAGACTGGATCGTGGGCGACCTGGTCCCAGTTGATCTGGATCATACGTTAGCCGCCTTGCGCAAAATGCGACATACATCGCGAGGATGAGCCTGACTCACGTCCTTGAGGTTCTTCTGCTTCAGAATAGCGAACAGGAATCGAGTCATGGCGTTGTCATTGTTGTTGGTAGCCATGATGGCGGTGTTCTGCAAGCGCGATTGCTCAATTGGTTGATGAACAGAGAGTAGATGGGATTCGAATGAGGCGAGCGTTCTCAATAAGAAGTGCACAGCAAAGTGTAAGGCGATTGGAGACAGCACTTAAATTGAAGAATAGTCTGAACAGGTGGAGTTGAAATGTAATGGGTGAGTCACGGAGTAAGTAGTTGTGAAAGTCGGTGAGGGAAGACGAGTGGAATATATGCCAACGCTTCTAGATAAAGCTCCTAATAAGCCTGAGAAGAAGTTTAGGGATCACATCAAGCCCGACGATCGAATATGGTGAGGTGAGGTATGACGAGGGGGGTGGGGCTAAAGAGGGAGTGGCAAGACGAAGCCGTTTGATACCGAGATAATGGAGCCAAAAAGGTCTAAAAGGATCTAATATTTTTCAGTAAAAGATCAAAGTCTAGGTCGAAAGAGGGAGAGAAATACATCTAGTTCCGTCCGACTGGCTATATGGGAGATCAAAAGGGTATAGATGGTTCGTAACAAGGCTGCTTTTAAGTGCTTGCATGAAAAGGCACGCTTGTTAACATTGGTATTCCATCATCAACGGATAGATATGGAGAACAGTATGAAAGACACGGTTGCCTAGCAACTCCGGCTCCAACGAGGCGAGCACTACATACATAGTACCTATCGACAACTTTGTCTTGGCCAAGGAGATCAAGGGGTAGAGTGAACGAGAAAGCCAAAAAGGGATGTATAGGTGGTGGGGTTTGCGCGAAAGTGGGATGGTACAGTACGCGGCACACACCGCGTAAAGTGGTTTTCCATTCCCCCTGTCCTCTGTTAAGCACTATCGTCTTTTCTTGCCAGGGTGTTAGGGGTCTTGGGGGTCCTGAAAAAGTCGTGGCATCCTGGCTCTGACCGACATGAACATGGTCAAGGAAGATTGATAGTTGAAGCATATAATACTATATGCAGCACTTCTAAAAAGCCACAATTACTTAGCAACTTGATTAAGTAGAAGTATTTTTGTTGAAATTGCCTTGTACATTGCTTTCACGACTTAGTTGTTAAAAGCCCAACAGAAACATTCGTAGCTGTTTTGCCTTCACTGAAGGAATTCGCCTACCAATCAAGCCAAGCAAAATAAGAGAATGCAACACGAAACTAGCTTCAGGAACCGATCCCCGAATGGCCAGTTGGTGCCATACATTTGACAAGAAAGTGCCGAAAGAGGCGTGTGAAGTGGATAGGGCTCCAGAGATTCGGAGGGGAACCGAAGGGTGGTAAAACGTGTGAGTCACTAACAAATAAAATGAGGAGGCTGGGGATCTGAACTTGAGTGGACTCGATTAGCTGAACATCGAGGTATGTCGCTCCAATGTACCTGTAGCACAATCTGTAGCGTAATCCCTCGGTTTGACCTCTAAGCGACTCATCTTACTTGCCAATTGGCAATGGTTCTATGATGCTTGAGTAGAAATTAGTCGCATATCTAACAATGCGACATTCGGTCTAGGAACAGCATGCTTTATTTTGAAGTAGCCGACGACTTTACAGGCGAATGGCACCAGGTATGGATAAGGCCTAATGAGTTGGAACAGAGTACTGTTGCGTCCTGGTATATTCGAATGTGATACTGCAGATTCCGGGATTGTTCGCTGGCGGACTGGGGAGACCTTGGACCCTCTTCTGTTTAGATTAACTGCAAACGAACAACAGCTGCCACAGGCGGTCGCGAAGTATCTAGATGTATTTTGTACTTATACATACTTGCTGCAAATAATATGTTTGCTTTTTTTAGTCCTCCGATCGTGTGACGACATGATGCTAAGATGATTTGGAGTACATAATTAATGATTGAACTGTTAAAAGATGGAATACATTTACATGGTAAAAATGTACATGTGGAAAAAAAAAAGAAAATAAAGGGGCTGGGGTTTGGGACGCGCCGGAGTCCAAATTGATGGTACAGTGCGTATGGGAGTTCTCACGTTCAAGTCGCCTTCTCACGTGACGTTTCAGAACCAATTGCACCTTTCCGTTTTGAGAGTTAAGTGCGTGCATGTATGGGTCCTTACTATTTTGGCTGAGAAGTACTATGTATCTTCCTCTTTAGAATAAAAAAGCAAAATCCTCTTTCCCCACAAGTGAATTGTGATAGTATATTCGGAAGGAACGGAGAGATCCCGTCTTCCCTACCGGGGCAATTGCTGTGTACTAATTACCATAGGTACATATGTACCTAGGTGTGTATTTTGGTATGTACCTATGTACATCCGTACGATAAACGTCCTCGACTATGCGTGGTGTGGTGGAGCAACTTCGACTTCGACTTATTACCTACCTGCGCAATTCTTCGGATACGTGACAGCGTGTTGCGTTGAGATGCGAGTTCACGTGATTTAAGCTTATTGACCCAAGCTGCCCAGCATTCCAGGTCGATCTTGAAAATCTTGAAAGATACTAGGTACTTAGGTACATACATACTTCGCACTTGCCTTGGTATCCGTACCCCGGATCATCATGTGAACCGTGCCCTTAGCGCCACCTAACCTTAGGGCATTTCGAGTCTGATCAGTCCTATGGCGATTCGCACGACTCCAAATCATCCTATGACAATCAAGCAAATGCAATGCGGCCAAGGACTCGACCCACAGAATACCCACTAAGTGCTTCGGACCGCGTAATTCAGGTAGGTCCAATTCAGGCTCCCTGCCCATTCTTCTCAACCTCTCAAAAGCTCCCATCTCTATCAATTTTCTTGATTCGCACGTGCAGAGCGGCTTATTGTTATAGTCGTGCCCACATCTCCCTATCTAAGTACTATCAGTACCTACTCTGTACCATCCCTTAAGCTCTAGCCTCGACGGCTCCGAGCTATTCAAAGGCTCCAAGATGAATAAGAATTGGAACGATAGAGCCGACAAAGACCTCTTCTTCACCATCCTGTCAGTCAAGAACATCGGTGTAATAAGTGGCGCAGAATGGACAACTATTGGTAATCATATGCGATCCCTTGGCTACGGCTTCACCAACGAAGGATGCCGGTAAGTAAACTACGTATTTTATATGTAATGGATCATCCCTCTTCTGTCTTCCGTCTTCCGTCTTCTATCCTCCGTCTGCGCCATCTCGTAATTTCTATAATTTCAATTGAACTTAACCTAAACCTTCTCATCCGAGTTGGCATTCGGCAACCGGGCTCCCGTTGCGCATCTGACAACATCCTGGGCTGCATATGTCAGATCCGATTCCGATACCTCGGAGTTACTTCGCTGGAAGGATTCCATGCTCCCCTATAATCGAAGCAAGGTCTTCGATGAGCACCTACAGCACGTACCAAGTGCAGGTCTTTACCTAGCTATAATAGTATACACTTTCTTCAGTGCCGCATGCATGGGCTTACCGACTCGTGCTAGTCAACATTTCCAGGGCCTTCGCAGAGCTCAGCATAAAACCGATTCAAACGGGGATAGCCAGCGCAAGTCTGACCCGACTGAAAATCCTATCACGCGACGTCCCGGCCCGGGCCGTGGCCGACCTAGGAAACAGCCCCCTGCACCTGTTGCCGATTCGGATCAAGCACCCTCTTCAAAGCCATCAAGCCAAATCAATGAGGATGACCTTAATGATGCCGCCGCAGCTATGGACGCTATCGCTGTTGAGGAGACGGACTCACTGAGTCTGGCGCAAGACGACTCGGCCCTCGATGAACAACCTGCAAAACGACAGCGCCTTGAGAGCGACGACCAGAGCGACGACGACGCGGCTGTTCTCGCTCTAGCAGCCGATGGACTACCTGGGCCTGACGATCATTATGACCCGCCGGAGTAAGTCCCTTTTCTCCTATAGTTATTTAAATAGTTGCATGTGGTTATGCTAAACCCCGATAGGTATTACGGCGAAGCTTAATAGCTATAGCGTTTGATTATAGGATGGGGGTTTTCTAACATTAGAAGATCGGACGGCAACGATGTGTCAGATTCATTTTCATGCCAAATGCCGGTTCGTTTGAGCTGCGTCGTCTTTTGCCTGAAGCTAATAGAGAACGAGAACTCACGTTTGCTTCTCCTGGGAATGTGAGACGAGAGGAACGTCTCAGGGAAGCTTCTGTACAACACCGCGGCATCGCGTTGATCGGTAGTCTGGAGTTTTAAGCGGGATAGGTATTAATCGGAATAAAATTCGTGGATAGTCAATCAATCCAGTCATGTCGTAAAATTGAGCATCTAAATCACAAGAATAAAGGATGGGACGCGTCTACACGGTTACAGTGAGGTCCCATACCTACAACCTCCCGAGCGTATCTCCTGACTATGCCCAGGTGATAACCAGGTAGGCACCTACTAGGTCAGTATTATTGATCCATCCGTGAATACGATCAAGTGTTACGATATGATGCCAACATAGTATATCTGCTAAGCAGCATACGTCCAAAGCCCCCTAACGACCTACCGCTCTATTATTCCAACTACAAGGAACTTAGGTATCGTTCCTAGGTAAGTACTATGGACATATATATATTCCAGGGCAGACCAATCATAAATAATGAATGGGTAATAATCTTGTCTCTTCTCTAAACAGGTAACGTATAGGCTTCTTTATAGTGGCGGTAATCATATATCTAGCTACGCTGCCTGACTGCAAGGTAGGTACGTCGGAGTACCTACTTTTCACTACGTTTTAGTGGAAGCCACTTACATGGTTCTTGTCTTGGTACCTACCTAGCTACATCACCACCTTTCCTGTCGACTTCTCAATAGTGTACCTAGTATCTAGGTACCTACACGAAATTTTAGTAGTCTCTCTATTTTGATCACCATAAGCCACTACGATAACTTCCTCGTCCATAAACACAATCCAACCTTAACATCTTCTCATCCGTCTTACCAGTCTAAACCATTCTTCTCCTACAAGAGCATACAAACCAATCTTTTTCGTGTCCGCACTTTCGTCCCTTTTGTTTCCCCATGAAAATATTCACTCGATATAAATCCCAACCGTACGATACGATGGAGAAAGCTGCGTGGGACGCTGATTTTTATCGCGAATTCACAAACGCCACCCTCGCCTTAGGCCAGCTCACAGCTGAGCAGATGGACGGAGTAGTCGCGAGTCTTCGCAAAAGCGGGTATGCAATTTCACGCGAGGTGCTCAGGTATGTACACGTTTCTTTGGTCTTCATTTCTACGTATTATAAAATCCAATATCGTTGAGCATAGTCTTCAACCGCGTATTCAACCCCCCACGCGCGTTCTTTGACCCTTTATAAACAAATTGTCACTCTCACTTCATCCGTCTGTCTTTACGGCATGCGTGCCACTCTTTTCTGACACGACCCTGCCCTATGAACCGCATCCTTCTAGATCATATAGATCAAAACGAGCCCCTCCCACCTTTCCAAGCCGATGCCGGCGAACGAATTTGTAAAGCATTTATCAGCTAGAACGAACGAGTTGGACGAGTCGAACGGTCTCGAGACGATGTATATTCACGCACAGTATCCAGCCAAACTAAGTATTCTCCCAATCCTTTGTATCCATCTATCCAACCAAGCTACATGCTCCCTCCCAGTTCCCAAATTCCTGCTCGTTTATTCTTTTTACCCTAGTTCAATCTTTATCTTCCTTCTTCTATGACTTAAACTAACTTTACGTTTAGCCAGCGTGGTCAAGAACTTGCTCACGATGACGCCGCAGACGCCGCTAGCAGTGGCTCTGCGAGTGTTCACGAGTCCGCAGGCTCCACTCAAGCCCTAGAGGAGTCAAGCGATGACGGACCCCCTCCCCGACTCCATCCCACCGTTGGTGGACTCCGCCCTGCTGGTATGAAGTCTAATAAGAAATCTCGAGGCGGTATCAAAAAGAGCAAGAAGGGCAAGAAAGGCAAGAAGAGAGGCCCTAGTGAGAAGGCCGACGGATCCCGGCCATCCAAAAAGGCCAAAACTCAGGCGTAAGTTCATTCATTCCCTTTTTCATGTATAATCGTACGGACTATGAAACTAACAACGAGAGTAGCGACGCATTGGCAGGAGAAGAGAAAGACGCCTAGTTAATATATACGATCTTATCAGGTACCGAAAACGAGGGATTGTCCCATTTTTCGAGCTGATTGCAGATGAACTGATCTGGCACACTTGACCGGTTTCCTTGAAGATTTGTATTTGGCGGACTGTACGGCGTAATAGGGGAAAGGATACTTGTTTACTTGTTTGGCCTTGTTTGGCTTTGTCTGGTTTAGAAGACCACAGGGGAATTTGACTAAATCCGCAACAACTGACGTCCGACTCCCATTCTAATAGTGCAATTGTGACATGACTCCTTTCGCTGACATCGAAGGGGGATATATCGATGCTATACATCATCACGTTACTAACTCTCTAGCCTAACTAATGGAGATGCTGATCATTCTAGATCTATTCCACTGATCTTAGTCGAAGCTTATGATTAGTGGAGAATCCGGGTGATCCGTCCGAACCCTAGCTTAGCGTTCCGATCTTTCGGTATCTAATAATATCGTGATCCCGACATATACTGGCAGTTCGTTCGTCATCCGAATTAGAATTAGATGTCGCATCTATTAGCTTTCAAAAAGAACCATACTCCAACGAATCCACCAGTGAGGAATTCTCCTTTATGCCAGCCCTGTCGCATATATTTACCTCCAATGAAGATTGATGGTAGGTATACGCGTTCGTCTCTAGTCTAACCTCTAATGTATCAGATGAAACGAAGGGACAGCCCCGGTGGGCTCACGATGCAACCAATGATCCACCTGACTACCAATATAGGAAGTCTGCTCCTTTCAATGCCGTGCGATTCTCAGCCACTTCAGATGATCTGCTCGGTGCTCAGGTGGCGTTAGCTTCCTATCCGTGCGACAAACTCGTCAGCTCTTCGGGACAGGCACATTTTCGATCATCTAATAGTATTCCCAGTGCAGATCAGTACCCGCACGAATAAGACGCGCATGTTAATTCAGGGGTTCAAAAGTACTCCGCAATCACTTACTATGTAACGACACGCCACGACAACTTCGGGGGATCATCATACCACCAGTTAGAAATGATGGGTGGATTGGGATAGAGACAGGGACCTATCTATTGAAGTATAAGATGTCGACGATGCCCAGAGTTCTAGTCGTGATATGATACCTCAGCACCTCACTCAGGTTTCTCTCTTTCCTCTCGAGGTTGATCACTCGTTCATATTTGTTGTATATACATACTAAGTCATCTAGACTTTCATTCATTCGTTCGGCAGAGCCTGTATTATTCTACAATGCATTCAACTACCTTTCTCACCCTTAGCTGCGCTACTCTAGCCCTCGCGGCTCCGAGCAAGAGCAAGACCATCCAGCAGCGAGCTACCTGCACCTTTACTACCACGGCCGCGCTGTCGTCGGGCAAGAGTTCCTGTACCGATATCGTCCTTAACGGTATCACCGTTGCCGCAGGCGAGACACTCGACCTGACGAAGCTGACGACCGGAACCACCGTCACTTTCCAAGGCACCACCTCTTTCGGATATAAGGAATGGTCGGGACCTTTGATCAGCGTCTCTGGCACTAGCATCACCGTGAAGGGTGCTACTGGCCACGTTATCGACGGCAATGGAGCTCAATGGTGGGATGGAAAGGGCAGCAACGGAGGCAAGACCAAGCCCAAGTTCTTCTACGCCCACAGTTTGACTTCCTCGACGATCACCGGTCTCAACGTCAAGAACACGCCTGTCCAAGGGTTCTCCATCAACGGTGCGACCGACCTCACCCTAAACAGCATCACGATCGACAACTCGGCCGGAGACTCAGCTGGTGGACATAACACGGATGCCTTCGACGTCGGTTCATCTACCGGGGTAAAGATCATCAACGCCAACGTCAAGAACCAGGACGACTGCCTCGCCATCAACTCGGGCAGCAACATCGAGTTCACCGGAGGCACATGCTCAGGTGGCCACGGCCTAAGCATTGGTTCTGTCGGCGGACGTAGCAACAACGATGTTAGTAACGTTGTCATCTCCAACTCCAAGATCAGCGACTCGCAGAACGGCGTGCGCATCAAGACAGTGTACAACGCCACCGGTTCCGTCAAGAACGTCACCTACTCAGGCATCACCCTAAGCAACATCACCAAATACGGTATCGTCATCGAGCAAGACTACGAAAACGGCAGCCCGACAGGTACTCCTACCACCGGTGTTCCCATCACCGACCTGACCCTCAACGGCGTTACCGGCTCTGTCGCGTCGAGTGCCACAGACGTATACATTCTTTGCGGTAGCGGATCGTGCAGCAGTTGGACCTGGAAGAACGTGTCTGTTACTGGGGGCAAGGCAAGCACCAAGTGCTCGAATATCCCGACTGGCGCCTCCTGCTAAGCTGGAAATACATGGCTAGACCAATCCTTTTTTGTACCATATGATGTAAATAAAACCTGACGAGATCGATGAATCAAGATTCTAAAAATTAAAAATCAAAGTTAACAGTCTTCTTATCAATCAATCTTATTGAATATAACTTACCAGTAGCGTTATGTCCGTGTATTCCCATTGGTATGCCGAAAGTCACAAGCATTCGCTCACCCCCGTAGTCGCGAGCTAGGATTCAGCTCCATGTCCTAGCTGCGTCACGGCCCCCAAACAACAGTCGAACTACCACAATACTAAAGGGGCCATGGATCTCTAGGCCATTAACTTCCTTATGCTATAGGTTAGTCATCTGCCGCTAGATTTATAATGAGATCCAAAAATAATCCCCGATAAACCGCGCGTTCGCGGGTGGTGCCGTCCATCTATAACTGGATCTACCTTTCAGCTACTCCGCACCTCTAGACTATGATCTGATAGTAAGGTGTACGAGACCAGGTCATCTTTCTCCATCACGCCATGGCCGACATATACGACCAGGTACCACTAAAATCCCACGATAGCATCAGACTCCTAAAACTCCTGCCCGCTTCATCTACCGCGGACCGGGTCAAGTTCGAGCTCCTGGAAGCTACTCTAGATCGATGTCCAGTTTTCAAAGCTGTGTCGTATTCCTGGGATGGCCAAAAGCCTACAGAGGAAGCGTTTTGCTCGGGAACCCCTATCCGCGTCACGCCCAACTGCAACAATGTATTGCAACACCTAGCAGCGAACTCCGGTGCCCCTTCGCTAATATGGATCGACGCTATATGTATCAATCAGTCACCTGAAGCCGTGATCGAGCGCAACCAGCAGGTAAGCATCATGGGCGATATCTATACCGCCGCGGAAGAGGTAGTCGTCTGGCTAGGATCCAAGATAGAACCGGCCTGGGAAAAGACATTTCTCGATCTATCCAACTTCGCCGACGCGAATCTTTCTTCCGGAGACGAAAATTATTTAGAAAAGATCCTTGAATTGGCTAGCAAGATCGACACCAAGAGTAAGCTTCTCGCATAACATGCTTCTTCGAGATACTTACACATATACTTATATTGCACCAGCCCTCAACGATATTTTCTGGGGAATAACATGGTTCAGCCGAGTCTGGGTCGTGCAAGAAGTATCCCTAAGCCGCAAAGCCACATTCCTATACGGTCGAGTAACCCTCAAATACTTCCACCTAATCAAGTCGTGGTCCGATCTATACAGCACGCAAAAAGGGATCAGCCTCGTCCAAAACCTCAACCAAACCCTCTACAACGGATTCGGGACGCACATCGTATCCCTGCGAGGCCCAAGACGCGCCCTCGCCATCACCGAAGGCTACGACACCATAGAAGAGCTGTTCCGCCAAGCAAGCCGGCTCTTGGCCACCGAGCCCCGGGATAAAGTCTACGGTCTGCGTGGACTGCTAGTTAGTTACGGCATCCCGCTCCCGGACGCGGATTACAGGAAGTCGATAGACAGCATATTCCTAGAAACCACCAAGGCGATAATGACGTTCAACAGACGCCTAAACGTAGAAAGTTGCCACTACACCTCCGACACCTGGCCCTCCTGGGTTCCGAATTGGGCGAACTCGCTACCGCCCATAACGCCGAAGGGAGACTACCACGCGAACAAGGGCTCCAGCGCCTCATTTAATTTCGTCGATCTCCCCAACGGATCAATCGGAGTGCGCACCACAGCCACCATAATCGGAAGCGTCTCCTCGTCCCTCGGAACCTGTCTGCTGGGCCGATACCGCACACCCGAAGCCCTCAAAACCGACACCGTCCTAACCGGAATCGAACAACAAATCGCGCCCGAATGGACATCCAAGCGACTAGCCGCAAACGACGACATATCCAAATACCTCGCCGTGTACAACATCCGCATACTTCGCCTCGCCCTCTCATACATGGAGCGCGAAAGCAGCGGGTACGACACCTGGCGTGAAGACCTATACCAAATCGTCATCAACCAAGCGTCGATGGACGAGAAGCTCGACATGCGGCGGCCATTCACGAAATGGCTCGACATCCTCAGCGACCTCCCTCACAAGCGCCTACAAAACCCCGGGGTGTTAGCTGATATCAACGATACCCCGGAGATGGAGGTATACAACCGAATCTCAGCATCCGACACCATCTCCGAGCTGCACGAGCTATTCACCGCAGCGACGTACTTCTGGACGTTTTTCAAGACGGATTCGGGGGCGTTTGGGGCAGGTGCCTATGGCATCACGAGCGGGGATAAGGTGGCGTTGATAGCGGGGACGTGCATGCCTGCGATAGTAAGACATGTCCGTGGGGATAATTACCGCATTATTGCTCCGGCGTTTGTTTGTGGGATCATGCAGGGCGAGGCTTGGCCGAAGGAGAAGGAGAGGCTGGGGAGTATTGTGATTATCTAGTTGGATAGTTATCTCGATAGTATTAGCAAACGACTTTATTAAGGTCATAAGGAGCGATGCTTACCTCAAAGCCAATAAACCAGTCCCAAACAATCGGAGTCTAATCACATAAACCCAACAATACCACCAAGCACGAGGATATCATGATCATCATATTAACTACCAAACCGCGACCTATGTAGCAACTCCGAAAACGCCGAGTTGATAAATCTGAGATCGGTTTCATATCCCATCCCATCCTATCATATCCATCATCCCCTCCGCCCATCCAGTCGACGTCCCTCATCCGGTTTCTTCTCCGGCGCCTTGCCCTTATCACCGCTTTCTTCTTTTCGCTTAGGCGCCCCTCTAAGTGTCTGCCCTTGTCCTGCGAAGTGCGGTCTAGCTGCGTTTTCCTTTTCTGCCTCTTTATCCGCGTCTGTCTTGACGGGAACGACATTGTAGCCGAAAAACAGCTTATTAGGGGGTAATCGCAATGGCATAGGGCCATTTGTTCGTCTCGGCTGAATGGGAACGGTGTTGGTCGACGTACCGGCGACGGGGGTCGAGGGTTTAGGTGTTGGCGCTTTAGATCCCTTCTTGGCGTTCAGCTTATGCCCCTCGTTCAAGAAATGTGACGAGATAGCACGAGCACCAGCCGCTGCTGCTGTAGAGTTGGGGGCGATAGCGTCGTAGTTGATAGATTGTGCCATCGTGCCTTGGGGATGCATAAGCCCGCCGACAGGAAGGCCACCTTTCTTACTTCTCGGCGTACTGGTTCCACTACCCTTCTGTGGCTCGACGTATCCGACCGGCGGAGCGAATTCCACAGACACATCGGTCTCGATCATACACACGCCCATATTATCAGTCTCCGGTTTGACCTCTAGAACTGCGACCTCATAGACCTCATCATTATACTCGAAGTTGAAAATATCGCCTTTGGTAAGCGTAGCGAAGTTCCGGAAGGCTTTTTCTAAGACTGCCTTGGGGTCGCTAATATCTAGGAAGTTGGTTGACTGCGGTTGTAACTTGACCATCTTGGCTAGCTCTAGGGATGTCGTCTTGATCTGTATCATGTCGCCGACGTCTAGTTGTAAAGTTTGCATCATCTATACTCGTTAGCTAGAGTCCACCTCTCTTCCGGATTTCTAGGACGAACTAACCCATTGTGGTATGTATGCTCTACCCTCCTCTGCCACGAACTCCAGTGCACCTGCATGAGTCTGACGTTCCTTCTCGCCGTTCACCATCTGCATCATCAAGGGCCATTGTACATGCAGCTGAGAGATCTTCTGAAGCGCCGAAGGGGGTAGAATTATCTTGGAGCCGAAGTTCAGGTGCGGTCTCTCGGCTCCGGGGGCCATGATTATCGGGTAGCAGCGAAAGTACTCGTCGAAGCCTCTGCGCATCATGCCGGACCGGGCCACGTACGACATGGCTGCTGGGTCGTCGGCGTCGAACGGGTTGAATCCACCACGATACTGTAATATGTCTGGGTTAATAAAATGTCTAGAAATTCGGAGTAGAGAGCTGGTTGTGTAACTAACCATATTGAAGGTGGGGGTTTCCGAGTGCCGTAGAAGCTTTAATAATTGTGGTTTGTGACTTTAAGAAATATTAGACAAAAGAGCTTGTATTTAAAAACTAAATAGAGAACAACGAATATTCTCGTCAGAAGAGGAAACAATGTGTTTGTGATGGAAGCTTCCCTGACGAACCGCCTAAAGCTAGGTACTGTCATGTACCCGAAGGCAGCTGTATTTGATGACGAAACTTCGGGTGTGGTATTATTCCGCAGAAGGTGGCACCTTCTACATTCACCCGCACTGACACCCGACGGCGGGTTAGGTACGGGTCAGGGGTAACGCTAAACGCTCCACTAAACGACCCATAAGATTCCCTAAACGTGCTGTAGCTTCCTGCCCCACCGATGAGCTGCAGCTATCGAACAAGGGCAAATTTCAACGTCATATCCAACCTGCCAATAAGGCTGTATCTAATTTCATTTCATTCATTCCACAACACATAATTCGCGAATGATTCACAGATAGCTTCATCGTCGCACCCACAATGTCCTCCAGATTCAGCGCCGCGCGCCCGAAACGCGCCGGCGAGAACTACGCGCGAGCGCATCATGCAGAACCAAACTCCAAGAAAGTCAAGTTCGACGTTAGGAATCCGTCCGCTCTCGCCCCCGACGCCGAGGATGAGGACGACGAAGACGACGCATACCTGCAGGCAGACGCCGATGTCATTCGTGGAAGCGCTGCGACTAAACGTAGAGCTGTGAATATCGACGGTTACGATTCAGATTCCGACCGAGAGGATCTAGGCACTTTACATGCGTCGAAATCCAAAGCGAAGAAAGAAGACGAAGATATGGATGATATGTTTGCGGCCGAGGAAGATGAAGACGAGAAAGATGATACGGTGGACGAGACTACCGGGAAGAAAAGCAAGGAGGTCAAATTCGTGGATACTGTCGATATCGATGGCCAAGAAGCAGAGTCAAAATCCGGAGGACAAGTACGTCTCGATGACGAGTCGTCCGAGGATGATGACGAAGAGACGGTAGAGCTTGCCATACAAGAAGAAGGGATCGACACAGAAGTCGGTGCCGGAGGATTGAAGAAGCACGCCCCAAAAGTCGAAGCTTTCAATCTACGAGCCGAGAACGAAGAGGGACGATTCGACGAGGCCGGGAACTTCGTGCGCAAAGCCATAGACCCCGACGCCATCCACGACCGATGGCTAGAAGGCGTCAGCAAAAAGGAGATGAAGAAAGCAGCAGAAGCGCACGAACGGCGCGAAGCCGAGCAACGACAAAAGCGCAAAGAGGATGACAGCGCCCTAACTTCCGACCTGCTCAAATCCCTAATCCTACAACTCGAGCGTGGTGAGACGGCGTTAGAAGCGCTAGCAAGGCTGGGTCGAAGTCAGACGAAAACGAAGAAAGTTCCCAAGTGGAAGCAGAAGAAGCAAAAGCCAGACTCGATGGACGTGGACGGCGAGAAAGCGCCAGAAGATCCGGAGCAAACACGCATTAAGGACGCCATCAGCGCCATCACCGACGCCGCGGATAAACTACTCGGGAGGGATCGGCCGGATATCTACGATAGGGAAAGAGAGCTTCTAGTCCGGGAATACACGCGCGAGGCGGACGAGCCATGGGTAGAGCCGAAAGCGAAATCTGAGGAGGTACCAGCAAATAAGATGTGGGAATTCCGGTGGACGGACGGTAGGGATAACGCAGATAAACAAGGGCCGTTTGATGGACCGACCATGAAGGCATGGCAGGACGCTGGCTATTTTGGAGAGGGTGTCGAGTTTAAAGAAGCTGGCGATAGTAGTTGGAGTCGTATTGCCGACTTTGCGTGATTGTGAGGTTCCGTAAGACCGTAAAAGGGTGATATCACCAGCATATAATAGCTACACTTTTAATACGATCCAGTCCTTTCACATTTCAATAGATCTTCAAGGATGAATAGCATGTGATTAGGGATAATACTCCATCTAACATGAGGTACCATTGTGTGTTTACTACGTGAGAAAGGGGGGTTGAGTTCTCGCAGATAGCATCAAACTATCTAGAATACCTTCTCATCCCCTTCTTATTTCCAATACAGACCTAATTGTCTTATGTAAGGTAGGCTTGGACTTCGGGCATATGAATAAATTCATAACTTCGGGATCAGATCAGTACATGTCAGACAGTAAATATATCCCATTCACATCATGGACAAGATTCACATTCAAAGGCCATCAAGACAAATTCAAAAATTACACGTAGGTAATCATTCAAAAGTACCATTTTGCTCGGTCATGCCGGCGGGATATCATCGAAGCAGCGCAATCGCTGCCGAGTGGAAAATACACAACAGCCGCCGATTAGGGGCCGATCACCTCCGCCATCTCTCCCCGTATCTCCGTACATGAAAATACTCCAATGCATCTAACTCTCTTTTTTTTACTCAACTCTCTCCCCTACTTGACTGAAAAATCGCGTATAAAAAATCAATCAATCAATCCTTTTGCGTCCTAAGCCTAAAAAGCTGTACAGGTTTTCGCATGCAGACACCTCCCCCTTGATTCCGTCCGTTCCAGCGAGACGCCGCATGCCGTTTCCAGGTCGCCCTCGACCATGTCTTCACATCCCTGATACCCAAACTAAGAAGGATTGTTGCAGACGCGGAAATAATAAAGTGTTCTGGTATCGTATCATAGGAATCATGGTTCATAATATACATTAGAATGCAGGTTGGCACCACCGCAAACGCCGTATATCTTGTGTGGTGGCACCGACCCTAGCTTCAGATTGAGGTGGTAGTTCCGTTCGTTGACGAGTGTCCGATTCTGGTAAGGGCGTCGACTGGTTTCCATGAGCTATTCGACTGCATAACCTTTCTTAGAACTTCGAGGGTGATCGGTATAGCTTCTTCGGGTGTCGTCCATGGTCCGAGTCGGTCGATAAGCTTGCCTATCGAGCCCCCGTCATCTGATTTAGAGCCCCCGTCGTATATACCCATGGCTCTGCGTGCGCTATCAGCCTGTCGCCAAGTCTCTTGCTGATCCTTACTATTAGTGAGCATTAGATTCGCAAACTCTTGATCGTGAGGATATGACCACACTACGCGGCCAATGTGTACAAGACAAATACCTTGAAGGCGCAAGATCAGCGCAGTCAAGGCATTGTGCCTAGCACAATCAGTCCTCGTCACTCTAAATAGAGCCAGTAACTCCCTTAGTGACCGTATCGAGCCCGGTTTACGTTCTATCTCAGCAGCATCGCTCTGTAGTTTAAAGCCGAATAAAAATGAAACCAAGCACTGAATACCAGCGGCAATAGCAACTTGACGATCGCGCTCCGCAATCCCATCCGTTTGCCTCTTCAAAACCGCATCTCGTTCATGTTTTAATTTGATAGCAATTTGTATTATATTTGTAGACCGTGACTGTAGCCTCTGCAACTTCTCTGGGTCAATAGGCGGGCGCCGTCGTTCAGGCGGTTGCGCGGCAGGTGTGAAACCGTTTGTAACCCCCGGAGTACCGGCTTGGGAGCTATTAGACGCGACTCGTGTCATTGCTGATGATTGTCTCGGTGGTGTTGTAGGGCGTGTATTTTCTGAGGTCTTCGGTCGTTTGATCGCTTCGCTAGCATCTATCGCGGGAATCGGTCGCTTACGTGCGGTGCCGGGTTCTAAGCTGTCGGAACGGTCGCGAGCCATACGCTCTTCTTTTTTGAGTAGATCGCTCTTCTTCTTTCCAACTGGAGGCAAGGCCAAGAGCCGTTCTACAGTTTTCGCATTTCGTTTCTTGTACTTCAATGTAACTATGAGCGAATCCCGCTGTCCTTTGTTGCTGTCCACATGGATGGTTTCTTCGCGCTTTGAAGGCTTCGCTGCTTTCTTCTGGCCATTAGGAGAGTCCGAAAATTGACTGCTTCTTTGACTCGATTCCTTGATGTCCTTTGATGGGGTAGATTTGTTCGTCCTTGCTAATTCTTCGAGTACAATGGGTGGGAGTGTCGGGGATAGAAGCGGTGGGATTTTGCGCTTCTTGGGACTAGGAGATGGATCACGATCTTCCCGACTCTTCTTTGGGGGTAACTTTAGGTTGTTTGAGTCCGCCGGCTTCTTCTTGGGGATAGGGCGTGTTGTTTTAGGATCATCATCTATATAATCCGACATATCTATGGGAGATAGTAAAGGCGGCACATAGGGCGCCTTCGAATTCGAATTGCTCTCTGTCTTCTTGTCTGTCATGTCTCTGTTTTTGGAGAGTTTCTGGGTTCCGTTTATATGAGCGCCAGGCTTGGGAGAGATTCCTTTGTGCGCTGTACTTGCTAGTGCTGATCTTCCATTGGTCATAGGTAGAGTTTTCGAGTCTTTGGTCAGTTTCTTTTCCGACGAGATCAGCCGCTCAGACTTTTGCGGCGTGTGATCTTTGATAGTACGTGAGCTCACGGAGTTGGGCGTAGCATTCTCAACTCTACTTCGCTTCGCCGGCTTGGAATCTTGGTCGACTTCTGCAAATCGTTTTTTCCTCTCCGGCGAAGGGCTACGATGACGACGCGCCTCAGCCTTCAAGCTAGCTTTCATGTCGGGCAGCCCCCTCCTGCCATCACGGTGGTCGTCCATATCATTTACTACCGGATCCGGCAGCTTCTTTGCAGGCGCATTCGCCTTGGTAGGCTGCGCAGGTGGTTTAGGCGGCTCTTCGCCGTCAGGGGACTTCTTCTTATTCTTATAATCTTTCAAGGACAGCTTCGTCTTAGGTTTATTAGGGTCGGTTTTCTTGGGTGTCGGGGTATCTGTCGCATTGGCAGGGTTTACAGGTTCTTCTCGGACGTCGAAGTAGGCTCTCGTAAGGAGAATCCCACGCTCGGCGTCACTAATAAATGTGGTGTATTGGAGAGGCCTGATGACTTGTTCTTCTAACCTCTTGTCATCTGTCTGTTCCCTGTATCGTCGCGTCGTATCAAGTGATAGGTAATGTGCTTTGAAGGGCAAGATGTTTTTAACTAATGTTTCAATCGTCTTGGTCGCTTCCTCCATGATTTTCTTTGTTCATGCAACTTCGAAACGTTGCACGCGAGCTTGGTGCTAGGATCATGAAAGAGAGAAAAGCGCGGTTACGGATTACAGGTTGTTTGCTGACTTATGTATCAAGGGACGGCGTTGAAGGTATCGTCAGGATTCGAGATGTTGCGATAAGGGATTTCTGCATTTTTTAGAGTTCAGCACGCCAGTTTCACTTGTCGTTATAGAATGGGTATAATGGGTAGATGGTAGATAGAACAACATATGATCGTAATATCCGAAAACATTATGATATGTAAATATTCAGGAAATGGTAAAAGATAGTTCAATTACCTAGCAGATAGGGATTGGTTGAATTGGGAAATAATGGAGATAGGTAGCACAGTACATTGTTGAAAAATAATATGATTATATCCAGGGCATGGGTACGTATGGAGTATGGGAATATGGGGGCATATGGCAGATGTACCTTTATGAAGAGGTAAGAGGTACTGGGTACTGGATGTATCGACTGACCTCAAAGTTCCCAGGTTGGGTGCGATGGTGACGCTGGCTCTTGCCCTGCACACCGCGCAACTCTCCCGTACGGCACAGAATAATGCAATGCAAAAATATGTAGCATGTAACAAATAATGTAGATAGACACAGGCTATTGTTGTCGCGTAGACATCATCTGCTGTCTTATCCAGCCTCCAATAAATCCTCGCGACATTCGGCCCGGCGCATCGCTCATCAAATTGTGGCTCGCGTCGGCGAATGATTACAAGAATAATAAGAAAAATAATAGGGACTAGGATGCGAATCGCGGACAGATGTTATGGCGAAGGAACAAAGAAGCGAGCAAGGGTGGGTTTAAGGTGAAGCTCTTCGGAGAAGGAAAGGAGGAAGGGAAAATAAAATAAAAAGAGTCGGGTTAGGAAGTCAAGTCAAGATAGCGTGCGTGCCGATAATTGCTGTTGCAGATGATGCGTGATGATCGGCAAGCGGGAAGATGTTGGTGAGAGTGCAGGTGGTGGAATACCGACCGCAAGTAGCAGTCGTCGTAGTGAGGTAGTAGGCAAGGTAGGAACGTCAATCTGGTCAAGGTAGGAGACGTAGCGGCACGCCTACCTTGACTACACAACAAAATGCAGGGATGTTCCAGTATGTGGGTTGCGGGTTATGGGTTGTTGCTTAAGCCTTAAAGCCTTTTTTCTTGGGGTGTTTTTGGTGTGTGAGGGACCGGAAGGTGGCAGAGTTGGTTCAGAATGGGCAGGGCAGCAGGGACGGGCGAAGAAGACCCCCAGTTTTGACCCGTCGTCACGTCGTCACCTTCCAGCTAATGTTTGCTTGCCGCTCACTGCTGTTGTCACTGTTGCGGCTGGCAGTTTCCTCCTTTTACGCTGACACTCGCGCGCCGGATCAAAACGTTAGCGCTAAAAGTGAAAAATGCCAGGTGCCAATGTGGGATTTAATGTGGCTTTGCGTGGCTTGCCGATGCAAGGATCCCTACACTCAAAAAGATACGTACCGATCTATAAAGTAAGCGTTCCCAAGCATCGGGATGATTTGATAGGGCCAAATGTGCTGAGATAAACCATTCGCATCACATCATTCACACCCGACTACGACCCTATCGTCTAGCTATCTAGGTATCTACGCGCACCTAACTGATTACGGCTTATAGCACCTAGAGGCGTGCTTCTTCCTCTACCGAGCTATGCATTTCCGACATGTACGATAAATCCGTTAAGCGAGAAATGTCTCTAGATGGGGAGCACAGCATGCGGTTTTCTCCATTGTAGATCTTTGGTAGGATCGGTTTACTTCTAAAATGTTCCACAGTCACCATCATTGGGCTTGCTCTTCAGATTGAGACGATTTGCTGTGAATACGGATGGGTACGTCTATAATTAGAGCCTTTGGCAGACAAGGCTGCAGGGGTTAGTACGTAACTTTCTGGTCTTTGGGTAATAAGGCAGGCAGGCGCGTGGAACAGGCAAGGCTAACGTGGGGTGCTTTATCGCGTATTGCAGTAAGATTCTTAAACCTAATATTTTTTTTCCTTGTTCAATATCCTAGAAAAAAAAAAGAACACAGCCGCGCAGTTTGTCAGCCTCATATTTCCAACAACAAGGTTATATGCAGGGATTCAAGCTAGGAGAAATATATGGATACATTTCTCCTTTTTCGATTTTTACAGTTTTCAAGTAGAAATACCTAAATAGACAGACTACAACATTTCTTTCCACCATATCCGACGAAATGGCAGACAAACCAAGCAGCCTCCTCCTAACGTCTACGTCGATGATCGTCGCCACCAGCATAGTAACCTTTTTATCGGGCTTCATATTCGGCGTATACTCGATCCGCGGCTACTTACTAGTCTCGCCGTCCCTAGCCTCCGAACGACGAAGCAATATCGACGACCCAGTAGAGAGCGATGAGTCCGATATAGACGACGACACTATCCTTGACCATGCACCTAACTGGGCGAACGGCGAGGATGCCGACCAACGAGATGGGTTGAAGATGCCCAAACAGAAGAAGTCTAAGAAGAAGGCCACCAAGGCAGAAAATAAAGAAGATAAAGCCAGCGCCAGTCCACGACAACCCCTAGCCGACGCACCCGCAAACGAGGAGTGCAAGCTAGTCCTAGTCGTACGGACGGATCTAGGCATGACAAAAGGTTCGTCTATACCCAATCTACCCAGAAGGAGCTCGCTCATACACTCTATTCCCTTCATTCCTCCACCTTGCAAGTAGAGTGGTCCGCTAACTCTCCCCCCAGGCAAAATCGCAGCGCAATGCTCCCACGCCACCCTCGCATGCTACAAAACCCTAACCAAAGCCGCAACCCGCAACCCCACATCCCCCGAAGCCAAGCTCCTGCAACGATGGGAGCGCCGCGGTCAAGCCAAGATCGCCGTACAAGTGAAATCCGAAGACGAGCTGTTAGAGCTAATGGGCAAGGCGCGGAGTCTAGGAATAACCGCCGAGGTGATCCAAGACGCCGGGCGCACGCAGATCGACCCGGGTAGCTTGACGGTGCTTGGTGTCGGGCCGGCGCCCAAGAGCTTGGTAGATCGGGTTACGGGAGGACTCAAGCTGTTATAGTGCGGTCTTAGGATATGGATTAATAGGCAGAATGGCGGCATGGTCGGTAAATAATGCGGGCATGGCAAGGCAAAGCATATAGACATGGGCACGATAGAGCGCAACGGATCACGAAAATGTATCTACAGACGGCATGTTTAAAAAAAACAGCCAACAATGAACTTGAAGATTTATATTGATATCTTTTTGGGGAGTTTCTCGTTGGCAGCGAGGTCCCTCTGGAGCAGTGAGACTTGCGTCTTATCTTCGAAAACAAACGCCGACTTTGTGAACACGCACATTAACCTTCTTGTTGCCAAGACCTATCCGCCTGAGCAACCTTACCTCTAGCATCCCATCGTTTCCCCATATCAAATACTCTCGAAGGAGCAACAAATACACCGCGTCAAAGGGGTATTCTGCGATCCATGTCTAATGCGACGACCCGGACATCCAGAGGTATATTACTGTCCTTATCGATATTAATGCCGGATCAGAAGCATGAACGGAATTTAAATTCCGACGCCATTCCAGCCACTTCCCGCCGGTCCTCGGCGAAATCTCCACTTCCAAACCCCACAAGCTGAGAGACGTAGCTGCCAAAAGGGCACGCTACAATCGAGCAGTAATCACAGACTATTGCTGGTGCTACGATTCTGCTGAGGGGCGAACTGATTGTTCGAGCCAAGCTTCCGTCTCTTGGATATGAGCTCTTCAGAAGGTGACTCGGAGGAAGCGGTTCGTTTCCCATCTAGTGGAGAAACCTTTACAATGTCAATCAGTTTTATATCCTTCGATATTATAAGAATTTTTTGCTCGAGACTTAAAAGCACGCTCCTCAATTGTGCCATCTCGTTCTCAACGCCGGTAATTCGTGCTTCGGTTTGCTGTCCGTATGGATTTAAGTGCTGAAGAATCCTCTCGGCCATCTGTTTCGAGCTGAGGTTTGTCCATTGGCTGTCTAACACTCGGACAGCCAGTTCTAGAGCGTCGAACCTCTTCTTGGCGTCGTCTATCTCCGGTTTGACAATCCTAACGAAATCTTCGGCACTAGCAGTTCCTCCGCGGCCGTTGCCTTCCTGAAGTCCCGTGATCTTCTTCTCGAGTTCCACAAGGCCAGTATTGACACGGTCAACTTTCCCCCCAAGCCTTTGGCCCTCTATAAACTCAATGCGGTTCTCAGAGCGGCGCAGATTCTGACTTAGCTGATCCGTAGTCTGCCGTAGGGCGTCAATTCGCGCCGCCACATCAGGATCTTTTGAGGGGACCATCACCAGACTTAACGTATTGACAGTTGATTGAAGATTGTCGACCCGAAGTCTCACCTCATCAACCATCTCGGCGCAGACATCACCAGAATCAGCAGCCACCTTCTGTGTGACCTCGATTACAGAATTGCACTTTTCTTCAACAAATGCCTTGGTTACCTCTGTGTGAGGTGTAACGTATCGTGTTGTTTCTAAGGCCTGAAGAGACGTTCCTATCCCCTGAGTCAATGTTTCACTCTTGTCGAGCCGGGAATTGACCAATTCCTGGAAAGATTGGAAAGATTGACGTAGGGATGTGATTGATGTCTCATGAGAGGGGACTTTGTTTTTGAAATCATGGTTAATCCACATTTCAAGAATCTCATTGTACGTCTCCATGTCGAGATCTTCAGCTTTCTCTATGCAACCATGCACTTTGCTCTCCACATCATCTATCCGACTCTTGAATGAGAGCGACTCCTTAGATAACCTGTCCAACTCATTCTCAACTCGCTTAACGGAATCTTTAGTAAGATTGAAGTCTGCGACTTGCTGTCTAAGTTCCGAGTTTTCGGATTTTAGAGAGGCATAATTAGACTCGAGAGTAGTATAATTAGACTCTAAAGCAGTGTATTTAGACGCGAGAATGGTGTGTTGGGACTCGAGGGTGTTATGTTGAGACTCGAGAGTGTTGTGTTGAGACTCGAGAGCGATATGCCTGGATTTCAAGTTGGTAAAGTCTTGATTTAATGCGACGAAAGCCTTGCTGGAGTTCTCCTGGCTGTTCATCAACTGGGTTATTTGCTTTTGTTGATCAGAATTTTGGTTCCGAAATTTCTCGAATTCGACCTCAAGCTTCGATACCGACGCCGTCTGGACCGCTGCCTGTGGATTGATGGGCGTGTGGGACGATAGCGCGCAGACAACTCTTTCCAGATTTTCCGCACATTGATCGTCGAGTTCGCCAAGTTGCTTGGAGATATCGTCGCGCTCCGCCTTCCCGCTTGTTTCAAACCGTTGTTTGAATTCGAGATATGGTGCGTAGTCATCAACTTTACCGCCGATCTTACTAAGTTCCGCTTGACGTTTCTGGTTCTCGTTTAAAAGCTTATAATTTTGCAACTTCAAGAAATTGCGCTTTTCTAGTATCTTGTTCCATTGATAAACAGCGTCAAAAACATCCTGCACTTTAGGATCTTTCGCTTTTGGAATAGTAGGCGTACTTGTAGAACTTGGTAGGTTATTTGTGTTAGATCTTCCAGCTCTATTGGCAGCTATTGAATAGGTATGTTAGAATATCGAATTAGTAGGTCGTTATCGAGAATCAGAACTCACCTGGTTCAATAGGGATATTACTAAACGCACTAGCAGAAGACTGAGTTGACGACGATGACCTTCTAGGTCTATCGATAACCTTCGTATCTATGTGAAGTCTCTTTGGTGAGTCCATCCTACCCTTCTTATTCAGGTGGGGACTCCGTGGAGGTCCTCTGGGCTCGCGGGGATCTCTCCTATCTCTCGAATCTTGTCGGCCCTGCTTCATATCGCGACTTTGGTCTCGTTCAAAGTTGTTACTGTAATCGCGGGATTGCCCTCTATCTTCATTTGGTTTATAAGACTCGTAGCGACCCTGTTCGTATCCATATGGGGCACGCCCAGTTTCATACGACATTTCGAGGTAAAAATTGAAATGAGTTTACCTCGTAACCAAAATGAATAAGGTTAACCCGCCTTTCTGCCACAACCCCGATTTCCTATATTCACAATGCGACTTCCTGGTAACCCAGTCACATATGGCAATAGCATTTCCTAAGGTGATTACAACTTAGGCCACTTCCAATCTAGGTGGTAGGGAAACTTATACGGAAGGTGGCCCGCAAAGAATTTCCCGCCTTAGATATTGAATTGAGTTCGAAATTAATCAAATGCCCTTTGTATGTACCTAGGTAGGTAATGTGCTTATAACTTTAGAAGTTATGTTTTGATGTATTTGGATTTAGAGGGAAATCAATAAATATTTCACTTCGAAACTTGTTGGTACCTAGTCAAGTACTAAAAGTACATGAGAAGACTTCAGGAGTTCCGAGTGAGTGCTCTCCAGTTAGTTCAAGTTGATCGCGGGATCTTGAGATCGGATCCCTGGGATATGATACCGAATATGGATATTTCCAAACGAAGAGTCAGGTTTGAACGTTTGATTTAAAGTTCTGATTAAAAATGATTGAGTAGTTGTGTAAGTTGGTGTAACGGACGAGTTGATATAGCAAGAATAATTGGTAGTAACCGGGTCTTTAGTGCAACTAGCGTTTGAATATTTGGTGTGTGCGTGACGGATTCGACCGCTTCAAACTTGGAAATAGATCCTGCAGTTAGCGATTGACTTGGACTTGGCACTTCCGGTGCTACGTAAGGGGGTTTGTAGTGTTGAATTTGTTCGTCGAGAACAAGGTATGACCGAATTAAGAAGAAATAGAAAGAGCGATAGTAAACGACCAAGTATGTTATGTTCTTTCCTCTCATTAGGTTTTATGTATAGTAACTTAAGGCAAATATGGGTCATGAAACGGAAGAGTTGTATGCATCCACATGTCTAGAGTGGATACTTACTTCCAAACGAACGACAACTGATATACACATAGAAGAGGCGATACAAGAACAGGACGGTGGATTTGCCGAAATACATGTGCATCTGGAAAATGTTGCCGTGGAAGGAAAGTAAAGGTCGACATGGCAGTATGGTCATGGTCATGTTTAAAATGGAAGGCACTCTCCAACGCTTATTTGGTGGGCAGGTTGCCCAGGTTGCCCCGGGATGCAAGTGTGGGCTCCACGCGCGACGAGACGTGACAGGCTCACAGATTAAAAGTGGCGAACAACCCTGAAAGTAAAAAAATTTATATCTGATTTAAATTGCTTTTAAAACACGTTCATCTTAAGATTTTGATATTTTAGCTCGGTAACTATACATAGCAGGTACTTAAGTAGTGAAAGTCCGATGTACAAGTGGGGGTCAGGCACGTATCAGGTGCCACTGCATTAACTATTATGCAGCGTATTAGTCATTTTGACCAATCGAAGGCGTTCTCATATTTTAGTGATCTAAATATTGTCAATTGATTGGATTTACGTAGGATTCACCGCTTGAAAGCCACACGAAGCGCCGGTTCCTTGGATGAAAATCCCATAGGAGGAATTTGTGATTAAGCAGCGTTGCGCCACATATCATGCAAGCCACTTCAGGGTTTGGCTAGTGTGAATACCAAGACATGTTGATTTTTGATAAGAACCGATAAGAAAAGTACTACGTGTGTACGTACCGTACTCGCGCATGTACTCCCTCCAGTAGCGCGTTCAATTTTCTAGAGCTAGGATTTACTGGTGCTTTCAGAAGCTCCATCCAGAAAATCAATTCAATAGCAAGGCTGACAAAAAGACGTCTTCGAAAAAGACAACATTGGAAACAACAACGCTGAAAAGGGAGGCAATACGCTTTGAAATAAACCATCCCTCGAAGAATTGAACCAATTTTCTACGATGGCTGCTGTAAGTACTGCACTTTTGCGTATACGCAATGACAACAAGGGAAGCTTGAGAAGCTAATCAACATCGCCTAACATGTAGCCCGTCGTGACCGTCGGCGAGACCAAAGAGCTACGAGGCCTCAACCTCATCGCCGCGCATTCGCACATTAGAGGCCTGGGAGTAGATGCCGACACATTAGAGCCTCGCACGGCGTCGCAGGGCCTTGTCGGCCAGGAGAAGGCGCGGAAGGCGGCTGCGGTTATACTTGAGATGATCAAGGTTGGCAAGATTGCAGGAAGGGCAGTTCTCATCGCTGGGCCACCAAGGTAAGTTAGGCTTACTCAGTATACGAAGGGATAGGCGCTCATCATAACCTCTACGTAGCACCGGCAAGACAGCCATAGCAATGGGCATGGCGCAATCGCTCGGCCCCGACGTGCCATTCACAACGCTTGCCTCGTCGGAGATATTCTCGCTCGAGATGTCCAAGACCGAAGCCCTAACGCAAGCCTTCCGCAAGTCGATCGGCGTGCGCATCAAGGAGGAGTCAGAGATCATGGAGGGCGAGGTCGTCGAGATCCAGATCGACCGCAGCGTAACGGGTGGTGCCAAGCAGGGCAAGCTTACAATCAAGACAACCGACATGGAGGCCGTCTACGACATGGGCGCCAAGATGATCGATGCCATGACCAAGGAGCGTGTCATGGCCGGCGACATTATCAGCATTGACAAGGGCAGCGGCAAGATCACCAAGCTCGGCCGAAGCTACGCCCGCAGCCGCGATTACGACGCCATGGGTGTTGACACGAAATTCCTGCAGTGCCCTGACGGCGAACTACAAAAACGCAAGGAGGTCGTACACACGGTGACCCTCCACGAGATCGACGTCATCAACTCGCGAACCCAAGGCTTCCTCGCCCTCTTCAGCGGCGATACGGGCGAGATCCGCAGTGAAATCCGCGACCAAATCGACACCAAGGTCGGGGAGTGGAAAGAAGAAGGCAAAGCCGAGATCGTGCCCGGCGTTCTCTTCATCGACGAAGTACACATGCTCGACATCGAATGCTTCAGCTACATCAACCGCGCACTAGAAGTCGACCTCGCCCCCATCGTAATCATGGCAAGCAACCGCGGGCACTCCAAGATCCGAGGCACCGACTACCGGTCGCCCCACGGCCTCCCCCTCGACTTCCTCGACCGCGTCGTCATCATCCAGACGCAAACCTACTCCCCCGACGAGATCCGACAAATCCTCACCCTCCGCGCCACGGAAGAAGAAATCGACGTATCGGCCGACGCCCTCGCCCTCCTCACCAAAATCGGTCAGGAAGCCGGGCTCCGGTACGCGAGCAACCTAATCACGACCTCGCAACTCGTATCCGCCAAGCGCAAGGCCAAGCAAGTATCCGTCGACGACGTCCAGCGAAGCTTCAAGCTCTTCTACGACCCCGCGCGCTCCGTCACCTTCGTCAACCAATCCGAGAAGCGACTCATCGGGAACGACGGCGCCGTCGACTTCGTCGTAACCAACGGCAACGGCGACGCCATGGAGATAAGCTGATTTCAGCGCGTTTGACGGGACTTGTTTAGTAATTAGTTAGTTAAAGGACCTTCCAGATGATTTACTTCTTCAGTGGCGTTGGGATGGGATACCAAAAACCAGGTAACGAAGGTAGCTTAGGCGAAAGACACCAAGAAAAAAAAGAGAAAGACCATACAAGCAAGCTACTACTGCTACTACTGCTACTTTTGACTGCTTCCTTACTACCGGACGAGATATTTACGAGATAGAAGAAGTGTATCATAGGTATATCGGCGTATGTGGAATTGCAACAACGGTGCGTTTCGAGTTCTACATTTCGACCTTTATCCTAGATCAAATCAAGTCAGAAGTGCAGATATAATGAAGATTGGACTATGAAACAAGCCCGAAATGCCTAAATAGCCATTGAGACATTGTAAGATACGACCAATCACATCACCATGCGAGTGTTAACGAGAAGCATCGATTATTTTTTTATTTCTTTGTGTCTTGAGTACTACTTGTGTCATACAGCCCAAACCAGAGCCCAACCATGTTCCTCAACCTTTAATTCAATGGTTCAAATGAAAGCCACCCGCACATTTTGACGCCGCCAGAGCTTTCATTCATTAGAGTCTAAGTACTAAGTAATTTACTTGCCGGCATCAACCTTGGCAATGTAGGAGAGGAGGTCGAGGACACGTCGGCTGTATCCCCACTCGTTGTCGTACCAGCTGACAAGCTTGACGAAGTTCTTGTTTAGGGAGATACCAGCCTTGGCATCGAAGATGGAAGAGTTGGTGTTGCCGTTCAAGTCGCTGGAGACAACGTCGTCCTCAGTGTAAGCGAGAACTCCTATGTAACGTTAGCATCCAGTCTATACTTTCAATCTATTAGTCGAAAATGAAACTCACCCTTGAGGGGACCGTTGGCGGCCTCCTTGATGGCCTCCTTGATCTCATCGTAGCTAGCAGCCTTCTCGATACGGATGGTCAAGTCGACAACGGAGACGTTGGAGGTGGGGACACGCATGGACATTCCAGTGAGCTTGCCGTTAAGGTCGGGGATGACCTTTCCGACGGCCTTGGCGGCACCGGTGCTGCTGGGAATGATGTTCTGAGCAGCGGTACGGCCACCTCGCCAGTCCTTGTTGGAGGGACCGTCGACAGTCTTTTGTGTGGCAGTGTAGGAGTGGACAGTGGTCATGAGACCCTCAATGATGGTGAACTTGTCGTGGATGACCTTGGCAAGGGGAGCAAGGCAGTTGGTTGTGCAGGAGGCGTTGGAGATAACGTCGGCCTTGCCGTCGTAGGTCTTCTCGTTGACACCCATCACGTACATGGGGGCATCAGCAGAGGGGGCAGAGATGACCACCTTCTTGGCACCACCCTTCAAGTGAGCCTTGGCCTTCTCGGTGGTGGTGAATACACCAGTCGACTCGACGATGTACTCGGCACCGGTCTCACTCCAAGGGATCTCGGAGGGGTCACGCTTTTGGTAGAACTTGACCTTCTTGCCGTTGACAACGAGGCCATCGTTGTCGTAAGAGACGGTTCCCTTGAAGTTACCGTGTGTAGAGTCGTACTTCAGCATGTATTCAGCGTAGTGAGTCTCGATGAAGGGATCGTTGATAGCAACGACCTCGATGTCTTCGTGCTCGACAGCATTGCGGAAGACGATACGACCGATACGGCCAAATCCGTTGATGCCAACCTTGACGACCATTTTGATCTAAATTTGATAAGAATTATATCAGCGACGATTTTGATTTATTGGTAGGAAAATAGAGTGTGAGATTTGATGTAGATGAGAGTTGGAAGTATGAACGAGGCCTTGGGAGATGCGAGAGAAGAGGTATTTCTATTCAAAAAATTTCATGAAACACGGCTTTTCCACGGTCAACAGAATCGATTTGCCACTTTCAAAAATAGAAATTCCCATCCCCGTCTCATCTCGGTCCTAATGCTGAGTAAAAGAGGCCCCGAGTCCAAACAAAGCCAAGTGATCCAGGTTGGCGGGGCAAGAAACAACAGCTCGTCGATGTGACGATGTTTTCCCCCTTGTAAGTAATGCAATGGCGGGGTAGAAAATGAGCTGGTGAGAGGGGTAGCTTAGCTCTTACCTGGTTCAAATGTAAAGATGGAATTTGTTTAATAGGACTCTGGTGATATCTCGATGTTTGATCAAGGAAAGATCAATCGAGAGAATGAATGAAAGGACAAGTAGGTTAGATTAAATAAGATGTTGTTGAGAGAAAGAGAGGGAATTTGGAGGGGTAAGAGGTTGATGATGGCATATGAGCGACATAAATAAAAAAAGGTTGAGAGACAATACCAAGAAAAAAATATGATGCAGCTAAGGCGGATGGGTAGGTGGGGTGCTCAATCCCTCCCACGGAATTGGCCTCTACAGCTCCTGCCCAGGGCAATTTTTGGAGGGGTAAAAGCAACTTCCAAGGTTCCTTTCGGGCAATTCCTACTGTACAATCTGCTAAGCAGTACTTGACAGTTACATCCGTCACTGCCCCGCCGAGATCTAGACATGTACAAACAAAATCACGTCTATTATCAGATGTTTCTAAGGAATATGATGCGTTAACTAATATCGCGAGAGCCATGAGCTGACTCTAGGAAATCAAACGAGGCGAGCAGACAATCAGAAGATAAAGAATTAAAATGATATAATATTCGACGAACCTAGTCAATTATGATGGGTTATTTTTTTCTATTTTTCATGATTTCTTTTCTCTTCTCTTCTTCCCTAGTATTTTTGATTGGCGACCTACCTAGTACCAGTACCTAGAAGGTCCGTACGGCCGGACTATACGGACAAAAGCTTCCAGCTGGATGGGAAGTACTGGTCTCGTAACTCCGGCGAGCTCCTAAGACAGTGCGTATTACGGGCTCCGTTAACATCACACAGACCCAACTCAGAGTCCATCGTATTCTTGTCAGTCTCAACCCTTATCAATGAAATGTGTCTCATGGAAAATAACTCAACTCATAAGGAAGATCTCATTATATTCCTCAGACTGAAGATCTCTGGGTCTGTTTCGAAAGGTCTCCAGCCGTTTCAAACAATCTTCAGTAGCCAAGTATATTCAAAGTCACTCCCATCCAACCGAGGAATTCTTTACCACTGTGCAGAACGAAAATGGCACGAATGTCTAACGGGTTCTCGGGCATAGTACGGGACACAATTCACGATTCTATCCGATCTAGCTCGGCTCTTACAGATGTGACCAATTAGCTAGGACGGGAAAGTTAGAATCGTCTTTCTCGCAATTCTCATTATGAATATCGAGTCAGAAATATTATATTTTGCCTCAAGTCCTCAGTACAGGATGGTGATCCACTACCTACCTCCGCGGTGGGCGGCTCCCGTCTCAGCTTACACATGCCACATGCGGGCAAAACAAAGTCTCAATTTTAGTTCAGGGTTGCCTTCAGGGTCCCCCCATTACCTGCATCAAAAGACCGCAAGGTACCGGAGTTTGAGAACACTACTCCGTATAAGGTGCCGAGACAATCCATCCAGTCCTCTCGGTCGCTAAATTGCTATCAATACTCACCATTCAGCGCCTGCTGATTATCACGCCCTTTCTCGTGACCTGTGAGTCGAGAACGATTCCCATCCTACCAATCCGACATCGCATGCGTGACAATAACCTTCAACCTGTCTGGCCAGCCAATGTGGATGAGCAAGGGATCAACGTGCCCAATAAAGCATACGCAAGCATTGGGATAGCAGTAAGCAAAGCAAAGCTTACGAGCATCCCTCCACTTATCGAGAAGCTTAGAAATCTTTTTTAGTGAGGTCACGACTGATCGTTGGCAGCGCCACACAAGGCTGGGAGAATAGGCCCGAACATTGGCTTGATCCTGTCCACGGACTACGGCAGCCTCCATATAACCCAAGGCTAACAACTAACCTAGAGCAGTAGTAGCCAGCTTCCCGGCGCCGCTTAACTGCGTTATATGCTGCGGTGTACCATCGTCTAAACCAACTCGGTTTCGCCTGGAATCTAACTTCTTCTAGGCCTTCGACTTCGGAAATTTCGTGGGTCTTGGTCCCGCGACCTGCACCAATCACACTCTATACTCACCATTTCAATTATATGTCGAATCTGTATACTCGAGTCAACCAACAAGATGTTACATGATTCAATAACGAATGAGCCTATATCAACTATACCACCGAGTAGTCCTTCAAGGGGATTGGACCAGGTATATACAACAAGACAAGCGCAACATATATGCCGCTCTCGTTAGTCGATTCTATCCCATGGAGCTTTTGTTAGCGCAGATAATATCGAATAGGGGAGTTGCCGTAAATCTTAATGTGGAAATATAGGTAGTATACCCCACACCATGCTATCAATACACATGTATATTATCGTCGTTTATAAGCTATTCGTTTCATGTGAAAGCCCTGAAGTCGATATAAGAGGCTACGACCTGCTATTGAAATATGTACAATGGTGGGGGATTTGGAGTATAAGAACCCCGCTTCTGCCAACAACACGCAGAGTCAGCACGTTACCAAGTCGAGAGATCTACCGCATTGCAGTATCCATACCGAGATAACAATCGCATAGTCTTTAAAAATACATGGAGAATAAATTAGAAACAGTACGATAATACCGTTTGGGAACAAGTTGCTGAATACCGACACAGTTCGGTATCTAGACCGTCAGCCAGGGCTTCTCCACAAGATCAGAACATCTCATAATTATCAGCGACAGACCAGACATTTGCACTTCAGGGGTAAAGGGGGGTTCTCAAATATTCCTTCAGTTTAACATATGCAACAATTAAAATTTAATTGTGTATGATTACAAGGTCCTGATATATAAACGCGTCCCTGAAGACTTCGTAATATGTTGCTTCGTTTAGTCCACTTGCAAGTTGGTATTGAATAAAACCCGTATTCACGTCAACTACTCTAGTGAAGTTATACGTCAAGTTTTCATTTTTTATTTAGTACGTTTGTCATATATTGTATGTACTAATACAGCTACGTAGTTGGGTATAATCTCTGAACGCCACTTCTGCTACAGGTTCTCTCGTCCAAGGACTAAAGAACCATATCGGTCACGACAAAAGAAGACCCAATGTCAATTCGTAGGCTTCTCGGAAAGTCCTAGTTATCGTACTGAGTCCGTAAACGCCAATGCAATGCTGTCATGAGCCCGTCCTCACTTAAGTCCAAATCCTTCACTCTCATTTACTGCCCGCCACAAACATTCTTCCAATCTTGCCTTCGAGGTGTAGCGGTATAGGGACAAAATATTAAAACAGGTCCTTGCAGAAGGGAACCGACCTTCGTCTTCACCTAGAAGATTGATCCTAATAACGAGTGATGTCGCACCCATGGCGGGAATACGGTCACTGCTAGTTATGAAAGATAACAACCGACGCTGATCCGCGGGTGAAGCTCTTTCGAAAGTATCCCAGAACCATTGCACTATCGGTTCTCTCCTGGGATTCACGTTCTTAGGCCACCCCGTGTAAACGGCAACTCCCCGTAAAGAGGTAATGTCCAACGCTTCATCCGAGCCACGGACGAGGAGCTCAATCTCTTCTGGCCTGAAGAGCGTCAATGCATTACCGGCACACACAGTAAAAAAGCCTCGCTTGAAAGGTTCAAATTGTCGACTAACTGAAGTGTCGAGCAAATATCGGACATAAAGGTCAACATATTCTCGTCGGTTGGCATTCGTCACCATCTTCGTCTCGCCTCCTGGACAGAGCGGAGCTCGAACCCTAGTACCGTATTTTTCAACTTCGATCACGAAGTCGAGACAAAAGGTAGATTGGACGTCTCCCTCGAAATCCAACAGTTGCCGAAGTCCCTTTGCAAGGACTGGACGGAATTCGGCTAAGTCGTCTAATGAGTAATTCATTGTGGGGCGTGAGTGAGCAGGGGCGCCAATGGCGGGAGGGGGAGCAGACGCCAGCAATTTTCGGAAAGCAAATGGTGGGAAGGCGACGTCCAGTATTGTTGAATTATATATGGCCAGCCCAAGTAGTACTCCGACCAGGAAATATTGGTCTGACGTTTCGAAGGTATTGGGGTTGAAGTAGCAAAAACGTGAATCTTCGTCATAAACGAAGAGTCCTAAGACGGTTAGATTCCAAATCATCATAAAACAGAGTGAAACACTTGCCGTGGTCTGGGTTGAACACCTCTCTGACAAGAAGTAGAAACCACTCCTTCCGGAGCCCTCCACCATCGACACCTTCTTCTCCCTGGAATTCTATGCGTAAACCCTTTTTGATATCCTCGCTGCCGCTACCGACGACTTCGCTCACTTTCTTCAGACTGTCCTCAACTAGGCAATCCCGACGGATACTAAGAACAAGGTATTGCGCATAGTTTTTGTGCGTCAAAATACTGTCGAAGAATGCCTCTCTTGCCTTCCCGGCCATCTGTCGTTTCGCATCAAATTCCAAAATCTGAATCTTCGCCCAAATGCTGAGAAAGAATGGATACTGGCAAAAAGCAAATCTGCCCCTTTTCGATTCCCACAGCTCAAAATCGGCTTTGAAGTCTAAACAATCGACCAGCGAATTGTAAAAGTCACTTGTTGACAACAAATGACCATAGCTACGCCCATCGGGTCTATTGTGTCGGACGTATGTCAAGTTATTGGCAGAAAATATAAGGGCCATGACCTTTGCGGCAGCTCTAATTTGCCAGTCGTCTGTATATGCCGCACGTTTTGGTTCGATGGGTTGCTTTTGTTTCTTGGCTTTCGATGCCTCCAAAGCAGCATGAAGTGTCGCTGGTGTATTTCCAGAGCGAGAATTGGACATTTGTGGTATCAATCCACCGGTCACATCGATTTGTGGTTCTACTTTCTTTTCGCTCTGTCTGGTCAGTCGGTAGGTAATGAAACTGCTGATGAGGTCCTTAATTTGAAGAAAGAGATGCTCGGGTAGTCTCGAGAGCCATGTTACTAAATGATGATGGCACTGTTCCGACGAGTTCGCTAGCAGACCGAGGATTCGTTTAATGATTCCAGAGTGTCGCCCTGGCGGTGGTTTGGCCTGTTCTTCTGAATCCTGTTCTGCGGCGAGACCTTTCCCCTTGCTCGGACGTTGGTACCGACCAGTATACGACTTGGACCCTGAAGTGAGGAGAGGATTGGCCAACATCAACAGTAAGAAACGAACGGCTTGAGGTTCCACCATTAATCGTCCAGGTCTTTTTAAGAGCGTTTCCGTGCATTTCAGTAGGACCCGCTGAATATGTTCCTGAGCCGCAATGGCGAAGGCCTCGAACTGCTGCAATCTTACATCTCCCAGTTTTTGAGATGGGTCAAGTTGTGTCATCTCAGCATATACTTCTGGCCATAGCTCGGCCGCGTTGATGATTACATGATACCACTCAATGACCATACCCCAGTCGATCCGAGGAGATTTAGCTGTTATGATTGAAGGTATACTCTCTTTTCGCCGATGTGTGCTCTTCGGAGGTGCGACATCCTCTTGACTTCCAGTCCACCACGTGCCATTTTCCGCAAAGTCGCCTAAAAGCAAAAGCTTGGCGTCGAGTTCTGAGATAGGAGGTTCATCACGGACCGGCTCCTTCTTATTTACCACAACTCGCTTCTTAACAATCTCAGGTGGAAGCCTAGAATTAGCGCTCATGTGCCGGGTGACAAATGAATTATTAACACATGCATGAGAGCTAAAGCAAGAGATAAGATACTCTTCCAGTCTCTTGAAAATCCTCTTGGGCTCCAATTCCGAAACCGTTACGTTTGGGTTAGGAGCACGTCCAATTACTTGGTTAGTAAGAGGAAATGTTGCACTCCTAGCATCGGGGTAGGATGTCGAGTACGATCTAGCCGTAGACGGAGTATTATCTAGTGGGTTTGGTTCAATGTTGAGTCCAGTGGGTTCATCGAATACGGCATTATAGATATAGCTGGGTGGACTAGCAGCTGAACTGGGCGAACTGTTTTGCTTACTCGGGGATTCGTTCCGTGTAAAATACTCATTAGATGGCCTAGACAAGGACCTGCCAGGCCAGTTTTCAGAGAGCTCTCGGTCCGGATGCACCGACGTCCAAGATTGCAATGCCAAACGCAAGCATTGCTTTATAATATGTCTCGTGCGATCAAGTGAAATGGAGTTTGCTACAATAGTTAGTGGAGGCTATCTCCTAAGACATAATATAACATACGCGGTGGTTGAAGCGGCCGTGAGGGCACGGATTCAGTCCCATTTGGTGGTACTGGGCCACTAGTACCGGGCTGTGTTCCACCAAAGCCGGCAGTGGAATCGTATGGTTTGAGATCATTGATCGTCAAGCAGATGGTACACCTGAAGATATGAAGTTCCTTGGGCCATCTAACCAAGCTAGCACATGTCATACAATTCCCGGTCGAGAAATCTGCCGGTCCACGTGGAATCCTCCTAGGAGCCGCATTTGGTTGTATGTTCTGCCGTAGGTTTTGTTTGGGACTCACATCATCGGTAGAGTCATCGTCTCCAAATTGATCGTCGGCTCGACCATTCTTCTTCTTCTTGCTAGAAAAGAGCGAGGGAAACGGATGGCTCATTGAACGAGAGTGCTGGGCAGGACGCCTCGGCTTTGATACAGGTATATCGTCGTCAGAACTCGAATCGATTTGAACTTCGGGAATTCTTATAGGCTCGTAGTCGGGAAGTCTCGAATTGGCTCTCGAACGATTGTGTGGTTGGTTTGTTGGTGGATTACGAAGCGCAAAGTCATATTGGCCCAGAGAAGGTCGATTAGGACGGGACATATTGTTCGTTGTTACGAGAGTTAGGAAGGTAGGCAGCAAGAAGGGACATTTATCCCTTCATCTGTACGATTGCACTACCTAGAAAGATCTAGGTAAGGAGGTAGGTACGAAAGGTCTAGCCTAAAGAGATGTAGGGAAAGTAGGAGGCCCGTGACGATTTGGATGCCACTTGAACGATTCGATGGCAGCAATGCCTACCCACCTAAACGGATCTTGACGAGAACCACGGCTTATTCAAGAAGGAATCAAGATCCGCCAACGATCTTGCATGTAAGGTCCTCAAAGAAGACATAGATAACAAAAAGCAGAAACACTGCAAAGAGAAAGACTGTGCGTAGGGCAGAGTAGTAGTGTATTATTATTGTCTTTAAGATGAAGAGATTGGGGGTTAACAAGTCGAAATTGCCCAAAGGCTCGTACCGCCTTTGGAAATTACAACGGTTTGCAGAAAGGAAACGGCCAACCAACAAGCTTGCCGCTTCCCGAAACTCCCTTGATTTTAGACCTGACAGGAACCTAGCGGCTCTAGCGTAACGCATGTTTCCCCCACTGTCCCCGCAAGAAACTACAGGGTCCACAGCGTTGTAGGATGTGACGATATGACACCGTAGGTACCTTTCTTTAGGCGGGTGATACGCTGACGATTTCTGTACCCCAGGGCTACCTTAGCACCCTTTTACTGGGTTCAACTGCCTGTACATTACATGTGGACAGGGAGTAACTATCGACTTGGGTAACACAAGCCCAACTATAATTTCATAAGCCACTCTTTAAGTCACATCTTAAGTTTCTCATCAGTCACATACAACATTGCCTGACAAATTATTTCTATTAGGTATATTGCGAAGATTAAGAGTAATCTTAGTAGAAACCCTCTCGTGAGAGTGTTTCTCGAAATGAAACAAGACGCATCAATACCTATCATTAGTCTCTCAAGATCCACACATCAAGAGCAAGATAGCTCAATGGGCAACAAGCTGCGTACGGGCGGCAAGACACGTAAGCTCTTCAACCAGATTGCGGCATTCGCGGAAGAGCACTCATTGTGTTGGTACATTGTTAATATTTGATGTGCTGTATGGCTGTATGTGACAAATAGTCGGTTAGGCTATTGTTATATCTATTCCTACTCATCCACTCTTCTAGTCCAACTTCAGTGTTCGACAGAACAGAGAGCACAGCTTCTCAAAACCTTGGACATCCCGTTCATATATGTTGGAAGCGAGACCAATATGGACCATACAACTGCAAATACGACAAGAGACAGAATATGAACCACGTCACAATGAACCAATCAACACTGAGGAACCCAATATTCACGCGTGGTTCTTATCCGCTCGAAAAGAACTACATGTTACTGGACTTGAGAAATTCCCAGTTGAAGCAATCGAAGGGATCCCAAATAGTGGAAAGCGTAATAGAAATGCCATTTAGCTTAAGTTTAGGTGCCGCATACTCGCCTATTTACCTGAGAATGAACTCTTTGAGGCTGCCGAGTCAACAAAGAGTAGACCTGCCCGAAAATAGGCATCCGTAAAGATTATAATTCCGATATTTTTAGCCTGGCTCGGTATAGGGAATTGCGGCGCTATGTATGGCCCTGTAGTGAAAATCGTGGCGTTCACTTAGGCGTCTTACTATGCCTCTGTAAGGCAAGTTAGCGTTTTAAGCCCCATAGACAGTGCCTAGAGAGAATATGCTAACCCTTAGAAATAACGGGTTGCTATTTTTCATACGTAGTAGGTAAGGCACCCTATCTCTTAGAAAGTAAACATTCACTGATCATTTCCTAGGTTATAACCACCATAATATAATAAGAATAAATTGAACAACTTAGTTTTCAAGATGATTTGACCCTGCCATCGTACTAAACGGTGCTTCTAATACTCATTATAACTCGAGTTCGTGTAGGAAAGGGGTAAGTTCTAGTTAGAAAGCCCCCTTTCCAACAACTTGGCGAAATGCACCTTGAGCATCAAGCTGATCCATTCAAGGAGATTCATAATATCCTAGTGGTCAATTAGAAATAAGCGATTTGAGGAAACGCGATCTTCAACAGAAAGCCATATAGAGAGTCTATCTAGCCTCGCTTCCAAGCTCTTTGTGAGGTGAAAGCAAGACCACCAAGTCGACAACTTAACATAACCAGACTTGTAGCTACAATGAGAGGATTAATACTAAATCCTAGTATCAAGTCGGGAGATTGTATTTGTGTGGTGTCTATACTGCTCTTTTATGAGGCTGCAATGGCTTTGTCATCTGTTCTATCCAGCATCCATCTGGACGGCTTCACAACTCAACATATGAGACGACCACAACTAATGCGACCCTATAAAATCACATCCGTGAATCCCCTCGGCATGATTACATTCACCGTCACGGAAGCAATCCAGCTAAAGTTTGCAAGAGTAACACGGGGAATCCATTCACTATGGGATGTGCCCAACCACGCAGCATTTTGTGTACATCACAATCACCAATCCAACCAAACACGCCTTTCTTCCCTTCATTGGCCTTCCTTCAAACCACATTCACGCGTGAGTAACAGTATCAAGCTTGATCATTTGCCACAGCAAACTCGCCAAAATGCCCAAAAGGGCCGCGGTGTTTGGAAAGCTTGCTTCCGCCATGGAATTCGGCTTTCAAGGTATTCTCGACCAGCATACGCAACACATGGAGATCGGATTTAACTACGTCTTCGAGGCTATCTTGAAGCATAGCAAGTTGGATATCACCTTGATCCGCATCAGCAATGTAACTGAAGCGTAAGTTTTCCTTGCCCTCTTATCTCTCTAAATCCTTTAACCCTCCCCTTTCCCTCACCATTAACCTCAAATATAGATCCTTCCACGTCTCCCTCGAGGCCCGAGCCTCTAACACGGGACCGGCCAAAGCCACGCTCGCGCCTATGCCAGTCGAGCTCTGTGGTCCCCTGGGCCGATTCGGGACGATCACGCTTCCGGGCTTCAACACCATGCCCGGCGGAGCCTACATCGCGATCCAGAACCAATTCGTCGAGATCACAGACAAGACCGCGCTCCTCGCCTTCATCAACACAGTGCTGAAATCCAAAAGCGCAATCCTCTCCCTCAAGAACGGCCGAGGCGCAATCACCGTCGCCGCCTTCGGAGTCGGCCCCCGCGCGCTTCCCTACGAGCGGGACATCCCGATCCCCGGGATGGACCTAACCCACGTCAGCGTAACGCGCGCCTCAACCAACGCGCGCCCAACAACATCGACCAGTCTCAGCACAATCAACACCCCGCTCTCCAACCGCACAAACCTCACCGTAACCTTCCACGTAAAGAACCCGTCTCCCGTCGAGCTCAGCTTCAGCATCTGCGAGTTCGAGATCCGCAACGACCGGGACGACGTCATCGCCGCGCTCAAAGGCCGTCTCGACATGCGATCTAAGGACTTCGATGTCACGCTCCACGGCGCGGCGGACAAGCGCGCTGCGCTCACGCTTGAGGAGGGGAAGGCGAGGCTTGTGGGGAAGAGATGTGCGGGCGCGGGATGGTGCGATGAGACGGTCAAGGGAATCGATGTTCCGATTGTGGATGTTTGGAAGCTCCGCAAGGAGTTGGATCTCGATTATGAGGAGCCGAGGCCCGAGGCGTCGCGCGTGTTTCGCTGGCGAGGAAGGTGGTTTATGAGAGGTGGCCATGTTTAAGTGCTGCGGGTTGGGCTTTGGGGAAAGGGGGGGTGTGCTTTGGGGGTTAGTTGGAGTTCTGGGAGTTTTAGGAAGTCAGGCTACGTTTTGGAATGGGATGGATTTGTCTGTCCTATTCGAATACCCGGGTAGTTAAGTTCATAGTTGCTGTCATAGGCTTCCGCTAATGCGAGAAACTTCCCCTGATTATACGAATTCCCAGATTAGCAATCTAGGTAGGTATTCCGTGCGGCTTCCCCCTTACCACTCCAACTCATACCCATCCCTATGCCAAAACCTGCCCGTATCTTCTAACCCCTTGCTATCCAGCACCTCATACAACTTCTCCACTACCTCCTCCGGCCCAGCCGCGCCCTCAATCCCCTCCATCCCAGCAGTCATATTCGTCCTCACGATACCAGGATGCATAATCACAACCGCAACCCCCTTGTCCTTCAAATCCACAGCCAAGCTCTTGAACACGCTATTCACAGCAGCTTTACTAGCACGGTACGAGTACGAGCCGCCGGAGGAGTTATCCGCGATACTTCCCATACGGCTAGACATGACCCCCAGCTTCGGGCTCTTCGACAGGAGTAAATTCGGGAGCAGAGCTTGAGTGAACAAGAGTGGTCCGAAGGTATTCACGCCGAACACCTTGGCGAGCGTATCGTGTGAAATAGCCGACAACGCATCGTCATCATGCGGTGGCATAACACCAGCGATATTCAGCAGGAGATCGATAGACCCAAAGCCGTAAGTCTCCTTAAAGGCGGCGATTGAGGCCGGATTTGAGACATCCACTTGCGCGGTTGCACATCCCAGCGAATTGATCTTATCGCCGACATTCACATCAACAGCGGTGACAGAATATCCCTTGAGATACAGTTAGAGTGGCACAGCTTAAATATGTGTAAAGCGGTTACAACATCTTCCGGGTACATCGGATAAAAGTCCTTAGAAAAAGGATAAGCAAATATGCGATACCTTTCGAATAAGGAGCTGGGTGAAGGCAAACCCGATGCCCGAGTTAGCTCCCGTCACGATAGCAGTCGGCATGGTGGGCTTAGGCTAAGTTAGAAGAGTCGGTAGAAGATCTAGCAATAGTTGGTGGGTAGGATTAATTAATATGTACTTCACACCTGCATAAGTGAGTGTCCCGGAAGACGGGGTCGGCCATCAAGGTCGTGGGGTCCTCGATGCTTATATCGACGACGGGACAGCCGGGCTGACAAATGACGTGCTCTTCGCATGTCTACTAGATTCTCCGCTTGAATTCCTTGTCCCCATTTGGAAGACACGATGTCTTTCATTGGTTGATCTTAATCGTGATCTTAGTCCCCGTCGACTACAGATCTGGAAAGATGGGCGGGCTAGTGGAACGACAAATCGGATTTATTCTTCTATTAAAGATAGGCGTCTGTTTTGACTACATTCTATCTAACTGGTGTCTTTGACCATTGGTATCTTTTTCTTTTGTTGACGCACATGCCCTACGATTTATAATTTAGTCGAATACGATAGCAGCCTTAATCGCCGACTTGTTCCTGATGCTCTCAAGAGCCTCGCCCCATTGTTCGAGCTTGAAAGTTTTGTTGACGATGCCCTTGGTCTTGACCTTTCCGCTGTCTAGGTAGTCAACAGTGGATGGGAACATGTAAGTCTCCGAGAAGGAGCCGATAATGGTGATTTCTAATAATCATCAGTATTAATTTAGAAGAAGTATTGAGGTCATATAACGTACCGTCACCGAAGATCTTAGATGGTGCCCAAGAGACACGAGCAGAGTTGGAGTAAACACCGTAGCAAACAAGCTTGCCTCCTCGCCGGACATAGTTGATGGCATCCTCGAGTACCTTGGCGTTACCACTAGCCTCCACGACTATCCATGTGTTAGCACAATTGGCTATGCCTAAACAGTATGTTTTTACATACCGATATCAAATCCATATGGGTTGTCCTTCTTAATTTGTTCCCATTGAGGAGCCGGGTTCGATCGGGAGAGGGGAACATAGACGTCGCCGGCGTCGAGGCTCTTGGCTAGTTCCATCTTGGAACCCTCGGGGGCAGCAATGGTTAATTGTGAGACACCACTGTGCTTTCTATTGAAGGGTATTAGCGATATTCTCCAATGAGGATAGACAGTGATTCATACAGGAATTGTGCCATCATAAGACCGGTAGGACCAGCACCGATCAATAGAGCGTGCGAACCAGCCTTAGGGGCAATCTTTTCTAAACCGTGCATGGCGCAGGATGCAGGCTCGATGAGGGTTGCGTCGATGTCGCTAATGTTTTTGAGCTTAAAAAGACGACCTTGAGTGTAGGAAGCCTGTATTTGAGCGGAGATCAATTAGCAAATTGGACCTAATATAACGGATTGGGAGCGCGTACATATTCAGCGAAACCACCATCTAGTCCAAGGACACCGTGGGCCTTAAAGTCTTCGCAGAGAAGCTCTTGGCCTCTTCGGCAGTAGAAGCTTTGAGCTCTAGTTAGTTGTTTTGCATCTAGGTGAAGAAGCAGCATGACATTCTGCTTACCAGTGACCACAAAGTTCTGAGTTGTCAGCAGCAACACGGTCGCCTATCGCGAAGCCTTTGACGTCATCGGAAAATGCTGACAGCAATTGTAAGTTTCCTACTTCAAAACATACATAATTCTAATTGAGAATCCTACCAACAACTTCGCCGATGGTTTCGTGGCCAGGAATTAGGGGGAATTCAGCAATAAATTCGCCCTCGTGGATGTGTAGATCGGTACCGCAAACACCGCAGGCCTAGAGAAATCACATGTTATCAGAATAATTATAGTTATTAGAGCAAGGCAATTGACCTACCTTGACCTTAACTAAAACGTCACCGGGCCGTAGCTTAGGTAGAGGAACCTCAACGATGCTCCAATCTTCTGGCTTCTCATATCTACAAAGGTATAGCTGTTAGTGAGCTATGCGCGGGGAAAACAATTTGAAAGAGCTCCAGCGGGCTTTAGGTCGTATATTCCACCACCCAGAAACCAGATAATTTAGGTAGGAAATGGTACTTGCCGGAGAGCCTTCATAGTCTTGGGAAGTGAAGCCATATTGTGTTGTAGAGACTCTAAGTCTATCGTATGATGAGGGGTAGTGAAACACGAGCTGTCTACAAGAGCTCTAGAGGAATCAAGGTTACGGATAAACACTTGGTGAACAAAGAAGCGTAAGCAGGAGGGTGTTATGTCAGACCAAAGCAAATAATCTCTTTGTGGTATTATCAAGAAGGAAACTTGGAAAAAATACGAGAACTCCGGGAGAAGGCCTTCTTATTAGGCATCGTGCGGGAAACGGAAGGGAACGAGCCCCAACCTAGTATTTACGGATTGGTTCCCATGATGAGTTTGCCTGCAAAGCTGGTATCCATGCCACTACGAGGCAGTGGAGGGCGAAAAGGAGGGGCAATAGTTCAAGCCATCGCCGCTACACCCCGCCATGGCTGCATGGGCTACAAATGCGATCACCACGCAGGTAAGTCGACAAGCTAACCCCCGGCTGATTGGGTTCCAAAGGGTTAACTAACCGGAAGTAGACCCACTGGAGTATAGCTCGACAGAAGGAGTAGTACTTCGTGTGTCTAAGATCGCTAGTGTAACTTGGAGATGAGAGCGTCACTGACCCCACTCAAGTAATTTCTACTTGCAGAAGCTGACTAGCCTGACCGGAGACAGTGCCGTCGAAAATGGTCCGATAAAGGTGTGAATGAAAACGGCCCCTCTATGATGCTGATCGGATCTAGACGTCATCTCGCTTGGCTTCTGCAGCGTCATCACGCTTCTTTGGAAAAATATTCTGTCTTAGATATCGTATGTCGGTAAGTCGTATCTCCGAATTAACATTCACGGCTGCTTATATTCGCGTTACTAAGTTTGAAACCCGTAGACCAATGGCATTGGTATCATCAGGTGATATGTTGAAGGCTGAATAAGTTTCAACTTCAATCTGTTGTCGGATGGCTCGGCCAGCCTTCTCAACTTAGAAGTCTCTGGACTGTCACTTGACCCCCGCGATCGATGACTGGCTAGGGATAAAGTTCGTTGGAATGTAAGATAACCCCTCATATTAATCGCTTAAAAGTGTTGTCGAATAATATGCGTGATGTGGCTGGCATGTTTTAGAAAGTATCCCGCCGTGTCCCGGCTTAAGCTCGATTGACCGGTTACCTAACCTTTGAAACCATGTGTTCCCCAAACTACCCTAGATAAGTATATGTAGCACCGTGTTTAACGTTGAGTGCTCCGATGTCTTGGAAGCATTACTACGCTTGTGGTTTGCTTAGTGACGAATCCTCGGGACCAAGCGTGTCGTGATTGTCATCTAAGCGGTATTATGATATATGGTTGGTGTATTATAGATATAGCCCCTTATTCATATATCATACTAGGTATGTGATATAGAAGATCACGGCGATACTTGAACGTACATCAGTCTACGCAGGTACACTGTATTTTACTGTTAGTAAAGGTTTCAGACTTTATATGCGCGCGGTTCGATATTTGGAGAAAATAAATCAATCTGCAGGTGCTGAATTAGCTGGTTCGCGATGACTTACTTGCTTACGCAATTTGTGTTTGCTTTACCCAAGCTTCATGCCATAATTGGTCGGTGCCGTATTCGGACCACTCCGTGCAGCTTGGCAACTCGTTACTGATTGATAAATGGCTGGGAGATGGGAATGGTTTAGGAGTCTCGCCGAACAACGAATATGAGCAGGTTAAGAATTTCTAAATAGGTAGTAGTTAAGGAGACCGCCGTTTCCATTCTACATTAGCGAGTCTGGGGCCGGCGGATATCTCCGGCTTTTAAGTCGGGAAGCCGGGCAGGTACGATAATACTGGAAAAATATTTATACTGGTACCTGCCTCCTACATGCATTCATGCATACAATGCAACCATAATAGATATCGATACTTGCGGTTTCCTCTATGCATAAATACCTTTGAGCCTAAGAAGTTCACACGTATTCCTATAATATGTATGTAGGATATTGCTACGTTCTAAGCTCTCGGGATATGGATGGCTGGAGGGGACAAATGGCGTCTTATCAAATCCCCTCTACAGATCTCGAGAAAGTCATCCACAGATCTCTCTTCACGCTAGGTAGCAGGTGGTAGTGTTTTGTTGTATAGACCATTAAAGTCTTGTCAGATTAAGTATCTGCACTCTCGATCAACCTGTTTCACCAAACCAGAAGCTGCTTCATAGGGAAAAGCGATATTTTTCACGGCAAAAGCATGTCCATAATTCATTGATGATTTCCGAGGATTTAGCCCCCTAATAACTCCCAACCGTGCATCCGAGGTTCCTCCCACGAGTTCTATCACGCGAGCAGAAGCGCAAATATGCAGGTGCTCCATTCCCTAGAGTACATGCCCATGCCGGTCGTCATGTTCGTCCAAGGGATTTTCAAGGGTAGTAGAATTTCCACCTTACGAGGGGGGAGCGCCACGGCCACGACCGAATCCACCACGGCTGTAAATAATTATGGTAAGTATAGGAATCTTGAAAAAATTCAGGACCGTTGGGTAACTCACAATTGAGGGTTGAATTCACCAGGAGCACCACCGCTCTCCTTACCGCCCTCACCAGCATCTCGTCGTCGGTAGCCACCCTCGCGGTCGCCACGGTCACCACGATCGCCACGGTCGCCGCCACGGCCACGGCCGAATGGTCGGCGTTCGCGCTCACCCTCACCCATCATTCCTCGGGGAGGAGCGTGCGATCGCTGTTGCTTGATGTGTGTGGCAGGGACGATCTCGGCAGGGAGGTGAAGCCATTCGCGGAGGTAGTCGAGACCCTCAGGGGTGAGGGTGTAGTAGTAGTATTGCCATGAAAACTGAGTCTTGACGTAGCCGCGGGAGTTCAGGGATTGAAGGGCCTTGACAACGAAAAGGTTCTTGGTGTCGATGTCGGGGTGCTTGGGAAGGTTGAAGTCCTTCTTCGCGACGAGGACGCCCTCACGGAAGAGGTACTACGCAAGAAAAAAAAAAGTTAGCTCAGTGTTTCCTGCATTCTTACGAAATGAATTAATTATTCATCATACCTCGTGGATCTTCTTACGATCAGCCTTGGGAATCAGCATCTTGGCGGTTTGTTATGTTGCAAGATGTTGAACAGGGTGGGTGGACGTGGTTGATTTGGAAGACGACAGGCTGATACTTTTGCGATGAATTGAAGTTAGGGAAATTCTGGTTGTGCGCAAAAACCCTATGGTGGAGTAGGAAGCGAACTAGGAAAGTTCGTGGGGCTATGTGGCTAAGTTGCATTTTGCACGGACCATTCAGTATTTTTCACATTGTGGCTTGACATTTGAGGTAAGATGTACTCAAGTATCTAAGTACTTTGTACCGATAAATAACCTTGGCAATTTATGATAAGACCCACTCTAGCCATCTAGAATCCTCAATCCGTCACCTAGGTAGGCAATTGGCATCTTTTACATACCAAACTTTCCATCTTGGAACACTTCCTTTAATATCAACACGCTTAGCACGAAGGCTTCTTGAGTTTCTTCATCCCATCGTGTGAGGTAACAGTTATGGCACCTAAAAACATCAACGTCTTTGTTACCACCTTTTCAGGCTTAGGCCTGCCTCCTACTCTGTCATTCCCCGTTCCTCCGACCACCACTTTCTCCGACCTCCACGATCGCATTGAAGGCCGATTGCCCCAGACAGATGCGCGACTCATCCTAACAACTGTTTCAAACAAGCAACTACTTCACAGTTCCGATGAGCTAGTATCTAATCTCTGCGGTGGCGACGATGCTTTTGTATCCCTCCGATTATCGATTCCGTTATGTGGTGGCAAAGGTGGTTTCGGCTCCCAGCTTCGAGCAGCTGGTGGCCGAATGTCTTCAAAGAAGAAGAAGAACCGCGGAGATGAGAACGGATCTAGTAGAAACCTCGATGGACGTCGACTGCGCACAGTCAACGAGGCTAAGTCGTTAGCTGAGTTCCTAGCGATCAAGCCTGAGATGGAACAGAAAGAGAAGGAGAAGCGACGCGCAAGGTGGCAGCAAATCGTTGACCTTGCAGACCAAAAAGAGCACGAGATTAAGAACAACACGAAGGGTCGACTGGACGGCAAGTGGGTGGAGGACAAGGAAGAGGCTGCCGAACGAACTCGCGAGGCAGTTCTCGCTGCTGTGAAGGCGGGAAACTATAAGGACAATCTCCTTAGCACATCGCATGGCTCTACCTCTACGGAATCCATGGAAGAGGGCTTCTCTAGTGGGGGAGACGAATCCGAGGAGGCTAGTAGCTCTAAAGCTACGAAATCGGCGGCGAAAGCAACATCGAAGAAGCCAGCCACTGGAGTATTCGCCGGTTTTGACGAAGACGACGAGTTCATGAGTTCCTCGGATGAGGAGGACAGCAAATAAGACGACACTGCATTTATACTATTAATGATACCCACAAAGAGATAAGGCGAATGAGGCTCCTAACCAAACACGATCCCTCGAAACATAACTTTTTACTACCGGATGTGCCTTCAGTACGAGTGATCTTAGGAGTTTGGTCACCGAGGGCATTTGTTTACGCAATGGCGCAAAACTGTTATGAATTTCGCGGCATGAGAAGATAGGATTCGAAAGGATGAGCTCAATTTGCGAGCTATAGGTTCTTTCGTTGGAGGCAACCAAATTGATATGGCCCATATAGAGTGGCCCACGAGAAGGATACTGCCCTAATAGGATCACAGTCAACATACACCTTATGTTGCTGGCTTCCTAATTTTACCACAGAAGGGCTGATGATGAGCCATAATGATACAGCAAGGAAAGGCATACCATACCGGGAAAGGGACCCAAGGGAGTCTCAAAGCCAGCTCCCCTGCTATGGAATTGCCATATATATTGACCTTGTTTCTTATTCATAGGAGCTAGGGACGATCGGTACTCAAGGAAATGAATAAAAGATCAGACATGAACCCAAATATGAAGCAAATTCGAAGACTACCAGTGTGATCTCTAAGGTGTTATATTCGACACACAATACACCTAACTCCATAAAACCTCGCCATCTATACTCTTCACCCACTCATCAACCCCTATTTCACCAACCTCACCATCTCCTCCGCATCCTCCGTCCCCATCGCACAACTAACATCCCTACACTCCTCCAAATCCGCCTTAACCCTCTCCACCTCCGCCATAACCATACCCCACGAGTCCCTCCCAAGCGGAACCCTAATCGGAATCCTCCCTCCCGCACCCACAACCCTATAAACCCCCTCCGCGACCTCCCCCGCGCTCGCAAACCCCCCATGCAACTCCCTCCTCTCCATAAACTCCAACATCCCCGTCGTCGCCCCCCCTTCCCCAATATACTCCGGATGTCTCTCCATCCTCCTCAGATTCTCCCCCGCGTACCGCGTCCTTGTGCCCCCGGGCTCCACACACGTGACGTGGATCCCCCACTCCGGAAACATCTCCTTCGCCACGCTCTCCGCGAACCCTTCCAGCGCGAACTTGCTCGCGTGGTAGTACGCGTTTCCCGGGGACCCGAAGAACCCGCCCATAGACGTCACGTTGACGATCACACCGCCGATCTGTCCTGTCCCCGGGTTCACGTCTCGGAAGACGGATAAAGCCCGCTTCGTCACGTCCACCGCGCCCCAGAAGTTCGTGTCCATCAGCTCCCGCGCCCCGCGGTTTCCGGGCGGAGAAACCTCCGCGTCGCCCATGAGGTTGTAGCCTGCGTTGTTAACGACGACGTCGACGCGGCCGAACTGCGCGAGCGCGGCGTCGAAGGCGGATTCGATGGCGTGGGGGTCGGTGACGTCGAGCGCTGTTTTGAGGACGTTGGGGGAGTCCGGGATGGAGGATGTGGCGGCGGATAGGGCGGCTGGGTTGCGTGCTGTGGCTACGACGCGCTGGGAGGCGGTTTTGGTGGCGATGTGCTGCGCGAGGGCTTGTCCGATGCCGGAGGAGCAGCCGGTTACTTTGGTGGTTAGGTTGGTTTGAGGCTTTTTATATAGATGGTTTGGTTGGTGTGGCTTACTGAACCAGACTGCGTCGGCTGGTAGGATGTATGGTTTTGGCGTGGTTGTATCCATGTTCAACTAGGACTCTAGGAAATAAATTACTCCTTATTTGTAAAATGTAGTTACTTTTATATATTTAAAATCGTAGGAATTATTGCCTATGAGATTCCCAGACCAACTCTTACGAAGAGCTCTTGTCGCCGCTTTATATTAGAGCTCGTTTTCTACATTGTGACAAGATCTACTCCTATCTATTCATCCAACATCACTGATAAACCAAGCTATTTAGGCAGCAGACCTTCGTAAATGCCTACATACTATGAATTATGGTAAATCAAAGCTTGCTTAGGAGAGATAGGTGATCTTGTACGACCCTCTTTCTGCACGATTCAGCTCCTTAACCCCTAATGCCCCTAAGTCCGCGTAGCTCCGGTGCATTCCTGTCTTAATCGGTCTTATTTACATGGGGATTCGGAGATATCCGCTTACGGTAGCAGTAGAAGAATGCTCTTCCGACAGTCTGAGACAATAGCACAAAATCATTTCAAAGATCAGATTATCAGGCGAGACACAGTACTACTTCAGGAATATTACCCGGAATTTCGAATTTCAGTGGCTAACCTATCTATGTAACCACGCTCTACATACAGCCACCAGCAGTGTTACTACTTCATGAACCATGATACCCCGTCCTCGTTATGCTTTTCGAATACGTCAAAACATCAAAAACTACGAACTACTAGTTGATTCGACACAGCCGCATTTGTCTTAGTTTGTGACCTTGCTCATCTGGACCAACCTTTTGACACCGACCTAGATTCTAATTAGTAAAAATTTTCAATATTGATGATCACAGTGGTTTTAACATACCATCCAGTTGCCGCATTCTTCTGTCTTATCCCGTTGAATCTCCACCTGAAGACGCTGCGCTTCTGGGTAGTTCTTGGTCTCTAGCGCTTGAGCCAGTATGGTCAATTGCTCGATGGTATCCGGCTTAACTAATTCCTCGTTATTGAGATGGTCAAACAAAAGACCAAGTCGCTTTTGCGTATCCTTCACCTGGGGAGCGAACGAAGCTGGCGCTTTGCCGGCTACTCGTTGCATATCACGGCTTAGAATGTCGACTAGCTGTTGAGCGCTAGGAGGAATATGGGAACGATCACCAGCAGGGTGTCGAGCCGGTTGTGGGGCGGCTCGTGGCGGAGGTGGTGCCGGTGAAGTTGACGCGGGTAGACCACCGCTCACTGATGGAGGGCCGGCAGAAGGTGGTCCTTGAGGCACCGGCGGAGCACCGTATGGTGATGGAGCGTATTGGTTGTGAATGGCTGCAGCCTGAGGAGGTGCAGCGTAAGGGTTGGGCGGAGGCGCTCGGTTAGCATGAGGGGGAGGACCCAAAGGAGGCTGCTGGGACGGATTAGGTTGAGGCGGCTGTACTGGAGTGTATCGGCTCGTAGGTGGAGTGGACGCTGGCGGTTGGTTGTAAGGCGAAGCCATTCTAGGGACAACATGACCCATTGGAGGCGGAGGTAGGCCAGGGCCACCGCCCGGGGTCTGGACACCTGGAGGGGGTGCGTACGTTTGCGCTGCGGCCGATCCAGGTCCATGCGGAGGTGGCAGATGTCCGGGCTGTGGAGGGCCACCTAAAGGAGACATTACCCTTCCGGTTGGTGGGCCTTTAGGAGGAGGCGGCGGCGGCGTAGCTGTTCCACGTTGAGAGCCGTAAGGACTTTGCGGCGGCGGCATTACCTGATTGGCGAAGGGGGTAGTAATAGGAGCCGCACTAGGCGTGTTCCTTCGCGGAGGTGCCTTCGTTACCATAGGAACATCGTTCCAATTTTCTCCGTTCGAGGCTCTCGGAGGCGGTTTGGACGATGGCGTAGATGACCTTGGGGGACCTCCAAAGGATGTTGGGGGAGGGCCATAGCCCGGGTGCTGAGTAGGCGCTTGAGCTATTTGTGGCTGTGGCGGCTGGTATCCTTGGGGAGCATAGGGATTGCCAACGGTTGGTGGAGCGTAAGGGTTTACCGGAGGGGTTTGGACGGCCGGGGGTGCGTATGGGTTGATTGGGCTAATGCCAGCGGCCGGTTGAGGCGGTTGATATCCTCCTTGCGCAGACGCAGTTCGAGTAGAGACACGCGCGGCCGCCGCGGGTTTGTGGACTTGCTGCCTTGTGGCAGGTTGGTGGGCCACTTTCTGCGTTGCTAGTTGCACACGTTCACGTGCCATATCCGCAGCATCATACTTCGTTGGAAGAAGGCTCAGGTATTTCTGAGCAACCTCGAGTTGGCCATGGGCCGCAACAATGTCCGCATACTCGATATATTTGTCGTAGAGCGAAGAGAGCTTCCAGCCCGAAGGAAGACCAGTCTCCGTATCTTGGAACTTTGTTACGTGACGGAATACCGATACCTTCTCGATGAAGTGTTGGAGGGATCGTGCATGGATCGAGAAGGTGGAATCGTCGGCTTCGGCCAGGCCAGCCTTCTCGGTTTCCTCCAACTCTTGAACCCAGATATCGACAACCTTCTCAAGTTTAGAGCCGACTAGGTAACAGAAGGAAGCATCCTTCCTCGAGCCAGATTCGATGATGCGATCACCTAGGGCTTCGCATAAGTCTGGAAACTCGGTTGGGTCGGCAAATGTGCAAAGTGTCACCATAGTCTCCTTCCAATCAGCTAGATCAGCATTATAAACGACATCCCATAGGTTTTTGACGATAACAGAACCCAGAAGTCGTAGATAACTGGGCATCCCGGTCTTCTGGGATAAATAAGCGGATTGAACTTTGTCCACAAGTTCTTTTCCGCCACAGTTCGCAATCATAAAGGCATCTGCCATACGGCCTTCCTTTAAGCAGATTTCGGTGGCATTCTCAAATCGTCCTAACATTAACGCTTTTGTAATCTGCTTTTCAACACCTGTGTCGCTATCGGCGAATAGGTGGAAGGGGTTGTCCGTTTTAGCACCCTTTGTGGCTGACAGGCTTGCCAAGAAATCTTCACCTTCACCTTCTCCATCGGCGAAGAAAGTTGAGAATGTTTTCTTATGACCCTTTCCCCCCTTCTTCGGCTTCTCAGGCTCGGCTTCTTTTGCTTCGGTACTTTCATCTGTTACGCCGTTGGGTGACTCGTCCTGCGTTTCCTCCTCGTTGAATCCTAGATAATCAACAATTTGTTTCCGCGGGTTGTCAGCAAGCAGCGTTTCCAAAACACGCCAATCAGCCTTCTCTTCATCAGAGTTAGCCTGCTCTATGTGCGATTCGCAGATAGCCGTAATGTCGCCAGATTTCAGGGACTCTTCAAACTTCTCGGTGGCAGATCCAATGTCCGAATCAACAGAAAACTGTGAGATTTGGATTGTAGAGGAGCGTTTTTGACCGGGTTGGTGGGGGTTTTGCTTAAATATAATTAATTTGCCACCGAATCCGAACGAGACTCCGACAGGATTTTCGAGCCACTTAGGGGCCTTCGACAAGGAGAAAGCGGCACCTTGAGGCTGTCTCTGAGCTTGGGTGAAGAAGTCTTCGCCATCCAGGCTGCTTTGAGCCGTATTCTGGACGGCCGAAGGGTTTGTATTCTGGAGCGTCTGGATGGTTATCTTTCCATCAAATGATGCAGTGGCCGAAAGACTCGGGTTATGGGGGTGGAATCGGGTTAAGAAAGTCCAGTTGGTGACTTCAGGGAATTCTCCATAACGTTCTCCCGTCTGAGGATTCCAGACTAATGTCCTGTTATCCTTGCCGCATGAAATCAGAATATCGCCATCTTGTTGGCACCACGACACTGATAGAACACCTTGTTCGTGACCTTGAAGAGTTCTTTCAGGTGCATTGGAGTTTCGCAGGTCCCACAGCAAGATGACTGGGGTCGTATCGTCGGGTGTAGCGGTCAACAGCTTCGTAGAGTTGTTCGGATCCCATGCAATTGCACTAACGGGTTTCCGGTTGTTATTAAGTGTTAATGAGGCCTTCTTGGTCTTCAAGTCCCACACGGTAACGAAGCCACCAGAACCACCGGTGGCGAGAATATGAGCAACCTTTGTATTCCACGCTACGCATTCCAAATCATCTGATCGAGCTGCCGTGGTGCCCAGACGGAAAGCGTTTTCGGGGTCGTTTACGTCATAAATGAAGAGTTCGCCCTTGGCGCCAGCGGTGGCTAGGATTTGGGGTCTAACAGGATTAAACTGTAGCGACTTGATAGCGCCCGTATGCTTTGAAGTTCGCGATATTAAAGCATCAGACTCGCCGGCAATAAGCTTCTCGGCGTCCCAGAGATCGAGCGAACCGTTCTCGAGAGCACCGGCAATGATGCCCTGGGGGTAGTCTTCGGAAGGTTGACCCCAAGCGATGTCGTAGAACCTAGTTGTAGTCTGTTAGCGAACTCCGTGGACTCATCATCGTATTCCGGTTAGCTATTTACCTCGAATCGGCGGCAATGCTCGCAATGGGTTGAAGCTCAAGCCCTTGCTCTTGGCTGTCAAGATTTAGGTCCCATAACTCCAGCTTTGTCTCGTCGGAGAAGTCGGCGTCGACGGCTCCAGCTCTAGTTCCGGTAACCAACAATGGCTTTTCAGCAGTGGGCGACCAGGCAAAGGCCGCAGTACGCGAGATCTCGCGCAATCGAACCATGTTGGCTACACCGCGCACACCACGTATATTACGTAGAGGGGCAGCTTAGTGTAGTCAGGGTCGGTCGAATCGAGGGATGTAGAAGAGAGTTTCCAGAGATTCTCAGGGGATCAGCTTAAATGCCAACTGGCATTGAGCACTCTAGGCCAGCTAGGAATGTTGGCAGGGACCCGAGATGTAGGGAGATATGTTCGTTGATTTGCTTGCCTAGAATAGAAAGGCGGAAACACACGAATTCATTATGTTGCCAGATAATACGATCCAACGGTCCCTGTAGGTGTGGGCGCATGAGCTCACAGTCCAAACCAAATCAAGAATCGAGGACGTGCACTACTGGAATCTGTTCCCTTTCGCCAAGTTCCAACTTGTGGGACCTCTTTCACCAGCCACTTCTTCGTAGCCACAGTTACCCCCTTACCTACTTCACGTGATAACGACGCCCTACCCACCATTACAGTAAGTAGATATCCATTTGATCATTGAATCTGTGAGGATTTTAGAGATGTAGATATAAATTGATTCAAAATCATTACAGAAAAATAATCTTGAAAATAATTATATAATAAGTCATTACCATAAGGTACGCTCATATTGTTACCGAGGTTGAATTGTAGGTGCTGTTTAAGTGGATATATTCACTTACATGAATTGAACGACTTAAACTTTGAACTTCTCGCCGCAATTTATTTGAATCAGCCACACACCAAACTTCTAGCCAGTTGCATATTATTCGCCGGATCTTAAAGCCCATGCCAACGCAACTCACCTACGAAATAAAATATCATATCGGAACTACGCACTCTAAGGCTAAGGCATAAAAATGACAGACGCTGCTCGTTGGAAAGCTACGGTTTACGTCGGAGGTTTAGCCTCTGTCGTTACCAACATAAATATTCACGACGCCTTCATCCCCTTTGGTGAAATCGCCGATATATCTCTGCCTAAGAACGATGCGCCAAACGCAACTGAGCCGCATCGAGGATTCGCATATGTAGAATATGAGGATGCCGAAGATGCAAAGGAAGCTATCGACAACATGGATCAATCTGAGTTATTTGGCAGGGTCTTAAAGGTCTCGGCAGCAAAACCTCCTAAGAGTGCAGATGAAGGGTTGGGTGGGAAGAAGGCCATTTGGGAACAAGTAGGTCTCCTTTTTATTCATCATATTTATTTATAATTAGACATCTAGATTACTAACAATCGAAATAGGAGGGATGGCTTGCCGAGCATGCAGTTAGCGAAGAAGATCGTGCCGCAGCTGCTGCACCTAAGAGTGGCATAGACGATGATAGACCAGAAGATCCTATGCAAGGACTTGAGGGGCTTGACGTTGCCGGACCAAAACCAGAATGAGGAATCACTTGAATCGCTCATAGGGTGTGCTTGAATTTTTCGCATAGCGTTGGCGTCAGGAAAGGATCATAGGGCACAGAAAGAAGTGTTTAAGATAGGAGCTTGCGATTAATGTCTATACCGCGCTTAACCTCCCGTATTTGACATACCCACCTCCGGTGGTTACATGTACAGTGCTATGCTTCTCTGAACGAAAACGCGCCCTTTCCTGGTAAGCCTGTTCCGGCTGGCCAAATTCCAAATCCATCCCTCGTATCATGACGAATTTTCTCAGTGCTCGGCGTGCTCCTCGTGATCCGAAGGCTCGGCTTTGCGGTTTTGGCGGCTAAGACGGAGGTTCTTGTCGACCCTGAACTTGCGGAAGCTGGAGTAACCGGCGGCGAAGACGGCGAAAGCAACGACAACACCTAATAGATAATATCATCAATACCATATCCAAACATAATTCTTCGTTAAACCTGGGCCGTAAGATGAACTAACCAAGCGGGAGCAACTCTGCCGGAATTTGTCGCAACTTTCGTAGGCGTTGAGACACGGTGTGCGCTGTGTTATCGGTCAATATTTAATTCCTATCCGGTAATATTTTGACGGGATGCTTTCGGAAGCTCGGTATATATATTTGAGGCGTCAATGGTTCGCGATGGTTGAGAACATACCGCTTTGGTCTTCCTTCTGTTATGAGTTGTTAGTAAAACGTCATAGCTATGCGAAGAAGAGATTAAGATCGTACGGGAATGGGGAACATCATGCGCCTCGTGGGCATCATTCTCAGAGCTCGAGTAGCATACATTTTGTCGGATTGAGAGGAGATTTTTGTAGGCGTTGAAGGTGCGCTATAGAGGCTGTAGCTGTCGGCTATCGAAGATGGAATTATCAATTATATTTGACGTTGTTGGAAGGTTTTGGGGGGGAAAGCAACTTCGGTAACTTAGATTCAGGCCACGACCAGTAAAAATCTAGAAAATAATCGTAGTGGACCCTTTCTCCCCCAAGCGTTCACTGTATCATGCCACCAAGTGCCACCCAAAAGCCTGAGGCAGCTAAAATTAACGCTTGCATGATTCGATTCGGCAAGAACCCCATTATCCGAAAGCTCCTTCCAAGCTGCAATCTTCAGTCTCATAATCTCGTAATACATCATCACTTTACACTTTACATTCTACAACATACAACAACCGATTGCCATTGAACCCGTCAACATCACTCTCCACTCAAACAAAACATACAAATCGCCAAAATGTCCGACGACGAGCGTGTAACAAAACCCTTCAAGTTCGTCACTGGTAAGTTTTCACTCCGAATCCCCTCAAGTCATCCGAATCCACGGCCACATCTACATCCTTTTTCCCGAATTTTGACAGTCAGCTAATTATTAATGTGGTTTAGCTGGTAAGAAATGCTTTACTTCCCATTGCGATTGAATCGGCATAACGATGCGACCATCTCGAACCCATGAATAACCGCAATCGTCTAACCCCGCCGTCTAGGTGTCGACGCTCGATTCCCCAACATGAACCAGACCAAGCACTGCTGGCAGAACTACGTTGATTACCACAAGTGCATCAATGCCAAGGGCGAGGATTTCGCCCCATGCCGCCAGGTACGATTACCGTCAATGTAACCCATAGATACGGGACGAATATATATTAATAATCCTAGTTCTTCCTTGCCTACAGATCTCTATGCCCGAGTGGATGGTATCAACGATGGGATGATCAACGAGGTCAGTTCAGTAACAAGCTATCGTGAGTGTAGATGAGAATTAACGCAGTACAGAGGCCGGAAACTTCCCCGTCAAGTTAGATGCTTAAGTGTATCTCATGACTTGCATACGATCTTCACATGCATCAGTCGAATCGGCAGAGTTGGACTATCACGATGTAGTACATATCCTAAATTTCCTCAGCCAGCCAACTAGAGCTTTGTTACAAGGCTACTTACATTTGTCATTTATATTTTCCATGTGACTAGTCGATATTCCCGCTGCTTTTAGTCGGGATACCTAGTGAATAACTTCTCAACTGAGAGTCAGATATAAGGCGCGAAGTCTTCATTGCCCTTTTCCTTGGGATGATGCCTTCATGATAACTATTATGAGATAGAATATCTACCAAAGGCCCGGTTTCACCTGTCTTATTTATCCCACATCATTAACCATCTCGGATACAGCTTTAGATGCGGCTCTCTCCTCGTGAACTCAGGAGCCATCATAGTTATAGCATGATAGCAGAGCCAGCAAGCGCCTTTGCTACAGCCAATGTAATTGAAAAACTTTGAACTGCCTTGTCTCAGCAATAGTTCTAATATCTGCATCTCACAATGCACGACGAATGGGGCATGGTCCCATATCTTCAATATGCGACCTTGCCATGATAGATCCCGTGGTTTCCTTCGTACGGTGGATGGATCAACCGACGAGTGTGATTGATTATTAAGGCATTTGGCAATGCATTCTTCTAGTTCATTTATAATCTTGCTTACTTCCGTTCTGTATGGTTCGTTCCCTATTGACTCTAACTTCATCGAGACGGTAAATTTATCCAGAGGCACTATCCTGATTTGCAGAGAAGCCTCTCTATGATCTATCTTGAAACGGACCATATCAAACCATGCTCTGCGGTATTCTGCAATGATGTGGACTAAGCGTCTAGTTCTCAATAAGAACGTTTCAGGGTACTCGATTTTACGGTCCACGTATCCGATTTCCCGACATCTACGACGACACTGGTGAATCAAGTCATCCATGGGGACCAAGTAAGATTCCAGTAGCTCATAACATATATGTATGAGTTTATGGATAAGCTTGAGATCTTTCTTGGTGGGTATACTTGTTAGGTCACCGAGACGAAAATAAGTGCTTTCACGCGTCCAAACCAAATCGTAATCGCTCAGATAGTACACGATATCCAGGACATATACCAGACCCTTGGCCTGTGGTGGTATCTCATCATCGGATTTAGTACAAGCTACATCGATAATTAAGTTTCGAAGATCCTCAAAAGGATACTCATCTTTGTCGTAAACATTCTGTAATTTTACATAACATGTTTCAAACATAGACTTCTTAATGTTTGGGTAACAGCTCTGGACAATTTCTTGCCAAAATTCATTCGTGATGTCCGGATTATCGACGTAATTATCGTGGGGCGTTTCAAACCACACTTGGATCCTCGAAACTAGATAAGATGATAGACTATCTTCGCCGGAATTCCTGGCAACGTGGAGGATGTATCTACTTGGATTTTTGCTATCCCACTCCATGGCGGTCGCAGTAACTCCATCGGATCCAGGCCGAGCGAATATTAAGGCGAAAGAATCGAGAAGATTCTCCCCAAGTTGTTTTTTTACCTCGTCGCTACACGGCCCACTTACAATTTCCTCGATAGCATGAGGCCGCACTACTTTTGAGGGGTTGTAACTTGGAGTTGGGCCCGAAATCCTGTCCTGTTGTTGGTTCATTATATTGAGTGTGAAAAGTTTAGAATGAAATATCACAGAATTTAGCTGAGCACATTCTAAAATATCCTCCGGGTCATCGGTGTGGTCATCGGTGTTTACGTTGGCGATATTATCTTTGGATGACATGGTTCAAATTCAAAAATAGACAAGCACAGCACTTGATGCCTAATTCTATTCAATATTTGGGGGTGAAGATGATTTGATGAGAACTTCATACTTATAGATGGGCGATCCAGGACCTTTTATACACGTATAATATAGCTCATGAGTCATTCCCAAGATGGCTTCAGTGGAAATGAATATATTCCCAAACAAAGAAACCACCGGGATATACCATGCCATCGAGATGATATTTCATTCTTCATGATGATGTAGCGCTTCTATCTTTGAGGAAGCTCATGAGAGTTCGTTTCACGCTGATATATCCAATTTCCGAGGTTATCCTGGCTGACTCCGATATTCATTAGCATTATGCTCTCCTTGGTCGGTTCCCTGCTTCTTAGATGTATGCTTCCTCTAAGATCATGTCCGTAAAGTTAGTATCTGTCTGAAGAACATCATGACCATGGGTGCCTAGGGTCCTAGGTAGTCGAGGAGTTAATAAGAGTTACCTTGTAACCTTCAAGTTGTAGGGATGGGGTTATCCGGTTGTGATTAGGTAATATGACAAGCCCCCAGCACAAAGCTTACCGGAAAAACTTAGAAGCCGGCGCTAAGCAAGGGTCCCCGAAATTTCAATGCACATCAAGTATCTGTACCAGAACAGCTATTCATTCTATCTATTACTTTTACCTCGCGCCAGCCAGATCGAAAAACTTGATTGCGAGCCGAGTAAGCTCGTAGGAGGGTTCTCAAGATGGTGAATCCCGGGAAGCGTATGAACATATTGCAACAAGTAAGCTATTCCTTCTCAATTCTCATATACTTATCACGAATAGAGAATACCTTCTCGTTATTCGACAGACCCTTCTACAGACCCTTCTTTATACCAAGTATAAAACATGAAATATAAAATGAAATATGAAAAACGCTGCTAACATACCAATCTAGAAGGTAATTCTTGTAGCCAATTGCGCCCGAACGTACATTCTAACCAAGGTAACTACTTAGTTACTATCATTACGTCAAGGTCCAGGTGCAGCGATACTACCGCCCGAGATCACGCGGATACATCTACATTTCGCCAAAAGATGGAATAATGGTCACATGGGGCCTAGGTATGCGGAATTACCTTATCACTCACCTTTCCAATGCTCTCGAGCGACCGATATATGAGCTCCGAGTCGATCATGGTTGACTAATCACCAATTATCTTCCCCTCGTATAGGAGATTCTGGAGAGAATGTCTACCCCGCCTCAAATTCTGGAACCCAGCAGTCCCAATGCTCGTCAATCGAACAGACGACAATTCGTCACCAGCCAAAATGTCCATCTACTTCCGACAAGAAGCGCTGGATTCCAATAAACCCTCCACGCTCATCAGCAAGTTCAACTCCCTACCTCTCGCGCAGCAGGCGCACTCGAGCATAAAGAATGAGTATCCAGCGCCAGAGCCCGAGGAGGGCGAACGCGTGGTCACGATCGATATGAGACAGGTACATTCGGAGACCATCCTCAAGGAATTCATGGCCAAGACCGGCGCCACGATAGTGGAGCCTACCTTCGACGAGTTAGCAGAGATGACCAACATAAAGCAGCGTGAACAGAAGGCTGCTCTCGACCGTGCCGTCATGAGGAAGTACATCGACGACAGAAAGCGCGAGGAGCGCATGCTGGCTATAGCCCGACAAGAGGCTGAGGCCATTAGGCTAGCTAACCAGTAAAAGTAAGTTCCACACTATCAAGTTCCGAATTTCTACTATTCCGGTCCAGACAGGAAGGGCCGGGATAAGGAAATGCCTTTTTCTGGATTGGATGGATTGAGATAAAAAAAAATGAAGAGGGTGAGGTGATATTAAGGACGGGGCCGGGGCCGGGACATGAGCGACGACGAATTATTGGAATGAAACGAAACGAACCTCACCTCTTCGCGTCCGAATCGTCGCGCTATTTGTACCAAGACGTGTATCATACGAAGACTCAAGGCGTATAAAACTAGAGGGGTATGTACATGAAGAAAGGAAGTATATACAAGGCCTTCCACGAAGGACGGTGCCCACGACAGGAGACCTAAACGCTACCTAAGGTATTGAATGAAAAAAAGCAATTCCAATCAACGAAGGGGAGCATCAAGCTCTCCCTCTCGTCTTCCCTCCCCCCTTTTGTGACCATTATCCCCTCAAAATTCCTACCCCGACCTTTCGTCACACGGAGAACACCTTGCATACACTCTGAGATATTCTGCCTTGATCTCCATGGCTTATCTCAATTTTACGTCAAGGAAGAAACGAACCCCAAGACCAATGTTGTATATTCTCTATGCCCTCCTTTTCCTCTAAAGGCGCATGGTTTACTTTGTTAGTCTACATACCTTCATCCGTACTCTAGGACATAGTCTCGAAAACTTGATCTACTTTTGCGGAATTACTCTTATGGATAGTTCTCTTACCCTTTCGTTTTCGCTCTTCTATTATACCTGAAAGTGAACTTTTCTGCAACACATTGTACTATAAAATCCACGAAATAATCATAATTACTATAATTTTATCTCATAACTCATTCTAAACCAAGCCCAATACCACATTACGTGCCTATACAATACAATACTAGCACAAGCCTAGCAGCCTTCACGGGACCCAATCCCATTTTCTCATAAGCCTTCAGGCCGTCATACAGCATAACATAACAAAAGAAACCTCATTCATCCTACCCCCTTACCATTAGGTAGGTAAACCACTCTCTACACCTCCGTCTCTACATCCGGCTGCCGTCCACTCAGCGCACCCATATGCGTGACCCTGCGAATCGCATACTTCGCCTCGTCCTTAGCGAACTGGGCGTTCCGTAGCGGACGCCACTGCATAAGTCCGCGGTGCTGGCGATGCAGGTCCCTGCTCCGTTCCTTGTAATCCTTGAATTGTTTAATCGGGTTCTTGCTGCTACTCCCTTTGCTTTTCCTACTCGAGCCGGAGTTCGTGGTGGTTTGCGTTAGCGCGGCGCCACTGGCGTTTGTGCTGGGATGTGCGAAGTCCGAGGACCCGGTGGCGTCTTCGGATGTAGCGTCGTTGATGCCTAGGTCGTCTGAGTAGTTGGAGGATGTGGATCCGAGTTCGTTGGGGACACCGTCGGTGGGCTCGGAGTCCGATTCAGGTTCATATTCGGGTTCTGCGCGGCCTTCGTGGCCGGTCATTAGATCTGCTGGATCCTGGCCGAAGGCACCCGTCCAGTCTGTTCCGTCCTTAGATAACCATTTTCTACGCTCTTCCTCGGGAGCCGTGGCAAGGACATCCCGTCCGTTGGTCAGCGAATCATCATGTAGCTTTTGAATGGTGGCTGGTATCGATTTCAAGACTTCTTCCTGTCGGACGCCCTCTGCAAAGCACGCTTCCCACGTCTCAATGGTCTCGCGCGAATCGTTGTCGCTCACGAAGCGGAGGTGGTCTCGATCGGTGCCGGCCTTGAACCTACCTTTGAAGATTAGACGCCCCACCTCTTCAATCTTGATATCTGGGATTGTGTCGAAGTTGTCCTGGGTGATGAAATTTTGGGATAGTCGCATAGAGTTATCGCATTTCCACACGGGAATATCGAACGTCTTATCCTCCCCGTCAATCAGCTCTTGCAACCATATCGCCGCAAAGTGTTCGACGTGGCGCCTGCCAGGCAAATGAAACTCGAAGAACACGGGAGAGCGGTAGCGGTATCTGACGGGGAGACGTGGAGTTTGACTGTCAGTCACACCACTAATAGTCCATTCTAAACCATCACCCTTCGTCTTGCAGTATTCGCGTTTGATTGTTGCGGAGCTGCCTCCTGTCCTCAGCCGTAGCTTCACGTGGCCCTTACCCGAGCCAGCAAAAGTTGAGGTTATTTTATCGGAAGTGAACTCGAACGTCCCGACGTCCCAGCCAAGTTGCGGTGGTGGGAGCTTCAGTTCGACTGATCGGAACAGTAAGGAGATACGGACACGGCCGAAGCCAATTCCACCGTCTAGGGGATACCATCGTGTGACCTAGCCATTCAATATCAGCATCTCGTTTTAGACAGGGAGTAGAGTTTGCATTCATCTTACCTGGCTACTAGTTTGCATAAGATCGGAAAGTTTCAAAGGAACAACACCAATAATAGGGTCGTGCTGCCTGTTACGCGAGTCACGAACCGTGATAGTGACGATAGCGGATCTCCAATCCCGAACGAAGCGCTCAGTACCAGCATTGAAGATTGGTTTTGAGGAAACGACTTTCGTTCGAGTCTTGTATACCTATAATACCGCATTAGTGGAATAGTCGTGTGGGATGCTACTAGAAACCTACCAATTCGTCATTGAGTAGCATAGTACAATACGCACTCGGCAACCTCTTGCTCGACTCCTCCTTAATCTCACCGGCGTCACGGGCAGGTTCATACTCTCTACCTCCGGTGCGTTTGCCGCCTTCCGAACCCTTGACATTCGCCAGCTCAAGGTTGACGATTTGATGAACGACGATACCAAGAATTCCAGAAGGCCATAGCGGATCTGGCGGCGTGTGTACAACAGCATCCTCTTCATCGTTTTGAATAGCTCCCTTGTCATCTTGCAACTTTTCATGGTCTCGAATCTCCTTCGGTAAGCTGAGGTCCTTGCCATCTGTCCTCAAAGCAGCTCGGAACTGAGTCTTTCCAAAGTAGCCAACTTCCCAGTGAAGCTCGCCCGGCATGGTACTCTCAGCCTTGACGCCGCGAAGCTTTGAGACTTGTTGATACATTTTCCCAGGGTGTTGGATGAGCTTTCGCAAGGAAAGTTCCACTTTTCCGACTACATCGTCGGCGCTAGAACGGTCGCTATCCCATGATTCCATCGATAGTTGCTCGTCTGCCTTGATGAGGTCTGCGGTAACGGAAAGAGCGCAAGTTTCTTCGAACACAGGATTCAGATCATCCTGGATAACACGAGTACAGTACATCGGCTTGCCAAACTTAGAGAAACTAACGGTAATGTAAGGGTCGGAGCCGCCGCCTTCTGATCCTCTCCGGTCTTGCTTCGATAGCCCTGTAGCCTTATGGATGCGGATGAAGAGTATACCAAGAGCACTCGTTTCTTTTTGGATATCGTCTCCTGTCAACATCTTGCCGAGGTCGAGCGTTAATGATTTCGGCGCGACATACATGCCAGCGGCTGCCTTAATAGCCCAGTTGACGAAGTTGGAAATCACCGGTAAGTTGAGGATATTGACTCCACGCTCGATCATTGGTGTACATCCAGCGTCAACCTTTGGGATTCCCATAAGCGTGACGGTAACCGCTTTCAAGAATGGTGGTTCAGGGGTCATTTGAAGTCTAAGTCGCACAGTTCCTACCAAGCCAACTAGTTCGACCCCTATATATAATTAGCAGTCGCACTTGGCCTCGTGCAATGAGAAGCTTACAGATAGGTAGAGGAATTCCAAACAGCCCTCTAACACCAAGGTAGAACACCAACTGCATTCCCATATTTTGGGCTTTCCCTAACGCAGTCTCGGATGCGGGCCTCGCATGATAGGCAAATGATGCTTCTAGGTTGTAGTAATCACCGCCCTCCTCATCGGCAGCAAGCTCTTGCGGATCCTTGGTTTTTTGGTTCTCCTTATGCATCTCATCTTTTAAGTCTTTCATATGGTTATCCGGAAGAGCTCGGAGACTGAGAATTCGAATGGGATTGTTTCCCTGATTGATATCGGCCACTTTGACATTTTCGATGATTCCTGGGACCGAGGCTTGCATGACATCCTAATTTGTTAGTATATATAAATCTGTGAGAGGCGTTTGGTGAACATACTTCAAGGGTATCAGCTACAGAAGCGAACATATCCGGGTTTAGAAGACCCCAGACGATTCCAAGAAGAGTGTTCATCCATTCGACAGACTCGGGGATCAGATTAGCGACAGCCGTCTCACCACGCTTCTGTTCGCTGGACCATTCGATATCTCGGCCTCGTCGAACCAAGTCCTTCATCCATAAGAAAACTCCGGAACAGACACATATGGCCAGGGGAATTAAGCCTAGCAACCTGCCCCCGAAGAATTTCCCCATGAAAATAATCGCAAAGAAGACCCCAGCACATAATACGGTAGCACGTTGCTCGATTGCAGCGTACATAGGCTCATAGCTGACGGATGGGGTCGGGTGGAAGAGAATATTTGTCTTCTCGCCATGAATTGGCACATCAGAGGTAGCTCCTGTGGCTATTGGATCTGGCGGTGCCGTTATGTCTTGAGCTTCTCTATACTCTTCTCCAGATTGTGTCGGTTCCGTTTTTACTGTCGTGTCTTTACCCAGATTCGCATTCGGTACAGAGAGCTAATGCAGTTTTAATTAGAACTGATTATTTACTTTCTAGTTTATGAGACTTACAATAGGATCCTTCGCGGCTTTCATGAAATCGGTATTTACGTCGTCGATGGTGATCTCGTTCCCCGTAACAGGATCCGTGACAACTCTGCCACGACCCTTATACTGCTCAACATCGTTCTTGTGTTCCTTAATATCACCCCCATTTCTCCTGTTCGCTTTTAGCTCGGAGTCGATCTTAGCATCTCGTTCTTTCTTATCCTTGTCGAGAGCGGCGACAAATTCTTTTATATTAGGGACTCGATTGAGGCCGGAATAATGGCCACCAGGGAATTGGTGGTTCTGCTCGGAGGCCATGGCGTAGGTTATTACAGAAGCAGTGAAACTTTATTGGATCATAAGAAAGCATAGGATGGCTTTTTTAAGGAAATACTGCAATAATTAATAATAGAAAAATCGTTAGGAGTTTTCCTTCAATCCCATACACTAAGCTATCGGACGTGAATAGCTACGAAGTAAGTCTTCTAAGCTTCTTGTGACTTATAAGACTGAGACGAGGAAATGCAGAGAAAATGAAAAAATCGCAGGACAAAAGAAAGTCAGCTTAAGGATAATAGTTCAGCTGATTACATAGCTACGTCGAGCTAAATGTATGGTTCTTGGATTGACCTACAGGTTTACATCATTCTGCCAAACTCGATCCTCTTCAGATGAATCGTTTGCTGTGCAACCTTGGAAGTGTATGACGTCGGCGGAGTCCCCAAATCTTTGAAAAGCTGGGGTACTTGCCCTTCGTACCGTCCAATTCGGCATCTTTACTCCCAGCTAATTGGATGACAGGGATATACATGTCTCCACCCGGATTTTGGTCTAACCCGATGCATCTGTGTCGAGTACGTACCTGGTATTGATGGGGTATTACGAAGTCAGGGAGATGAACCATTAGACTGGGACAATTCATCATTGCAACGATCTTCAAGGATTGTGTCACCTTTTTTTAATATCAGAGTTGTTTTGTTTAAGAGCTGAGTTATCTCGTATTCAGAATTTGTATAATTGTATATGGAGATAAATATACAAGTTCATCGGAAGTCGACAGCTTTTAGCTATCTTAATCGCGATTTAGAAGACTTAATTTGTTAGTTCCCGACCTACAAATATGCGATGAACCACGATCGTCAAAGACATTGCGTCTGTCTTCCCTCAGCCCTTCCCTAAAAAATTAAAATAGCTACAATAGTTGGCAGATTAGCGAGCGAAAACATGGTGCACCCGTTGTAACCGTGGGCTGGCGGGGAGAAGCACAGACGGGATCATCGGCAAGGATCGATCAAGGCTTGCGTCATATGGCATCTAGAACATTGACGTCCGTGCCGATAAACCGAGCCTTGGTAGCTTGATTAATGGTAGCTCGCCTGGGCATGCATGTAGGTATGCTACAATATGTTGTAGGCCTCGTCCATTATACCAAATAATTCGTAGTTCGACGATCGTCTAGGCTCGTAAAGTAATTCGGATGTCTACTAATATATCGTCAACTCCAATAAACATGCAACATTCACATGCATGTACCCATCTTGGACCAAGTCATTGTGCAACTGTGTTGATTCGTATTCATTTTCATATCCATCGTATCCTCGTATACCTATCCGTCCATATGTAACCAAAGCACGAAACCCGCTATGCGATGGTATCGATCAACGCCTACGCTAAACCAAACATGCCGTCCAATGCACCCGTATGCCTTGCGGTATGCGTATAAAATTCCATCATTTCCCATTGCCTCCATCCAAACTAGACTGGCTCTTCGCCCTGTTTCGAGCCATTAGCAGTCGTGATTTCGACTTGCTGTCCAATATACTTCGATATCATATCGTCTGTGTCGTGACTATACCGTGCTGACTAGGTCCGGTGGGATCGGCGTGTCCCTTCTCATGCCCGTCGCGGGATCGATCGAGTCCGCAGATCCAAACTGTTCTACCTTCGAGACCTCCGTATTGAGTGCCAGCGCCGTCGGAGTCTTCATATTTAGATCAACACTGTGGGGTGTTGTAGCCCTGCTTGAGAGTTGACTGTCCGCATCGGACATCTCAACATCCGTGCGATCCACCGTCGTGTCCGATCCTGACCCGATAGACCCAACACTAATTTTAACAGCCGTTACAGGCTCCGGCGTGGCTGCCTTTGCCGGTATAGGAGCGGGTATACGCAGTATAGGGACAGACGTAGGTGCTGGCCCTCTAGGCGTAGAAGACTCCGCCGCGGCAGCTCTGAGGGCAGCCATTGCGCCGCCCTCATTTTCCTCTTCATCTGGGTTTATAGTCCAAACCCACTTCCGCCTCTTGTCCTTCCTCCTACGCTTGTGTACCCCACGACCACTAGGTGAAAGGATGGGTGAGTCTGTACCCAACCCGTTCATACGCCTTCGCATTTCTTCGAACGGTCCTGGTGTTTCTCCGCCGTTGCGTGTCTCATCTCCCGTATATGCCATTGCAAGGTCAAGAAGCATGTCTGAATCCTCTACAACCGGTGAAGGTGTATATGGAGATGCATCGTCCGCAAGTAGGTCGACGTGAGATTTGATATACTTCTCGGTCGTGATGGTCTGCGTTAGTGGAGACACATAGCCCACATGCCTGCTAGCCTTCTCTTGCAGTCGACGCGATTGCCTTGTCGGCGTGAGAGGTGATCTAGCGCTTTGAGGTGGTAAAGGCGAGTTTCGTAATATACTGTGAAGTGACTTGTCACGAGTATACGGTGCTTTTGCAGGTGTCCCGTAAGGTGCGTAGATCACTCGCCGTCGGCTCTGGGCAGGCGAGTATGGGTATGCCTGTTTTTTCGAGTCGGCGTGGAGGAACGCAAACTTGCTGGGCTCGGATGACTCAACTGGCCCGGCAGACATTGGAGGAGTTGCCGTCATACTACTCGGAAATATTATGTCCATTTGCTGGGCCGGTGAGATAGGGTTTGCAGACAGTGGAGTTTCCGGTAAATTCGCAGTGAACGGCGTCTCTGTTTTCGACTGGCGAGTCTTGAGAGTCTCTGGGTCAGTTTGAAGCTTGAGAGGTTGAAGAAGATTGATAGCCGTTATAGGAGTCGACTGAATCGGTGTCGACCTTTCAATAGCAGTGACATATTTATTTGAGAGGGTATTGAAAGATGTCGGCGACCTAGGATTAACATTTGGTAAAGTCCTCGCTGATCTAGTGCTTGGCCCTGGTGATGACTTCGTTTGAAGAGACAATTTTGGTCTCCTAGACGACTCGGGACCTGCCATTTTGACGATATTGATAATTCGTCTCTTTAGACCTAACCTTTTGAAGCTCTACGAAAGTAAAGGTAGAAGGAAAGGAACGGTTGTTGAATATGCCACTCGGTCTGTGCTACCAGCAGACGAGGACTTCCAAGCAAACCCCCCAACCGGCCGGGATGTACTAGGGGCAGTAAGAAAAAAACTGGATGTGTGTGATAGATGCCGTTAGATGGAACACAGCGGCTATATAATACTCCTTTGACTTCAAAATTCCGAAGGTACCGGTGGGAAGGTAAAGAAGGGAGGGCAACCTGATAAGTCAGGCGCTTAGAGTAGTATGAGACTAATGCAAACTGCAGTGTGAAGCAACAACATCCTAGGCGTAAGATGAGGGGGAGGAGGGATTATGAGGATTATGAATGCGGGAAAACATATGTAGATAAAAGATCTGGACCAAAGAGAACGATAGAGATGATTGACATGTTGTGGGACTGTTGCTACAGTGAGATGCAGTCACTCCAATATCTGAATATTTGGTTGGCTATAAAAAGGGATGAGGGCTTAGAAAGCGAGGGATGATTGAAGACGCAAGCGCCGACGTATCCTTGCTTTTCTGCACGATCCTGGCTATAGATAGCCAATGGTTCACACAGCGAGGTCGGCTAACGGGTCGCTTTCGCGCATAACATTTACCGCCCTATGACTTTCTTATGGCGCCTATTCTCTCGAAGTTGGTAGCCAACCGCTTTTCCCCGCAATTCGGAAGCAGGAGTATTATATCTTGTGGACATGTTCCCAAACTTTTGAGTCTTTAATCTTCGAAGCGGTGAATTAATCATAACGATAGCCTTACAGCTGAATCGCATGTATATTTGATTTTGAACGTGCATGCTGAGAGAAGCAGGTGACTTCGAACAGTATTGGAAGGATTCTATCCCTCACCCGGACAGCGGATTGTTGGTCCTTCCAAATCCCCTATTGCATACGCCACGTTTTCGCTTTCACATCCGCCTGGCAACGGGAATTATCTTTCAAAGGCCACTAGCAGTACTAGGCGGACTTCTTCGGAGATAGATGGCATCATCGCATTCGTTCTTTTCCATCTTGGGAGAGATCTGGTTGTAACCTTGCAAACTTGCAAGACGCTCGCGGGTTTGACCGTTGATCGCTCCACTTACTAATTGGGGATCAACTTCCATCTATCCTATATAGAGAAGGCAAATTGTTTTAAAACACGTCAAAGTCTCCTAGTTGCCCAGGCTGCCCAGGTTTCTCTAGTGTTTCTTTTTGGTTTGTTCGAGTACGAATTTGCGAATGTGCGAGTGTGCGAGTGTACAAAAATAGGTATTTTTGTTCGGCCCCGATTGTACTTGGACTGTGGTTGGTGATGCATCTTTCGTGACTACCACAATTAGAACACATCTTGGCTAGCGGTGAGCCGGGTCGCTGGAAAAGGCCGGGATGAAAATAGTCCGTGCTGCATTTTTAATTTCCTGATAGACGAGGCGAACGGAACTTTGGAAGGGATGAAAAGAAAATAGAAACTGAATCAGATATGACTTTTGACTTTCGATAAGAGAAATTAAGTTATGAAATGCATAAATTCACAAATGCTGATGTCAGCAACGCTTACCAACCATTTTTAAGCCACATTACATCCGGCACTTAGAATAATGGTGGCTAGTGTCTTACAGGCAGCAACCTCCTAACCCTGAAGCTCTAACGCTCATTAGAGTCACCGCAACGTCCTCATAATTGAACCCACGTGATTACTAATTCATATTAGCTACACATCAACATCCAATGTCAAAGGACAAATATACAACTCTCCCTGACCGCGCGGCCGTTCCTAAAAATGGAACAAGATGAAGACAACAGCGCTGACGTCTGGACTCGCCAAGACGATCGCCAACAGGCCGCCAAGGAGGAACGACGACCGCGTCATCATACATTTTGTCCGTACCTACCTCCCTACCTCCATTCATCTCTCTAAATATCCCCCTCCTCCATAACCTCCATTCCAACCTCTCCAAAATCTAAAATCTCACATATATTACGCCAAGGTCGGCACTAACCAACACCATGACGCATAGGACTACGACTGCTTCTACGCCAGCGTATTCGAGAACGCCAATCCGGCGCTCAAGGGGCTTCCCCTAGGCGTGAAGCAGAAGAGCATTCTCGCAACGTGCAACTACGCCGCGCGGGCCCGGGGCGTCAAGAAGCTGATGCTGATCTCCGAGGCCCAGAAGGTATGTCCGGACCTCGTGATCGTCAACGGCGAGGACCTGACGCCGTTCCGGGACGCCTCGAAGAAGCTATGGTCGTTCCTGCGCTCGCACTCGTGGAGCGACCGCGTCGAGCGTCTAGGTCTCGACGAGGTCTTCCTCGACGTCACGGATGTCGTGGCGTATAACCAGGAGCTGCTTAACCGGAACGCCTTGCGGGACTCGTTCTTCCAGCTCTCGAGACAGGACCCGGAAAAGGGGTTTAGCTTCGACGCATCCGGGTTTTTCGGATGCGTGCAGCCTAAAGTAGATGCGGAAGATGCCGTCTCGATGCTGGGTAACCCTTCATGCGCACGCCTGCTTTTGGCGTCGCATCTAGCCGGGTACCTGCGGCTCAAGCTTGAAGAAGACTTCGGGTACACATCCAGCTGTGGTGTATCGACGAATAAAACCCTCGCCAAGCTCGCTGGTAGCGTGAATAAGCCGAGAAACCAAACAACTCTTCCCGGGCTACACGAAGATGATATCCAGGATTTTATGGATGGCCACAAGTTGCGGCAGATCCCGGGTATTGGCTCCCGCATCGCGCAGCTGGTCCAGGACCACGTGTTATCGACTACCACGGTCGCGGATTCGCACGATTTTGAGATAGGGGCTAAGGTGACGGTGCGTGACGTCCGGTTACATCCGGGATTATCCGCAGACATGCTAGAGCGAATCCTCGATCGGCCTGGCTCCGAGCGCGGTAGCGGCGAAAAGGTGTGGAACCTGCTTCACGGGGTCGACACCTCCGAAGTCAAGGAAGCGAGTGACGTGCCGACGCAAATCAGCATCGAGGATACGTACATGTCGAAGCCGCTCAACACACCGGCCGAGATAACACGGGAGCTGCATGCTCTCGCCACATCGCTCGTTAAACGTATGCGCGTGGATCTTACCACGATTGACGAAGCCGACCCCTCGGATCCTACCTCGCAGCACCAAGAACAGCCACAGCTGCGTTGGGCCGCTTATCCTAAGACACTCCGGCTATCGACCCGCTGCCGACCAAAAAATACCGCCACCGGCTCCACTCCAGCGCCAGAAAGTTTCAGTCGGAGTTCCCGCAGCCAACCACTCCCAAGCTATGTCCTTAACCTCAAGGACGAAAGCGTCGAGACCGTCGCAGAGCGGCTAGCTTCGGAAGCTCTGCTCCCTCTATTCCGACGTCTACATGCCGAACGTCAGGGATGGAACCTAGCTTTGATTAATATATGCGTGACGAACATGGTCATGATGGCGGGCTCCGGTGAGTCGGGGAACGGTGCAGGGATGGGAGGTGGTCGGAACATTGCCCGTATGTTTCGGACACAGGAAGATAAGCTGCGGGAGTGGACTGTTTATGACACTACGCCCGTGTCCAATAATTCCGTGTCTCCATCCATATCCGCCTATGGTACCGACAATACCGAGACTAGAGAGGAGAAAGAAGATGAAATGTTGAACGTTGTGGCCACAGAAGGTCAAGCAGCTAAACCCGTCGCAGTATCGCTTGACCCGGATGAAGACGCCTGGGAAGAGGAAGAGGAAGATGAATCCCAAAGATGCCATCTCTGTGGGCATGCCATCCCTATTTTTGCAACATTGGCGCATGAGAGGTTCCATAGCATCGGAGACTAATAAGGCACTTCCCAGATATCGGTATTCCTGCTTCTAGTAGATAGTTTAGATACCCTTTGAAATTTAACATGATACCCCAAGACGCAACAAGACAGACACCTTCCAAATCACCCGCCCCAGTGAAGTAATATAGATATATATGTCCATTCATTCGATTTATTAAAATGTAGCAAATTAGTGTTAAACGTTGACCGTGGGGGTATGGGTAATGCAATCGACCGTTAACCGTCATTCAGCTCATTTTTTAACACGCTCTCGAGAGACAAAACCCACCCGCCGTTCCAGTCTCTGCAATTCCCGTATAACGTCAACTCCGGAGGTATCAATAACCAAAAAATGCACCTTGGTAAGCTTTGAAAGATCAGAATACCACCCACCGCTCTTCACCCCTGGTTTTTTTAGTTCGTCGCTCGCCTGGTTCGCTGCGACCCGAACCCCAGCCCAAGTAAACTCCGGCCTAAAAGCAAAGATCGCAGGTCCTTCGGCCCATCCTCTTCGTCCTCCTCATCATAGACTAGGAAGAATACACTTATCAAAACACCACTCGCCGTACCGATAAGATCATAATCGTTCCAGCTCTTCGTTACCTTTTAATAGAGCTTCGAGCCATTCCCCTGCTATTGAAAGCATGGTGCTCTTACTATATCCGCCTCCCTTAAGGTTCGGAACAAGCTCACTGAGATCATCAAAACCCTCTTTAATTGCACCTCTTCTCTTTTGCTCGCTCTTAATGTGATTTTCTCTCTTCTGAGAATCTGTGAGATTTTCTCGTGGTGTTTTCCCTGCATTTAGGGTGGACTTTCTCCGCTTTCCGGGTGCATCTGGGGTAACTGAGGAGATATCCGGGGTCGCTTTTAGATCTGGTTTTGACTTGCGTTTTCTAGCCACGGCTTTCGGGGGTATGGATGTTAAATCTTCCACGTCTTCAACTTCTGACTTCCCCTTGCTTTTACTCTTACGACGCTTAGCAGGCGGGGCCTCAAGATCAAACTCTTCTTTGACATAACCATTTGCATTGCCATCAGGTCGAGCAATAGATGAGCTCTCTCCATTTGTTGAAGGAGACGGTGGCCGAGTCGTTGCAGCGCTGTGACTGATAGTGAGGACTCTTAAAGCACCTAACCGTTTCTGCTCGAGCAGTTCACTGGATTCGTGGTCGGGTGGAACATAGCCTTGTGTTCTGGCAAAATTTGAATCGGAACCCCACTGTAACTCGGGTGCTTCGATTGATCGTTGGCTCATAAGGCCCTGAGAATTACCAAACATCATATCTGTAAAAAGCGTGTCGGCGCCGTTGGAAGTATGTCTACGGCGCATAGTACTACTTTGGTCGGGAATATGATTTCGGGGTAATGATCTCATTTGATCAACATGACCACCATTATGTTGAGAGGGCACAACTGGTGCTCTGCTTATACCATTTGCTCCGGGTTGGTGACCATTCTGGTGGCCATGGTGAAGGGATGTTAAGACTGCCGCCACGTCGGCGTGTGCGCTCTGCTCGATCGGCGTGTGGGGTGTCGGGGCATTATGAAGTTGATGTGTGTGTTCGAGCTGTAATGGCGGTTGTGACGGGGTCGGTGGTGGCGGCATCATATTTTGACCAAATGTAAATACATCTTGATATGTAGTAGCAGGTATTCCGTTCATTAGAGAAGCGGAGGGTTGCTGAGGCTGTTGTCCATACGACGTGCTATGGCCTAAGAATGCTGGTGGGAGTTGACTTATCCACTGCTCGCTGAAATTGAGCCCCTCCCCGTATGAAATACCCGGGTAATGGTTGGTCGTCATGTCTTCGAAGAAAAGGTTGAGTGCTCTATTATCGTCTTGGGTGAGCAGAGGATCTCCCGGGGGAGGTGTCGGAGCTCTAAGGAATAAGAATTCTTGATCAGATACGTGATCTACGGAAAACGGTTAGTCCCTAGGGTTTAAACGACACCGATGCGAATTGCTTAGGAACAGTAAAATAGACATACAGCCAAACGGCGCATTGCCGTCAGGCGCTTGAGAAGAACCCATTTTGGGACGCTGTATGCACGCGGCGCTCATGAGTGCTTCTTGTTCACGGTTCGATCGCGAAATGTAGAGTGCCTTATGCAAACGGGTTCAGGTCAAGGTTCGACGGCAGAGAGTTCGTAATAGTGGTATCGGTATTTACGGGGCAAGCGAGGAGTAGAGGTCGGGGCCTGTTAGGCATGCGTGACATAGGTAGGGACTGCAAGACAGTATATTCGAAAAATGGCAGGCCTCCGCAGCGGGGAGGAAGATTTGGTTGATTGGATATTGGAGGAGGGATCGTCGTTACAACAAAGTGTGCGGTCCAGACTCGCGACAAGGCTGTTCGGTTGCAGCCCGGATCAATGGTCAAAAGAGGAATAGTAGCGGAGTTGTCAGAGAACTTCTGCAAATCGTCGGACAGAAAGGAATACGACAGCCCCTGAGTATAGGAGCTGAGGATAGCTTCGACATTGATTTAGACTAAGAGAGTAAATCTATATCCCGAGGTTGATGACGCATTACGGGAAAGGATCTTCAATGCTCCATAGATAGCCCAGAAGTTATAGTAGTATGTATCATATGAAGTAGACTAGATGACCAGATGAACCTCAGGTTGGGGTTGGCTAAGGTAGATAATAGATAGGTAAGGTAAGGTAGAGTAAGATCAAGTAAGACGTTGTAAATTATTTGGGATGTGTGGATGATGTGGATGTGTGTGGATGGAAGTGTGGAGAGTGGTCAGTCTAGTAGCATGTCAACAGGTTAGTTTCTGGCATGGTTGTGGTTGCCTGCATGTTGCAATTCGAGGAAACGAAAAAAAAAAAAAAGAAACTAGAAACTGGAAACTGGAAAAATAAAAAATAATAAAAAAATACAAATGCAAGAGCGACAGTCAACTCAAACAAGACCATAGAACTCACTTAAGGTAGTGTGACACCTAATAGGTAATTGGACAGAAAGAGGAGAGAATGACGAGCAGGAACTTATTCGAAGTCTAAGACTATTCGTTGGAGAAAACCGAGTCGATTAAACCATACACACCTTCCTTCCTTTACTCCGCAATAGTTGCTCAGTCACCTGCCACTGAGCAGTTATTAGCAAGAGGCAAAGAGGCAGCAGCAAAGCACCTGGGTAAGCAGCAAGCAAAACCCAACAACCTAGCCACGCTCTTTCTTCTTCTCTCTTTTTTTCTTAGGTAGCAGGTAGGCAGATGCGCTAAAACCATTTAGGTAATCCATTCATCCTTACATTAGCTAAGGTAGCACAGCGTTAAGTACCGGTAGTGAAATGAAATGAGGGGTAAAAGAGAATTTGAAGCTATGAGCCTATCGATGGTCTTCCTTTAACGGACCCGCCTGAACACTTACAGCTATAAAAATGTAAGTCAAGAAGCAGACTGGCAGACCAAGGTTATTTCTTGGTGATCGAATAGTTAAGCGAGCATTGTCAATATTTCTTCGCAAAGAGACAAGTTCCAATCATAATTCTTGTTATTATTCCTCATTAGTAAAACCCTCAAGGTACCTAGTACCTATCCGATCAAGTCTAAACTACATGGGTGAAATGATAAGCGTTTCTCCAGGTTCTTGAATACCGTACTATTTTAGTTCTCTTAGTTCTTTTAGCAACTTCAAGTTGTCAAGGATCAAATGTGAGAAGGCGGAGGTGACTTGATATAGCGATATCTTTCTTAAATACCGTTGTACTTGGCCACCGCGTTACTTTATTTGGTTTAGGTGAGTTACTTCTAGTACTTGACTCGGACATCTGCATTGCATAAACGTTTCTTAACTTCCATCATCGAGTCCACTGTTGTTCTTGAATCTTGGCAGGGGAAAAGCTCCGAGGTGCAATCACATGCCAATTTCTTTCTTTCTTTCTCTCCAGCTTTCTCTCCAGCTTTCTCGTCTTTACCACAAAAAAACATCACTATCGTATTGCGGTCCCTATCTCGATCGTGTCAAAAACAATATGGTACCAAGAAAGAACTAGTCCAGATATCATCGAGTCAGGTCGAGCTACTCATACCAAAAGGAGTAACCCAAGTTCCACATACTGCTCATCTACCATCCAATCGTCGCTTCATCGTCGAGTTGTCGTTGCGTGCACACAGACTGTATTGCCAACGGAGCCCATGAGCCAAGACAGGGGTTATCTCCGACTGTGTTCTAGTCAATTACGTGCGTACTATACGGATCCGTACATTGTTCACAGGCAACTATAATCACCCAACCTAGATGCATGCTGCCCGTTGCAGTAGCTTTAAACATTTTCTCCTCCGTTGCATACTCGTTGCAGTACTACAACGCTGTGCTAAAAATTACGTCGTCTAGAAGACATCGAACCAAAGGAGACATTTCGGCCGAAATGAAGTGTTAGCTGATCCTGAGATGTCAGCTACAACGTTCTGGCGTTCGCCATAATAGATATTTCGGTGACCCGATTTGGGTACTCATTAAGGATTATTTAGGCCGTCTTACTGAAATTTTCGAAAGTACGTTCCTTTAAATCTCTTCCAGGTTTACAGTTGCGTGGGATTAACCCTACGTGGACGGATCGATACAGATAGAGATACATGCATGCATAAAACCGAGTCTGGTTTTATAAATTGAGAGGCAAGAGTGGCATGACCAAAAGATTCCTTACTTTCTCGAACGAATAGACCTGCCAGTCTCGTTTCCTTGGGCACCACCCGCTTCTCACCTCGGCTGAATCGCCAAAGGCGACTAGTCACCCAATTTCCCCTTGGCATACATACGGCAAGGGGCGGTATTGTCCGGTATTGTTTTATTAATTTTTCTATGCATCCGTTCAACACCATTACCTCATCGCCCGGCTTTTGAACATCACCATGTTTATATCTCGGCACGTATAGCGTCCGATTGTAACCTCCTGCCGGATTTCTTCATCATAACCCGGCTCGCCGGCACTTCCCGTGGCGCCAGTGAACGCCAATGAACGCCAATTGAGATGCTATTATCTTGACAAGGCGTTTCCGCCGAAGCCACGCAGATCTAAAACAGCACGGACGCTTTAGGGACGCCGCATCTAAGATCCCTTGTAGTACGTACCTGGTCTTTCAGCCCCTTTCCGTCGTATTTGTAGCAAAACAAATCAGCCTCTCGATCTAAATCTATTACTTATTTCGGACCCCGCGGCCAACCGTCAACCTCGACATTCCCAAAAAGGCACTATAGTACAGTGAACACTGAACAGATCTACCTCAGTCAACTATATATCCTGTTGATGGATCACCGATAAGTATACTATTATTAAACATCGAAGTCTCGTTACCGGGTCGCAGGTGGCGGCGTGTCGCGTAGCTGACGCGATACGATACCCGTGCCGTGGCGTTGTAACGATGACATCTACACTACTTTCACCAAGCACCCGACGGAAACTGGATGAGTCTATACCACCCCTACTCAGACCACTCATTCGGGCCTATGTCCTAGGCTACGCTTCTGCTGTAGCACCAAGGCTCCTCACGTTGGTGCTACAATATGTAACTAGAAGGAGGAAAAACAAGGGTGTTGCGAGTGCCATTCGGCCCCACGACTCCTTCATCACATCCCTGCAACGTATCCTGCGTGGGGGACTAGAACTTCAGAGATTCCCAACCTTCTGTGCTGCCCTCGTAGGCGGAACTACGTTACTAGAGGTAAGACTGCTCGTAATTGGTTTATGATTTAATGATCTTATATTTTATATTTTATATTATTTTCGTTCGTTTCGAGTAACCTAGGTCATGTTATCGTGAAAGATTAAAGCTAACTTACCCGCTCTGAAGGTTTTGCTTGGTACAGCTTTTAACCGTCTTCTATCGACGAGCCAACTTACATCGTTGACCCGAAAAAGGCAAGTTCTGAATTCGTTGACAACTCTCGATGTTTCATTGGGAAAGCTTGGCGTCGGTATACTACCTTAGCGCATATTCCAACCCTATCATTACTTAAAACGCTCAACTAACCTTCGTCCAACTAGACTTTTAACCTGGTTGTCGTCTTTCATCTCGGCTTGGCTAAGTCTCCGATTACTACAGTCGAAGGAGAGCGATAGCTTTGCAGAGACCATCGGAATTAGCCAAGACTCGTTGGAAAATGCTAAGCAAGAGACGATTCGATATGCCGGACGAACATTGGACTTGACATTGTTCGCCTCAACTAGGGCTCTTGATGTTATAATTGGGGAAATATGGTCCCGGAAGAGATCGCATAGGGTCACGGCCGAAAAATGGACCCGCGGCGAATCGCTAATATCTAAGTTAACCGACCCTACGATATTTGCGACTTCATCCGCGTTGATCATGTGGGCATGGTTCTACTGCCCTTCGAAGTTACCCAAATCCTACACGAAATGGATTAGTTCAGCCGCTTCCGTAGACTCCCGGCTCATCGAAGCGCTTCGGCGATGTCGGAGCGGTGAACTCCTCTACGGTAAAGAGACCGGACAAGCGGGATTGCTTCAATCCATGTGTGCGGACTTCAAGTGGCCGCTAGAGTGGGGCGATCCGGCTAAATCTATCCCGTTCCCTTGTGAGGTTGTCCATATGGGATGTGGGCCAAATTGCGAGCACCATGCCTTATCCCGATTTTATCGATCTTTTCAGTGGGCCATGGCGACGTACCTCCCCGTCAACCTCTTCACTAAGAAAAGGGACCTAAAGGGTATTAAAGCTGCCTTTATATCTGCGGCGCGCTCCTCGTCGTTCTTAGCTGCGTTTATCGCACTCTTCTACTATGGCGTGTGCTTAGCGCGAACGAGGATTGGCCCACACTTCATCGGAAAAGACACAGAGGCTAGACAGAAAATTGACTCGGGTCTCTGTGTAGGGTCCGGGTGCTTCTTATGCGGATGGAGTGTTCTCATCGAGAAAGCCGCCCGGAGGAAGGAACTAGCGCTGTTCGTTGCTCCAAGGGCCATGGCTACGCTTTTACCTAGACAATACTCTCTAGACAAGCAATGGCGGGAGACTTTCGTCTTTGCGTTTAGTACAGCAGTTGTATTTACGTGCGTACGCGAGAATCCGAAACGGCTGCGTGGCGTTCTGGGGAAGGTGTTGGGGTTTGTTATGGAAGCGCAGCCACGATGATCTATTTCGCAAGTATCCAGGTTTTACCCTAGGTGATGTTTTCTTCTCTTCTACTTGTTCATCATCATTTGACGTTTTATTTGGGAGCCTTTTTCCTTTTTTTTAGGAGGATAGATATTTGCATTGGGTTGGATAGGAGCATCGACCGGAATATACGGGGACTAGGGTGGGATCAATTTGGATTCCTAGTCTAGAAGATAAAATATTAGGGACAGACTTGTGGCATTTAACAATTGCATATGCTAGAATAATGTAATGTCTTTTGAAACCCATCGTTACGATGAAGTCTACTGGTTTCTCGCTTGATGAACTACCCGACGCGATATCTCTTCTAGTGGTATATGGATATGCTACACCGATGATATATGATAGAAAGGGGTTACAAATCTTGATAAACCACTTGAGAATGGCTATCCATCCTAGAAGGTAAATTTTGCTCAATCGCCTACCCAAGATCCCAAATCCCAATCCCATTGCTAACCCCTATCCGTATCCGATTGGCTCACGACGCGCGTCCAGAGACTACCTACATAAGTAGATATGTAAGGAATTATCAAAACCATGTGTTACTTACAACACAACGTTTCTCAAAGATATAAGCTCTTTCTAATCCAGATCCGATATATGACAAAACAAAGCTGTACCACGGAAACGTGTGTACGTTTCGCGGTATACAGTCGAGATCTTCATCGTGTGACACTGGAAAAGGGATGGGGAGACGTCGAACGAAGGATACGTTACGCCCTGTTACATGTATGTATGTATGTATGTGTGTAAGTATGTGTACGGCACGGGAGATCAAGCATACCTGCCTAATCTTGTACGCGCCAAGGAGAGAGTTGACGTGTCGTACTCGAGAGATACTGATATTTGAACATGTCTCTGAATTAGTGTAGTCATTGACTTTCGTGGTGGTTGAAGAACCGGAGATTCCATCCAATCCGTTAAATCCGCGTGTCTAGGCGTAACGTCGAAAGCAGCGCCGAAGATACCATCGCAAACGAAACGAACCAAACCAACCACCTTGTGAAAAATCATAGTATTACTACATTTCTATCATCACCCATGAGAGCCACATACATGACCCCATCATCACCATCCCCAATCTCACGACCGCAACCAACTACAAACCCCCAACACAAAAACACAAACCAGCGCATCGCTCCTCACAGTCCCCAGTATCTGCCCATACCTCAACGCATGCTGCGCATACGCCTTAACCCTCCCAGGCAAGAACCCCGTAACCGTCCACATCCAACCCTTCGGGGGCTCGCGCCCCTTATCGAAGAAATACCGCGTCGTAAGCAGCACCGCCTCCACAGACGTAAACACATAGAAGAAATACGCGCGCGTGCGCTCGATATCGCCTGTATCCACATCGCCAACACCACCACCACTGCTGCTAATAGAAGCGTTCTTGCGCTCAGCAAGGGAGCCCGTGAACGTCGTGCTGAACGCAACATACAGCCCCAGACCCAGCGCAAACACGGCATGCAGTATCCGCCACAAGTTCGCCGTCTTATTCGTCGCGACCTGCTGGGCCTGCTGCATTGGATTCGGCGCGCCGGCTCCGGCATTCAGACCGCCTAGACCGCCCATCAGTCCCTCCATCGGCGTTCCGGCGAACGGGTTCGCGCCGCCGGAGCCGGGCATCCCGCCTCCGGACATCATCTGCTGCAGCATCTTCATCATCGGGTCTTCGTCCATGCCCTCCATTCCGGGCATCGGGCCGAGGCCGGGGCTGTTCATGAATGGGTTTGCGCCTGGTGGTGGGGGCGTGCCGCCCATGCCTCCCATGCCGCCGAGCAGGAGCTGCCGGATCTGCGCGTCGGAGATGTCGTCGGGTAGGTCGCTAGGAGTCGGCTGGCGGTTTGTAGTAGGTGGCTTGTAGAAGTGTTCCGAAATATCTACCTCCTCCGGATCGCCATGTTGTTCTGGAGCCGGGGCGGCCGTCGCGTCAGCAGCTGGTGAAGATGAAGTTGTGGTTGTTTGTTCCGGCGCCGTGTTAGGGTCTGAAAACGACTGCGGCAGGGGATCTAGTTGGTAAGGTTAGAGGCTGTAATCATAATGGTTGGGTTGGCATTTATATATCTCACCTCGTTGTATGCCTCCGCCGAGCCCCGTTATCTTGTTCAGTCGGTCGGCTCCGCCAAGCTTGATCTTAGCCTCGCGGCGCTTCTTGCGTAGAGAAGCCTGCGATATGGTTTTCGCGGCAGCCGCGTCTTCAGCTGCTAGAGAGCTTTCCGTCATTGTTGAGGTGAAATGCAGACCGTGGTAAATGGATGTTGTGCAATCAAGATGCGAGGATGAGTTTGGGTGCGTTGTACAAAATGTACAGAAGGACAGCTGTGTCGAATAATACAATTGACGTAGCAATTCCAAAGTTGATGGGGCTTCCGCTTTATCGATAACCTTATCATTAGCGGGGACAAGGATACAAGTTTAGTCTCAACTTCAACGTCACTGGCTAGAATATTCGCTGCTTTTGCTGTTGATTAGAAATTTTCGGTTCGGGCTGTCGGAGCGAGTCGTGGCCACGCTCCGGCTAAAAGCGGCGTGATCTTGAACTTACAGTAGGTAGCTCAAAAGTAACTTTTTTTTTTATAATTGGCATTTATCGCGATTGAATTATTTTTCTATAGGCGAAAGCCATAAAGTGCACAATGCACCGTTCCCTGTCGTCAATATGGTCCAAAAGAGTATTCAATATTGCAGAACATTCAAAGCCGCTTGAGCTGCCTTTATTCTTATGCCCCTCTATATATCGCACATTACCTCGTCGAGGGTTAAGTGCTGTCGCATTCCCGTCGCAAAGACGAGCTTCAAAATGGAGAGTACAGCATCGTTGTTTGCATGCGCAGACAGCTGTGGAGGACCGCTTACCACCACCCGACGATGATACCCAGAAGTCCCCCCCTGTTAGACCCCAAGTGGCTGCTAAACTGCTACCGAGACAATGTTGGGGCTGTGGCGCTTTATCGCAAATAACCTCCCCCAATCTAGCGGGATACTATGATCTCAATCGAAGTGCCGTTATGAACTATCTTCAACCCCAAGGTGTGAGCCTTTCCCGACAAGAAGATCTCATGTACGAAAAAGTGCTCGAGAGCGCCAATTTGGAAGAACTGAAGGAGAAAGGAGTCAATGTGGATGCGCTTCTACAGAGTCTACCTCCCCCGGAGATGGATCGACGAGAACCTTCGAAGGTGCCCGTTTGCGATAGATGCCACAACTTACAACATCATAATACCGGAGAATCTATATTTCATCCTTCGATAGATGCAATCAGAGATACTATTGCCGAATCATCGCACAAACACAACCACGTCTACCATATCATTGACGCTGCCGATTTTCCCATGTCCTTAATACCCCGAATCTCAGATATATTAGATACTACGCCCCTACGATCCAAGAACCGTCGATCGAAATCAGATGCTTTTTATACCAGTTGGAAGACGGGATTGTCCTTCATCGTGACTCGTTGCGATCTTCTGGCGCCGACGCGAGAGCAAACAGAGAAACTATATCCATATCTGCAAGACGTACTCCGGGATGCTCTTGGACGATTGGGGCGGAATGTGCGCCTAGGAAATGTGATAGCTGTGAGTTCGAAACGTAACTGGCGAACTAGGAATTTAAGGGAAGAAATCTATAAACGAGGTGGGTGTAATTGGTTAGTCGGCAAGGCGAACGTCGGCAAAAGTAAATTGGTCCACGAAGTCTTCCCAAAAGGTATGATGGCTAATACTTCTGGTAAAATAACATTGGGCGGAAAGGCAACATCGACGGAAGGGGCAAAATCTCAACTGGAGCTGGCAGGAGGCGACATAGATCCTCAGGTGATAGAACGCTTCGAGGACGAGAATTTTGACCAATATTCACTCCTAACACCTGCACCGAAGGAGACCAACTATCCAGATATGCCATTAGTCTCCACCTTACCTGGTACGACGGCATCGCCAATTCGGCTCCCATTTGGCAATGGTAGAGGAGAAGTAATCGACCTCCCCGGCCTAGAACGCTCCGGCCTGGAGCGGTATGTCCAGGAGAAACATCGTTCGTCTTTGATCATGCGTTCGCGACTAGTTCCTAAGCAACAGTCACTCGCACCAGGCCAATCTCTACTGCTTGGTGGCATTATCCGCATCACACCAAGGGAGCCGGCACTGCAAGTGCTGATGTACTCGTTTACACCACTCCACGCGCACATTACAAGAACCGATAAGGCAGAAGCCATCCAGGAACAGCGCAGCGATGTCAATATGAAAAACTACGACTTCGATTACATAGGAGTGCCGGGAACTGGCGAGCGGACGAAACTTGCAGGCTCTTTCAAACTGAAGTGGGATGTGACAAAAGAGCGAACCGGTCCGCTGATGAGGAAAGATGCTATCGGCCTGAGTATAGAACGGCTACCATATCGCGTCGTGTCGACTGATATCCTGATCGAAGGTGTTGGGTGGGTAGAACTCGTCGCTCAGGTACGCACGAAGGACCTCTTTAGACGCAACGAAGAACCAGGGGCTCCTCAAGAAAATCAAGAAATTGAAGAAAAGAAGGAGCTCTCGGCTTTGGAAAGGCTAGAGGCTCTCGCCGAGGATCCAAGGAAGAAAGCTCAGGCGCCTAAACCTGTCCCTGCAGAGGGAGAGCTTAATTGGCCTATCGTGGATGTTTATAGTCCTGAGGGTAAGTTCATCTCGTGTCGTCAGCCAATGAACGGCTGGATGATGAATAAGCCTTTGAAAGATCCACGTCATCGGAATGCAAGACCAAGGAAGAGTATGAAGGGCATGAAGAAGCGCGAGAAGATGCAAAGGAAAGCATAAGCCGCCCAGCAGAGGTTGCGTAAGTAAATACACATGCAGTTACATACCTACTAGGTACCTATATTCTCGGCAACGGAACGATGTATATTTATATGTACGAGGACATGAAATAACGTTGTAAACCACCAAAATGACTTTGGAAGTTGTTTCGTCTATTCTCAACTTCACATGAAATGAACTAAATTAAGGTTAAATATGATAGATCGGAAACCCTGAACCGGACTACCGGGATTGTAGGTCTTAGGTAGCTATTACTAAGCCTGCTACATCATACCCACATGGTCCTCAATGCAATAGGAAGTATGACGCGGGGTTGTGGGGCGATATTTAGGTCATTCAATCCCGGTTATTTTTCTCAAAGTCAATCTCGTAGAAGCTTCAAGACTAGGCTGGAGTGGTAAATGCAACGCTCCTTACTTCGCAAGGACTTGTGTTGATTTGTTAAATATGAATTAAGGGTCCTCTATAAGGAAGAGAGCGGAGAACCGATAAGCCTGAATTCCTCTTGGCCATCCCTAGATTCGTTCATATTTTGTCGATGTTCTAGGAATCTGCCCACACACTTCGGCTTCTCGTAATGCGACGTGCATACATAACTAGGTAGCTACATCTGTATGTACATCCATCCATGATATTACCCCAAAAGTTACAATACACCTCTCGTGCTTCCTCTGTGCGCGACTTCCTAACAGGGAGCAAGAGAGGAAAGAGCGGGGGAAAGGACGGGGTCAAGTAACAATTAATTCGAAACTTGAAACTCTGAAAATACCTTACATACATTGGTATATATACGGTACCTTACTCACCTATCTACGTAGGCACGTCAATTATATCGCTCATTCCCAAATATCCACCTTGTCACTTCACAAAACCGCGCAAACTCGGGGAAGCGAATCCTGGAAAAGGGATCAAGAACTCCAAAAAGAAAACAAACCAGAACAAACACCAACCAACCAGCTGCCAACCAACGCACCAGTGGCGCCGCATCAGAGCAAGACACTGTTGATCCATCGATGATCCTCGACCGTTCTAAGGCCTACACGTATGCATACATAGGTCGATCGTTCGAGCTCCTCACCTCCCAGCCAAGCGAATCGTCAGGCACCGGCTTTTATCCAATACCTGAGCGCGCAGTCCAAATCCCATATTTGCACACCTTTCTCCGCCCTTCCGATATTGCCTCGACCATATAGCGAGCATTCAGTACTCCTCTTTTCTTCCCATACATATCACCGCCCACGCACACACACATAATACGATACGGAGACATACATACATACATACATACGTACCGCAGCCATGTCCGGTCCAAACCCCCTCTCGAATCAGCGGCAGCGCGACCGGCCCCAGGGATCCCAGACGCAAGTTCAGACGGAAGCGCCCACGGGCTCCGGAACCCAGACCGGCACCGAGGCCCCGGCCCCCGCTGCCCCCGCGATCCTGCGCCTGCGCGGCTCCCACCCGCCCTCCGACCACCGCGTCCAGTGGGCCGAGTCCGTTATCGACAACGAGGGGTTAGGTCGGAAGCGGTCGAAAGGTACTTCGTCCCATCTCCCCCGATTCTCCTATCTTGATAAATGCCACAAATACTAACAAGCGTAACAATAGTATGCTGTATATACCACGCCCCGCGCCAAGTAGGCGAATCCTCCGACGAGTCCTCAGGCGACGATTCCTCCTCCTCCTCAGACTCTGATTCCGACTCCGACCGTGGCATCCCCGACGACCCACGAGACAGGGCGATAGCGGCGCGGCGGAGACAGCAGCAGAACCATAATCACAACCACAACCACAACCATAACGACGGAGAATGTTCGGGCGACAGGAACCAGCGCAGGCGCAGACCGAGCCCTAACGCCTACGAACGCCAACCGAAACCCAAACCCCGGTCGAACCCCGGGGGCGACGGACGGAACCCTGGCAGTCGCGGATCCCCTGGTGCTGGGAGGGGGACTCGGTAAAAATGAACCAAGGGGCTGGCTTATTCTGGTGGAAAAGAAACTAGTGGGACGGTTGGGTGCCGACGCCGCCCTAGGATTTAATACGGGATTCATGAAGATGTGACACTATCCGGAAAAGGGAGGAGGGAGAGGAGGGAGTATATAAGGGGATAATAGCGTAGGAACCACACGCTACAAGGAGGGAGGCCGGCATTTGGCGGGACGAATCTCTTTTCGGAGGATTAATCGGATCGGTCTGTAATAGGTACAACCCGAGGAGTAGACGATATTGGATGGCCTACACTGTCGCTGCTACCGTTAACAGGGAGGGAGTCGGGAGGTGGAAACAAAAGGGCATAGCATGTAGTACGGATGTATGTAACGAGTATACCCAAATCGCAAATAGGGGGGAAGGAAGGCTTGGCAATGCCGCATCAGATTCATTCACGATATCAAAATTCCAACAGAGCGAACAAAGCAAAGTTACGCATGGCACAAACGCACAGGCATACACAATCACTGTCTAAAAATTCCCATGTTAAATGCAATTCCTTAATTCTTTACGTGATTCGTATCAACAACCTCTCTACTTGCCTTGCCCCCCCACGCAATGCTTGATGCTCCCTGTCTGTCTCTTTCTTGTCTTCTTGTAAATTGATCGCGATCTGCCTATCTCTGCAAATAAGTCCAACGACTACATATTCAAGGCCGGTTGAATTTTCTGCCTAGGTATTCTTCTCTCCCCCTTTTTTTCACCATCTTCTGATCTCTTCACTTCGCACCTTGCTTCGGTAGGCAAATTTAGCTAGACATTATTTCCTCCCCCCCAACTTAATAGCGCAATGCCGTAGGATATCGGTTCGGAACGCAAATGTCGACTGAATTCTGGATATCCGGAGGGAAAGCAAGTTTGGGGAACTTTTGTTCATCTCGTGTCCCCTCCCAGCTATAGTACAATTAAGGCAAAGCATACCATCTTTATCCTCATTAATGTTACATTCTAGTAGGTTGTCCTTGACTTGGTATGTAGTCAATACGCTAATTTGACTCGGGAGAAGAGGGAGAGGCTGGTGTGGGGATCATCATGCTGGGAACTTGCTTCCTCATCACCCCTCTTCTACGTTGCTCGGCTCGTGGTACACCTTGTATGGCACGGGGTTCCTTCATTAAAGAAGGGTCTAGTCGTGCTGGTATTCTTGTCGTCACTGATCGGTAGTCGCCTTGGAACTTGGCGTTCGGTACAGGCACGCAAGCCGTTCTCCATATGTGATCGGAGGTGTCTGTCAAGAACGATGCTTGTTTCTGATGTCTCGATGGGATTTGAAGACCAGGTAGGGAGGCAGAGACGCCGTGAGAGGCTCTTATCGTCGAGAGACGGGATAAGCCAGAAGACAAGCCGGATCTTCCTCGAGCCTTCTTAGCGAGAATTATCTCGTCGAAAAGGCGGATCTCTGGGTTTGTGCCTGGCTGCGTTTCGCGTTGGTGGATGAATTCATTAAATGCTAGTTTGATGTTAGTAGATATTGCAAGGTGAAAGATGAGATGAGATATGACTTACCTTGCGTTTCTTTCATCATTGTAACGTACTCCTGTTGGTCGTACGGCAAGCTTCTAATAAATGCATTCATGTCGAACCCATATATTTGGCCACTGTTCTTTTGGTCCTTCGTTGGCCGAGCCAGATGCTTGCGATATGTATAAAGAAGACTCGCGAGGCAACGTACAAAAGCAGCACGAATCTTGTCCTCGCTGAAGGCGACTGGGCAGACAATACAGACGCAGCCGAGACAACGTCCGTGTGAGACTGCTCCGCATCCTACACACTTATACCATCCATCACCCTCGCATCGCTCATCGCAAATCGTGCAGGTTGAGGTAGTGTCGTTAGCACCGAAATTGAAGCAGTGTCCTTCAACCCACATCGTAGACTCGGTGTTTTCTACTGGCTGAACAAGCATGTTCGGCATCACCGTGGATGCAGCGATAGTAGACTGGGCGTACGTCGACGGAGCGTAACCCCCGTACGACGATTGTGAGTCTATCGAAATAGCAGAGATGGATAAATTCGATTGATGGCCGTTTAAGAAGGGCGGGTGAGGTCGGTGAACCGGTGCGTGACCGAATGAGGAGCTGCGCCGACCCTTCTCATCGAAATGACCCGATCTCTTCTCTCTTAGTGTAGAGGATAATGCGAACCCCGAATCGCTTCTAGAAATAGGTGTCGCGGGCATGGGCGGGAAATTTACCGAGATAGGCGATACTGACGATGGCGGGCTGGTCTTATTTGATTTGCTGGTGGCTGGCCGTTCGGATCCTCCCGGCTTCGCATGCAAGAATGCATTAAACACGGGTGGGCTTGCCGTGCCTGCAGGCTCGGGGTCTCCAAAAGATGAAGAATTCTGTGCCACCCATTTGTATAGCGTACTTGGCGCAGCCTTCTCGTCAAAAAGGGCGCCATTCTCAGCGGAGAAGGCGTCGTAAGGAAAAGATTCAATCGCATATGGAGGTGGGCCTGTCGTGACACCGAATCGTAAACTATGCGGCGCCGCATATTGCAGGAGCGAAAGAAGTTTTCGTCGGTGTTGTTTTGGGAGACGAACTGGCAGCGCCGGTGATTCAATCGTATCTTTGTCTAAGTCAACCAAGACATAGTCGTCATCCGGAATCGCGATATTGTCGTATCTTCGCTCAATGCCGACGATGTAGGGACAAGGGGCCTCAAGGGCAGATATCAACCGCGCCGGTAAAATAGGAATGAATATGCTTGCCCAAGTCAACGGATATAACAAGCTAGCCAGGGCGTGTGAGGCGAGATGAAGCATCGCCGTGTGTGATGAGAGGAAGATAATTCGTGATTCAGACATGGCATATTCGAAGAGAGTGACGATATTTTCGAGTGATAGGGATCTAAATAACGCATATAGGTCAGTGTTACGTGAGCCTGGAAGCTCATTAATTGCTTCCTTTCGTGCATATAGACGTAACTCGCGCACGCCAATCTCGACCTGGGTTTTGGAGCTTAGAGGGCTAAAAGCCTCGGTACATAGATTGACCACGTATCTTTCTAAAGGTTGCCAGCGACCTACTCGCGGAGAGCTTGGAGGTACGCGTAGAATTGCACCATCTGTCATTGGTACTATGACGGCTCGAAGCCAATCCTTCCAAAAGCCCAGTTTTGTGACATCTCTGCCAAGAATGCCGTACGCTCGAGGCGTCCAAAGACCACTCTCACCGGCGGTCAAGCCATCGATCTTCGATGCGGCCCCGTGTCTTAGGGGCCTCAACATTTCCGTCATGAGGCTAATTTTCTCCTCCACTGCACTAATCTGGTCATCGAGCGTCTCCCGAGCAGACGACCCAGACGCTATTGTGGGAAGTTTTGCTAGCAGCTGCGAGAGATGCGCACGTTCGGCGGCGAGACGTGCTCCAAGACTACCCGCAAGCTCTCGTTCTTCCTCAGTCATATGCCTCTGTCTCCAAAGCTCACAACGCATCTCTATATCCTCTGCTACATCTGTTGTGAGTGCTGTCCATATAATGACGGTTATTCCATAGAGCTTGGAGTTATCGTCCGAGGTCATGGTGAATCCATGCCATGTCGATCGCGGTCTCTCATCCGATGAGACAATCTGAATGTCGTTAGGGAAGGCGAACATGGGTACATAATCTGGGAATCTGCCTCTCTTGCTGAGGCTTTCCGTGTCGTGTCGAGGAGGGTATCGGTCTAGGAGTTCGGGTTCGAATCGTCGTTTCAGGGGATGCATATCAGGGTCGAGGTTAAGAGGTTCGGGCGGGGGGATGACGGAATTGTAGCTGCTCATTCTCCTAGTAGTTCGGATTGATGCTAATTTGCAGAAGTCAGTACAGAACACAGAGTTCTTTTTGCAGTCATGATCGAAGATTTCCGCAGGCAGTCCTTCTGCCACGTCCTTTAACAGGGACCCTCCGCCTAAATCGCGAAATGGGGCCATACCGGGTCTCGGGGTTGTTGGCTGCTTTCGCACGCTGTTCATATCCCTAAAGCTTATTTTCCGTCTTATGCTGCCTCTGATGCTTCCTCTGATGCTCTTCATCGGGCTCATCCTTCCGCCTGAGGCTTCGTCTGCCTTGATCTTATCCGTCCGTGGGTTCACCATCGGTGGTCGCGAGTGCGTCTTGGCACCGGCCGAGAAGCTTAGATCCTCGAGGAAGTTCTCCCTCTCGGCTGCGAACTTGACTAAGGCCTTGTCGAAATCAAAATCCATAAGAAAGCCATCCTGCCCAGCCGCCACAGGGTGAGGATTGGGTCTTATTGTAGCACTACTCCTGTTACTTCTCGTATTCCCATCCAACTCTTCAAGGGCCAGGATTGAAGCGAACGATGATTTGGAGAGTCTATTATTAGAGTTCTGGCGAGAGTGTCTCGCAGAGGTTCTGTTGACCGAAGGGGATGGTGTCGGTTCGGGGTCGTCGTCGGGTTCGCCATCTTCGTCGATGGTGTCGTCTACCTGAGTAGACGATGCTGAAGTTGGAGGTGGGAGGTCTTGGTAGGATATGGACTCGACGCCCGCAATCCAGAAATAGTCCGCGAGCGGCGCCGAAGGGCTATCCATGACATCGCAGGCCTATGGCGGTGTCTATTCCCCCTTATTTCAATCCACACTTGAACTCCGTTCGCCGAAGAGAAGGTCGATTGTCGATTGAGATGGAGAAATCAATCTGAACTTTTAAGAAGTTATGTCCGAGTGACGTGCCCAGGGGTTTGCCAGGCACCAATCAACAGTTCGAACTGTGTGAGTTTGTTCTGTTGTTGTTTTCTCAGTCCCGACTTGTGGATATCGGCAACTTTGTTACAAGTGCGCCGATGCATATATCCCGTTGTACAAGCGAGTGTTGGATGGATTAAGAAAGTTATGTGATTGAACAACTGACTGGTTACCGCTAGATAATTCGGCAGACTCCAGTAGATTCTAACAACAGGGTCTACTCTGCGGGACGTGCTCGAGGGGTCGGGTGGTTGAGGGGTGTAAAATGTGGATGTATCGTCGGCTACTAAAGCAAACTATTTTAATAGACGAAAGGCAAACCGTCCATTAAGATGAGATGGGTGTCAACGGATCAGATAATTAGTCTTAGTCGACAGACCTGCAGGACTTATCAGGTTGATCGATTCTCCGAAAAAAAAGGTCAGAAGATCTTTTTAACTACCGCGAGACACCTGTTTTTAAAAAATTGGTGTGCACGTAGATAGTGTTCGGCCTATATCTTTTGTTTTGGTAGTTGTCTTATTTTCGGGCAGAAGCAGCCGATGTACTGTTTATGTTCGCCTTTCCTTTTTTTTCTTTAATATTTTTGGGCGCCGGGTAGACACGCACGATCTATTAGGTATGCAATGCTTCCAAAACAGCTTGAACAATTATGCGGTGCTTGGATGCAGATGCATGCCCCTTTGCGGCGTTATCGTTCGGGTGGGAGGGATAGAAGGGGTTGAAGGAGGGCAGTTCGAAGAGGAGTACCCAGGTAGTCCTAGGTTAGTTGTGTTGCTGTTGGATATGATCGACGGGTGAATATCTAATGACAATTTTGACTGGACGGGAGAGAAACAAGCTCCCCCAAGCTAGACTGGTCCAAAAGGATATGATGTTCAAGAAAAACGAGTGTTTTTGGAATGTCAAAGATCGATCCCCGAGTTCATGCAGATTCAGTGAATGAATGGTCGTGGAAGAAAAGAGACTACTGCATGGCACTGGAGGCGTTGATGAACATGGTTGATTTTTTGGTGGAGGAGAATATTGAAGATGCAGTCGGGCAGCCGGGTTGGCTAATCGGTGCTTGTAGTGGAGCCGTACCCTGGCAACCCTGTCAACCCCTGGCAATAGGACTGACTGGTCAGTCTGGTCTACCAGATACTATGTACACATGTACCTCTATCAGGTATTGTAACCCCACCACTTTTTTCCAAGCCGGGATTAGCTGTAGTGGGATTTTTACGTATCACGCATCGCACGACATACCTAAGATTCTAAGCAGCTCCAGTTGCCCAGAACTTTAACCCCTGTTCCGCCTCTCTTTACAGGGTTTACAGGGATTAACGAGCACTGAATCGGCAAGCACCCACAAAGCCACTTTAGCGATCTAGCAGCCAAAAAAAAAAACTGACTCCTGAAGAAGGCACACCCTTCAGAAAAGCTTACATCCACATATGTCAAAGTCAATTCTGCTACACACTAGGTAAATGTAGGCAATGACTTCCCACCGGGCAAGTTTAAATAGAATAGCCGCCATAACGTGGAAGGTCCGAGTCAGAAGGTTCCCCTTTTCTCCATTTTCCCACATATATCATGAATCGAAAACTTCGAAGGGGGAAAAACAATCCTAGGCAGAACAATTCACTAAAGACAACATGGATGGTTGCTCACATGCGGTGAAACTACATCTTGAACAACGCATCTACTATGTACAATAACATGCACCCTCGGGCACAAGCTTAGCCTTTTACTTATTCTTTCTAACTCATCTATCCACGTAACGTCTGATTACGCAGTACTTTACAACGTACCAACGAAAAAAAAAACATTATCTAGCGTTACGTGTTTGGACCACGAGACGAATGCCATGCAGCTATTCTTAGCGAGGAGGTTAGTGCTTCCTCGTACTACGCCGTTCAGCGCATGGTCGAAATCCCAGAGTTTTGGAAGACGCGGCCAATTTTTTAGCCAGCATCTGGCCATCTGGCGTCAAGGTAATCCTTCCTGGTCTGGATGATTTGGTACCTTGCAGGCAATATGGAACCTACGTATCCATATACACACATACATGATACTATATAGATATCATAATACGGAATGAGGTTCATTATCTGGTCATATCCATATTCCCCCCCTTTTTTGACACTTTCTATCCCAAGTGGAGGGAAGACGTACTATGTAAGGGTTTGTCGGAGGAATTGGAGGAGCATTTTGCATGTCAGGTTGCTATGTTCCTGCATAGCCTACCAAATAAGGGGCACACCTTTTTTTTCCCTTTCGATTTCGACGAGTCAAGAAAGCTCCAACCCCTTGATTCCGGGATGTGAGATCCAGCTCGTATTTGAGCCGTCGGCAGCAACTTCGCATTTCAGTACATACCACCGATGGGTACGAGTATCGAAGCAAGCAAGCGAAGGTCATCTATTTCGAGTATAGCCCGGCGGACTTTATGGGTTACGGGTTTTTGCACACAGACGTACATACAAGCTCCACCAAAGTCCTCCCTGCCTGCCTGTAAGCCGGCTAGCTTAGTGCATACATGGCGGCCAGAGCTTCACGCCCCGGGGTCGCTATCGAGATCACCAACGAGGAACTAACATGGCCGCCGCCGGGATTGGCGCACAGTCACAATTGTCCGTGGTCGTCCACTATGTTAGGTACATATCAGACCTCCAAAATAATTCCCCGTGCCTACTTGGCTACGCATGTATGCCGCTGCAATATATTATCAATAACGCAACTCGCCCGATCTTATCGACCAATCGAAAGACCCTGGGTACGTGATCGTGGAGAGAGAAAGCCAGCGTGTCAAATCGACAATGAGGCGACGCTAAACCCCGACCATTAATGCCAATATCACCCAATTTATTCAGGTTACAGTCAGGCACGCACCAAATGGCAGATGCTGCAAAAAACATTCTACATACATAAAGGTAACGGTCAGCGAAAAGAAAACATGGTCTCCCATGGTTTGTAAGGACGCCACTGCAGATATCCAGACGGACATCAGTCATTATGTTTCAGACGTGTGGGGTTAGTCATGGGCTCGGTCTCTAGACAGCCAAAGATGGGAACTCTATCGAACTCGACTTGTCTTTTTTCAGAAGTTCGAATGCAGTCGACCTAAAAGCCGTGTCCATCATCATTCCATCTTTGCCAAACGACGGTGAAGTGACCGCTCTTCACAATCTACTAGTCTACGCTAATTCGGACTTTCTGCTATACCAATTTCTTTAGAGTTTCTCTCTGCATTATCTTTTTTTATATTCTCACGATGAGGTTTTCCTATTATCGCGAAAGGTATCTAAGTGGACCTTATATGCGCGAGAAGAAAACCTCTAAGGCGAAACGGGTTTTACGAAGCGCACATCTGACGAGCTTTTCCATGATTCTCGTTAGAAAATTCCGGTTTTCAACCGGGGCTGTCTCTCTTCAGAGGAGTTTATTCGTGATTAACAAGTCCGTGGAATCCTTGCAACCGTTCGTGGAGGCGTAATCCACTTGATCCATGTTTGCATGTCATGTATTGTCCTATCCTGGCATCAGACAAGTCAGGGACCAGGAACCCATTACGGCATCGCCCGTGCCACGGAAGTGACGTAGCTGGATCAAACGCTCGTCAGAACGAACTTCCTATGTGTGTTGGCCAACGTGCTGGTGTATCAGGTACCTTAAACACATGGAGCTCTCTAGGAAGCTAAGGTCGCCTGCTCAGATTCCAATTGAAGCCGGGTAGGATCGTCACACCGGAATAATTACAATAGTTAATACATAACAACAAATATGACTTGTTACGGGACAGCGTCAGCAACAATACGGGCCGTCACTTGTATTATCAAGCTACCCGAAATACATAACCACTTAAGACACTCTTGTTTGAAATTGATTGTTTCTTTCCAAACACGGACTTATACACAAGCCACGATCTTAGAAAAGACCGATTAATTGAAAGATCGTCCACTATGTACTTATGTAGGTATATAAAATCATCAATATTTACGCAATTGGTCATCCATCCGTTCCAGATATTCGGTTATCTCCCATTGCCCACTCCCATGCCTGGCTAGTAAAAAATATGCCAGGATATAAAAGGATTCTGATATGGTCGGGAGTCCGATGAAACCTTCCACACCGGAAAGCATTCGTGCAGCCGCAAGCATAAGAATAGAAAAGAATTTTACTGAAAGGGTAGCATCCTGGGAATTCCAGGAATTTCTTGTCTGGCGTTGGTTGCCATTTCAGGGGTAAGACCATTTATTACTTTGAGACTGTGCCTGAAGGAACAAGCGGCTCATCTGAGCCTTTTGCCTAATAAATAACTGCACTTTCGCAGGCGGCTCTTTCGAATGTCCAATGTCAGCTTTTTGAAATGATGAATACGACCTTCTACTGCTATTATTAACACCAGGCTCGCCCAGCTTCCTTTCACCGCTCGGGGATCGAAATCGCTGGACCTGCTTAGGTCTTATCGTGTACTATCATGCCCCTTTTCTCTTACAATTCTGAGGATGTCCTTGTATAACATTCGCACCGAATTCTTGAAACCCGAGCTTTCATACTACACACATCGAATGTTGTATTTAACTTAGGGGCATCTCGATATTGGGGGCCGCAAATGATGGCCAATAGGGTATAAACCGAGAATCTCCAAATCTCACCACACCAACAACGATTATGCCAGACAGCCAATCCATGAGTCGATCTAATTGCATGAATACACAAACCGCCAAATTGGATATGACAAGCTTGCATTGACCACGTCGATCATGTTGCTTAACCAGGCTGTCAGGGACAGTCTGTCTGACAGCTCACATCTTCAATATACTGGTGAGCATGGATATTCAGGCACGAGGCTTACTCAAGATCTATTACACAAACGGGTTTATTTGACGAATAAGGGAATCAATAGTTCAAGACCACGCGACGGCCTAGTTTTTTTATAGTCGTATGAAGACGAAATACGACTTTATCATTTGAGAAATGCTTCGTTTCTAGTATTAAAATATGCTTACGCAACGTGCCCAGAATCTTGTAAACCCCCTTCCCCGGATCGCCTTTGTGAGACTTGAATTCGCGTCTCAACGGCCATATCCCCATATATCTACCTAACGAACACGTTCGTAAAATGGCGATGATACTCTTGCCCTATACACCACTCCACGCAAGCATCTTGTGATCTAAATGTGCTTTAAATCGTCTTCCGATCCAAAGTAGACCCCGCCCATCTAGAGATGCTTCCACGTAATGCGAACTCCCGGGCATGAATATCACCGGTGCTAGATATTAAATATCCACCTCTTAGCAAGGCGCTCCTTAATGCGATGTGACGAGTCAAGAATCGTAATCGTAGACCGGTGTGCTATACACCAAAATTCCCATAATTGCGCGTCCCATCAGGGAATCAATCACTTAGTCGGCCTCGTGCCCAACTTCCCCGTTGACAGAAACCCCTTATTCCCCATCTCGCTCCTCCACCCGATCCCCAGGACCCCAAACACGATTCTCCCATCCTCCTCCTCTTCCACCTCCTCCCCAGCCTTCTCCTCCACAACAAAGCAGCACTGCTCTACCTCACCAGGGTGCAAGACAGGCCTCTTACTCTCACTAACCTCCCAATTACAATCCCTATACTTCAGCCCCTTCTCCAGCTCAAGCCCCACGCGGTACAGCTGCATGACATCCTCACTACAATTCTCCAGCTGAGCCTCCATAACCCACCTCCTCTCCCCCTTCTCACCAGCGTCACCACCATCCCCAACACTACTCCCAGTCGGAGAAAGCGGCAAAGCCCCAACCTTAGTCCTAACAATCAACGACCCCTTACATATAAACTGGTACAACTTCCGAAAAGTCCGCGTCCGCCCGGACGTCTCCGTCGCCTCATAATAGCTCACCGTAACCGCAAGCACATGATTCCCCTCCTCCTTCAAATCGAAATTAACAATCCGCTGCAACGTCTGACCCGGATCCAAATCCACACCCGCATTGCCTCCTCCCCCTCCTCCCTCTCCCTCCCCATCATCCTCATCATCAACCCCCTCCGCCCCCACCAAAGCCAACTTCACCGCCGCAGCCGAACTCGGCGTCTTCATCTCCGCCTCGATCCGCACATCCTTCGTGAACTTCTTCTTCGGCAGGGACCCAGGCGGCGGCGCCGACAGGGGCGTCAACCCGCCTCCACCGCCTCCTCCGGACGTCTGCGCGACGGGTTCGCCCGGGAGCGGGACGTCGTGGTTCGCGCAGAGCGTGCAGCTGAACGTTTCGCCGACGTACGCGGAGCCGAAGGAGGGCGGGAGCTGGAGGATCGGCGCGAGGAGGAAGGGGTCTGGGTTTGAGTCGGCGGTGGTGCTGTAGGCGAGGGACGCGGGGGTCGGGGCGTCTTGTCTTTCTTTTTGTGGTGATGGGGAGAGCGGAGATGATGAGGATGGCGGAGTGGCGAGGGGCGGTGGGAGGGGATGTTGGACGACGAGGGAGGGGCGCGAGAGGCTGTGTGCGTTTGGTCAATTATCGATTACTACATATAAGATCCCGTCTCATAACCTGCTAAGAAATACTACGCGTGCAGAGAAATGGATGAGATTCATACCGTAAGACCTTCAGGGAGACGGAATGCGGTTCCTTGGGGTCGACCGACGGGTAGCGTTGGTGGCTCATTGCGTCGGAGGCTTCGAGAAGAAGAATAGGCCTCTGGTATTCTGTATCACCCGAAAAGGCATGAACATACTATTGAGCTCCAGCAAGACCCGCCTACATTGCTAATGTGATGATATGTTGAGACTTGAGTTGATTAAGAGTGTTCGTGATAAACTGACGTAGTCTTATCGATAAGTATCGATCATGGTCCATCGCGAGTTTACGTAAGCAGGTCTATCGGAGCAGTCCGAAGTCTTACCTAGAGACCTTAATATCCACGCCCACACGTATTCAATCTGGTTAACACGAAGGTAGTCACTCGGTAGAAATGCAAAATAGAAGTGTAAAAGAGTAGGAAAAGGGTAGTGTCAATTATTGTCGTTATTCGGGAGCTATGTAGTAACGACGTTTGGACACTGTCGAATGAGCTGCCGCCTTAAAGGGCTCTAAACTCGATCAATGTCGCGCATAGCCCCTTTCCGAGCTCGAATCCTATTAAAAAACAGCCATTACCCCCAATAACTCACGGAAAATAGGTCATAGAATTTCCCGTTGAGCTTCTCTACACACCAATCAAAGTGCTGGATTACAAACTTGCGAATATCGAGCTTGATCATAGTCCAGGGGGAGGGGGTACCTGTCAATTAAATTAGTTAACCACGATAATAAGAGTAAGAGTTCACGGAGGATAACTAACAGCGCCATAGCTTCCTGCTCCGGGAGGGGGAGGAGGCGGGGGAGGTGCAGATCCGCCAGGAGGGGGCGGTGGGGGAGCTTCGCTAGGCGGAGGTGGTGGAGGAGAATTTGAAGCTCCCGGTACGGGAGGCGTTGGGGTTCCCTGCTGAGCGGCTTGGGCAGCAGCGTAATACTGCTGGTAGTACTGCATATACCTGAAGTTGCGTTAGCGATTATGCGTTCTCCCTCATGGCCATGTTACTTACGCCGCGTAACCACCGTATGCAGCATAGGGGTCTTGACCAGCACCGTAGTACTGCGCATATTGTGCAGCATAATCGTTGCTAGCGGTAGACGGGCTTCCTTGGCCAGGAGGTGCAGGAGAGGCCGAATTTGCGGCGGGGTTTGGTGAGTTGTTGTAACCACCATATCCACCATAGGATCCCGAACCACTACCTTGTCGATCGTTATATCTGTCGCCGCCGTAAGATCTCTCGCCGTACGACGATCGCTCTCCATAACCACCACCGCCGCCATTGCCGCCACCGTGGCCACCAAAATGCTGACGGGGTGGTCGACTCTTGAACTCCTCGTACTGTTCTTTAACATTGGAAATAAGATCTTCACATAGCTCCTTGGCTTTATCAACCATCTTCGGATCAGGGCCACTAGACACTGCGTTAGATGATTAAGATGATATATAGTTCAACGTGTACTTACGCAACATGGAGGTACATCTCATCATCACTTTCGCGGTTTGTAGAAGCTTCGAGATAGCCTGAGCCACGTCCCTTGATCTGGACACGACATCCAGTTTCTTGCTGAATGTGCTTCACGTAAGAGCCACCGTGTCCAACGATTTGGGCTCGAAGGTTAAAACCGCGAATTTCTTCCAAACCAATAGGTATCTTCGACTCCGGCCATTTACGCTGCTCGTCATTAACATAAATATACCACAGAAAGGAGAACCCAACTTACGCGTCCGAACTCGTCTCGCTCTACCTGTTCTTGGTCTCGGCGTCGGAAGCGTCGTTCGTCAACCAGATTAGGCAGCTCTTGCTTCATCATCTCCTCGATCTTGTCAACCGCGGCCTCGAGGCCGGTTTTCGAGGTACTCGTGATGTGGAGGAACAACGGGGGATTCTAGGCTCATGTAAGTCATGAAATCTTGACTGCCGAGGCATACTTCTCTTACCGATGGTGTCGCCATGCTTTTGTCGGGATAGTAATTTCCTCGAGTCGTGACATCTTTCAAAGTCAACCATAATTCTACACTTTAAGTAAATAAATAACTGGGAGGTGTTTCGTACCAGCTCCGGTTTCCTCTTTAATCTAAATCAAGTAGTGGAGGTCAGCAGATGCCACAGAGGGGATTCGTGCGCGAGCTAGCACGCTTCTATGTAAGCAGAACCGTTCGCAACACGAAGATAACACACTGGAAGAGAACCACCAAGTCTAGGGGGCTGAAACTCTGGTGTAAATCAGTAGGAATTGACCAAAGGGTATTATTTACCATCTTCTGAGTTGAGCTCTTCGTGAGTAAGTATCGGTTGCGCAAATCGTTCACTTCGATATCTTTGATATAATCTCCATCTGCAATGTACATTTCGCCGTTGATGTTGTTGGATCCATTGCCGCCAGGTGTAGTCGGAGCGTTGGGACCGGGAGAAGTAGATGATGACGACTTAATCGGAGGCACGTCGACGTGTTGAATTCCCTTCTTAGCTTGGATTTGGGCATTGATCTTAGCAGCGGCGGCAGCTGATGATGAATGTTAGCTTGAGCTTCCATGTAACATTATATAGCTACCTAATAGGCTAATGCTATCGAGGTTAAAAACTTCTAGTAATGAGTACATACCTGCTGCCGCTGCCGGGTCAACCGGGCTTCTCGAGTCGGACGCGCCTTTCTGTCCATCCTTGGGAATTGGGCTACGGTCGCGACCATGATCCGACCTTTTAGCTGGAGGTGAACGCGATCTGCGATCGAAACGAGAGCGTCGCGGCTCGGGTTCGGTTTGATCGAATCGAGAGCGTTTCGCTGTACGTCGTTCGGTGTCGTCCATGTTCACGTAGGTACACTGCACTTACTAAGAAGAGGACCGAATAACAAAGCTCACAGTATTTTGTAAAAGAATAAGGCGCATATGTAAAGAAGCTTGAAGAAGGAAGGGTTGTTGATTGGGAAGGCCTTACAAGTGGAAAATTGATTAGCCTCGAATTGATGGATCAAATCGATGCTAAAGATTTCCAGACTAGTTCCAAAGGTTGAATTGGATCGGAAAAAGAGATCCACTTGGAACGCGCAACGGGAGTGGGGTAAATAGATAATCCGTCGTAAGCAATTTAGGTACCTAAGTATACATGTACATTGTACATTGTACTGCTGCACATCATGATTCACGTGGTCCGTGCATGTCTGGAAAGTCCCCACCACCACGGCACCCCTCATTCTATTCACAAAATGCAATATGTGGGACTATGTATATACTGGCTCCGAATTTCGCAGCTATGGTACCTAGAAGAATTCACTGTCGACTAAGCGGTCACAATTTTTTATCTAGTGGCTTGAAGTGGTGAGTCAAGCTGAAAGATCCTTTTACCAATTGACCCTCCCCAGGCTTTTGTAAGGCTTTGAGGATTGCCAATTCTGATCAGAGAGCTTTCGAGTTCTCGTTGATGATCAAGAACAATGGCGTCCCGCACTCTTGTCCAGTCTAATTGCTTCAGAGCTGTCGCCGCCGGCCTGCGAACCATTCCACAGACTTCAACAAGATGGAGCTCAAGTAGCAGTTCTACTTCAGCCATTGCTTACAAGGCTCTCCGCCGGCGTGTAGCTCCTCTCCCAACAAACGATACACCGTCATCATGGTCTGCCCAAGCAGCCGTTTCCAACATTCTCTACGAAACCCCAACACCCTCAATGGCGCCTCCGAAACGCCATGTCCTTAACTGCCTGGTCCAAAACGAACCTGGTGTCTTGTCCCGTGTTTCTGGTATTCTAGCAGCACGAGGCTTCAACATTGACTCTCTAGTCGTGTGCAGTACCGAAGTCGAGGACTTGTCCCGCATGACAATTGTGCTTACGGGCCAGGATGGCGTTGTCGAGCAAGCGCGAAGGCAACTAGAAGATCTAGTACCTGTATGGGCTGTCTTGGATTATACCAACGCTGCCTTAGTGCAAAGGGAGCTGCTTCTCGCCAAGGTCAACATCTTGGGACCGGAATACTTCGAGGAATTGTTAGCTCATCACCGTGAAATAACGGCCGAGGCTGACGCCGGAGAAATAAGCGAGAAGACACTAGAGGATATCGCCCTGGACTTTCACCCGAGTAAAATGGTGGCCAGTCAAGCTCTGCGGTTAAAGCATGAGCATCTGAGATCCATAACTTACTTCGCGCATCAATTTGGGGGCAAGGTACTCGACATTAGCACAAATAGCTGCATTGTTGAGGTGTAAGTGATTTTCTACCAGGCAAGTCGAACCATGCTAACGATCCATAGGTCTGCCAAGCCAGTTAGAATCGACTCATTCCTAAAGCTGATTGCGCCGTTCGGTATCTTGGAATCGTCGCGCACAGGTCTCATGGCCTTGCCTCGATCTCCCCTCTACGGCCCTGATGAGGAATCAATTGTCAAGGAGGCAGATGAGATCGTCGATGCTAGCCAGCTACCTCCCGGATAGGCTGTACATTCGGATCTGTACATATTGGCGTTGGTGGTCAATTAAAATCATGGCTTGATTGGGGGTTATTACCTAGGTACACTATAAACGAAGTCATTAGTGCAAACTACCTCAATAGACATTTAGTAAAATCCTGGATCTTATTGTGATTTTACTCATTGTTGAAATTTAATAGTGCTAGTTATATCAGGAGATATATGACTCCTCATACTCTTTCGTGAATCTTGACTCAGCCTTCAATGCTATTTTTCGCCTAATGACAATTTTTCCTTTTATCCTCATATTTTTGGAAGCCTAGACCCTAAAAAATGTGACATTAATTTACCCAATTATTTTCTCAGTAATTCTCCTTTGTTCACCACGAAGCCCTCGAGGGCCGCTGGATAAAAATTAGCTTGATTGTAGTCGAATTGGGAAAACATGACTTACCAACAGCAGCCCACAGTCTGTTCTCTGCTTCGGGGAACACAAGAGACCGATCAGAGTAGAAGACCTTGTCCTCAACCTCCTCGTGATGACGAGGTAAGCAATGCATAAACTTCCAATCTGCCTTTGCTCCGCCACGCTTAGCTAAGTCGTTTGTGACCTGAAAGCCGGCAAAGTCCTTGAGCCGTTTCTGGGTCTCCTCCTCCTGGCCCATAGATATCCAAGTATCGGTCACGATGAAATCGGCATCCTTGACGGCTTCTTCGGGGACAAAGGTTTGGTTTAAAATACCAGGCGTGTTGGTGGAATCGGCTTGACTCGTGATTAGGTTCACCATGTCTTTAGGTATGCCATAACCACGAGGCGTAGCGACTGATATCTCGATGCCTGTTTTAACGCAAGCGGTGGCGAAATCGAACAGTACGTTGTTCGCATCTCCAACCCATGCGATCTTTAATCCGTTCGGCACAATTTTACCGAAAAGACCATCCGGATGGGACAAATCTTTTGAGGTTCGGGTAGACTCATAGATTGTTAGAAAATCCGCGATGATCTGGAGCGGGTGGAAGTCATTAGAGAGCGCATTGATGACGGGAACGGAAGAGTGTTCCGCCAAACCCGTAATATCACTGTGAGGACCGACTCGAGCTACGATAGAGGAGGTCATGGATGAGATAACTTTGGAGGTATCTAGCAATGATTCATTCACCTATAGGATCAGTTAAGTGGTGAAACGGTAACATGATTATAGAGCCTTAAATATACTCACTCCTAATTGGATATCATTCTTGCCAAGGAACATAGGGTGACCACCAAGCATAGTCACAGCTGCTTCTGTCGATACCCGAGTCCGAGTGCTGAGCTTGCTGAACATCATGGCCACAGTCTGTCCCGTCAACTTCTGGTTCAACTCTTGGGGGATTCCGCTGGACTTAACGGCGCCTTTATGCGCCGCAGCTCGGCTCACTAAGGATAAGAATTCATCGCGCGTCAGGTCGCTAATTGACATGAGATGTCGAACTGGCTTAGGAGTTGCTGAGTAACTCCTCGCCTGGACATAGCGGGATGTGCGTTGAGCTAGTCGAAGAGCCGGCGACCGCATTTTGAAATACTTTCGAGATGCCTGTGTTGTTATAGAAACAGAGCTTGAGATTAAACAAGGTCCTGTTCCCAAGTTAACTCAAATTGTTGATATATAAGGTTAGTAAATGTAGGTACCTACCTAGGTATGTATACCCGTTTATAGGTACCTATATTTAGTTGCCAAATACTAGATAGACGTTAAATCCTTTCACCTTTATAAGATCAATCAATTTTTATTACCTTGGAATCTAAGACAACATAGTATCAGCTATACAATGATCGGATCTGAGTCACCAGCGAATAAGACTCACTGTTCAAACACGCCCTTCGTCGTGACATCCACTTCGACGATTGCGGAGATGAAATTGATAGGCGTAAGTCTGTAGACACAGGTAGCTATCAGATTAAAGGTTATCTGCCAACTGTTTGACAGCTGTTGGGATTAGAATTTTAAGTTGAACCGTTCCTGTGTATCTGCAAGCTGCATAAGAACCCTGCGGCTTCTGCACGGGCTTCCCCGGATCGCGCTAGACTATAAGTGGATCTGGCCACTTCTTTCCCGTCGGCTTAATTGGCTGTTACTATGTAGGGCTCGTACCTCGAAGCATGGTTGTGTTGGCTTCGCCTCAGCAAGAGCGCTGGAGCCCTGTCTCAGCTTGGCTGCTTGGGTGTGGGTCGTAGTGTTGTCAGTTCCAAGGTTGAATGACGACGACTGCCTTCCTCACTGCCTACTTCATCAACTTTAAAACTGCCCAAGCTACTACCTATTGATTATTTCAACCTGACTCCATCATTTCTTTATCACAATCATTTTTATCATACATCCTACATATGATGAAACATTGAATTGTTTGATAAATCAATGATGTCTGCGTCTCCTTCCTAGTCGACCAGTCTTTCATTATTCGCGAATGTGTCATCTTTTATTCATTAATATCTCAACATAGCCATTTCACATTTTCATCAATCACCATGCCGGAAGAAGAATCATCGCCCTTACTCTCTGCTGCGATGAAGGGGAAAAAGGCATCTGACGACCGCGCCAGCTCTAGCGAGTCAACTCCGCTCCTGTCGAATTCTACCGATACCCCGCGTTACGATGGAACCGCCGACGAGCACGATGGAGACGACGCTGTTTCTACCCACTCTCAACCTGCCGGATCAACGGAATCTTCTCGTTCGAACCGGAAGTCTTGGAGATGGGCATCGTGGATAGCGATGGGCCTTCTCGGAGTACTTGTCATTGCTATTATTATTCTTGCATTCATCGTTCCCGAAGCAGTTCAAGAGTATGCCCAACAAGCTACCGTTATCGAACCCACAAATCTTGCCCTCGAATCTATTACAACGAACGGAGTTCGAGCTCGTGTACAAGCCAATTTCCACCTAGACGGGTCAAGAGTCAGCAATGATCATGTGCGAAGAGTAGGGAGGGCCGCTACGTGGGTAGCGTATCAACTTGAGAGCGCCCAGACGAAGGTCGATGTACGCCTTCCCGACTATAATAACGTGCTGCTTGGAAGCGCTGTTATCCCATCTCTTCTGATAAACTTGCGAGATGGTTATGTCACCAATTTTGATTTCGTTACGGAGATATCACCTGGAGATGTGGACGGTATCCGTATAATCGCGAACGAGTGGCTAGAAGGCAGATTGGATCAATTGCGCCTGAATGGAGCGGCTGATCTTAGTCTTAAATCCGGCTTCATCCCTCTCGGAACTCACGCCATCTCTGAGTCGCTTGTATTTGAAGGTCAATCACTCTACCAATCCTTCGCTGCCCTATATTTCGGAAAGAAAGTCTTGTTCTAGCATGTCCGAACAGCTAGAGGCACACAATTACTTGAATACACAATATACTAATTCTTTGAATAGCCAACAAGATTCCTGCAATGCCAAAGTATAATATCACTCGTTTTAACGTCGAGGACGGACCGATAAATGGATCAATGCTAGCTGATGTATCCTTGACTGCGCTGAACGAATATCCGGTCGAACTTGATATACCCGAACTTGCGTTTGATCTTTTAGTACCCGGTTGTGCTATTTCGGATCAGTCTATCCTAGTGGCACAGGCGGCCACGAGTGACATCCATGTTCACCCTCATTCTGAAGTTGAAGCGGATGTCAAGGCTGTGATCCGCGAACTACCTGACACTTTAACCCATGTTTGCCCGGATTCCACTTCGTCGCCACTGGATAATCTGCTCCGACAGTATATGCATGGCGAGCCTGCGACTTTCTTCGTTCGTGGGAGCCAACATCCAGATGGTGATACACCAAAATGGATTGCAGACATATTATCAAGCGTTACCGTTCCTGTCCCGTTTCCTGGGAGAACTTTGGATGGCTTGATTAGAAATTTTTCATTAACAGATGTTCACTTTTCCCTACCGAATCCAAACGCCGGCCCCGATGACCCAGACTCCAACCCAATGGTTTCGGGCAATATTCTAGTTACAGCAGACGTCCCTTCTGAGATGAATTTTGGCATCGACGTAACCGATGTTCGTGCCACGGCAGACGTGCTTTATAAATCAAAGAAATTAGGAGAGCTTAACTTGCAAAAATGGCAAGCCGCTAATTCCACTAGAGTTAAAGGCACGGGGGACCAAGGTCCTATGCTCAAGATCCAATCTCAAATCATCGACGCGCCCCTTAACGTAACCGACGGGGCTGTTTTTACCAGTGTTGTCCAGGCATTGCTATTCGGCAGTGCCCCTATCCGCCTACATGTCAACGCCTTAGTTGATATCAAGGTGCAGACCACGTTAGGTAACCTCACGCTAAAGGAGGTACCTGCGGAGGGCAAAATACCAGTAAAACGTCCGTCTTCGCTCTTCTGATCTCGTGGGTGGCTCTCTCAGATGGACCGTCTATCAGGACGGCTTATTCCTTGAGGTGCAATTCCATGCCTTTTCATCATATCACAGGCTACGCGACATAGGCTGACTGATTCTTAGCCCTCCCGAAGGGCACTATTGGCAGTATCGTTCCAAAAGTCGGGTCGCTACGGATTCTAGACACGACATCGGATTCAATCACATTGCAAGCCTTGGTCAATGTCACGAACCCAACGCCGTATACAGCCCATGTGCCGTATGCCAATGTTCACGTTCTTCATAATGGATCGGTCCTCGGAAGTGCCACGGTAGAAAATCTGGATGTCGTGAAAGGGCCTAATTCTAACCTGCTCGTCACTGCGAAATGGAATCCGCCGATGGGTGGTGACCACGGCCGAAGAATTGGTCGAGATCTAATATCACAATATTTATCGGATTGGAATACAAGTATCACCATAAGACCTCATCGGCATAGCATCCCGGGTCAGCGCATTATCAGCGATGCTTTGTCGAAGTTTAATATGACCTTTGTCGCTCCTAGACTAGATCTGCCTGGCGATATATCCGAGGAAAAGTCTCACTTTATTAGAGATGCCACATTCCACCTCTTTTCGTCGACTGCTACATTTACGCTTGTTTCGCCACTGCACTTTAATACTTTATACTTAGACTTCGTCAATGCTACAGCATTATACAACCACACGGAACCGATTGGGCAAATTGTATACGACTTACCATTCTCGGCGCCTCCTGGTAAGTCGGTGACACCGAAGTTACCTGTTGACTGGTCACTCGACTCAGTGGGTTACGATGCCATCAGGAAGGCCATCGGCGGGACGTTAAAGCTGGACGCATATGCCAACGTCGACATGCGCCTAGGAAATTGGAAAGAGTCGTTATGGTACTCAGGCAAAGGCATTGGTGCTAGCATACAGTTGTAATGTTTGACAATTCGAGGGCTGGCGTTTCAAAAGGTACTGGCAGGCGGGTTTTCAAGACGGACTGGGTCGGAACGGCGCAATTTGTTATTTCGTGGTGAAGATAGTATGAGAATCTTTATGGAATATATATATCGCATATACATATCTGATATCATTTGGCGTATGATCTAAAGTAGTGCTGTGCTGTTTTTGCGCCAAAATCTAAAGGGGCATAGCGATTTGCTGACTAATATGGCTATGACTGTACAAAGATCCGCAGTATACAATTAACCGTTAATTCATCATCAATTGATGGTTTGCAAGATTAAACGTTTGAAAAAAAAGAAACTGTTGACTGCGCGTTTTTTTATTTAATTGTTTATGTTTTAGATTAATGTTTATTTTTTTTTTAAACGTTTGGAAATTTTAAATATTTAATAAATCTTTAAGCGTTAGATATGAAGCCTTCGATGTATTTAGACGGGAAGTTATAGGAGTTAGCGGATAGGTGTTTCATTTTGGAATTAACAGGCAAACGGGTTAAATTAGGTTAGGTTAGGTTAGATTGAATTATCTAGCCTTTTATGAGGCTATTTACGATTTTTACGATTTTTACTTACTTACTTATTTACCTACCTACTTATTTACCTACTTACCTGTAAGAGCTGTAGTTGAGCTTTAAGTTATTGGCAAATCGGATAGGCTAGAGGTCCTGGAGATCTTGGAGGCGATTTTGGTGTATATGGTGTGGGTAGACTTCTTTAAAGATTTGGAGGTTTTGAAGATAAAGAAGAAGATGAAGAAGAAGGATTGAAGGTAGGTGAGTGGGATTAAGGTCTTATATAGACTTAAGGTAGGTGGATTAGATCAAAACAACAAGATCAAAGTACTGAAAGGGTTACATATATCAGATCAGGGACTTCGAATAGTTCGAGCTATCGCTAAACATTTATTTGAAAGAAACGTTGAACTTTTTTCTAACGTTTGAAAATATATAACGTTTAAATGCGAGTAATCGTTTAATTTTATAAATGTTTAAATAATTAAATGTTTATAAAATCAAACTATATATTGATGGTTTTAAAAAACATTATGCGTTAATTAAGATGGGCTAGTTTAGCGAAGGACATAATTTTGCATATAGACCCTGGTATCTATGGAAAAGCTCGATGTCAAGCTCAATCTCAATCTCTACAAAACAGCTTCAACGCGCTAAAGGATACTCCTACAAGGTCAAGCACGAAACAGATATTGAATCGAAGTCGGTCTATTATGAGAGCCCCAAGATATCGGGCTTTATTAGTTGATAATTGATAGTTTTTTGTATTATTGAAGATCTTTGGGATCCGGACGCGAGATTGAAGTCTCCTCGCTCTGGTTTACTTAAGCTGCCTTCAGCTGTCTTACCTTACTCGCATTCTTATAATACTTTAAGTACATATATAGGTATCTACCTTGGTACCTTGCATCATCTATTATGGCGCGTATGCCAAAAATTCCATCGCCATACGGCCCCCGGCCAAAACGCTCGGCGCAGCTGGTACTCATTTGGATGGTTATATTAATCATCGCGTTCATCGTGACGTTCTACCTTACATCGCGAGAGCGTGACGCTCCGTCTTCGTACGCAGGCATGCGACTCCCTGACGATAAGGAGCCAGCGGGAGGAGGAGTCAAGATGGCGAAGATAGTGCCTTGATATCGCTTTCATCTTTGATGAGAGGTGCTATTAGCGGGGTTTATTATATAATAGAGGATACTCGATCTTGTTTATGAGTTGCATAGGAGCAAACGAAACTGAACCCGAGACGTTGATTCGTCAATACGGAGTCAATTGGACCAAATAGTAAATTGGGATTATACTTTAAAGGATCGCAAAATACCGCAAAACGGCTTGTATTCTAGGACCACCATTACGTACAAAAGCAATTAGCAAACATCCACTTTACACAGAGCCTCGCCAATCCAACGCAGTCTATTACTAGTTCGCAGAAGCTGTGTACAAGCTAAAATAGCACCAACATCGCCAGCCAATGCCAGACGCTTACGGACAACCAATAATAAAGAATAATAAGAGCGCCGAATCATCACAGCAGCACAACCCGAAGTTAATCGGTCAATGTGTAACTCCGCCTGGGGAAGTCCGGTATAGTGTAACGGCTAACATACCTCGTTTTCACCGAGGAGCTCGGGGTTCGATTCCCCGTACCGGAGTATTAATTTTTCATCTTTTTTCATCTTTTAGACTTCTCAATTTTTTATGTACTTATTTTTACACTTTCCCTCCCCCCTGAGACTATTTCATCACTTTTACGCCCACGTTTTTCTCTCAAGAGCTTTTTTTTGCTCCCTACATCTCAGGTCGGGATTAGATATCCCAGAAGAAAGTAGCTTCTCATCGCCTCACAAAATTTCATTAGGGCGGCTTTATCCCAAAAGCTCATCATCGTCTGCTCAGGAACCTGCGCGATAAGGTTGCCGAATTTCCGCACTCCCTCGCGCTTGATGAATTGCCAGGCCTCTTCATCGATCGCGTCCGGGTCCGGTTGGAAACGAGGCTGTAGACCAGTCTTGTTCTCCAAGCATCGCGTCGCGTCGTCCAAGGGGGTTTCCATGCTTTCGCCGTCGGGAATACTCTCCCATGTGTCCTCGATAAGACTCGGCATGCTATACGGCTCTACCTGATGCCATCTATAAAGAGTCTCTAGACCAATTGTGAAAGCAAACTTCCATAAAGCCTGGCGAAAGTCACGTCTACGGAATGTAGTTTTAACCGGCAGGGCACCTGTGCCTAGAAGCTATAATTAGCATCCCAAGTTCCAAATGGGCATTGTACAGGGAAGCGCCGGGTAATGCGCAGAAACATACTATTCAAGAGGACATGCGCAACGAAATCCGCTACCTCTACCACCATGTCCACCTCGACGCGCGAGAACGCATCCCAGTATCTATCCGCCCACTCCGCATTCGGACAACGCCAAAAGATCACACCATCCTTCCCCGGGGCGCGGTAGAACAGATTCGTCGCCGTCTCGATCATAAGACAGACGCGGAGCTTCCGAGCGTCCTCCGTAGGACTCTGCTCGAAGTAAAACGGCCGCCGGAAGCAATTGGCCCCAGCGCATTCCCACACCTGCTCCGCGGCCCCGGCGAACACCGGTAGGAGCGCGACCATATCCATGGTGAAGTAGGAATTCGGCCACACGTCGTCGGCGGCGTGCCAGATGTACTTGTGGAAGAACCGCTCGATTGAGACGGGGTCTTCGGGGTCGACGTCGCGGGAGGCTACGGCCATGACCATGAGCTTGAGGTTGGATGGGTGGATCTTGCGCAGGAGATGGCTTTTCGCTATCGCGCTGGCGTGAGCGTCGAAGATTGCCTTTGCTCTTCGGCAGGTGCTGAGGGTGGCTTTGATGTCTTCGATGTCGTTCATGGATTTGTAGATCTTGATTATGAGTTCGGCTGGGAGGTGTTGGAAGAGGGGCTCTCTTGAGCGCTTCATTGTGGTTGTGGCTGTGGTTGTGGAAGGGAGATTTTATCACTTGCGCTGGGATGGTTGTTTTGGAGGATGCAGTCGAAGACGATGGCGTATATCCTTGTGGTGTGAAGAGGGTGTTATGGAAGAATATGTTAGAAGGGTTAAATAAATATAAATTCAAGGACAAGCGTGGAGTCCGAATAAATACACATTGGCAGCGGTGGAAGTCCATCGTGACTTGTAAGTTTGAATTTGCATCATAATCTCTCCGACCGAATATACTCCTGTTTCTATGGCTCACCCTATAATCCCCCTTCTAACCTAAAACCCCGTCCCTAATGTACTCTTATAACACTCAACTGACCGATGACTAAGGTCATCATAAATAAAGCCGTTATTCATTGATATCTATCCTCTATCGTGTCTGTTATACATAGACCTTTTGACCATCCCTTTTAACTACCCCCTTTAGCCATATATACCTATGAAAATTCTTGGTAAGAGATGAATCACTTTGCTAACTAAAGTGACTAACCTATGATAAATTAGTATATAAGACAGTACATCAACGAGAGTGGAAGCTAGTTCTTACATGATTTATCCTATATCTCTATCCCCTGAGCTAAAATTTAAGAGATTCGAGGTGATCTTAGCTACGAGAGGGCCTCTCAGCCGGTATTGGTAATGGGGGAGGGTCTGTTGGGGCTTTTACTGCCGGGAGGGTCACAAGAGGAGTTTCATTAGAGGCACCCGTCTCCTCAGTTTGGCTTGGCTGTGCGAGAGCATCGCAAGCTTCCCTTCCAGCCTCATCGTTAACTGGATTTCGGGATTCACCGATGGGCTCTTGTCTGTGTGTTTCTGCGCGAGCCCTTACTCGTGCTCTATAGTCGAGAATTGCGATAAAAGTTGTAATCAAGGTGAGAGAAAGACTTGAGGCGGCAAAGACGGCCTCAGCCATATTGATAGAATACGTGTCCCGTTGTGCTTCTGAGGCATTATTGTCCTCGGTGTTTATGCGTGGTTCAACTTCATAGGCATAATAGTTAGCATTACACAATATTGTGATAGATGAAGCGATATATTAGGTAGGTATATATGTTCACTTTAAGGATCAGTGACCTATTATAAAGCTGTAATGTCAACCCACTGTATCAGGTCTTAAGAAAATGCTGTTATGAGACTCCGCTAGAGCTTGAAGTAGGACGTAAAGAAAATGATATATACCAACCTGAACTTGTTGGTATGAAGGGGCATGCTGCAGTACAAGACACAGTGAACTATGTAGTGATTAACTATGGCATATCATTGAATGTGGGGATACTAACCATAAGATAGACCGAGGTCCCTAAGACCCGGGTCAGTAACATAACGGCAGCTACTGTCTTAATATTTGATAATATGGTAGTAAGAGAAATCGGCAAGAGATGGACTTCGACATTGTGCTCCGCCGCAACAATAAAGGATAATACAAGAAATAAATATAGATTCAATAAATGCTTATTTAGAAGTTGAGTGTGTCTGATCATTTCGTATAAGCAGGGACAAAAAAAACTGACCTAAAATATATAGTTAAAATGAAGAGTTGAAATATAGTATGCTCATGGGGAGGTCATCTTCTTAAGTAGGGGTCATCTACTGATCAGCAGCTTTCCCGGAATGTCTTTTTCAGTCACAGCCTAGGAAGCTGCGGTATAGAAATGGGACCTATGATATGTATTGCGACCTTCATAAGGCATTTTGCATGCATGTCAGAAGCCGAATTCCTTCGTTATTGGACCATTGGCGTCTGGTACGGAATATCAGCTCCAATGGTTTTGTTGGTAGATACCTAAACCTACTGTCAGGTAGGTATCTACCTACCTGCCTACTTAAAAGCTCTCATTTTATTCGATTTAGCAAATCGGATCGACCATCCCGACAATATGTAGGTAGATACCTAGCTATTACAAAGAGCAAATCTAGCAGAAACTAAACAATGCAGTTCGTGCCAGGGCGAGCCGCCCAGCCGCCTTGCCACCGCAAACCGCTGTTAGTATAATGCGATGTAGTCCAGATGCTGTAAATCTAGGTAGGTATGTTACCGATGCTAATGCATGCCGGTTGACGCTGGTCAGCGTGGCATGCATGAGTATAAGATGCATACTACGTATCGAAACAGGAAAGCACAGGGAAGGTTTAATCTAATTGGTCACCTAAAAGCCCCATAGCAGTCTAGATTGGGACGTTAATCCCTAGCATGCTTAGAACTTAACTTTGATGATAACAGTGCGAGAATGTACTAACATTACTGTATGATGCTGTGCCTTTCTCGATTTCTGATTTGTAGATTATTACAAGACAAGATCTCATCGCGTATCATCTTAAAATTAATCAATACATACCTAGGTACTAGGTACTTACACTATCGCCACTTACTTTAACGCTATCCTGCCATACATGCAATTTAACTTTAGAGAAAACAAATGTACATATGCATATATCTTATTTAATCCATTTATGTCTCTGTTAATCGCTAGCCCATGAAGCCCCTGGTGTTTTTAGCTACCGGGATGCTCTTTAGAAGAAGCATTAACTCGGCACTTTTTGTCTATAAAATACAAAGCTTCCTGTATTTTAATAAATGTAGCTAGAACAAAGCCAACGCACCAGAACAATGTATTGTACTGGAATGAAGGAGCAAAGAATTCCTTTCACAGAGCCAGCTTCAAACGCTGTAAGTGATGTATAAATCCAGCGACGAAGAACCTGTTTCCAGATATTCTTCCCATCAACCAACTCACTCTAATCTCCCTAATTCCGTGCAGTAAGCTATCTCCACGGGCTCTTCACATCTGCAATCCCGCAGAGATATCTTCCACTCACATCTTAGTAAACCGCAATCACATTCACTATGCCCTTCAACGAGTACCCTTCCGGCGGCGCCCGCGATCAGTGTCAGCGCATGAAAAGCCTGACTCCGACAGGGGATCGCAACGAGCTCTCCTCCCCTGCCCTAGCCACCGATAAGTCCTCGAGCCCTGAAGCTCCTCAGACAGTCTTCACCGGCGAGTACCGGGCCCCGCTCCGCGACCGTCTGCGCGCAATGCGCCAGGTACTCCACGGGAGCAAGAGCGGTGCGCCAAACGGTCCCGAGAAGCCTACGCTCACGCCCTCCCCTCTCGACCTAAACACCCCCTCTACCTCCCCTTCCATCCCCTCCCCCCCTCCCCCCACACCCCGGCGCTCGCGTCCCACCCCCCTCTACCTCGGGACCTGTCCCGGCGCTCCCATCAAGTCGCAGAAGTACCTCAACTTACCCATCAGCAAGGCTGGCACTGACTCCGACGATCTCCTCTTCGACCGCCGCGCGAACCAGCCTTCCCCGACAGAAGTCGCTACAAGCGCCCGACGCTCCGCAGACAAAGCCAACGAGCGTCAGCGCCGCCGCATCACTACGCCCGGCGCGCCGTCACCTCTCCGCTCGAGCTTCAACGCGGATGAGATGGCGGAGCTGGCTGTGCAGCTTGATGCTATGACGAAGGAGATGGCGGAGAAGAAGGATGGAGAGAAGGCTGAGCCGGAGACGTTTGTTATGGGGTTTAAACGCTCTGTGCGTTGATCTGGTGAGTTGCGTTTCCTTACCTATTTGACTTTCGTGTGTGTTTTACATGCGATGGATATTGGTAAGTAAGTAAGTGAGTCGAGGTAAGTGAGAAACGATTTGAGTTGTTTCCCCTCGGTTTACCGGACGTTACGAGACGATCGCATTGCCTACCGTAAGTACATACCTGAGTAAGTAATACATATGTAGACTGTGTAAATAGTTCACATAGCCGGTCTATGTCTAATATGAACAAATAAAAGACTTTTCATCGTATCTCTAATGAATATACGTCTTTCCGTGATAATTGTGAATGAGTTGTTTTCCGATGAAGTTGTGATTGGCTTTAACAAAGCGCCTCATTACGTCAGAGTTGTAGTTGCCCCGGCCAATCCCCGGATCGGCAAAACGCCGGTCTTCGCGCTTATCCAATAACTTCCAAATTGGGTATATAGACCCCAATATCCCGACTGACCTATCAGTTGTTCCTCGCGGGAAGTCCACTTCCTCAGAAGAGAAAGGCAAAACCACGCCACACCCTTGGTGGTCTAGTTGGTTATGGCGTTCGGCTGTAATTGAATATTTAATTGTTACCGAAATGTCGCTGGTTCGATTCCGGCCCGAGGGAACCTTCATTTTTTGGCTTTTTGTGTCCTGCTCACATGGTTGGCGAATTTTTTTAATAAAGCGCGAAATATGTTTCAGTAAAAGTTTCTTTAAGGGTTTAGTGCAAACTTGAGTCGTGATGTCTTGCATACACAATTTGATTGTCTCAGTCAACGCAAACCAACAAAAGTCTTCATGCGATATAATCATGAATCTTCAAAATCTTATCCTTGCCTTTAACTTGTCTATATTTTTACTATAAAACTTCGTGATATGATACAATTGTACTTACCACTATATAAATCTAGAAGGTAACTCACTTAGTGCGTATCTGCTTTAAACATTTCCTATTAGTTGAGTCATCTTACCATGTCGACGAAGAACTACAATACACAAGAAAATATAGGAGTAAATAGAATATGACTTCATATCCCACAATAACAAAGGAATCGAGCCACTCGAACACGGACATCCAGGGGTTGGTTTCCATAGCACACATCACGAGAAGTAGAAGACTTGAAGACTAGTGTCAGCATCAAATTACTAGCTAATCAACGTGCGCAAACAAGGGATAAGCACCTTTTCAATGCATTCAATCTGCTGCGTGATCGGTCGATCGATCACGCAAGTCGCACACCAGCCTCCTTCCGCTTCTTCGTCTGCTGAGCGGTTGCCGAGCTCATACCGACGTTCTGGCTGGCATCCAGCATGCTTTGGGATTCGCGTCGCTTTTCGTCCTCGATCTTCTTTAGTCGTTTGTCGGTCTTGCCTTTTCCGCTCCCTTTGCCGTGGAACTGGTGGCTGAGATGCTTGAACGCCTCTTTCTGGTCTAGAGAGCGGCCGAGCTCGTCGTGATACTTCAGCTCCACGTTGGGTTTGTATCCTTTGTTGAAGAGATCGACTAGCTGTCGCGACGTCTGCTGGTCGCGCATGTTGTTCTGTTGGCGCGCCCATTCCTCTCTTTCTCGGACTGACATCCTGTCGAGTCTCCCGCTGTTGCGGTCCCTTTCGCGCTGGTCGCGGGCCTGCTGTTCAATGTCTGCTAGTTTTCGTTTCTTCTCGGCGATGAATATTTGCTGCTGGCGTTGCGTTTCGTTGAGATCACCGGCGCCCGAATCCTTCAGAAGTTGACGCTCCCTTAGAAGCTGCAGTGCCGCACCGACACCAGATCCAATACTCTTCTCTTCATCAACGCCGATGATAGCCGTCTCTGCGGGAGCTGATTCTTCTCGCTTGACTCTGTCATGTTCGATATCGTATCCATCTTTCATGAGCTCGTCTTCGTCAGACTCATCCTCCATAGCTGTAACTTGTGCGTCTTTGGGTGACTTTGGTTTGCGAGGTTTGCGATCTTCGATATCTTCCTTCTTTAGACCTGAAACGAACTCCGAAATTTCGTCCAGAACGAGACCACCTTCTTGGGAACCATCCGCTTCATTATCGTCTGGTGTTTGTGCCTCTTCTCTTAATTGCTTAGCTATGTCCTCTGGGCGCATCCGCTTTCGCTTCTTCAAGGCATCTCTCCTTTGTGCAGCTAAAGTAGCCTGAAGATCTTCGTCGTCGACGAATGCCGCATCGTCGGTTTTGCGCTTTCTGTTGATAAAACCAGCGCCGGAATCTATATCCATTGACTGATCTTGGTCTGCTTCTGGTAAGGGAAATATATCATCTTCATCTACTGGCCGTTGTCTAGTCGATTTTGACTTCTTCTTTTTGGGCTTCTTGATTTTGACTTCTGAGATATCCATATAATCCGAAGCTGGTTGTTGATCATCCTTTAGAAAATCAAGGTTGATCATCTGCCGTTGCCGACTCTGCGCTTCCAGACTGCCTATGTCATTCTTCTGTATGGTATTTCCGAACCCGTCTAGTGTGAATCTTTTACCCTTCTTGCCAACGATTTCCTCGTCGTACTGACCAAGTAGACTTTGCTCCCCCGTCTCATCAATCGCATTGGGGTCGTACACGGGCTTCTTCTTTTTGGACTCAAGTTTCTTGTCAAGCTTCTCTCGTTCCCTGAGATTGATGTTCTCGAGCTCGTCGCCTTCCTCGTCATCGTCTCCCAGAATATTGGAGTCCTTCAGAGTTAAGATTTGTTCCTCTCCATCCTCGAAGGATTCAATCTCATGGCCGACTTTGACACCTGCAAGATCCTTCGACGTGTATTGAATCGCTGCCGCAGCCTCGGCTTCAGCTGCAGCTAGTTCCTGCTCCAATTTCCGCGCCTTTTCGATTTGCTTTTGGCGCTTCTTCTGACTAATCAACCATCCCTTGGTATCGAGCTCGCCCTCGTCAGCATCGCCTAATCCTTTCCCGTCGATAACCTCGATGCGTTTCGCGGCGTCGCGAGCCTTTTTGATGGCAGCAGCCTTCGCTTCGCGTTTTTTCTTGTTTTTTTCGGCATCTTGAATCTTCTTGTAGTTGTCGTAGGCGACAGCTTCTCGGCTTTCGAGGGTGCTTCCAACATCTTCGTCTGGTGTTGACGCCTTCTCTTTGAACTGAGGTCCGCTTGCGCCGGGGACGGGTAATGGCTTCATGCCTAGAGAGACACGGAGACGATTCGTCTCCTCTATCTGCGCGGCATCCATGATTGATGATAACGACTTTGACACTTGAAGATAATTATTTCGCGATTGTGATTAGAAATATTATCGGAGAGTCGTGAGAGTCGATGGTTGCGACGTGCGACTTTCGCGAATACAGTACGTACAAGGCAAAGTTGAAGTTAGATCCGTTTATCGAGTTGAACTTTACAACGTGCACGGTGGCACCTATGTACCTATGTACCCAGTGGCTAAAATTTGTGGCGCGAGGCTGGTCAGTGCTGGTAAGTGCAGCCTCAGTAGCCCCGCTTTTACGCGATCATTTCGCAGATAAATAATAAAATTTTATCGCTTCAGTTTTTTCTTTCCTTCCTTCACACATCACGGATCTGTGCCCGACCGTCCTCTGCTCGTCCTGCGAGTTCAGAGTTGATGATCGAGGCAGCTCGAATCACTTATGGAATCATCTTTACTTTTATGATGTCTATCCAATCGACAGGTCCCAGAGTAAGAAGCAGTCTGGAAAGCTCGAGTTCGCCGTAAAAAGCTGAGCTCAGTAGACCAGGCTTGCCCAGGCCTTATATTCCACCCCTCTTTTCCGAGATCATTGATCTATGAGGTTGAGGATAACCATAAGATTGCCTACATCTTATTATCTCGCCATTTAATTATTTAGTAGTCTCCTCTAGTGTCGCGTTGGCTGTTGCCGTTCTTATTACCGTGAAGCGCTCGTAGCCGAAGCTGCAATGACAACGAGAGAGTCTTGGTGAATCACGAGCTGCCGAGTTTGTCTGCTTAGTGTTGTATTAAATCTCATGTTCTTGGAGTAAGCGGTTTTATCTCGGACGCCTCGCGCGCATTTTTACATCCTTAAGCATGTCGCGCGGTGACAAGACATTGTAATAGCAGAATAGGCACGGATTCTTCGACGAAGAGAGGTTTAGCACGCTTTACGTCGGCCTGATCGCGGACAGACTAGTCGCGCGACAAGTCACGATGTTTTTCTGAAGATGTTGGCAACGCCACAAACAAAATCAAGGACGAGCTACCAAGTATGCCAAACGGCACTTGCCGTTGCCATCATTTGTTAAATCTTGACCTGAGCGGAATTCGTATTAGTCCGGCTAGTGCAGTGGATGCGGTGGATACTAAAAGCCGGCCGAGTCTCTGGGGTCGCATTGACTCTAATAGCACGATCGAGACCTTTCACAAGGTCCCGAGATCTCGTCCCAAGATATACTGGTCCTGGAACAACCTGTTATTTCTTGGCCATACATGGGATCGAAGCTATCATGATATTTATAATAGGGCTAGTCGATGAGGCTGAGACACGCCGGCCCCCCTCGGCGGTCCGATATTGGAATGACGCGATCCGTATATGAATGATTAAGCATAGTTCCATCTCCAGATTCCCCAGTCTGCGCAGAGCCGTATGCATGTGACAGAGGGTTGACCGGGGCTGCCCGTGGGTTAGCTGAATGGCGTCAAAGGGCCTCTTCTGCATTCTTGATCTGGGGTAGAGGAACAAAAGGTCCGAATATATTCCAAGAGTCTCGTCGGCATCTGGTGGACCTATCCGGAACTTGATATTTTATAATGCGCACGTGGTGGTTGTTGCGAATATTTCCAAATATTCCACAATACCTTTATGCGCTCAATTGTCGGCAATTATCAAAGTCCGAGGTGTCAAGAAGATACGTATAGGAACATCGTACATCGTACTTCGTCGCATAAGTTCTATCATGGATACAAAAAGGGGTATTTACAATTATACAACCTGGGACCCATGTGGGTGGTAAGATATCTCGATAACCGCATGATGTTTAATTATTAGCCGCTTGGGCTTAAGACGTTCTGGAATAAGTGCGATAGGTGGAATGGGTGGAATAGGAAAAAACATCGTGGGAAGCTTGTGAAAATGGAACGAATGGAACGTCCGGAACTTCAACTTGCTCCAACTCAATCTAACTCGTCTAACTCCCTAATAATGCGGGGACGATGAGGCGAGGGCTCCCCCGCACTGGGGTCATTTCTTTGCATATGGGGTTAGGTCTCATTAGGCCTCCTTGCACGTTTAAGTCAAATCCAGCCTCATAGTCCGAGTGTATTATATATCTAAACTAACCTTGGTATTCAGGGGTCCCTTTACCGAATCTGTCCATCCCGTACTTGCTCGTATGCACGCCAGTTGCAGTCTGCAGTTACTGGCGACCTACCACCCCAGAGCGGCCCGATTCTAGATTCCCCAGGTTGTCACTTGGTTGGCTGCCGTCGACACCACAAGCTCTTGGGCTATACTTCTTCAGCACAAACGTCATTTAACCTCCTGGCGGAGTTTGCTTTCACAGCGTCGCATTGGCCCCGTTTAATGCCGCCCGGCTGGCTTCCCTAGTAACGACGTTTTGACCGAGAAGTATCGCCGCAACAGGTCTGAAATTCGGCCCTACCCGCTGGTTCAGTGTGGGATACCGGTCAGGTGTCCAAAAGAGGCAAAGAGCTTCATCACGATGCTGCTGGAAAGCTTCGAATAGATTACAGATTAGGTACATATAAGAACGATCGAAGATGGACGTCTTGCAGATCTCAAGTTGGAGCATCCTCTCAAGCAACAGTAGCTCAGTCATACTGCCTATCATGCAAGGGTTCACTTCTCTGTTTCTTCTCGGCAGCGCTGCCTTCCAGACTGTCTTCGGTATACCTGGTCTCTCCGAGCAGGTCAAACGAGACCCTCATGTTCTCAAGAGGGCCGTCGATAGCTTCTTAACCACTGAGGAGCCCATTGCCCTTGAGCAGCTCTTGTGCAATATCGGATCCGGTGGCTGCCACTCTTCTGGGGTAGCTAACGGTCTCGTCATTGCTTCTCCATCAAAGAGCAACCCCGACTGTAGGAAATTCATTAGTTTCTTGGCACATCTGAACCCTTAGCTAATAGATATTTAGACTTCTATACATGGACCCGTGACGCTGCCCTTGTCTACAAGGCCATTGTCGACCGATTTGCCCACAGCTATGATGCCACTCTGCAGACTCAGATCCAGAACTACATCACTTCTCAGGCCAAGCTCCAGACTATTTCTAACCCTTCTGGTTCGTTCTCTGATGGAACAGGTCTAGCAGAGCCTAAGTACTTGGTCGACGGTAGTCCTTTCACCGGTGGCTGGGGTCGTCCCCAGCGAGATGGTCCGGCTCTTCGAGCCATTGCTTTGATTGGATACTCCAAGTGGCTTGTTTCGAACGGATACACCTCGACTGCTAACAGTGTCGTCTGGCCCATCATCGCCAACGATCTCGCCTACGTTGCTCAGTACTGGAACCAGACCGGCTTTGACCTTTGGGAAGAAGTCCAAGGCAGCTCGTTCTTCACCATTGCCGCCCAGCACCGATCTCTCGTCGAGGGAAGCGCCCTTGCTAAGACTCTCGGCAAGACCACCTCCACCTATGACGCTATTGCTCCTCATATCCTTTGCTTCTTGCAGACCTTCTGGTCTTCCAGCGGCTACGCTTTGGCCAACATCAACGTGAACAACGGCCGAACCGCCAAGGACGCGAACGTCATCCTAGCTTCGATCCACACCTTTGACCCTGCTCTCGGCTGCGACGCTGCTACCTTCCAGCCCTGCTCCGACCGGGCTCTTGCTAGCCACAAGGTCGTCGTCGACTCCTTCCGCTCCATCTACACCATCAACTCGGGTATCGGCTCAGGATCCGCTATCGCCGTCGGACGATACCCCGAGGACACCTACTACAACGGTAACCCGTAAGTAATACCTATTTCTAGTTAGTCTCTCGCATGCTTTAGTTTCTCATATTTTTATAGGTGGTACCTCAACACCCTCGCAGCCGCCGAGCAGCTCTACGACGCTCTGTATGTCTGGCAGAGCACTGGCTCCATCACGGTCACCTCTACCTCCCTCTCTTTCTTCCAGAATCTCGTCTCTGGTGTTTCCACCGGCACCTACGCCTCCAGCTCTGCCACTTACACCTCCATCTACAACTCCGTCTTCAGCTACGCTGATGGTTTCGTCGATATCGTCTCCAAGTACGCCTCCTCCAACGGCTCCCTTGCCGAGCAGTTCGACCGTGCCAGCGGTGCCCCCTTGTCCGCTCGCGACCTGACCTGGTCGTATGCTTCCCTCCTGACCGTCGCTGCCCGACGTGCCGGTGTCGTTCCGGCCGGCTGGGGATCCGGTTCTGCCGCTACCTCGGTTCCCGGCAGCTGCGCAGCGACCTCGATCAGGGGCACCTACTCCGTTGCCCCTACCCCTACTTTCCCCCCCAACCAGACGCCCATCGGCAACGGCACTGTCCCTACCTCCACCTTCACCATCCCTACTGCTACCACCACCGGCGGCGGTTGTACTGCCGCTACGGCCGTCGCCGTGACATTCCAGGAACTGAAGACGACAACCTGGGGCCAGACCGTCAAGATCGTCGGCAACGTCGCCGCGCTCGGAAACTGGGATACCAGCAAGGCTGTCGCTCTAAGCGCCTCATCCTACACCGCCAGCCAGCCTCTGTGGAAGGGCGTCGTGACTCTTCCCGTCGGCCAGGCCATCCAGTACAAGTACATCGTCGTGAACACCGACAACTCGATCACCTGGGAGGCCGACCCGAACCACTCCTACACCATCTCCCAGACCTGCTCCAGCTCCGTCACCAAGGACGTCGACACCTGGCAGAGCTAGAGGAAGAACGAAGATATGATTTCACGAGATTGTTGATTAAAATTTGGGGTTGCCCCCGTTATTAGACTGGAGGAAAACATATGGCGGAGAAAAATGAAACATGTAGTGTCATGATAGATTGTATTGCATCTGTGGCATTTTACTTACATTTACACATAATTTCTTATATATAATATATAAATATGGATGAATATATTTTTGACGTATGCCTTGTGATGGCCTTTCTGTGTTGTCTAATATCCCTGGATACCAATTAGATGATGCTCTTAAAATTGACATAGATCACAGTCGCGGTTCAAACCTCAGTCTATCTCTTCCCACCAAACTCCTCCAATCTCCTCATCACTGTCTCCACAGTCCAGTTGAACGTTTCTTCCATATCGAGATCTACGCCCCGTCCAATCTGCGCCTCAATGCCCTTCTCCTTTAGCACCTTCTCATCCAGCTTCCCTTCTACATCCCCTCCCTGAAACAATCCCGCGTGCGAAGCAACGTAGTTCGGCCACACGATCTTATCCACGTACCCCGGCGGATCGGTCCAAAAACCTTCTAGGGTTACGTACCCATCGCGCCGTTCCCGTCGTTGAGTCGCCCGCTCGCGGCTCACGAGGAGGAAGAGCTTGGTGTCGAGGAGTGCGGGAACGCCACCGGCTTCGAGTTCGGGCGAGTACAGCAGGAAGCCGTCCAGAACGCAGATACGCAGGGGAGAGGATCTCGAGTGCAGGATGGAATGTCCGGGTTGACCTGGGGAGGCCCATGAAGCGACTTTAGCTTTCGCGGCGGCGATGGCAGCATCGGAGACGGGACAGGCGCCGATGGAATTTTGGTCTTCTTTCGAGTCGACGAATGGCTGGAAACATTAGTTTGTGCGTATATGTATATGTGCGCTGCATAAGATGGGGTAAGCGAGATGGCTTTGCGCCACTGGCGCTGCGGTGATACACATAATCCGACAGAGTAAGAATATCTCAAATAAAACGCCATTTTCCTTTCAAGGAATCCTTACAGGAAAAGTGCCATGTTCCCGGATATAAGCCAGCGCCCGTGCCATGTCTGGGATTGAGATGGACTCCGCGCAGTCCCAGTCTAGCAGGCCATCTTTGGAGGGAAGTCTGTATTCCGGTATTAGAATTCGTTCATTTATTGAATTTCTCAGTTTATCTTATATCGAAGAAGATCAATTTTGAGCTTACTCGGTTTCCGGCTTATAGAAATCGTCCTCGTGTAATATGAAGGTATTGGGAAATACATCACGCAGCAACCGGGCAAGAGTCGTTTTCCCGCTGGACGAAGCCCCGCTAATGCCCACGACGAATGCTTTCCTGTCCCCCATGTCCTCTATGTCCTTTCGGCCGGTATGGCCTCACGGAACTGTACTTGATCTCGCAATATCGGCGAAGCGAGGAAACGCAAGAGAATGATCCGGTTCTCGTTTGTAATTGAAAGTGGAGATGACGCGATTGCGCTATCGACGGGCGGAAGAGGACCTAAGTCGGATCGGCCCGGGCTGAGTCAGCCGGTTACCGATAGTCTCGTTACTGCCGTTCTCACGCTAGTCAAGGTTGTAAGACTTAGGAAAGAAGTAGTTGAATGAATTTTAGATTCATATTCAAGAGTAAGAATCACATCATAGGTCATCATAAACTTCTAATCTTGGTCTAGGAACGTCATTATTCATTAGGCAATTACACAGGGAGCCACCTCAAACGAAGCTCCGAATACATTTTGCCGATACAGAGAATAGGCTTCCTTGAAAAGGAGCTAGATATATGAAACGATGATACCATCTCTTACTTCCCATACTTCGCGTTAAGTTTCCTCATAATCGACATCGCTCCGCTCCTATACCCACCACCAAACAACGCCCAATGATTCAAATGATGATATCTACTCAACCGTTAGCCCAACAACCTCATCAGGAATCTCACGAAGTCGTTACTTACAGCTCATAAAGCGCAACCCGATCCTCCCACTCCCCAACCGGCTCCGCCTTCGGCACCAAGCTCTCATACTCCTTCCAAAAGCCCCCTCCAAAACCCCCAAACATGCGCATAATCCCCAACTCATACTCCGAATGTCCAAACACAGCCGACGGATCGAAAACAACCTCTTCCACGCCTCCCTCCCCGGCAATCCTACCGCGCCCATGATTCCCACTCCACAAATCGCCATGCACGACAACCGGAACCACGCCCTGAACCCTCCCCTCCCCAATCAGCCGCGGCACAACAACCCCCGCCGTCCTCTCCACCGCACTAGCTAACTCCGCATCCGCGCCGTTCGCACGAATCCCCTGCTTGAGAATAGCTCGCAGCCGATTATTCGCGTAGAAGTCCGCCCAGTCGCTCCTCCAGCTGTTGTCCTGCGGCGACGACCCGCAGCACGTCGTTACGGGGAACCCGAACATCGGACGCTCGAATCCTTCCGGGACAGGGGCCGGTGTCGTGTGTAGTTTTGCTAGCTTTTGCGCGAGGGAGAGGCCGGACCCGCCGGGCTGAGAGGAGTTTAGCTCGAGGAAGTCGGTGGCGAGAAAGAATTGGTTTGGGAGGGATTGGCAGCGCCCGTTGGCGTGGGATTGCGGGCAGAGGTTGGGGACGATGGTGTGGATTGCGTTTAGGGAGGCGTGTTCTCCTGTTTTGTCGTTAGCTAGGTCTTCCTAAGAGGAATTCATCTAGTTGGACCTTTGAACATCAGCTCGGAGTCTGCTCCTGTTCCAGTTTTGACGAAGTAGTTCTTCTCTTTCCCGTTTACTGTTGAGCTTAGTTTGAAGGTTGAGGCGAACCCTGAGCCCCCGTGTGATGCTATCTTGGTGGCTTTGGGGTCTAGGCCTAGGGCTTCGAGGATGGCTGGATCGACTTTTGCCGCCATCGTCGTCGATTTTCTCCAGAACTGTGATTTGAATGAGTTTACTGATGCGCGATTAAGCCCCACGATACTCTGCATCCATTCTCCTATCACTAAGTTAAGTAGATCTTTGTATGCGGAACTGTTGAATTATTAGATGTTCGATGAGATCAGTGACGTCACTTCAGCTGATTGTCTCAAGCTTGGCACTTCTAACCAATCAACTGGAGAATTCAAATGCGAGGCACGCGACAAGATCCTATGTAAAGGGACCTGAGGTAGTTGTCAAAAAATCAATTAAAGTGGTAATTCCAATGCTAAGTTGGGGTATCTTGTTCGGACCTTCCACTGAGCGAATAACACAGAGCTGAAGATCGGGAAGCAGCCGTACCTAGGTCCTAGGGTGTGGTGCCACAGCGGAAGCTCTATCGATAAGCCACCGAACGCCATCAAAACTCCCCGAGGAGGACAAAACTCGGTAAGGTCCAAAACTTTCCAGGGATTTTGTTCGCCTTTTCCTATTTTCTCACCCTCATTACATCATGTCCACACGCCTTATTCCATAGCTATTCCCTCCGGAAATATACGACCGCGCGTTAATAATCGGTCATCAAAACTCCCCTGCGCCGTATTTTCCTCCATCCATCGCGTCGTTCAATTAGGAAATCGTGGTTGCAGGGATGCGTAAGGCGCTGCCTTAGCCCCGACGATCTCTTGGCATGTCGATTAAACTCTTAAACTAGAGTTTCGACACTCATTCGCTCTGACGATTGCGTAGTTGATGTCGAGCATAACGGTGCTAGATCCGAAGCGATGCTTGCCCTGCTTGGTTTTCGGGCTAGGCCGGTGGCTTGCTTGTACCACGGCTTCTTGACAGGAGTGATGTCGGTGGCGTCCTTCTCATTCGATTGTGGTACTGGCTTCTCGATGGAAGAAGCTGTGTTCTTGCTTTTTCGAAGCGGTAGGATCTCGCCAGGATCGATTGGGTTGGCGGATACTTCTTGGTCGTGGCCGGTGCCGTTGAAGCATGCCGCACACGGACAGATAGGCACAGTGGGCTGAAGACGGGAGGGATGTGCTGTCTGACTACGCCACCAATCTCGAAATTCGGATTTCCCCATTTTGTGATATGTTGTTTAGTAAGGTACCAATGTAGGTATAGGTAGGCAGAGGTAGGTACATATATGTAGGTATGTATGTGGATATGCTCGTACGTTGTCGTCCGATACGGTGTGTTTTAGGTGAAGGTCGATTTAGAAAGATTTAGGTTGAGAGAGTTCAGAATTGATATGTCGAGGTATGAAGAACAAAGGGTATTTCACTAGATACCGGAATTAGAAAAGAAGTTTGCTTAGGTGAGAGAAAAGTAAGTTTCATTTATATATATTTATCTGCACTGAGGCTCTGCGTCAGTATGATACCCGAACCATCCCGGCCGTCGCCACTAATTCTACCAAAAATCTCCTTAGCCCCGAACGACTCACTCAACTCTGCAAGGGTAACAATACCAAAAACATCTTAATCTATTGACCTGAGTAATTACTTACTCATATTAACACTTTCTACTCATGGATAGAATCCTTCGAGAATTATAGGCAAACTGACAAGGCTACTACAACAGTTTGGGTAGCACGAAGCCGCTCCTTCAAGTTTGCATCTATTGGGCATTGAGTATCTACCTACCTACCTATTTAAATAGATGTACAACATTATCACCAATATCTCGTACTCGTTTCCAAGTACGGATCTCTGTGCATCAGAGACGTTGTATACTGCTACCTTCGAGAATTCCATCTACTGGATACAATGGATGCCGTCCGTTACACGCGCAGACACGTCCCGGTGAGCCCCCACATCGTGGATGTAGGATGCATATGTACCGGCGCGGCGGTGGCCAATACCCTGGATGTTTCGCATTAGGTCACTGCCATTGTTACCTGTTTGCTTGGGGGCCTGCAACTGTAACATTGACTCAATTGTCTTTTGGATTGGTGACGGTTTGAGATTCGTGACCTAGAAACAATTGTTCTCGCGGATAGGTACAGGATAATGGAAACGGGAACGGTACGCGACGCTTCCAGAAAAAAAAAAACTCCATCGGTCAGATCGCGGACTTAGTTCGGAAACCATTGCGAAACCAAAATCTCACTGACAGGGCGCACAGCGCGATTCGTAGAACCTGACAATTAAATTCTCCGGTTTCACTGCAACGAATGTCTATCGAATCATTCTACATATTGCATCAGAATAGGGGCTTTTACGTTACTGATAATGGATCCGCTTAGTCATCGTCCATGATGCTTCAGACGACACCTCTTCCATTTCCAGGCATATTTTATGACGATTCAACTTACTTGAGATTAGAATTTTGAGAGGTTTTCATTACTAGGCGGAAGCGAATATAAAATGCTTCGGAAGTCATAGTCTTGGAGATATCCATGTGATTTGGGAAATCTTCGATGCTCTAATGGCACTTAAAGGGAGATTTCTGGGATTATTTACGACCAATGTCTTATCATGTGCTATAGTGAAGGTGGCGGTTTAAGCTAGATCACATTAATATCATAAAATCTTTAGGATGGTGGTTCATATATCTGGGCTGAAGGTTCTTCATGTGAATGATAGATGTATGTAACTTCACCGTCCATCTCCATGGTGGAAAAGGGCTGTGATAGAAAAATAGGTAGTAATTCATTGTTCGATTTATCCGAGATGGAAGCTTCTTAAGACGTCTCACTTGTTTCATCATCCCATTATCATAGAAGATCATCTAGAATCTCCATCATTCTGTCTCTCGTGGGGATGCATCAATAAAAGACAAGGTGGGGATAGCTTCAAAAAGGGAATTGGAAAGTTAGAGAAGGTCTGTAAAGCACAGAATAGGCTGCCTATGGTCCCCTTTAAAGTCGAAATAATTTCGTGAAATGTACTTAATGTACTCAATGGAGTATCTAGGCAACAAGACAATGGGATACATACGGTATGTTGCTAGTGCTGCCTCTGGAGTGATTTATCGACAAGAATAGGAGACAAGAATAGGACGCGTGACCTGAGTCTACCACAGGACAGCCAATTGAGCCGGTGTCGACTTTCAAGGATGACTTTTCTTTTCCTCGTCCCCTACCCTCGTACTCAAATCAACCTCACGCCTTTCCCACCTGGAAATTCGTTCACTTACTTCTCTTTCCGATTCCGAGCTTCGTCAAGTTACCAATCTTCCCACTCATCACTTTTTTCACAACTCTTCCTACTCTTCTTCCACTTCCTACTCTTTCTACTCTTCTTCCTCTTCCTTACTCCTCAATCAGAGAGATCTTACCTTCATAACCATCACTGCACTCCTCCAATTCTTGAACCATTCATCCTTCAACTTGACAATTCTCTAGCTTGATACACTTCGCTTTTGAAGGTGATAGCTTCATAGTGCACTGCATATTTCTCAATCCTTCCTTCGCCTCTCTTTATCACAACCATTCTTCTAAACTCAGAAAGACTTTTCTGAAATACTTCATCCTCTTAACTTATACACCCATTGCCATCACAATTGGCCATTTAGATACATTGTGCCTTACCTCTGACATCTCCGGTCGAGCTGGCAAATCATCAACTTAAGACACAATTCTTCCAATAGCCAATTCTCTTCGACACTTACTCGGAATTCAATCTCAATCTCAATCCGACTCAATCATCGACAATTCCAACCTCTAAACACAACCTTCAACAAGAAGACCACACTTAACGCAATACAATTGCACTTATAAAACTTGTAGCTTCCATCTCAAACACTCAGCTACCAGAAACTTGCGTCGACAACCAGCAAGCACCAACAAACACACCACAGAGCTTTAGAACCAGAAACTCAACAGCTCTAGTCAATTACTTAGCAACAAGACGCTTAGCAACAAGACAAGCAACGACCAATTACAACCACAAATTACAACTCTCAACCTCTACAACAAAAACAACTTACATAAAACCCACCATCACCAAAACAACAATCACAATGTCCGACCGACGTATCTCAACCTACTCTCACCCAGCCTACCCTCTCACCACCACCAAAGGCATCCTCAGCCCCTCCTACCGCGCCAACCGCGCCCGCGCCCACACCCCGTGGTACCAGCGCAGCGCCTCCGCGCACCACCGGCCCCTCGGCGCCTTCGCCGACACCCAGCCGTACACGCCGGCGCACTCCTTCAACCCGAAGGCAGAGGGCGAGTACGAGCGCGAGGAGGCGCGCAAGCAAGCAGAGTGGCTCGAGTGGCAGGGCCATCTCGCCACGACGGGCGGCCCGCCGACCGCTTCCCTCGCAAGAGCCCGGGTTGCGGGAGGTGATGGAATAGAGAGTATTGGACTCTGCGGCGTGGTGCAGAAGTGGTACTTAGCAATGATGGTGGTGATCATGGCATGGCTCGCGGCTTTCGACGAGGTGAAGCAGAAGTACGCGGTGATTTTCGACCGCTGGTATTGGTTGCGCCTGACGGCGTACCGGCAGAGTCGCTGGCCGTGCACGTTTCGGGACATCCGGCATTGGATCAAGATCCTTCTCATCGTTGCTTTTGTGACGTTCGTGGCGAAGAGCGGATGGGATGAGCGGCGCGCTTTGGCGCGGGATGAGCCAAGTGTGGTGTATCGTCCTCTGCGCGAGTATCAGATCTGGTCAGTGACGAAGCCTAAGTGTTCCGTCCAGTGCCGTGCTCTTTGCGACGCACCCTGGGAGCGAGGAATGGAGGACTGAATAGAGGGATTTGGATATCTGGTGTTCTGGCTAGGAAACCTTGGGTTTAGAAATGCGTTGCTATTTCGCTGTCTCTAACCCCCGATGACGACGATACCCTATAGATTCGGTTAGTTGTTCAGGTTTCTAGATACACAGAGGAGAGCCAGGCAAATCCTGTTAGTACGGGTTGTCTTTAATCCGTAATCGTTATTAGATAGTCAGTCACAAGCGCAATAGAAGGGCCAATTCATCTGGAAATGCAATTCCATTCGGTATGAGATCGCAAGGGAAAGATCAAATGCATGCAATAGTTAGTGACAAACCCGCCCTTGCTCTATTTGACAACACCTCCCTCCATTATCACAAATTCCGGGGACCATTCCCTGGAAACGTTAGTACAGTCTATCAGACCAGTTTCTATACCGAGCGTCTCTTAAATACCCAAACTGAACTCGACACCAACGTCAATATCACGTGCTATATGAGTGTTAGCTTTGAATCCGACATCATCTTGTATCGTCTCGTATGTCGTAACATGACAGTAAACTCACCCATCTTTACAACCTTCGAGAGCTGTACCGACTTTTCAGCGGCGCTTTGGAGGTCATCAATGGAGAAGATCTTCATTCCCGAATCGTTAATCAGTTGATGAGCTTGCTCCATGTTGGTTCCTTGCAGACGAGCAATGATAGGGACCTTGAGGTTAAGAGTCTTGGCGGTGTTGATGAGACCGTGCGCGATAGCGTCGCATCGTACGATACCGCCGAAGATGTTGACGAAGATGGCAGTAACCTTGGGGTCGCTGGTGATAAGCTCGAAAGCCTCCTTGATAGCAGCGGGGGTAGCACCGCCACCGACATCTAGGAAGTTAGCAGGCTGACCACCGTTGAGCTTGATGATGTCCATAGTGGCCATGGCTAGACCAGCACCGTTGACAAGGCACCCGATGTCACCATCGAGCTTGATGAAGTTGAGACCAGACTCGGCAGCACGAACTTCCTCAGGGTCTTCCTGAGTAGTATCGCGCCATTCGAAGACCTCCTTCTGTCGGTAGTCGGCGTTGTCGTCGAAACCAAACTTAGCATCCATGCACATAACCTGGTGGTCAGATGTTTCGGATAAGGGGTTGATCTCGATCTGAGTAGCATCCTTCTCAGTAAAGATCTTGTATAGCTTCTGGATGGTATCCTTAGCCTCCTCGATGCACTGCTCGCTGAAGCCAAGCTTGGTCGCAATATCACGAGCAATCTCGTCAGTAACACCGGTCTTGATGTCGATGTAGTTAGTGTTGATAGCCTCGGGGTTCTCCTTGGCGACAGTCTCGATATCCATACCACCTTGGGAGGAAGAGACAATGACGGGGCCTTGAGAAGCACGGTCCATCAGAATGGCGAGGTAGAACTCTCGGCGGGCGAACTTGCGCTCGCAGATGTAGACGGAGTTGCAGAGGCGGCCAGCCGCACCAGTCTGCTTGGTAATGAGCTTGTGGCCGATCATCTGTTCGGCGAACATCTTGGCCTCGGTAGGCGAGTAGATGACACGGACACCTCCCTTCAACCCATTGTCGAAGCTACCTTTTCCTCGTCCACCGGCCAAAACCTGGGCCTTGATAACCATATCCTCACCACCAATCTCCTTCGCTACCTTCTCAGCCTCGGCGGCAGTCTTCGCATTGTAACCTATCGGGGCACCAATGCCATACTATAATACCGTGTTAGGAAATTTGCGGATCGTGGCATTGAGTGATATTTATCATGTACCTTTCGCAGAAGGTCGGCTGAGAGATATTCGTGGATACTCAGATTTCTTCGCTGTTGTTGGACGAGGTTGGGGAATCTGGTAGCGGGAGAGAAAGCAGTCTAGCATGAATAGGTGTTATATTAGCACATGTTACTATGTTACTGGATACAGGTAGCTATGGATCTTGGTGGATATCATCGCATCAGCAGTTTGGTCCAACTTGCCTTAGACGACCGCAGGGCAGAAGCCGCAGCTCTACTGCGAGCGAAGTTGAACATGATGAAGAGGAAATATATGAGCCTCAATTGACTAAATAGCTCAAGGAAAGTAGAGCACCAGTAGTTTACCCGAGAAAGGGGAGAAAAACGAGGTGTTTTATTGTGGCTGTGATGCTATCGTCAAATTAGAAAACAGTTGGCCCCGGCCATTAGGGAGAGCTCTTTTCCGGTAGAAAACGGGAAAATCCGGTCAGGATTGTTTGTCCGACCCACTTTCGCGGTGAACTGCAGCCCAGATGATGTCGGTGCATGACTTCAGCGGCATGTGCTTACGGCTTGGAATAAGCTTTTTCCGATACGCTACCCCCCAAACATGTGTAAATTCCAGCGATTCTGAAATTCGCACTGTGTCACTATCTTATCGCCAATGGTGGGCTCATCTCGTCACTTTTTCTTCCCGAACTTGAACATCAAGCTGGCAGCGTAACTCCAAACTGGACTGTCGCTACGGACACCATACATACATCATGATCTGGCGATAGTATAATCTACCCATAGATACCCCTCTCATTCTAGAGAAACAACAAACTCTACCCAACACCATGGCGCCTCCCACCAAACCCTCCGTCTCGAAGGGCACCAACCCAGCCCCCGACTTCACCGTGAACATGAACCGCATCCAGACGCAGCTCCAAGCGCGCCTCAAAGCAGTGCGCTCCTTCCTCCCATCGCGCCCCGATCTCCAAACTTCCACCTCCACCTCCACCGGGGGATCATTTTCCGCGCTCAGCTCCTCCAACCCCTCCTCTCACCCGCAACCCCAAGCCACAACCGCAGAAGCGCGGCGCGCAGCAGCCGAAGCCGAGTTCGCCGAAGACCGGAACCTCGACCCGAACGTAGGAATCGGGCTCGCGCCTACAAGCAAAAATAGCGACGCTAACGGACGGGACCGGGACACGGCGCGGTTACGCGGACGGCTATTGGGCAAACGCGGGAAGAACGGTGAGATGGTTGAGAAGCGCTGGGTGCGGAGGGAAGAAAGCAGTGATGAGGAAGCCGGACGGAGTGGGCTGGGGCGGACGAAGAGGGGTGGGAAGGGGAAGAGGTCGCGGGCGGAGATGGAGGGTGAGGATCGTGTGGAGGGGGAAGTAGCGGGAGTAGCGCTGCTGGAGGTTGGGGCGCTTGATGAGGAAGATGGTAATGGGCTAGTCAAGCCCATTGATCAGGCTGGGGATGTGGAGGATGATGTGGAAAACCCAACTCCTAAACCTACGGAAGCCGAGTCGAGCACGCCTGCCGAAGGAAATTCGGAGAAAAGGCGGAAGAGGAAAAAGAAGAAGTCAAAGAATAAAACTAACGAGGCTTGATATATCGATCATGAACCACGTCTCCATATGAAATAAGTCCTATGATACCCCAGAGCATACATACTATTAATCACTTTAAAAAACACGATGGAGTGTACAGAGATTAAGTTTATTCAAGAGCCATAGCGACCCTATCCCTACTTGTGCGTTGAAGCATTTGCTCCGAAATTAACCACCCCGTAAGAGTACATGATTAGGAACTCCGCGAGCGTAAATGCGCGTAGAGCATTGAATGATTTTACCCCAATGGTTCCTACCCTCTCCCTCCGAACCGGCAGCAAGCTTATGTTCCGTATTGTACATACTCGCGACGGCCTGATTCAGACGTCCTCGAGTTCGAAACTCCCCAAATGAATGGAATAAAGTGTCTGGCTTCACACCCACTGCTGCCGCCACGACTAAGGCCATCCCTAGTAATATTCAAATAGCCAATGCTTTTGGTATTTTGATAAGAAGGTACAGAAATATCGAAAATGGAAATATAACAATAAGATGATGAAACGATTTGCGAATCAAGCACAAAAGAGATTCGTAATATGCGTAATAGATAATGTCGTATAACGTAGCCATAGCGTGTCGTCTGCTAGCTCCTAAAAGACTCGTGTATTCCGCATCAATCGTTCTATACAAAAACAAATGGCCTACCGCTTATGGTATAATGTGCGACAACGCTTTCATGACACGAACTACAGGACATTCGGAGTCCTTTGATACAAATCATTGCATCCGCTTGCGTTTCCGGTCATCGTCCCCCCGGGGATCATCCTCATCATCCCGCTCCACCGTGTCGGTAGGGTTAAGGATGTGCGCCATACTTCCTCGTCTCGTCGGAGGGGCCGACATGTCTTTGATTGCAAGATTTCTATTATCGCGACCAGCCGAATTCCAGGACCAATTATTTAAGCTTTCCAAGCCGTTTCCTATATTGCCGTTTGAGAAAGGGGCCGGCGGAGTCGCAGGTCGCGACAGCGAATAGTGAGGTGGCGGGTCACGGATTCGCTGCTCTTCTTGCACTGCCCGGCTAGGGGAGGATGGCCAGTGAGCTGAAGGCGGGCCGGACGACACATACGGCGGCGGATTGGGTTGCCATCCGTGAGCTCGGATGTCAGCCGAGGTATGCCGCCTAGACAAGCCACTTGGTGGTGGCTCGACGGTCGCAAGTGGATGAGGCGCGGCAGGTGGCGGTGGTGCCTGAGATCGAAGAGGGGACGGCGACGATTGAGTGGTGCTCCCTCCAATCGACCCATACGATCGACGTGAAGATGAGGTTATCGAGAGTCCGGAAGGAACTGGCGGTCGATAGAAATTGGCTCCGCGAGATTGATGCACACCTAATCTCCGTTGATCGTCCTGCGCCAGTTGCCTAGGGGACACAGGGGGGTTGTCAAGATTTGCGAAAAGTTGACGGCTATTCGGGAATGGCGGCTCATGCGGTTCGTCGATGGAGCGGACAAATTCAGTTTGGCGTTGAATTTCCCCTTGCAGCGCAAGGACTGCAGCTGTATTAGACTACCGGATGTCCCTTGGTCTGTGCATGGAAAGAAACTTACCGTCTCTATGGACTGGATTCTCGGGTGGAACCAAACTCAGAACCGTTCTCGATAATTCTTGGTTCAACTGGAGTAGGCGGTTCATGGCATCCGTCATCGCCTGTTGTTTCACATTCATATAATGTGCGTTTTCTTCGCTGCGCTGCAACCTCGAAGTTAATTCGTACAGCGAGTGCTCGACCCCCGCAAGCCGGGGATCTGAGCCGTCGTGGATAGGTGGCATGGGTTCCGCCGGAGTGCCGGGTTGCGACGGGGTGGGTTTCTGGTTATTATATTCCCGGTGGACCAGTGCGTGACGAGATGCTCGTCGTTTAATTTCACGCAGCCCAACTAAATCACCCCTTTTGAAGTTCCCGTTGCCATGCTTAAATTCCCACAACGCGGTTTCTGGGGACCCCGTGTGAAATACATCGCTTACTACAACATTCACTTGGTTAGCCAAATGAACCATTAGCTAGCAACAACCGACATCTCCTCGCGTACCTTTATGAAAGCCATACATATTAAGCTGTCTCACAAAGGAGGAGATGTTCGTATGTTTAAAATATTGACTATTACCCAATTAGTCTCGCTGCCGTGTCCGTGCAAAGATAGAGGGCGTGCGTACGCTAGGACTTTTGAGAAATCATGCGAGGGCGACATCACGAAGCTCTCGGCAGTACTCGACCAACTTATCAAGTGTTGTATATTCGGATCTTCCAACATGCTATGCCATAGTTAGTAATTAGGCCGACACCAATGTTCGAAATATTTGAAATATTCGGGATACTCGAAAAATACTCGAAATAGTCGGATTATACACACTTGTAGAGTTTGTGAATGAAGGCAGTCTGTACTATTTTTGGCTGGTGAACAGCCGCAGCAGCAGGCGCAGGCATTGTAGTAGAGGCGGGGTTCGAATTCAGATCTCCCGAGAGCGACACGTTTTGGCGATCGTTAGAATCGCTACCTTCGCCGTCGGAACTCTTGCGAGCACTCTGCGGGGCTGAGGAATTGGTAGGTGTGGTGATATCCATAGGTTCACCCGATGGCGAAGGTGCCGACATCTTTATGGTTGGTGTTGGCGTTGGTGTAGGTCCGGTTATGATTGGAATTGTACGTGCGCCCATGCTTTCATCCGCTTTATTACTGTGGGTGTTTCGCGGCGCACTCTCAGTCGCAACGTCCATCTGGTCTGAAGACAATATAAAATCAAATTAGCAAGGTTAAAAAAAGGAGAATGATCGAGACAAGTAACAGGTAACAAAGAATGACCCAAGACCCCGACGACAGGGAAGCGAATCGGATTTCTAGAAAGTACGGGACAGCGAAAGGACGAAAGGACGAACCGCATTGCTTCGATTTCGCAATTGTGCACGCTTTAGGGGTTTTCTAAGGGATCTCGATTCTAGCTTTGGTTCGTAGTTGAGGTCTAGCTGCTGGCTGCCGAACATCTGACATGGGGTCCCTCTCGACGTAATTGTCGCGGGAGTCAGCCTTGCAGGTCTAGAGATTGTCGGCCAGCTGCTGCTTGTCGCCGCCGTTATTTCTGTCGATGGTGGGGGTTTGACAAAGACAGGAGGTTTGAATGTGGCCTCGCAATTTGATGCTCCGACCAAGATTGAAAGGGGGGAAGTTGGGGCTAAGATGTAGAAGCTATTGTATGCTGGTTAGAAGCCCGGCAGTATTTGTGGATCTGGAAAAGAGGTAAAAGGTAAGATATTCCCAATTTGCGAGAGTGTGATGGATGTAGATAGAGAGAAAAAGTAGAGGTACGTATATTGACAGGCTGTATGGATAGATGTACGCATGTACTACATTGTATGGTGGCTCGGGTCGTATGTATGTACGTAGTTGCAAATGGAAGGTAGGTGTGGTCCCCAGGTGGTCCTTCCCTTTGGCGAACTCGGGAACAGGGACTAATAATGTACCTAGGCAGGTTCAGCCCAGACCCGGCTGGTCTGTGTGTCGCTGGGGTATCCACACTTCTTGGGGGGGAAGAAATACAAAGGTACAATATCCAGGTAGATACATGATACCTCCACATCCACGAACATTTGAATCCACACATCCACACATCCACCCATACACACATACTACGTACATAGTACACATCCACACATATCCACACACAAAAGCAATCAGACATGGAACCATTGATGGAAGCAGACAAGGGAAGGATCGGGAGTTTCAACGCAGAAACTTGAGATGAAGTGAGCCCTAGCTAGATGTTGCCAAGGAACATGTTGTACAATGCAACTCACCAATGGCGATCTACCAAAGCTGACGCAAGATAGGTGCATTGCATATTCTTTTCTCAATCATATGTAGTATATGTAGCATATGTAGCCTGCTCTCGTAATAGAAGCCCTATGTGGCATGTAAGAGAGATGAATGACTGAAAAAAAAAAATATTTATACAATGGGTAAAACGGACATGCCTCGCGACTTTGGCCCCCAGATAGGACAGAGAGAGGGCAGAGGGGGATATGTGCATGCATCCATGGATGTCGTATGCATAGTTGAATGAGTTCCTCTAGAAAAAGAAGTCTATGCCGAGCCCTGGTTCCGCTTTGGGGGGTTCTGCTGGATCCAGGATCCTTCAATTCTGATGTCTTGGCCTAAATCGACTAGACAAGCTAGCAATGTATGTACGTATGTCTATCTGTTCGTACTGGGTATGCTAGGAAAATATGAAGATAGGGGGGACCCTGACTGCCTGGCCGGGTAAGAAGCTCGGTATTATCTGTCTGCTATTATTCTGCACCTCTTATTACTCGGATCTTCGGATTGTTAGTTGTTGGTCTAATAAAGCGCCAGAAGCACCAAGAGGATATTATAATAATGGGTCGTCAGATAGCTGCTAGCTTCTTGCTGACCTGACCCTCTTAAGGAGGAGGAATTGCAAATGGTGGGACAGTCGGTCGTATTATCACATAAGTATTTCCCCTTCTGCGTTGCTTCTAGACTTCTAGAAGAGTTTTGGTGTGAGCGGGGACGAAGGGAATTTGCAGGCTGTTGCATGTATCGCCTAACAACGAAACGAGGACATGTTTCCATACAGTACCTACCTACCTAGTTAGTATTTTAGCGATAGGTGCAGCCTCCTTTGCCAAAGAGAAATTAGGACACAAAAGCAAGACAGCGACTTTGAAAATGGTGCAAGTAATGTTTACATAGATGGAAACGCCAAGAGAAAAGCTATTAACGTTGCGCGTTGGAAGTTAATAGTCGTACCGAGGCAGAGGTTCAAATAATTAAAGTAAAGGGGTTTTCCTTCCTTCCAATAGAATTTTCAATAACGTTAGTCGACCAAATAGCATTAGATGTACACAAAGTACAATCCATTATGGATACCTCTATAACACTAGACGATACTTCTTCATACCTTCCGTTTATTCTATGATAGCCATTTCGCCGCTCGCGCATTGACTTGGAAAGATTTGTTGCTAGCCTAGAACCCATTTGGAACCCATTGGAAACTCTCCGGGCGCCATTGACACTAAAAATGTCTAAAAATGCCGTTAGAGACAGTCTTGATTCCAGATGTCTTTAGGAGGAATACATAACAGAAGTAAATCGAAAGTAAAAGTACTCCCACGGGTACCAACCTTAAAGTAGGTAGTAGCGGCCGGGCTCTAAGGGCGCTAGGTGGCATAAGCGGAATCTGATCCACGGACCGCAAGGAAGGAACCAGAGCCGGTATTATTACTCACATACGGCACTCGAAAAATCAGTTATTACATACAGCATCTTAAGCTATTATCAGTTTGACTTTAGATCTCAGATCAGATCAGATTAGAAGCTAAGCAAATTTACCCCCGTCACCTTTACACTTTTATCCTACACTGACACTTCGGAATTTCGACTATTGTCTGATGAACTCAAGGTTCCGATATCCTTACGCTATATTCCATTCGGATGAGAGAAGCGGATAGAAAGACAAAAGAATTTCCAAGCTCGCATCAAATAATGATTTATTAAATGACGCCACTATTAACTCGTCACTCACCGAGACGTACGATGGATGCTATTTACATACATGCAGATGCTTTAGAAAAGATTATACTACGTGTATTTGTTTCACTCGGACGGCCAACGCTGATAATGATTTATAGTCAAACGAATATTCGCTCCTGGATACCCTAGATATTTATTTTATTATGCGCTTAATCTCACAAGCCATATACGTACGTACGTACGGACATATTATACATGACTAAGTCTGCATGGAATGAATCGGGGGTCATTCCAATCCACTAGCTCATCGGCACGTTCCCTCGCCAATTACAATGACGGTAACGGAACTTCTTGCGCTTCTTCAGACTTAGACCAGGCGATGCAGCTTGGGGGCACAACGCCACTATAATTCAGCTCCTTCAACCCACACCATTGAGAATATAGCCAATTCACCATTTTGATTGGCTAGCCTGTCAAATTCCTTCAGCTACGAATCTCTTCGTATTTAGAAAACGCTGTCGAGGATTTATTACTGAAGAATATACGACTTCCAATCAGCTGAACGACCCCACGTTTGACAGGGGCTCGTCATTCCGAAGATGCGAATTGCAGGGATCCGTGTATACTGTTAAGTCTCAGTCTCACTGAAGGCCATTTGAGACGTACGCTGAGTGCAACATGATAAGCCCTATTTTGACGGACATGGGCAAAGTCCAGAAGCCAACCATCTTCTAAGATCGTACCGTCTCAGCTTAGGCCAGTTATCGGAACCTAGACCCCATGTTTCATAACCCTCTTTTTGGGAGACTTGTGGCTGACTGAATATTCGACGATTCAATTTCAAATCTTACATCAGTTATACAGACCTTCAACTATTACCTAAAATTTAAATACCTAGGTAGGTACCCAGAAGTTATCGGGTAGCGTTTCGTTAAGTAATGCGCATTGACAGTTGACGCAATTCGCAGACAGACGTCGATCGGACAAACGAGAGAAGTTCGTGGGGTTTAGCATGACGGAGATCATGAACCACTGATGCCATTGGGGTTTGGTGCAATGTCGATTGTTCCAGGCGCGCCTAATGGCAGGATGTTCGATGTTTCTATTCCAAGTCTATTCCAAGTCTTCTACCCCTTTTCCTTACTTGTCAGCCTGTACGGATCCGTGCATATTTATGAAATACAGGCTTCGAACCTTGTAGCTCATCAGACACTCACCATCCTGGCCTCCAAGTTTCTCCGGTAGACCCCCAATCCGCCCCCAAGTGGAGGAGCTGCATCTACAACGCCACACGTATAATTCTCGACTTTCTAGAGCCACCTAGCAGGTTTATTCGGGAGTCTCGGTTAACTAGTTCTGTGACACTGCAGACCTGACGCAGGTTAGGTTACTTATTTATAGCAAGCCCTTCTTTTCCGCTTCTTCTTTTAAATCACCTCATTGGCCTACTTTGTTTCAACGACACTTCACACGCATGAGGACTACTACCAAGTAGAGGGTAGTTCTGATCGACATACACGATTTATAGATAGATGGTATTAATACGTATATTATAGGACTTTCCCCGGGCCGACACGCTACTGTCCACGGCAGAGTTGATTCTTGCCGTTACGGAGAAAGCATGCGGGCTTAAATCCTGATCCACCCATGCTACCCAACTACTTCTATAGGATGAAGCGAGCTTGCGTGTTCACGTGCGTCGCCGTTGGCCCGCATCTTGGTCAGCCTGCAAGTAATAATTTGCGACGAAAGCGGCGATAGTCCTCGGATATGTGAGGCCTTGTGCCTGCGTTAGCTCACACATGGCTGATCTTCTATGGTAACACCTTTCGATTCATTCCAAATTCAGCACTAAGTTGGCACTCTGGCCACTTTTGATTATAGTCTAAGCACCTAAGCCTTACTGCGGTGCTACGTCCTTATTCTCTGGCGATTCATCACGACTCTAAGCTATTTTATCTCGCCTACAACTACTATAATTATCCAGCCAAGGCTATCATGTCTGCATCGATATACCATATCGTTCCATCGCCAGTCATTCTGTGGGGATTGGGTAGTACAAGGAGGATCCATACGAATCTATAAGCCCGAGAAGCAGGCTTGCGTGCTTTTATTATTACTACTGTCACAGCTCGAGGGATCTCAACGCAGGTACTGGATGTTTCACGTTCTGCTCAATTCGGAATAGCATGGTGAAAACGACTATCTGCGTTGGGTGTCACAGGAGGACTAAACCAAGCATGTATACGACTGCAGATTGTACGCCCAAGTACGTGGTAGATCAACCAATCCTTGTCACTTGCAGTCTGCAGCTCAAACTCGAATCCGAATGGCTCATCTGCTACGCTATCGTCCAGCAACTTCTACGTAGCAGCACAGGAAGCGCCTTGCATAAGGCTATACATATTGGCATGGTAGTAAGATTATATCTGCCGATGAAATAGTTCCTATCATATTCCAGAGACCGTCCTTGACTCGAAAGTCACCTATACCAAGACTAGGCCGAACTACCGATCTTGAGTCGATATTGGCATCTTCGATGATCCTAGCGATGTACTTCTCTGCATTAGGCAGATCTTTGTGGGCTTCTGCATGAAATATCGCAACAGCTCAGCGTAATTTTTTAACCATCGGAGCTTGAGCGTGGTTTTCATTGCCACCTACGTCGATATCACGACATCTAGCCAATCGTCCGAAGACTCGAGACCTATCTAGCTTCAAGTTGGTGTTGCACTCAACCTCCAATTTATTCATCACGTCAGAGAAATTCATCCTGATTAGTGCCAACCAAAGTTAGATGCGGAGCCGGAAGTTTTAATGGACAGTTGCTAGGTATTGTGGCCAAGTTCCAAGGTTGTCGTTTAACCCCACGGGTCGCGGCTCGCCAACAAATTAGTAAAATCGGTAGGTTACTTTGACGCGGCTTAAGGTAGTTGGTAACGCCCCCGTTTCCAGATCTTTCGCTTTCGTGGCTATGCACAGGCTGTTTGGCAGATATTCCAACAGTAATGGTACAACCTAATGAGACGCGGGGGCGCTCATCGGTAATGCGTCCGTTGCATGGCACGGTAGTACCTAAGTATGTTCCTGTTTCAGTATGCGCGATGATCTACCCAGGTAGCTAAGGAGCTAATCATTAGACATCCCAGCGCGGTTATTCGCGCTATTCACTTTGACCTCGTTTAAGTTTCTTTCACATAAGCATAACCTTATTGTTACACAGCCTGCGGCACGGTCCGGTGCGGTTATCGTGAACTTACACGGAACGGCAACACATATATGATGTTTCTAAGCTAGGTACAGTGATGTACCTATCTTAGGAAGTTGTTATGGTATCAAAGTTGGAGTATGACGCTCAGTGCCGCCAGTGAAGTGAGGCTACCGCACTGTCGACCCCAAGACTGGGGTATACAAAAGTGATGTTAGTTACTTTTGTGATATTTACACACGGCTTCTGCGTTCCTATCACATTATTCCCGAAGTGGCAGAGTATCACGGTCAATCTAGGGGTGTTCGAGAGCCCTTCTCCACGTCCACGCTGCGAATCTTGATGTTTGCACCCCTTTCCCCCCATTCCAAGACTTTCGTGTTTTCAAGCCGACAATCGTCGCAGCATTGGCTTAACCAACATACATACCTCATCGAAATAATGCAGGGGCTATGGCGTTTCGAACTCGGGCGAAGTTTTGACTGGTGACCGTAGGTATCTATTCGACGCAGTGACAAACCACCCCCTCGGCTTTCGTCTACCAACATTCATCACATTCAATTCGCCAGGAGATTATATAGTCACATTCTCAACTGGCAGAGTAACAATTATGCATTTTACATACTTCCCGAGATTCCTTGGGTTACTATAGAACTTCGGCGATCAGTTGTCCTGCAGGAATGCTCCAAACAGAGATTGACACTGCTTCTAGCTATTCTCGTCGCTAGGTAAGTACAGAACCAACAATAAAGGTGTGGCAGTTATTCCGGATCTGCTATTATCTTCACCTTGACAAAATGCCGCTGTCTATGTAACCTAGCAGGGACGCTATCAAAATATCTCGGGATTTGAAATAACAACTTAGTCTACAGAAGATACATCTAATTTTAGGGGCACATAATATAGGAGTACTATGATTAACATAGTCAAGGCCCCATGAAGCTCGAGGCTCTGGGCTATACGGGATTTCGATAATCTAGAAGCGTACCTACATCCTCAGCACCGGTGAATTGTGAAGGATGATATTGAATCCTAAAGTATGTCATAAGATATCAATTTTCACGCGAATTTACACTACCGCAAAGTATTATTTCGTAGACGTACATGTATTCCTTACACGAGGCTCTCGGCGTTAGGACTGAGAGGCCGAGGCCACCCAGATCATCTCAATAAACTACCTACGTACACCAAGTGGCACTTTTCCTATGCTACGGTTAGATATACGGACGTCAATAGTTCTTTTGAAATACGGGGCTAGCCTTCGAGCTCAATGACGAAAGCTATTTCGTGAGAAATAGGTAGGTACATCTTATATGTTAGGTAGAAAAATACCACATTGATAGGTATTCAGGGTTTGCTCACACCCACTTTATCTTGTACATTTGGCGCGGACGTCTGAAGGGAATCACCTGCGACCAACTTGCCCATACCAACCCGCCTGTTAATTGAACTACCTAGGTACATATGTGATTACGTCGAAGCAACACATCATACACAACTTCACGAATATTATCTACGCTAAATAAACATGTCTACTTTCGCAACAATTCCTTGCGAGGTAATGATCTCCGTATTGCGTGAGCTAGGTAATATGCGCTTCCTGTTGCCCAAGCTTCTCACCTGCCGCCATGTGTACTCGTGCTTCAAAGAAAATCCAGGCGTAGCAGCAGAAATCTTGCAGCGCCAGATCCCCCCAATTATCATCCCTTACTCGATCGCGGTGTTGGAAGCCTCGCGTCTGAGCCCACGAGATGAAAGGTCAGTCCATGAACTGCTCGAAATGCTATATACACAATCATCCAAGTTTACCGAACGTCTCCAGGCCATGCCTGTCCCGCTTCTGACAAGAATGGGACATATACACGAAGTGATACATGGCTTGGAGATCGAATATGCTAGCAGCGCATGGAAACACCTATCTAAGGATCAAGGATCGGAAGTGGCTGGGAGCCTCGTTTTATCGCCGTCAGAATATCTCCGCTTTTCCCGAGCCTTCTATCGGGTGGAGTTATATTTTTGCCTCTTTCGCTGTAGAACTTCGTTGACATATGTACCCTTTCATGAACACCGCTTTTTTTCTAGTCAGCCACCTTGGGAAAAGGAGCAGCTCGCTTCCGTCCAGGACTTTCTCGAGCTCAAGCTCTCAAAAGGTATGTTGCTACTCACCCGTGAAGGCTTATCTCCGATGAACTGATTTCAATACATAGCCTCCCATGATGTACTAGTTCACGACATTGAGTTTGGTGAGTTAGGGATCGACTATATCACGACGGGTGACCATAACCATTTCAGGCAACTCTGGGTAAGCCACAGTCGAACATCCTTACTCTATCCGCCGCATTTATTGCTTACAAGTAATGGCCATACCTAGCTATCACAGGGTGTCGACTTCATCCACAGATTGATGACTGAGAGCTCATACGACGGCAAAAAGGCGTTATTAAAGTCTGCGTTCGTTGCTGGTAAAGTCGACCTTTACGACGCGCTTATGTCGCCGCCCGAAACAGACTTAGACGACGATACCCCACTTTCTGGTTACGCTGATAAAGACCTGGCGGCTCTGTTTCCGCCTGCTGAAAGCCGGGACCAGGACACAGACAAGGGACCATTTGAAGCATGGCGTGTGGCCTTCAACCCTTGGCCACGCAGTGCGTGGGTCATGCTCACAAACAATTCTGGATTGAGAGAGCGGGCTTATGTCTTCTGGGACTTGGATCGCATCGAAACTTACGGCATGCTGACACTGTTTGAAAATGCCCCGGAAGATTCTGAGCTTCAATGCGCTTATGATGATATAGACGAGATGCACGAGTCATTTGAAGAGCGCTCAAAGATTTGGCAAAAGGGCGGTTCGGGTTATTGGAGCAAAAATGATGAAAGCAGAATTATATGGCCGACGCGGGAAGATGGGAACTAACCTGAGAAATATGTGGGTCCTGAGGTCTTGAGCACCCTGGCGTGCTGAGCCATCGGCTTTAAATCCTATTCTGTGGGTCGCATATAGCATCGGAGATGCCATTTTCACCTCCAGCCCTAGAGACATCTTTGCCTTGTAGGCAACGTTTATATGCAATATCGAACACGCGACACGGAGGTATTTGTTGCTGGTGTGCCCTCGATTAAATACAATAGATACCTACCTACATATGTAACATTGATATTTATTAGTTGAAGAAAGCCCATGTAGTTCGTAAACCACATGCCGACATATCCATGCCGATACACCATCTCTGCTAGCTCATAACAAACAACAATCATAATTCTCCACCCAACACAAGTTCCATTCCGTTGGAATGGTCATATAAATCTTTAGTTCTAGAAACATTCTTCCAATGCTAGGAACGTCACACGAAATGATGATTTTACAGCTATCACAATGTTTTTATCAAATGGAATATATGGTGTATTGTCGGCAACGCGCTTTGGTTATAGTTGAGGAGAGTGAGAGATGCAAGAAAAGGGGGGAAAGGGGGAAGACGAAAGAGTTCACAAGATATTTTGATTTCTTCCCCTCCTTTCTTTTTCCGTGTGAGGCATGAAACGCCCATTTGGCAACTATTCGTCTTCTTAGCAATATACCTGAAACTATGCATGTATGTCACCGAATACTAGACTTCCTTATGCATATAGCAAAAGATTCAAAGCACAGCACTATCCAACCTGGGTCTGGTGTTTGAGATTTGATTGGTGGACCTCCTTATTAAGTACTCACTTTGGTAGGCAATCCATGAACCTATGTCTGAAGCTACCTAGTACTTGGCATATGTAAGTCATAGATATTTTAGCTGTTTGATAAGGCTGCTAAACAATTCCTAGTTGTATGGGAATACGGGTATTTCCATTATTAAAATTTCGAGATTTGATTTATGTGCAGAGCGAGAATAGTAGCAACTCGAGCGATGCGGCTTCCGAGTCTAGATGCTGGTGGATTGTAAAATCCACTTATCCACTCCCGTAGGAAGCCCACGGAGCTTTTAACTACCGTTACCGAGCCGTATCCCGTATTTACAGAGCAAGAGTTGAAAGAACCATGGTCCGGCGTAGTAAGCCACGGAAGCCACGACGATTCAAATGTGTCTGTTATGAGTATCAGGGACCAAAAGGGTCTAGACACGTCCCAAATGTTCAGGCAAGCCACCTTTTATGTACTTAGATGTAGCATATTATGAAAAAAAGAAAAAGTATGCCTTGTGTGGGATGCTCGGCGCTACATGATGCAGTTTAATTAATCTCATGCCCGTCGGAGTTTAGTACACACCGATACACACGTAAGTGTACCTGAAATCTGTGTATCTCCAGAATACGTACTTGGTATGAATCAATCAGATCGGAATTTGTGTTTCACACGCTAGTGGCTTGCATGGTAATTGGTATAGCCGGACTAATCGATTAGAAAAATGACCTTTCAGGTAAGTAAGGGGCTAGATCATTTCCCAACTTGTGAATCTGAGCTTCTAGAAGTAGACTGGCGACTGGATACCCGTTCGAATAAGACATCTCATTACGGTGTTATTAATTCCAGCTGCGTAATATTTTCTTTTGGTGCGATGAATATGCCTAAAATGATGGATCATTCCTCGGATGGAGAGCTGAGGAACAAAATACAGGAATCGATCCAACTTGGGACGAACAGAGTGCCGGACGCTCGACGTGATATATGCGATGATTAGAGACATTCGTGTCGAGATTATCGAAGTCTGCTTGTGTTCAAGGAGGTCAGTTTTATAAAAGAAATTTTACATTTCACGCTGTCATCGAGTGACAAGGATAAAGAGAGTCCGGTAGTACTTGATTGGGTATGACAAAGTTCTGCTACCCGGTTATACGGGACGATGAGATTAACTCGTCAGCCAAACAAAGATAGGTAACGTTAGGAAAGTTTAAAAAAAAAGTACCAGCCGGATAGTTAAATCTAACCGTATGTGTGTACAAACTCAACTCTATGGCATCACCACTCCACGCAGTTCACATGGACCCACTTTTGAAGCTTGAATATTCGACGCCTTCGACTCATTAGCACAGAGCACCTACCAATATGAGAAGCAACGCCTCAACGCAATTGCCTAGCAACTTAAGTATACAGTATTGATAAGTCATAAATAGTCATAAATAAGAAGAATGATTGGTAGATTAGGTACTAGACAGGTACTTACTTGGAAGTATCACAAACAATATCGATAATTTGTCTAGCCCGAACCCCGATCCGCATTCCTAGACACCGGGCGCCGACATGTGCAGCTTGTTTGCTTATCCTGTCCTATTATTCTATGGCGTCCGTTTCTTTGATGTCTCTATCTTTCCACCAGGTCTATTTTTTTGCGCCAGTGTATTTTACATTCTACCAACCTAGGCTATTTTACATTCCTTTCTCTTTCTTCGCGACATCTTTCACCTTAACTTTCTTACCTTCTTTACTACACTTTTCCTTATAATGCCGTCCCCGTAGAGTTTCATCCACAACTCGAGTAAACATACACGCGTACGAGCTACGTGCCTCCCTTTTTCAGGGCTTGTTGAGATTTTCCTTCTTGGCTCAACATGGACGACAGTAGACTCACTCCAGCAAATATGGATGTACCTGGAGGCTTCCCCGAGACGCCCTCTCGTACTTCGCTTCATCAACAGACATCTACGAGTCGAGAGTTCCCGCTTGGCACAAGCACAAACCAAGAATCATCTACTTCGGTCACTAGAACCCAACATGTCAGCAACGGCACTTTTACTTCGGCTCAACTTCATCGTCGGTTAAACGACGCACATGTCGATGGTACTGCTGAATCAATTTCTGATCAAGTTACTAGACCGAGTGATGCTAGTCCCTCCTCGTCTGGACAGCATGTTACGGCAACCCAAGTCGCTAACAACCCTGGCGAATCATCATCGGATGAATCTGAGCAGACAGAGGTTGAGCCTCGCTTTGAACCTATTAAGTCGACAGCAGAACAACCTAGTCTAGAACGCAAGCAAAGCAATGCTAGGACTGAAGATGAGATTTTTCAGGTACTGACACGGCGTCGAAGTGCTGCCTCCGGGGCCGAGTCTCAGGAGGATCACGATGAGATCGAACGACTAATGTCTCGTATGTTTGGCGAAGCTCGTCAACAGCACAGCGAAGAGGAAAAGACGAGACATGCGGGTGTTATCTTCCGCAACCTCACTGTCAAGGGAGTCGGCCTTGGAGCTAGTCTACAGCCTACGATTGGAGATCTCTTTCTCGGCCTACCACGATTTATGAAGAACTTGTTGACCAAAGGGCCGAAGGCTGCCTTCGCCAAGCCCCCTGTACGGGAACTTCTCAGTGACTTCAATGGGTGTGTCCGACCAGGAGAAATCCTGCTTGTTCTTGGCAGACCCGGTTCCGGTTGCACGACGTTTCTGAAAACATTTTGTAACCAACGAGCGGGTTACGAGGAAGTCCTGGGCGACGTTACCTACGGTGGTACGGACGCCAAGCGCATGGCCAAAGATTTCAGAGGCGAGATCATCTACAACCCAGAAGATGATTTGCACTACGCTACACTGTCAGTCAAGCACACACTTACCTTCGCTCTTCGGACCCGGACTCCCGGAAAGGAGTCGCGAATGGAAGGTGAGAGCAGGGAAGACTATGTAAGGGAGTTCCTTCGAGTAGCTGCCAAGCTGCTTTGGATTGAACACACTATGGACACCAAGGTTGGCAACGAATACGTCAGGGGTGTTTCCGGCGGAGAGCGAAAGCGTGTCAGTATTGCCGAGGCTCTCATTACACGAGCCAGTGTTCAAGGATGGGACAATTCGAGTAAGGGTCTCGACGCATCGACTGCCGTCGAGTACGTTCAGTCATTGCGAGCCCTTACCAACATGGCTCAGGTCTCGACCGCGGTTTCTCTGTACCAAGCTGGAGAGTCTCTGTACAACCTCGTCGACAAAGTGTTACTGATCGACCAAGGCCAATGCCTGTACTACGGTCCTTCCGATCGCGCGAAACAGTATTTCCAAGATCTCGGCTTCGACTGCCCTGAACGATGGACGACTGCCGACTTCCTCACCTCCGTTACCGACCCTCACGAGCGTAGCGTCAGGCCTGGCTGGGAAGACCGAATCCCCCGGTCAGCTCAAGATTTCGCCGATGTTTTCAGAAAAAGCGAGGCCTGCCAGCTCAATCTTGACGACATCAGCGATTACGAAGCTAGGCTCGAGGAGGAACAGCGCGTCCGAGCCGAAAACATGTCAAAGAAGACCAAGAAGAAGAATTACACTATACCATTTCACCAGCAAGTAGCTGCCCTCACTCAACGTCAAGCCCTAATCATGATGGGTGACAAGGCTTCCCTAGGGGGTAAATGGGGTGGTATTGTGTTCCAAGGTCTCATTGTGGGAAGTTTATTCTACCAGCTCCCGGGTACAGCAGGTGGCGCCTTCACACGAGGTGGTGTCCTGTTCTTCATCTTGTTGTTCAATGCGCTGTTAGCTCTTGCTGAGCAGACGTCTGCATTCATGTCCAAGCCCATCCTACTCAAGCACAAGAACTTTTCCTTCTATCGACCCTCCGCCTATACGCTAGCACAAACTGTCATGGATGTGCCGTTGGTTTTCATCCAAGTACTGCTATTCAATGTCATCATTTACTGGATGGCAGGACTATCGGCAACTCCGTCCCAGTTTTTCATTTCCATGTTGATTCTCTGGATGACAACAATGACGACATACGCCTTCTTCCGTGCAATTTCGGCAGTTTTCAAGACCTTAGATGATGCTACCAAGGTGACTGGAGTCGTCCTTCAGATCGTCATTGTCTACACCGGCTATCTTATACCGCCTAAATCGATGCATCCATGGTTTGGATGGTTGAGATGGATCAACTGGGTGCAATATGCATTTGAATGTCTCATGGCTAATGAGTTCTACGCACTAGACCTGGAATGCACGCCTCCGTTTCTTGTTCCCCAAGGTCAAGGTGCTACACCACAGTACCAATCATGCACATTAGCAGGTTCCAAACCCGCACGCACCAGTGTCTCCGGCGCCGACTATATCGAGTCATCCTTCAACTATTCTCGTAGACATCTCTGGAGAAACTTCGGTTTCCTATGGGCTTTCTTCCTATTCTTTCTCGCTATAACCATGATAGGAATGGAAATGATGAAACCCAATGCAGGTGGTGCTGCCGTAACTGTCTACAAGCGTGGCCAAGTACCCAAGGAACTTCAGAAGTCTATCGAGACTGGTGGTCGCAAAGGCAATCTGAGCGACGAGGAATCTGGTCGAAGTGGCGAAAAGATTTCTGCTCCTGAAGACGAGTCTGCGGCACAGGGAAGACGAGATGAAGAAGCCATGAAAAGTGTCGCAAAGAATGAAACGGTGTTCACGTTCCAGAATGTCAACTATACAATCCCTTACCAAGGTGGTGAAAGGAAGTTACTACAGAATATCCAAGGTTTCGTTAGACCTGGTAAGTTGACAGCCTTGATGGGAGCCTCCGGAGCTGGAAAAACAACGCTGTTGAATACCCTGGCGCAAAGGTGAGTAATCTTAACAATACCTCGAAATAAATGTGTACTAATTTCATGTTCAGAATCAAGTTTGGTGTCATCACTGGCGACTTTCTCGTAGACGGACGGCCTCTTCCGAAGTCATTCCAAAGAGCTACAGGATTTGCTGAGCAACTTGATATCCACGAGCCGACTGCAACCGTTCGCGAAGCCCTGCAATTCTCCGCGCTCCTCCGTCAACCAAAGGAGGTTCCAACCAAGGAGAAGTACGAATACTGCGAAACGATCATCGACCTACTTGAGATGCAAGACATTGCTGGCGCAACAATTGGAACAGTTGGAGAAGGTCTCAATGCGGAACAGCGCAAGAGACTCACCATTGGCGTCGAACTTGCATCTAAGCCAGAATTGTTGATGTTCTTGGATGAACCTACGTCTGGTCTTGACTCAGGAGCAGCGTTCAACATTGTCCGATTCTTGCGCAAGCTCGCGGATGCTGGCCAGGCCATCTTATGTACTATCCACCAACCGTCTGCTGTTCTTTTCGAGATTTTCGACGAATTGATCTTGCTCAAGTCTGGAGGTTGTGTGGTGTACGCTGGCGAGCTCGGAAAGGATAGTCAGAAGTTAATCAACTACTTCGAATCCAATGGCAGTCCGAAGTGTCCCCCGGACGAGAATCCGGCCGAGTGGATGTTAGAGGCTATCGGCGCGGGCAATCCTGATTATAAGGGTCAAGATTGGGGCGACGTTTGGTTGAATTCCAAGAATTTCCAGGAGCAATCCAAGGAAATGGAGCAAATGATCGAGAAGCGCCGACACGTTGAGCATTCGAAGAATATCCAGGATGACCGCGAATACGCGATGCCCTTGTGGACGCAGACAGTCGCTGTCACGAAACGTACCTTTGTCGCCTATTGGAGATCTCCCAACTACATCATGGGCAAAATAATATTGCACATATTTACGGGTCTGTTCAATACCTTCACGTTCTGGCGTCTAGGGTCCTCCACTATCGACATGCAATCTCGTTTATTCTCGGTATTCATGAACCTCACTATCTCACCTCCGTTGATTCAGCAACTCCAACCAGTATTCCTCAACTCGCGAAACATCTTCACGTCTCGCGAGAACAACTCCAAGATATATTCTTGGTTTGCGTGGACTACTGCCGTGGTGCTTGCAGAGATTCCTTATGCCATCATTGCAGGGGCCGTCTACTACAACTGCTGGTGGTGGGGAATAGGAGGTTACTCGATGTTGGGATTCCGATCCGGCTTTATCTTCTTACTCACAATACTCTTTGAGCTATACTACGTCGGCTTCGGTCAGGCTATTGCGGCTTTCAGTCCCAACGACCTACTGGCGAGTTTGCTCGTGCCACTCTTTTTCCTCTTTGTCGTCTCCTTCTGCGGTGTCGCCGTACCCCCGGGTCAACTCCCGTACTTCTGGCATTCGTGGATGTATTGGCTCACACCATTCCACTACTTGATGGAAGCCTACCTGGCAACTATCATCCATGGGCAAGAAGTGCGATGTACAGAAGACGAGTACTCAACCTTTTTCCTTCCGCCAGGCCAAACCTGCGATTCGTACACGGGCGAGTACGTGGGGCAGGCAGGCGGATACGTGATTAATGGCACAGATGCCGGCACTTGCCAATACTGCCAGTATGCGAATGGCGACCAGTTCGGAGTGCAGTTCAGCGTCTATTACAAAAACATATGGCGCGACTTCGGCATCGTCTGCGGCTTCATCGCGTTCAACTACATCGTCATCTACATCTCGACGTGGTGGCGCTTTAGGGGAAAGAACCCTTTTAAGGGGGTGCAGGAGAAGCTGAAGCAGATCAAGCAAAAAAAGTGAGGCGTCTGGTAGAGGAAAAACGGGATGCTTTGTAGGAATAGGGGGTTCGGGCCCGGCGGGACGGGGACTTATTAATTACATTACATTCACTAATTCTACACGTAGGGATAGGCGGGAAATGGATAGATGCGACGAACGATCGTTGCGTGGATAGGCTTTATGAATAATAGTCTATTCTGTACAGTTGTTGGTTTTGTTGATAATTGTGACCTTTTGTCTGTTTTTCTAGGTTCTGATCTACCTTGTAAGGGATACCTGGGTATGGATCGTTAAATTGGAGTAATGGTGATGAGGAGTTTTTAAGGTCAAGGCATAACTTAAGCAAGCACTTCGAGTAAAATAGAATCATAATCGGAAGAAATCAAGATTGGGGGTATCAAATTATTCACACGCATTACATCTTCACCTCATCCATTCAACCCCATCCCCTACTCACGACCCCGTCAACCCCATCCTCAACGGTCTCGTCTTCTCCCCCTTCCCATTCCCATTCCCGCCCCCATTGCCACCACCACCACCACCATGTAAAATACTCGTATTACTCTCCACCCTCGCCATCCTCAACCTCTCCTGCTCACGCTCGAACCCCCTCTGCCCCTCCGACGAAACCCGCGACGACCCAGCCCCCGTCTCCTTATCATAGGCCCCCGCACTCATCATCATATTCGGCGGCACCACCCCGTTCCGCACGAAGTCGTCGCGGTAATGTCCCTCCTTCCCCATATTCGATAGCGAGGGCTTCGCCGTCACCCGAACCACAATCGCCCCTCCGCTCTCCTCCTGCTTATCCCGCGCCGCCGACTGCAGCTCATAATGTCCCGAAGCAACACCCCCCGAAGAAGACGAGTTCGCGGTGTCGTACGAGGAATCGCCTGAGAGCCGGCGGTGCTGGTGCGTGATATGCACTTCCTGCGTGACGAATATGCTGCCGAGCAGGGACTGCGAGAGGTGTGGAAAGAAGGTCGGGATCGAGGCGCAGATGCTCGCGAGATCGACTTCGAGGGCTGCGAGGATTATGGATTTCGGACCGTACCATGTTGGGTCCAGCACGGGGAAGGTTCCGGCTTTGTGGTCGATGATGGTTTGTAAGCACCAGATGCTTAGGAGGAGGACGCTGGGTGGGGGTTAGTGGCTGTGGTGGTTGGATTGGGGTGGGGGCTAAGGAGAAGGGGAAAGGGAAAAGAAAGGGGAGGGTAAGGGAGGAGGGAGAAGGGGTAGGGGGTGGGGGAGGAACATACATAACACCCAACAGCAAAAGCAGCCCAATCCCCAACCTCTGCTTCCACGCCGTATCCCTCCTAAAATACAGCGGGACCACGACGGCCAAAACCATCGCATCTAACACAACATTCGACCCCCCGTGCGCGGCAAACGTGCCCGCGACCTCCGCCGACACCTTCGACCCGAACCCGTAACACCGCGCCTGCGTCTGCCATTCCCAGAACCCGCGGACGGGGAAACATGGGAACAGCGCGCAGAAGGCGAAACTGGTGCCCCAGAGAGCGCTGATGGCGAGCCCGACCCAGCAGGCTAGACGGGCGCGGGTGCCGCGTTGGAAGATCCGCAGGTATTGGGATAGGAGACAGAGTTTCATGAGGGTTGTGGAGATGGTGTAGGTCGCGAGGCAGATGTAGAATTTCTGGGTGGGGGTTAGTAAGGGTGGTGGTGGTGGTGGTGGCTGGGAGGGCTGAGACCGGAGTAATTATATTGGGTTGATTGGGGGATGGGGGATGGGTGAGAGGGAGGGAGGAGGGGGAAGGAGACTTGCTTTTTGGAAGGCGGCGAATTTGACGAGCCCGATTTGCAGGATGTGGTCTCCGAAGCCGTCTTGCAGTGCTGTTGCTTCTGATTAGTTGGCGTGGTCTTTGCTTTTGGGGGTGGCGTTCGTACCGAGACATAGGAAGATAGAGCCGATTGTTGCTGATATCTGTGAGAGGGTTAGTCTGGTGTGGTTTTCATAGATGGAGATGAGGGTTGAGACGTACTCTGAAAAGGACTATTAAAAGATCATCCCAGCCTAGGCAGTGTAGCTTTATTCGAGAGTATATTCTTAGGGCTACACATATGGATGAGACAACCTGAGTTGGTGGATTAGTGAATAGTTGGATGAGCGGTTCTTCAAGTTGCGATGCTCACCATGAAGGGAATAACCAAGCCGTATACGGTGGCTGGATAATTAAAAGCTGGTCGAGGTTCTTGGGAATTATCGTATGCCGTCATCTGACGGATGAGTTCCGCCATGTCGGTCGACGACATGATGATTTGAGCCGTCGATGAGGAATGTCCCTATCGTGGACTCCGGGTCGACGAATAGTTCTTCTTCCTGTCCTCCCCTTATTAATCTCTTTTCGTCGTTGTCTTCCTCTCTTTCTTTTAGTTTTTCCGTATCCCAAACCAACTATCCTGATCCTAACCTTGGTGCTCTCTCACCATCGCAACCACGTGGTGCGGGAGTTGTCTTAGTTGGAAGCTCGCGCCGGGTTCGGCGGACTCTAAGACGTCGACCCAGCTTCGCTTCAGCTCCGGGGGAACGACCAACTCTTGTAAGTAGAAGGATCTGGGGCTGCGCCGTGCTGACGCGCACTCCTACTGTGCGCTCGTCCTTCTAGTTTTCTTCTTTTGGTCTTCCGCGCCCCGGACCCCAATATCGATAGTAGTACCGATAATAGGTTATTAAGTTCCCTACGCATGAGCAGCGAGGGACGCTCGTTTTCTGGTTCGAGCCGTTCCATTGCCTCCTTGTCAGGTCCACTGATATTGCCAATTTGATCGATGGATTTACGGGACCTGACACACGATTGCGGGAGAGGTTCCTCGATCATCCCTGTCTTACGATGAGGCACATAATAGGGTGCAATTCTAACCCATGTAAATGTTCCTAACGTTACAGGATTTCACGATATTGATTAACCCGAATTGGTGTAGTGACAGGTACAATGTGAGATGTGAGAGCCTGAGAGGTGAGAAGCGGTACGCAATACTGTAGCACTCACCAATTATCTGCGGCACAGCGAAATAAAGGTCGTGTCTGACCCGATTGGCCTTTTCTGTTGCTATATTAGGACCGCCGCCGCCAACGAGGGCCAAAGGTACGGAGCTATAATCTGACTGTCTTTCCTAAGTGGAACTAAGTATTCGACGAGTTTGGAAATATTAAATGCAAGCTTAATTGAACCTGATCGAGCTGATCAAGCTGATCAAGCTGTCTCTACCTACGCATGCTAATACTATGGTCTAAGTATCAGCATGGTTGCGCATGATACATTCGCTGAAGTGTTAATTGTTCGGATATTGCCGGATCCATTCCAGCTATGCCCAAGCCGACGAGCTATTCCCGACTCAACTAGACGTGAAACTTATTAACGAATGACAAGACTATACTGACCATCTAATAAGACATACTATAGTATAGTCTATATATCAGGACTATGGCCTCGTGTGATTTCTGCCGTAGCCTCGCATCTTATGGAAGTTAGTCTACGCTTTCTGCGCTTTCGAGCGCATAATCCTACCCCGTCGTGCAGGAGTTGCTACTGGAATTCCCAGACTAGTCCAGCCAAGGTGTTGCGAATCACTTAACAGAGCGTGCTAATACATAAGATGTACGTGGTGGTGATAATATCGCCAATCTTATCCCGCGTCCTGCATCGAGTCTTTGGTTCATCCCGTCTCGAAAATCCTCGCCATTCTTCATCACACCCTCTTCATCGGTGTCAAACGTTATAATAAGGTAAGTTCCGAGTGCTGCATCGAGGATAGGCTTACGAACTATGGTACGTGGTGATGTAACATGCAGTGGACGAGGAGCACTTTAACCGGACGTCCGTCGCTGTCAATCACGAAAATCACTCCCCGATTGTGATATCGAGATAGTCTGCGGCGGGGGGGATTAGTGATACATACAACATTGTACATACATACCTCGTGGCCGATACGCTGTAATTGTCTATCTCTTAACCCTGTCTTTAACCCCCCTGAATATCACCCACGTGGGGGAACGACAAAAGACGTGCTCTGGGATGTCGTCACGATGGGAGATTTGTCGGCTTTATTTCCCCTTCGAGAATGGACGTGGCCTGTCAGATTGAGCGGCGACATGGTTTACCCAGACCGCAAGATTGTGAGAATCGCCGCTATTGACGAATAACGGATAGGGCCACGCTTCGCTTAGAGGGTTTCGGATCCGACGGTCGTGGATTAGTTGATGATATTTTCCGAGATAGTCTGGTACATGTACTATGTATGCAGAACTGCCGACAGGAAGGACACAGATCTCGGGGAATAATTTAATTTGCGGTGCCTGCTAGCAACATACTGGGAACATACATGACTCGAAGAGTTGTGATATGTTTCAAATGTTTGGCGCGAATGCGAGTCACGTCCGTGCTGTCACTCGTTGATCATCCCCTAATTAGAGAACTACCTAGCCATCTTGACCATATCGAGATAACGGCATGGTATATGTTTGAGATCGCTACTTGTTTCGGAAACGTGGCTGATAGCAGAATCTAGTATTAAAGGGCAATTAGTGCGGTGGAGAACTGAGGCTTCGAAGAGTTATGTAACAGACCCCTGATCTCAGGTCATCTGCTGACCTCAGCCCCAGGGGTTTCGTTATGCTACCGAGGATCGTTGACGATATATTCACTGTCGCTTATCCCGCTCATTCAATATCAGGTGTAGACGAAGTAATAGTTTGACAGTGAGTTCGAACATTAGGTAGGATACGTAATAGGTAGGTAGGTAATCGTAGGTAGTCATCAGAAGTTTTACAATCCCATCTATGAGGGAAGCCCCTTCATAACGCCGGATGCTTTGCAAGAACTAGACCCTTGCTCCAGTCCCGTATAATTCCAAGCTTGCACTCTAATAAACTAGTAGTCATCATCCATAGCATTCACTCTTCTCTCCCCAACCTCGCGAATTTTCTCGCCCAGGATCGAGCGACCATACCGTTCCGCCACCTTGCCCGCGGCCTCCACCATGCGACCAGTCCTATCACGCATGAGCTCGACCAGCTCTAGCGCGCGCATGCCGCGGTCCTCGCCCTCACGACACTCCACTGCCAAGAATTGTAACAGCGTCTTATCAATCTCGAGCTCCAGCCTAGCCAGGCTGGACCGCTGAGTATGGCTACCGCTCGTCGAGTCCACGAGGTCCTGGAGCTGCGCCGCCGCGATACCCTTAAGCAAGAACTGCTGTTCGAGTTTGCGCGTCTCAGACTCGTCTCCGTCATCGTCTTCCGGTGAGTCGTCATCCATGGCGTCTGGGTTCGTAGACTTGGACTTGGGGGGCTCGGAGGTGAGCGGGATGGAGAAGTCGAATTCGGAGAGCAGCGGCCGTGGGAAGTAGGGATATTGGTCGCCGCCCTTAAGGATAATACAGTGGAATTTATCGTCGGCCACCGCGATGGGGAAGTACGTTTCGGTCTTACGCCCCGACGCGAGACGTGGAAGGAGTTTAGTATCCAGAAGAGGTACCCAAGATGCCCTTGATGGCTGACGCCAATGTAATAAGGTCAAAAGTGTCCCTGTAGAATCGTAGATACATGGATCCTATTTTTGTGTTAGCTTAGTTAGGTAGGTAGGTATGAACAGGTTTTACTGACGCCATTGTCAGAGAAGAATATACTCTTTAGTGTTGCGCCCTCTGGAAGCGCTACAGTATCTTCATTCTGACATATTTCATCCCGCTTCACGTTCTCAATGGTGTACAGGAGTCTGGTATGTCCATCCGCACCAACAGGGCCATTGCCGACGGTCATGACATAGTCCCTCCAGCTTGCGCATGTAACCATTGGAGTGCTCTTTGGTCGATAGACTCTGTATGGGATGCCGAAAAGCGTATAAACTCTGACGTAGTTCGCAGAGGTTGTGACTGTTATGAAGGAGTCGCTCAGGGACATAGCAAGAACAGCCTCCCCTTTTGGTAGCTGCGTCCTCCAGTCCGTGCGGTTGGTCCACGTTTCGTGCGGCCGATAGAAGATAGTTGCTGATGTATTGTCTTTTGGAGGGCACGAGAATAGTGTGCCGTTTTCTGTCAAGCAAGCCTTATCATACAGGAAGGTATCGGTGAAATGAAAGTCTCTGTGGAACTCGTGATCATAGAATTCCACAGTAACAGTGTTATGTCCATCTTGATCCACGGTCCAGACAAACCCGATGAGGTTTAAGCAGAGATATTTCCGGTTGCCTCGCCACGGTGTTGATCCAGGCTGGAAAGCCTCGTGGTATTCTGGTTCGATATGGGGGCGCTTGCTTACCGGTTCCCCAAAAACATCATAGTCATCATGCACGCGCTTGCCATTTCCATTGAGCGCGTAGCCCGCTCCATCGTCATCCACCACAAAGTCATCATCATCTGCTAAGGGGCCATCCATGAGAGAATCGTAGCTAGCCGCTCTCCGTCTTTGAGGCAATACCGTAGTTGGAGCGTCTCTGCCATTTTCCAGGGGTCTTCTAAAATTCGTTGACTCCGATAAAGGGTCATGAATGAAAGGTGCCGGCTGCATGCCGAGCTTTAATAATGGTTCATATTGCTCTGGTACGAAGTCGGGATGAATATAGACCTCGCCATTTGAGTTTGTGAAAGATACTAAATTGTTCCTCGGATGCCATGCGATATCTATGACATCGGCATAGTCAAGCCTGGCGATAACACTCTGGGTCTTGGTCTCCCATAGTAGGATCTTCTTGTCTTTGCCAGCAGAGGCCAAAATAGCACCATTCGGAGACCATGCTAAAGCAGTGACATCTCCATTGTGGCCATTTGCAAATACTCTTTGCTTCTCCCAGTCATTTTTCGAAACAACCTGGATATCTCTTGTTGGGGTCGGGACTGCAAACGCACGTCCGTCCGGGTGCCACGAAATCTTCGAACTAGTATCGGATTCGGTATCCAGTGCGCCAATGACACCGTCAATCTTTTTTAAAAGCTCCGGCTCGTCAGAGGTTAGAGAATACACATATACAATTCCGTCGGTGCAAGCTAGTGTGACAGTAGTCCCCTTAGTGTCGAAGGACAGGTGTTTCGTAGATTTGTTATGTTCCTTCAGGTGACGGATCTTCGAGTTGTCGTCGGTTCGAACCAGTTTCACGGTCAATTCGTCGCTAGCTACGGCACACCATTTCGAGTCGGGCGAAAGTGCAACGTCACGGATCGGAAGAGAACATCGAAGTAAGAACTTATCGAAGTTGGCGTCGGGGATTGAGTAGAGACTGACGGTTCCATCTTCGGAACCAACGACGAAGAACTCATCAGAAGCGTCTACACTCAGATTCTGTTCCTGGCAGTCGTCGATATTGATGGGTTCACCATCAAAGCCGGTCTTGTATAATCGGATAGTATTATTCGAACCTACGGTAACCAGCTTCGAGCCGTCAGGGGTATATGCACAGTGTGTCGAACCCTGAGTATGAGCCGGTCGTGCTCTAGGACGATGAGGTGCTGTTGATGCCATTCCGGTGTTTATTCCGATATCGATTCCTCTGTTGTACTCGATATCAAAGAAAATCGAAAGTGGGAATGGATTTAGTGAAGGATTGGTGTAAGTCAATCATAAGTCAAGTACGTATAACTTGAACCAGACAGAAAACGCGTCGCGTCGAAAACTAATTAAGCAAACGCGTTCAGGCTGTTAGGGTGAACAAGGTGAACAGGGATACCCCTCTTCTATTGGTCCAAGCGCCATAGAACCCCCACCTTACTCCAAATCCCCAAATTCGGCGATAACGCGATAGTGCATATTATGAAATTCGGTGAAATTGGGCAGTTACGGTAGGTACTAGGTACTCTAGGTACCTAGATTCCTAAGTCACATCTGAAAGTGGAATTTCGAGCTGAAAATCGAGATTCTCATAGAAACACCAATAATATAAATTCTGCTGCCTATATAGGCTTCCGTTTAATTTCGTTGCCACGTCTTGGAAGGTTTATAAAAGGGTTGCCGGACGTTGGTAACAATACAGAAGAATCCAAGTTTTAATATCACACCAACTTTGCTTATTCCTTCAGCCCCTAAGTGCCATCCCACTTCAAAGTCGTCATCATGCATAAAGGGACATCGCCAGACCAATTCTTCCAAACCGAGTAAGATATCTAAAAAGGACCTCAATTCAAGAAGTCCCCTAGTTTTAACGGATTTCTAATAGCGCCGAACAAGCCAAGAGAGAAAGACGGGAGGCGAAAGCTGGCAATAAAAATGGAAACCCCGTTGTGTTGAAGTCAAAGTTATTGGCTGCTATACCGGATCCTACTAGCCCCTCATCCGTCCTCATTGCGGAATCTGCCGGCTCAGTCCGCAGGGTAAATGTTGATGTAAGTTATGAAAACAACGCCTCGTTGAAAACATGAATTTTAACCCGACGACTATAGACATCGGATACGAAGCAGGTATTTCGAGGACCATCGGCACCAGTAACATGTATTTCCGTCGGCGGGTCTGGCAACAAAACACTATTTGCCGGCTCTTGGGATAAGGATGTCTGGTCCTGGGACTTGTCGTCTAGGACTCCGGGCCGCAAATATAGTGGTCACACAGACTTCGTCAAAGCCGTCGTATCGACGAAACTTGGTGGAAAGGACGTATTAATCAGCGGCGGCGCGGACAAGAAAATCATTGTCTGGGATGTTGAGACAGGGTCTCGTCTTCATCTACTACAAGACCTAGCTGTGTCGATGATGGCTGTTCAGGACCTTGTCATTGATCCAGTACAGTTTAGCCCTGATGAGGTTATACTCGTCAGCGCAAGTAGCGACCCTCATATCCGCCGATGGCGAATTCGACTGGATGGCTTTGAACAGATCAAAGAAACATCGCCAGATGAGCCTGGTGCTATACGACACGCCATATTGGAGCATGATACTACGGTATATAAGCTGGTATTCGATAGTGAAGGTGAAGAAGTTGACCTATGGACATCAAGTGGAGATGGCACAGCCAAGTGTCTATCACGGATCAAGGGCTTTGCTACCGACGATTCTATTAATCACGGCGATCACGTGAGAGCTGTCGCTGTGACTGATCAATGGATAATTACTGCTGGGAGAGACGAGGATGTTAAGGTCTGGAATCGCGCGTCGGGTAAGCTGTATAGCACTCTCGAGGGCCATTACGACGAGGTTACCGACCTAGTCATCCTCGAAGGAGGTAGAAGGATTGTTTCTGTGTCCATCGATGGTACCGTGCGGACATGGTCACTTGACCAAGTTGAACTCGATAAGATCAACAAGGAGAAAGAAGACAAGGCTAAGGGGATCGTGAAGGAAACTCCAGCTAAACAAGAGAAGGGGCTGATGACAGTTGAGGAAGAAGCTGAACTCGCAGCATTAATGGAGGATGATGATTAACCACCTAACATCTACATTGTCAAGGAGATCGCCATGAACTCATTCAGTACCTAACAATTCCTATTTTATAACCGGGACCAAGACTAGAGAAACGCGAAAATATGAGACACGCATAAACAACCTGCGTTCCTAAAATCCTTCATGCATAGGGCGAAAGATAATAGATATGCGGCTGTCGGCCGTACGAGCGGGAAGCTAGTCTCACCTCGAAGAACCTTGGAGATTTGGTGAGCTTAGCCACGCGACAACTATTGAAGAACGTCTCCTGAAACCTTAATCTCGTGCTACCCGTTCGAATTCCATTGTTAGACCTATACCGAACGCCCAAGGGTTACAGCGTATGAGGTAGAAACAGGGGCAATCAAAAGTTCTACAATGAGTTGAAGTTAGCCACTATCTTCAAGGCTGATCGTGTCTCTAACTTACTTTTCAAGGGTTATTGTAAGGAATTATCTTTGCCATGAGCAGGATCTATGCGAAAGTATACGAACCTCACTGATTTCCGTAAGGAACCTTCGATCTGCCGCCAACCGCTTTTTCTCTTCTGAGTCCCACCGGCCAGACCGAATAAAGCAATGCTAAACTCGAATCTCGGCTGGAGATACCTCAATACAGACGTCTTCGCTCATCGGCATAACACAATACGAACATTTACTTAACAATGTGGGATAGATACTAGACGAAGCACGTTGTTGGTGAACATGCAAATGATTCATGTGGGTGCGGACCGGACAATCGGTATCTTCCTTTTTGCTTTTTTACGAAAATCCTGCCGTTTTCATCTTGGCATCGAGAACCAATACAGAACCAATACAATATGACGAGTAGCATCAAGTTCAAGTCAAGGAACCCCCAGATCGAAATCAAGCCATTCTAAATTGAATCTCCAGTGGCTTTCATGATCTATCAATTCGCAATATAAATTCTCGGCCGTTAGTGAAAGGAGCCCCTTGGCGGTCAGTAAGAAAAGCCACAGAAGAAGCAAAACCCCCATGATCCAATTAAACTGAAGGATATCAAAGGAGGATCCAATAAGGGTAAGGCAGATGAGGGACGTGGCTGGTTTGCTATCCTGACTGCCTGAGTTGACCGAGTGGGCGGCCACATAAGTCTCATGCAGAGGGCCGTTCGTCTAATAAATGTACGGCTGTACGAACACGACTCCCGTGGCGAATAAGGTTGATATTAGCCTTTATGAACATCAGACTGTTGCTTCTTACCTACGTATTAGCGCTAATTCATTTTTGAATACTAGGTGGAGGTCGGCGCCCGAGGAAGTTTAACTCTTGAGGTTCTGAACACGATGTGGAATTGCTTTTTCTTTTCCTTCCCTTCCCTTCCCCTCTGCAGCCACAATATTCTCCTGGCAGGATGGGTCGCCGAATTATCCAATTGACTTTTCCAATGCCCGAAGAGAAGCAAGGTCAAAGTTCATAGTTCGTCTGAACCTTGGTACATGGGTGTTTTCTTCTCCATCTGGCGTCAAACATACACAGATGGTAAGTATTGCAACCCACCTATGGTGAGAATGCAGTCATCAATAATGGAACTCATATCGTTATTAATCAATTTTGGACACAGTCTAAATTTGAACATGTGTGGAAATAGCAAGTATTAGGTAGGTTGGGAATACTAAATCATTTCTTAGGTCTTCATAGTAACAAACAAGGAACTCCGTTTGCTTGTCATCTTGAGTTACTCCATTCTCATAACGTCAACGATCAACGGCAACCTGCTTCACTTGGGCAGGCACACGGAATTCCGAGTAGCCGTTGGCCTGTCATTGTCCTTATTCAACGCCAAAAACGCTAAAGTTTATCTTCATTAAACTGACATCTCGAGTCCAGATGTCCGGAGCTCCCTTTTGGTCTAGTTCAATAGCTTGCAGCGCTCATCCCTCGGCTTACCAGGTTAGGATGAATTGTAGTATGGTTTCGATCTTAGACATTTCGTCTACCTCTGGGAATCCAACCCTGCTAGCCATGCCGCATCAACATTTCTCTCCATGCTGCTATCCGCGATCTTCTCCACCTCTGTATGAGATGTACATTAGAAGCAATGCAGTTACTTGCCTAACTTACAGCCACAGTGCTTTTGTTCTAAGACACAATGTCCTGTTGTACCGGGTACAAAGTTCGAAGATACCTCTCAACTGAGGAATGTCTCCTAAACAGGTAGGTATCTACCACACCGAGACGATATCTCCTCGCCTTTAACTTTATTACGGTTTCTTTACTCTTCATCCTCATATGTGTTTTTCTATTCTGAAATCGTATGCGCCATCTCGGCCGTACCTGTAACAATATCCCCCACGGTTCGTCTATGTGAAAAGCGAGGTCTCAATCCTTCCCATGTCTCACCGGAATTCTTCACCCCAGAATCATCGTCGGTTATGTTGATATCTCGAGCCCTATAAGTCAATTCTCTCACAACAGCCGCTATTTGGCTCGGATAGCTTACCGCGAGCTACATTCTATTCTCGCCAGTCTCTTAAACCTTCCATCAAAGGAGTGGATTTTCATATTCCAACTATCCTGATGGATGTCTAACGTGAGCGCTATGCGAGCTACTACTTATAATTCACGATAAGTTTTATTCGTACTGTTAGCTAGTACCTATAACACGCCGAATGATTTCTCCTATCGATTCGAACTTACGGTAAAATCTACGTTATGAGACCCGTAGAGTGTCTCACGTCACGATGGGCATGACACCTCAATATCACGGTAGCTTGGTTGCATTTGAGGGGCCGCAGGATACCGTGTCAACTCAACTTCGACTACTTCCAAGCTCACCAAACATCTTGATCATACCACCACTACGCTACTTCTTGAAAGAAGAGAACCTAGATGCTCCCTTCGATGCTAGGTCGCGAATCCTAGCGGTGCATAAGGCATGTCGCGACAGAGCCGAGATGGCGCACGCATTCTTGCGAGACTCTACACCGAGCAACAAACGACTGGTTTTCATGAACGGGGGCACAGCAAGTGCCCAGATGGAATGTGTATCCGACATCAGCGAATATGTCACCAATGGGGATTTCGAAAAAGCCGAACGAATATTTATTAAGCTCGTTCGAAATGGCATCGCTGGATTATCCAAACCACGTAAAGCAAGTCTAAAGTTCAGGTCGTCCCAAATAGGGGTTGCCAATCGACAGCTAAATGGAATGCATGGCGAGATAGCCATCGACCCAGTTTCGGAAGCTATGAGAGCAGCTGACGCTCTTGATATTCAAACCGCATTCTTGCAAACGAGTACCGAAGTTGACCTTACACATGGACCTCGACGTCGAAGCTCGAGCACGCCGATTTATCGAGTGGTTGATGACTATCAGAACGCAACCCCTTTTTACATATTCGGGGCTCGCAAATGGCAAAAGAGAAACTCCTTCGACCCAAGCTTACCTCAAACCCCTCGCCGGAGCTATACCACACATGAGAACCGAAGGAATTCTCGGCGATCATTGTATCCGGCCGGATCCCGAGTAAACGAATTAAAAAGCCAACCGAATTCCCCATGTCAGATAGCGGAGGAGAGTTATAGGAAGCCGTTGTCGCCCGCAACCATCGACGTGTCGAGTCCTATGTCTTTCAAGTTTGATGACTCGATGCCCGAAACACCAGCGATATGCGAAGCCCTTGTCATCGATGTTCGGCATTCGGTCTCAACCACTGCTCATAAGAAAACGAAGTCCGTGGATCGAATATACTCCAGCGCTATACGCAACCAGGACATTCTACTATGTAGCTTTCCACAACCACCTCGCTCGAGACCTACAAGCACGATAAATAGTCCAATATGGCGCGAAACGCCAACAACGCCCTTGCCGCGGTCGCCACTATCTCCACGATCCCCTCGTCACAAGTTCACCACCGATATCCCGAGACCGACATTTAGCACGCCGAAAAGATCTATGGTCAGGCGAAACCCCCCATCCCCTCTCAAGCTAGATCAAGCACGACGGCCACTGTCTTACGTAGACGTTGGCACGAGTACCACGAGCAGCTATGTAGATCGAGCCACGACGACCGAGCCCGAGCCCGAACTTACTATTCTCATATCCCCTGAGGCAGACATGGAAGATTCTTCATCTATCGATTTAGATGACAGTTTCGAACTCGACCCGGATGTGCCTTTTGAGGCGGTTCTGCCCATGGTCGAAAATCTAGTAATACTTTTCAAGGCTGATCAACCAGATAGACGGTTAGAAGCGATGATCCAAGCTTTCCGAGAAGGGACATACCCGATATCCTCGTCGCCACATGAAGCAACAGCCGAAAAGAACCTTGATCAGTCCGACAGTTTGAGCCCGCGGAGCATTCCACTCGTTGACCGAAGACGAAGAAGCTACGTCAAGCATGCAGAAGTATCACCTGCTTGTCACCTAGATCCCGATGACTATGATCCCTTCGCGTACGGAAAGTACTCATGTTCATCTCATGGCTTGTTGCCCAATCATGGTAGACATAATCACAGACCTACGACGCCACCAACCCCAGCTACAACCCCGCCATTGGCTGCACGGAAGCCAGAGAAGTGCTTCCACGATTTTACCACGACAAATTGTAGAACAGCTGTAGGAATGCAAAACTCCCTACGATCGATTCTGAATATCTACTTCCCACCAGAAGATACAGGTTATCACCAGTTTAACTTCCCTTTGCTTCCGGAACTTAGCAGTCTCTGGAAACCCGTGTTTCGTGAATCGGACTCGGGCACTGTCATACATCGGAAACGAAAAGTCGATCTCATCGTTGCCATCGGAGCACAACAAGGCGTTGACAAGGATTTTCTCGCCGCCATTAGCGGTTCCTTAGAAAAGCTCGGCACGAAGCCGAATGGGGTGACCCGAAGCGGAAGGCTAGATTTAAGGTTAGTATTTAATCAGAATCTTATGCATCGTGTTGCTAATTAGATCTCAAAGGTACCTCATCGCCAGCGCTATGCAAGCCTTCACTTCACAGCCGCTAGCCAACCAAACTCAAGACAACCCATTCACCAACCCGCTGCTCTTAGCAACATTAATCATACCACACCTAGAGACGTATATGGCTGCTCATTCGGCAACCCGATTCCTTTTGCTCGAATATCCTCCCGAACATTTATCAACCGTCCTTTCGTTGCAGCGATTGGTGGGTTCGGACCTACTAAGGGTCGCAGGGATTCTATACTCCGAAGACATAGACCCGAAGTTGAACTCCGGAGTTAAGATCCCTACACGGAGAAATACCCATCTACGCATGAATTCAAAGTCCAAAATATCGACGATTAGTACGAGAACGGGAGCAACTCTCCACACCCCCATTGAGATGAAGCAAGCAGAGTCGCCTTCATTCTCAAAGGCCAATTGGCTTCTTACATCGTCAGCTAGCGAGTCTGAGATCGCTACTCTGATATCCACGATATGGCAAATCCTCATTGATATCTCAACGTTCTACATTCCGGATGGAGTAGCTCCCAGGGCCTCGACACAGATAGATGGAGAGATGAGACGAGGTTCCAGGCGCGGATCTCAGGGAAGACCGTTAGCACAAACGCCCCTAATCAACCCGGCCCAAGATTCCGCTCCGCTATCCAACGCAGCCGCCATCATGGGCTTCCAGAAACAGGCAACCGAAGAATATGAAGCTGCTCCTCCCCTACCCCCTCCGAAGCATAAGCATCGAGTCATAGAGTCGACACGTGAAGCACAGCTAAAGTCATCTAAGGGATCTATATCAGAGACCATCAAGAGCAGCCGTACGATGAAGTCGATGCGAAGCCAGCGGAACAAGCTGCGTCATATGCTTGGGAGGGAAGCGGACTTGGACAACGCTTCGATACGTGCTGATACAACCTCCGTATACCAGGACTACTGGGATGAGGAGGACGATTACTTCGCTGCGGAGGAGCGCAAGTATATGCCTCTATATGGAAGAGAGAACGGACCGAGAAAAGGGAGTAGTCGGAAAGCGCTGAAGTGGCTGGGTCTCGCGACTTAGAAAGCTCTGCTCTCGTGGGGATACTTACTACACACCTGCCCTCATACAACTCTTCTTTTTCTCATTTTTATTTTCTATACTTTCGACACCGAGCCTCACAAAGACAGAAAAGCCGGATACGTTTCCATATAAGTATTTTATTATCTTGATTCATTCTGTAACAAAATTTGTGTCTCGCTCGAGTGTAAGAGGGGGCCTTCTCGTATACATCTGAAAGGAGACGGGATCTCCGGCTGACGATGACGATTGAGAAAGAGTTACGATCGCGATATCTTCTGGGCACACGCGCCTGTTCATTTGTACTTGTTGAACTTGTATTGAAGCTAAATGGGGGCGGGGGCGAAGGCTGTTCTAGTCGGGGCTTGCAGTTAGGCTGAACTACTCTGTATTACCTATATCGTAGTCCAAAATCCTGACTTGCCTTGAGAATAATATGAGATATCTTTACATCGTTGGTTAATACTGGTATTTTAAAAAGTGATAAAAGACAGATTATTGAAATTTCATGTAAAGAAGATGATAACAAGATCGAAGATCGATCTGGTTTACGAAATAGACTACCTATGCAGACTCAGGGGCTTATATAAGCGAAAACCCCCGCTATCATTATCTCACGTCTCACCATGTACCACGTAGGCGTTCATCCCACTTCACTTAGAAAATAAACTCACTCAAGTATAAGCATAACTCACTTAACTCAACCCCATTTACATTCTTCCTCACTGCCTTCACTATTACTCATCTCAATATCACAAATCTCGTTTAATTTTTTTTTTGGTATTATGTCCCAGTGAAATGAGGTGACGAGACGAGATCTTGGAATTCCAACCCCTCTTACCTCGGCAGTTCTCCCAACCGGAGCGGAAGTGTCCCACAATCCCGCATACGCCTCTCCCGGCCACAACCTCTCACGTCGCAGCCAGCACGCCCACCACAACGCCATGGCGTCCCCCCAGCCCCCTCCAACGCGCCCACGCTTCTCCCTCAAATTCAGCGTCCTAAGCGACGGCCTAGAAAGCGGCAGAGCGCAAGCCCTAACACAAGCAGGCCTGCACATCCACGGCGGCGTATTCCCCCTCTTCCCGAACCTGCCCATAGAGCTACGTCTCAAAATATGGGAATACCTCCTCGCGCCGCGCATAGTCGGCATAACATGTCTCGACGCCGAAGCGCCGCCAGCGTCCGAAGACGGCCTCGAGGACCCCTGGAGCAGCGCGCGCTCGCTCTGCCACTGCGACCCCCCGGCCAAAACCCCGGTCCTGCTGCTCGTGAACCGCGAATCGCGCTATCTGGCGCTGAAACACTACGAGCCCGCGTTCCGCTGGAAGGTCCCGCCGGGGTTGTTGGCGAATCCGTTCCCGCGCTTGCCTTCGTTTCCTGCTTCTCCTTCTCCTTCTCCTTTTAACTCGAATCCCAATTTAACCCCCACTCCCAATTCCAATCCCAATCCCCAAACCCGCCCAGAACCCCCCTCCCGCTCCCCCCCAAGCGTCTGGTTCTCCTTCGCCACCGACACCGTCTACCTCCTAGGCGACCTCGAGCCGTGCGACAGCTTCGGCTTCAACAGCCCGACCGTGTACTTCCTCGCGCGCGAGGAAGCGGTCCGCGTCAAGCGCCTGGCCGTCGCGTTCGCGGCGCTGGGGTACGGGGAGAGCGGGTCGCAGCATATTTTCGGGGCTCTGTTCCACGTCGTGGATAGGTTTGCGGGCGTGGAGACCGTGTTGGTTGCGGTTGTGCCGCGGGATGAGCTGACGCATGCGCTTGTGGGTGGGGAGGGGCCGTTGGTTAGGGTTGGGTGTGAGGGACGGGGAGGGGGAAAGGGGGAGGAGGTTAATGTTGTGCAGAGGATTTGGAGGGATTGGTATCGTGGGTCGATTGTCACGTCGAAGTTGGCGAGGGTGAGGTTTGAGTTGGTCCGAGAGGTGGATTTGCCGGACCGTGTTGCGTTGCCGGTTAGAGCTGTTAGAGATGGTTCATAGATGGGTAGATGGATGGGTATAGATAGCGTCTGCTAGAGGAGCGAGGAGTGATTGATAGCTGAACTTGGAGCTGGTTCGAAATGATTTATTGGTTTATATCGTCTATATACACGGCCCTCCTCTTAGGTTGAGTGGTGACTGGATGATACTAGGGCGACATTTAATGGTACATATGTACATCGCGGACTACAACGACCTGAAAACGAACTTCCTCCAAAATTTGGTAAAGCAATCAGACTCCCCTCTATAACCGCTTGAATCACAATCTACCTCCCGTTTTTCTTATCCTTGCCGAAAATTTCGCATAACGCGGGGGCGCCGCCGTCTGATCGCCCTTTGATGCCGCCTAGGAGCCAATCTGTCAGACCTACGACTTTGGCGCCTAAGCCCTTCTCCCAGTCTCCGTGCTCGTCTACGTGCTCGATCGTGTGGCTTATCACTCGGGCATCCTTGTCGAATTCGAAGATGAATAGGCCGGTAAATGTCTTTTTCTCTCCTAGTCTTAGGGTCCCTCTCAGGATATCGTCGAGCTTTTGTTCGCCATCTTCTTTGGTGGTCAATGTACCGTCTTTTGACTTGCTGCCGGCTGTTCTCCATTTGACGACTAGCTGTTCCCCGAACGCTTCGGGTCGTTTTGGGGAGGAGTAATACGGTTGGCTGACCATCCGCTCAGATAGGATTTCGAGCTGTACGTTGCCGATTATGGGAACTCGGTTCCAAACTAATGGAGACGTCCATAATGCTGCTATGTATGCAACTCTACCGGATACTGTTGGTAGATACGGATGTGTCGTGGGGAATAGGTGGAGAGAGATATGAGGGGATAGTATCTCTTGTGGTAGCGGGGATTGTAACAGGGTTGGAAGTCGTTCTTGGAGAATGCGTAGAGCTAGATATTGTTAGTGTAATGTCCAGAGACCGGAGGTGTAGACGGAAAGCTCACTTTTTCCCAGTTTTACCTTTCGTTCACTCTCAGGCTCTCTTCCATCCGAAAACGGGATATCGAACCTCGGGAATGAGGAATTGAACCATACTGGAGGTAATTCCTGATGTGAAGATAGGTTTGATATGGTGAAAGTGGACTTCGATGCTATTGTCGGTGTCGTAGCGCACACAGAAGATGAGGATGCGGCGTATACTATAGGCGGAAGTACACGCAGGGTAGCTTTGCTCACGGCGTTTGACTGCGCTCGGACGACGCTAGTTGGGAGGGACATGTGTCCGGGACCTCGATGGCGGGGTTAGTGAAGTTAAAGATTCATGAATTCGATTTAGGCTGGTTCTTGTGAGCTTGCTGTTAATTCGCAAAGGGTTGGGTGCGAGTAGGAATGTACGAGAAAATACATAATAGGTAGAAAAATTGGTATGATGTAAGTGAAGCTTCTTTTGGGGATTAATTTTTAAGTAGGCCCTGGAACGGTAGTACCGATATGCTGAAAATAGCGGGGTTCCACTTAAACTGTGCCGAAGATGTGGGAGACAGGGGATCCACACTGTTCTTCCCCTTCTCACCCCGGAACCCACCGGCCAGTTACTTAATTCAGCTGATGTCTCTGATCATTCTTTTCTAAATACAGTTCTATCTCTTCCTCGGCTGACTATTTGCGAAGGAAAAAAAGGATCTCTTAGGTACCGTTGGCGTGTTGGTACATTGATCTACTCAAGTCTGCTAGGTACAATCTTCTAGAAGTCTGTTTCGAGGGGTTGATAATAATGACGACGAGTTTATTGGTACATTGCACCGAACCGGGAACCGGATCTTACCGATATCATCTCTATCATACATAAATCCGGGATTCTCTTTATTTTCCTTTCTCGCTATCAATGTATTTTATACATAACCTGCACAAGTAACTACATCGTTACATTATATAATGAATTTGTTGTTCAAGTTTCAAGTCACACATCCAAGTGTCGATGTTGCAGTGGTTGAGATAGTCTTTGTTGGGAGACAACAACATTGAAACATGAGAAGAAGGAAGAAATCTGAATGATGGAAATATGAGTTAGGGGTTGATATTTAGAAAATATTGTCACTTGCCAATCATTCGTTTGCACTTGTCAAGTCTATCCACTGGTTGTTGCCTTGAAACATACTAAGATGCCGATGACGCTTGATATGAAAGTACCTTTAAAGTACCTCTTAAAGCTTGCGCCTCGTGATTAGGTCGGGTGGCTAGACCGACTTACGTTAGCAGCTAGCAAGTTAAACTCCAGCGGCTACCAAGTACCTAGAAGCTTGGGATACTAGCCTACCACCCAGCACCAAGTCCACCTGTCCAAATTGTGGTCTGTGCATCGCGGACTCTGGAACATCCAAGGTACTTCGATACATTAGATACGGTGAAGCACTGTGGCTTCCGCCTGCGGCTTGTCTCAATTCTCTTTCTACATCTACCAAACTAAACCCTTGGAACTACCAAACTACCTACTACCATTTACGCCAAAGACGCATCCTTCCTTTTACATCATCTCAAGTCCTAATCTATTTCGCAAACTCGCCGCCATCTTCATTCATCTTCATCCATTCAGCCTTCAGCCTAAGCTCGTCTACCTACCTCTCCTCGCTTATCAGCGACCGCCTATTCCGACCCTATTGTTTGTTGTCTTCTTCTTGAGGCAGCGCATTCACTCCCGCCAAGATGAATCCTGAGTAGTATGTTTTCCCCCTACACCCTTTCACCGTGTCGCCTAGCGACAACAACCTCGAAGATGGTACTAACAAACATGACTCCTAGTGTACACCCTTTTCCTGACTCATTCTCCCAGCAACCACCACCACCTTTTGAGATGCATCACCCCGAACCTTGATCAATAATCCAAAAACCGTACTCGGAACACTTCAAACATCTCAACATATTCGATAAATATGGCGTACTATCATAATCCACAAGTTCATGGCCTTCGTCCAGCCAACCAAGCCAAGCTCAATGAAGTTTTGCTTGCTCCTGCACCCCAACTAACTCGCCGTCCCCGCAGATACGATTATCTCTTCAAGCTCCTCCTCATCGGTGATTCCGGTGTTGGAAAGTCTTGTCTTCTGTTGCGATTTGCCGACGACACCTACACCGAGTCGTACATCTCAACCATCGGTGTTGACTTTGTACGTCGAGATCTATCTAAGGATGACATCATTATCTTAGTGCTGACTATATCTAGAAAATCCGAACTATCGAACTCGATGGCAAGACCGTGAAGCTACAGATTGTAAGATCCAGAGCCTCGACCTCATGATTATTTAGGCATTTGCTTACTTTGGTATAGTGGGATACTGCTGGACAAGAGCGATTCCGAACCATTACATCGTCCTACTACCGAGGCGCCCACGGTATCTGCGTTGTCTACGATGTCACCGACATGGACAGCTTCAACAACGTCAAGCAGTGGCTACAAGAGATCGACCGATACGCTACTGAGGGCGTTAACAAGCTGCTCGTAGGTAACAAGAGCGATATGTCGGACAAGAAGGTTGTCGAGTACACCGTTGCCAAGGTACGTAGCCATGCATCACATTAATCCCACAGCCTTGTCAGCTGGTCATTTTTTGTGAACTAAGTAATCAAATTATATATCATAATCACTAACCGAACCCATAGGAATTCGCTGACAGCCTCGGCATTCCTTTCCTCGAGACGTCAGCCAAGAACGCTTCCAACGTCGAGCAAGCTTTCTTGACCATGGCCCGACAGATCAAGGAGAGGATGGGATCGCAGGCCACCACAAACACCAAGCCTGGTGTTCAAGTCGGACCCGGACACAGCGTGTCCAGCGGAAACAGCGGTGGCTGCTGCTAAGGCAGCGAATAATGATACCCTCGTACGATCAGCAATCCTCACATGCATTTTTGATTTCCGATTTCCTGGGACGGACTGGCAGTAAAGGCATGATGCATATGGTCAGGATGGCAAGGAGGTGGGATGTGTTTAACTTTTCGCTTTTGACCGCGGATAGATGAATGTTCACTTCACTTGGATCCAACCCAACCGCCGAGATTGTTCACCGAATTCATTTCGTTCCTCGGTGAATCCCCCACGAATTATAGCATGTGTGTGTGAGAGAGAGCGGGTTCATCTAATGGTTCGAGGAGGGTGGCGTAGCAGCAGCAGGCTGCCTTCTTCTCGTCGAGTTACGTACTAATGTGATATTTCTCTCATGACTACTCGGGCGAAGCCTGTTTGTACTAGAATCTATGTGCGGTTGCTTCTTTAGAAACCTATGGCATTTTCCTGCGGGTGGAGAGAATGAAAGAAAGAAATGAATTCTACGTTTTGTGTGTATTTTCCAATGACCGGCGAAGGGGAGGGAATCGAGAGAATGATGGATAGTGGAGGGATTGTTTCGACGTATCATCACGACCTATCGTCATTTGCTCTCGTTTTCCTTGCTTTCTGATTTTTTTTTTTACGGTGTCACGCGTTCTTTGCTTGTAAATCGGAGGGTAACTTAATCATACAGACTTGTGCACAGAGATTAGGGTATATTATCTATCGGTGATTTTAGACTTGTGTGTGTGTTTTGACGTAGCGAGCGTGCGGTTTGACCTTTTGATGCATGCGTAGATCTTATTAGTAGCAACCTTAGCCAGGGGTATGTCTAACTGCTCTGGATGTCTGGTCTATGCCTAAGGTAAGGTTAACTGTGACATCATATATACAATACCATCGACGTTGTTAATAGGTAGCTATATTAGGTAAGGAATATGGGTCCTTCGGCGCATATTCCATTTACGTCATCATGTATCTTCGACGACGGGTGTTGGTTGTTGGGCGGGTGGCTTAGATAACCTGGTATGCTGTGCCGCTGATTGATTTGCCTTGGCGACGGCGAGGTAGGAGATTGAGCACAATGAGGTAAACTCGACCGAAAGTCTGTTATGCTGGTAGATGGGGTTCCAAAAATATATCCTGGTGTTGAAGAATTTAAATATAGTATAGGTATGATTCTGCGGCGGTGTTCACCCTGGTAAAGGTTGATAGATACTAGGTTAAGGGGTATTTACCCACTTTGCTCGGGAGACCTAACTCGTACCGACAACATACTAGGAGATGTGTAAAATATTGTTGGCAGTTTGGACAAGGGTATGTTCTAGTCGATATCTACAAGAAAATGGGTAGGATTCAGGCATGGCTGGTGGCGGCGACAGCATGCATCGACATAGAAAAACAAAAAGGCAAAAAGACGAAATCGGGTAATCGTCCTCAGGGCCCAGCCTTAGGTATATGGCTCCTAAGCTACTGCGCCTCCGCTCGTTGGATATTTCTTTGCGAACAACCTTTGAAGGTCCTGGCACGGCCAAGATTCGAACCCTAGACCACCACCCATTGCAGGGTGGGCATTTCTGGGAAAGAGTACGTGTCTGAGGCATCAACTCAACTGACCACAGTGGATATGTTGGTGAGCCGCCATATTTGTTGGAGATTAGGCAACTTCTTTAGGTATATATGTTTAACTTCGGAAGTGGACAGGAAGCCTTGACCACCTGACGCGACTGACGCGTCGTCGTCTTGACAATATTCACTGTACGATAATGTACTTATCCATTGCAATATTTCGACTACACGTGATTATAAATCGTAGACAATCTATTCTAGAAAACCTAACACTCCTCTCATATCTGCATAATGGGATAAACGCCTTCGCTCACAGGGTATCATAATTCGAAAACGTCCCCAAATACTCCAACATAGCAACAGATGCTAGACTAAATGCCCAAGTTTCCTCGAGCCTAATCAAAGCGATCTTGATATCTGAGAGGCTCTGAACTCCCTCTCTCACCCATTTCCAAATTTACGTTCTCTTCCCGGTGACCTTTCCCCTTTATCAGAGCGAGTAGATAGCTTCCGTGCGTTAGGTGGTGACCGGATTCTTCAGCATTATCTTCCTTAGAGATAGTTACATTGCCTAAGCATAATGAGGCAACGACACACTATTGATGGGTTAGCATCGCGAATTAGCAAGGGGCTAAAATGTAGAAGGACTTACTATGACCATAAAAGGAGTCAATGAAACGAACGCCCAAGTAATACCTTTCTGTGCAACAGTTAGTCAATCTGAGTCACGGATATCTTTGCTTGAAAATTGTAACAAGAACTTACCCTGACACCGTCGACGATCTGGAGCTTGATCTCTTCTGGGAGAGTCTTCAAGGCATCGTAATTTTTTGAGATGGGAGAATCGCTTGTAAGACCCGAGGTATTGTTAAAAACGGTAGACATGATCGTGAGAGCCAAAGTGCCGCCAAACGTCGTAGCTACGCCCATGATAGAAATTACAGTAGCGATATGGTCGGGGAAGAATCCGACAGCGTGAAGACTGCCGGGCATAAATCGCAACCCTGTGCCGGCACCCGTAAGCGCCATCATCCCATAGATGGTGGCGGTGTTTTCGAAGTATAGAGCCCATGCCATCATGCCGACACCGACTGCTTCAATTACAGATCCGATTAATAAGGGCCAAAACGTCTGTCGAGGCCAAATGTTGCATAATACCATGGAGAGATACACGCCAACTATAAACATTAGCTATGTCAAGTGTAGTAAGGGTCTGATTTAACTTACCACCAAGTCCAGGGGTATAGAACAATAGCTGAACACCGGCTTTATCAGAAAGGAACCCCTAAAGGAACATTAGTAACTGGATACTATAGAGTGGACTTTCTCAGATGGCCACATACCTTCACGATCGTGAAGTAGATGTCGACGAAGTAGAGGACACTATACATAGCCATCCCCGTAGCAAAGTTGATGTAGCACAGGAGGCTAACGTTGCGGTTCTTCACAACATTCCAAGGCAACATAGGCCTTTGAAATGACAACTTGTGGGACAACACGCCAACCGACATCGAGTATTCGTAGTATAGCCAAGCACACGCCAACAACACACCAACAATGATAGGAACGAGCACAGCAGCATCGTCCCAATCATACGTCGCGCCCGCCCACGTCAAAGCCAGGATGATCAACCCGAAACCGAACAAGAACAACAACTGGCCACCAATATCAATAGTCGCAAGACGTCGGGCAAACCGTTCTCTCCGACCGGCTTCAGACTCATTGAGTTCAGGAATAGGCTGGGGACCCAACAAATCCCTCCTCAGAAAGAAAAAGACAATCAACACGCCGAGGAACGCAATAGGCAGATTAATCCCAAAACACCATCTCCAGTTCGCCGCAGTAAGGTACCCACCAATAACGGGACCAATACCATAACACATGCCCCCCGTGAACGCGAACAAAGTCCAGTTTCTAGCGTTTTCTTTCAAAGACACTTTATCCGCCATGATGGCGCGGATGATGGTGTTGAGACCCGCGCAGGCGATCCCCTGCAGCGCGCGACCGAGCAGGAAGGCGCCGAAGGCGGTGGTGGGCACGGCGGTGCAGATGGCGCTGCCGATGAGCATGGTGAGGGAGCTGAGTTGCAGCGCCCAGTGCCGCCCGAATATGTCGGCCATTTGCGCCCAGAAGGGGATGAAGGCTGCCGAGGTTAGGTTGAAGGCGGAGATTATCCAGTTTAGTTGGGCGATTTCGCCTGAGGGTTGTTAGTTATTGTGTGTGAGAGAGGGATAGGGGCTCGTACCAAAGTCGGCGGCAATCCATGGTAAGGCACTCGCGACGCTGTTGTACTGGTTAGTATCATGATTGCATGTGAACTAGATGAGTTCCTCGTACATTGTGACGTCAAGGGCTTGAAGAGCATAAGGAAGAATCAGGCATAAGATGAGCTTCCATCGGTACTTGTTGGCTGCTTTCTCCTCAGCCTTGCACTGAGGGCAGTTCTTGCTCCTATAAATCGGGTCGGTAGATTCGCCGGCTGTGATAGTAGTCGTGACGTTCATCTGAGCGGCATCTTGGTGTTCTTGTCGTAACTTGTGTCTTTCGTGTATACATAGTCTCGTCTTTGCGGAGACCCTTTTGGCTGCTATATCGATCAACATGTTGATTATCTATCGGTTTGTAGCTTATAAAAAAACACAGATAATCCACAGAAATAGTCTTGTAAAGTAAAGTAACTTTGATTAGAAAGCCTGGGCCCTATTATATCAATACAAATACCTACCCAACATAACGAAGTGACCATATTGTCCTATATATTCCCAACGCAGTTACTAATTCTGAGTCGACACCGGCTTGGCCCCCGGAACAGGTGCCGGAAACGAGCTGTCCATTGTGGGTATGATGCATTAATGGAAGTCATTCCCGCTTGTTTTGAAACCAATGCGATGGCTTTGGAGGCTGAAGTCATCTAGTGCCGTTGAATAATCGAGTGATGCCAATGGCCAGATTGTTATAGCAGAGTTGATCTTTGACTGATAATGTTACCCTGTGCCTCCTTGGCGGGTATGTGAAGGTCCAACAGCACGGAATGGTGAAATAAGCGAGTGCGAGGAAGAAGACGATTCGTTTGAAACATCCTTGGAAGGAGAATTCCAGAAGCTCGAGCCTCACCTTAAATCCTTCCTGGCTTGTAACACTGCCAGTGAAAATGCCAGAAATGATTATAATACCCGCTTTATAGATGTTAGGTACTAGGTAGCACCTACCTGTGAGCGTGGCTGATGTAATGATAAACCTGATAGGCCTATAACTAGTACCCAGGTACCTGACATAGCCCCAAATACTGAGTAGCCCCAGAACTTAGTGCCGAACTCTAAGATCCATAGGGCTGTTTCGATTTGACTCTCGACTTTGAACTCTCGCATTCGCTTTTATCTCCTATCAACTTGGAACTCTCAAACTTGGAGCTTCAAGAAAGGGACATGTCAGTCATGCTATAAATGCAGTCATCAAAGACGTAGACAGCTGAGCATACGTATCTCGGTCTTATTTTTTTAGTTGGCTGCCTCACTTGGACTTTTTGTCTCTGCGAAACACTCAAGCCACCGGACTATCTTCATGCGCTATCATAGGATGGATTCTCAACTTACGATTTCTATCTTCAATGCATCTTCGAGATATTCCTCTATAAACGAAGACTCTTAAGGATGTTTCAGATAGAGACATATTCGCGGCAACATACCATTTACCTCGGTTTATTATACGATAACGAGGTTGGATATTTCCTTCGGATATAGTACTGAGTGATGATTTCATCAAGTGGTGAAAAACAAGCCACCAAGCCACCACCTCATCTCTTCCAGTTAGAAGTTGTTCCATTATCATCGAGGCTTCGATGGAATATCTAATCCGGAATAACCTAGTTTCCGTCTTATGTCAAGTGCACCTAGGGTTAAACTTCGAACTACCAACCAGCAGCCAGCCGACCTACCTTACTAATAGACTAAGATGTCCGCTAGACAGCTAGCCGCACAGCGCCGAAACAATGGAACGGTTTGCGAGGTCCCACATAGATCCTCGCTACCCCGCGATTACAATTATATCATTCGACAGCCCTGGTGCTTCTTTTCGGATGTTAGAACGGCTAAGTCTTTCACCCACTGGCGACTACCGCGTCACTGAACTTAGCCTCTCATCTATGTATCAATGAACACAGGGAGAGGTTCTTTATCTTAGGAGCTGGTCACTATCGTTAAGTGCGGGGATCGCCGTGGCTGCGTGGTCCGTTTGTCCGACGATTCAGCGACCTTGGATTTTCGGTGGCAACGAGACGTTCTTTGCCTTGAACAAGCACTGGCCCGAAGTCAGAGGACGGTTGAGCATTCGGAACGAGGCGCAAATAGAAATACTTTAATCCGAAGCCTTGTCCTCGGGTATATGATGTGGCCTTCCAATTCACTCTAAAGTCTGAAGTCTGAAGTCATGTTCAAAGTCAGTCTGACAATGACAAAATCTCCGAACATTCCGTTATCAAACACCAAATTTGCGATTTCACGTGTTTTTTTCCTTAGCCAGCGGCGCGGATTTACATCCTCATTTATTTATTTTCGGAATAAACCAATAATATACAGGCCTTTACAGTAGGGTCCATCGGATCTATTGGATCCATTCTCGAACGTCTGCAGGTCTAAAACGAAAACAGGTTGCTTGAGGATTCCGGGGTCAGAGCAAACCACAGGCAAACCGCAGCGCCATCTACATCAAAAACTCCACTTTTCTCTTTTTAGATACCCCAAGATACAGGACTGCAGACTACATCATCAGCTGAGGTCACATTGGTCACGTTCCTCAAGCTCTATGCCCGTAGTATATTATATCAATATACACCTCGCTACTTTAAACGAAGCGTCCTCCGTCGCTTAGCCGACAGGCGTGTTGGATCATCCATTTTGATCTTCGAATCGCAGCCAACGACGAAAAATTGCACAAATTTTCCTGGATCAGAGATTCATCAATCTCTTTCCGTCAGCTGTAGGCGTGTACTTCCTTTTGTACCTCGTCTAAGTGGATTACTGTAGTGGCACTGCCATTCCGATCCCACGAGAACTACGAGTCGCCTTTCCCCCGACCGCCCAACCAGAATCCATCCACTTGTCCGAAATCTACCCCACGACCTAGAATCGTCGCCTGGGTTTCCTCACTCGCGACTCTACTACCAAGCCTTAACCCCGTGGGGTTGGTAACGTTAGTCGTCACTGCGACAGTTAGGTAACCTTGGTGGGTTCTCGAGCCATGCACTTACTTCCCTTTATCGTGTTCCATGTTCCATATCTGACCTCATCCTTGCCTACCCCTGCCTAGCCTTTTTCGCCATCACTGCTACCCTTCGATGTAATCTCTCGTGACTCTCTAGTAGACATAAGTACTAATACAGAATCTATAGAAAGCGCCTTGTGACAGGTTACATTTTTTTCTCATTGTTCGGAATATTTGATTAATCGGAATCTGCGACATCATATCACACTGTGGTAGCTGACAGAATTCGTTCGGGTTGGCCGCTGGCTGAGACCTGCTACCCTGGTTGGAGGTATGTGAGATTCCGTTTCGTCTCTAGTACTTTTACCCAGTCTTGCCCAGTCTTCTCGGCAGATCACCGTGTTTCTACATCTAGATTACATGTCGTCGGTCCTGCGGATGAGTATCTAGTTTGCTTCACCACGCCATAGCCAATCACGTTGCTTTTCTGTGACATTATGCAAAGGATGGTACCCCAATCTGGTAGTACCCTCAGTCCCCTACATACATGTGATAGTCTATGCACTTGGGTCGACATGGCAGGTCTCCGATTCCCTTGCCATAGATCCACTTCCTTGTGTATTGACTTGGGCAGTCTTCTCATTCTCGGCCTCCGGGATGGTTTATATCCTCTATCTCTCTTCCACGTCTTTCTCTAGTTTCCCTAAGTTCCTATTTAATTCTCATTTCTATCATGGTATAACTCAAGTGATGCCACCTTACTATCTCCAAGATTGCCACTACTTCTACCGCACAGCTTTGCGCGGCCTTAGTATCAGCACTTCCGTTTCGCCGTTATACTCTTAATGTACCTGAAGTAAACTAATAAGATGCCTACTCAAGTTCGTATTTTTGCTATGCCAAAGTCTCTTGGCGAGACACTCAGTGCTAGCACCTCAACAGCGCCTACATCTTTTCCTACCCAAGAACATAAGACTGAAAGACCATCGAGCCCTGAGCTCAAAAACCGCCTCCCCATAATGGAGACGATACCAGAGAGGCTCAAGGCGGGCGGAATTACGTTTGCTAGCCAAGATAGTTTACCTAAACTACCTATACCAGAGCTAGAACATACGTGCAAAAAATATCTAACAGCCCTGAAGCCAATACAAGGGCATAGAGAGCATGCTGAGACAAAGCTTGCTGTCCAAGACTTCTTAAGGAAAGATGGGCCTGAACTTCAAAAGAAGCTTCAGGAATATGCCGTCGGAAAGACAAGCTATATAGAACAATTTTGTACGTCTCATTCTCTTGCGTGATTAAGGCATTTGCTTACTTATGCATAGGGTACGACTCTTATCTAAACTTCGATAATCCTGTCGTCCTTAACTTGAACCCCTTCTTTCTATTAGAAGATGACCCTACTCCGGCAAGAAATAACCAAGTTACCCGCGCGGCATCTCTTGTTGCATCGGCCCTAGAATTTGTTCGTGCAGTGCGCCGAGAAGAATTACCCCCTGACACAGTGAAGGGCACACCTTTAGATATGTACCAATACTCTCGTCTCTTTGGCACGGCTCGAGTACCAACAGAGAATGGTTGCCAAATTGAACAGGATCCCGAGTCTAAACATATGGTCGTGTTATGCCACGGTCAATTTTATTGGTTTGATGTCCTCGATGATAACTCTGACCTTATCATGAGCGAAAAAGATATATCTATAAATCTCCAGACAATAATAGACGATGCGGCTCAGACGCCAATCCAGGAAGCCGCCAAGGGTGCCTTTGGTATTCTCAGTACAGAAAACCGCAAGATCTGGTCGGGTCTGAGAGATGTCCTTACTAAGGAGGAGGGATCAAATAACGCCGACTGTCTCGGAATCGTTGACTCGGCTTTATTCGTACTGTGTCTCGACTATACAGAACCGGCAACATCAGCTGCACTATGTCAAAATATGCTTTGCGGCACGAATGATGTGGTGAAGGGAGTACAAATTGGTACTTGCATCAATCGATGGTACGATAAACTTCAAATAATCGTCTGCAAGAACGGAAGCGCGGGCATCAATTTCGAGCATACTGGCGTTGATGGTCACACTGTACTCCGATTCGCTAGTGATCTTTATACGGATACCATATTACGTTTCGCAAGAACCATCAATGGCCAAGCCCCAAGTCTATGGAAGACGGCGAGTCCGGATCCGTCAAAACGCGATCCTGAAAGTTTTGGGGATGTGACTACAACTCCCCACAAGTTAGAGTGGGATATATCACCCGAGCTTAACATTGCCATACGATTCGCTGAAACCAGGCTTGCTGATCTCATCAGCCAGAATGAGTTCGAGTGCTTGGATTTCAGCGGCTATGGAAAGAACTATATTACTTCCGCGGGATTTTCACCAGATGCATTTGTGCAGATGGCTTTTCAAGCAGCTTACTATGGATTATACGGGCGAGTTGAATGTACTTACGAACCGGCCATGACGAAGACATTCCTCCACGGTAGAACCGAGGCCGTACGGACCGTATCAGAGGAATCGGTCAATTTCGTTCAGTCGTTCTGGGCGGATAACCCTGCGGAGGCTAAAGCAGATGCCCTCCGCAAGGCGTGTCAACAACACGTCAACGTCACAAAGGAATGCTCCAAAGGGAGAGGCTGCGACAGGCACCTCTACGCGCTGTTCTGCGTGTGGCAAAGGTATCTGGATGAAGAGAGCAACCGCTCACCTAGCAGCGTGGGATATTCAAGCCCGGTCGAGAATGGCTCAAATGGCTACACTTCGGACCAAGGTTCCCCTGTTGGTAGCCCTACCAGGGAATCGGTGTCATTGAACGAGGGACGATCGCGTCAGCGCGGTGACAGCACAAATTCGCGATGCTACGACAACCAAGTCCCCGCCATATTTGCGGATAATGGGTGGGATAAGCTGAACCACACTATCCTTTCAACATCCAACTGCGGAAACCCCTCTCTCCGCCAGTTTGGCTTCGGTCCGACATCGGGCGGCGGTTTCGGGATAGGATACATTATCAAGGACGAAGGCATCAATATCTGTGTTAGCAGCAAGCACAGACAGACGAAGCGCTTCGTGGACACACTCGAGAGCTATCTTTTAGAAATCCGGAGGATCTTGCGCATCACGAACCGGAAGACGACGAGCTCGAGGCAGACAAGGGCGAGAGAGATCGACCCGGAACGTCCGAGGATGAACCATCATAGAGCCAAGACGCGGGGTCGCATGATCACTGGTACCGACAGCTTAAGGGCGATGGCGGCGAGATCGAGCACGGGGACAAGGAGTCCGACGGATGAGAGTTTGATGATGAGTGAGGATGACGAATTGGGCGGTTGTAAGTCTCTCTACAGACTACTCTATTTAAACAATGCTAACAATATCCTAAGACGGCTTCTTCGACGCAGGAATGCTGCTCCAAGCCCTAAAAGCACGAGGCGAAGCGCTCGACCAGCAGAATGAATCGAAGGCGTTAGAGAGAGCCGCGGCGAACGCGAGGAGGCGGGAGATCGGAAAGAAATTGAGATTGGTGGAATATTGACTCTTATGAAGATCTACGACGCGATGACTGTGCTTATACTCGAGCGGAAGAAGACGGGAGAGAGAAGGGGCATGAGTGTTACGATTGTGGTTCGGTATATGTATGTATGTCTTATATAGCGTGGTTATGTGCCGGTGTTCTTATAGTGTATGGTCTAGCTATCAAATTCTTATATGTCTATCTATCTACGTCTTTTCCGATATCCTGCTACTAAATTGACAGTGATCACAAGCTTGTGGTATACTAAGTTACTTTATATTTTACTTTATTCTCTCGCTCTAAACATTCAATGGCTATATAAGTTATTAACTCCGCAATGCAATGCCATGCCGCATGCCCCCTATTACCTAATATGTATGAAGATATATGTCATTTGAGTACCCAGGTTCCTAGATATCATATTACATCCAGCTCATCTACTAAATATTAATATAACCGCAATTAGTTAATCTCTTAACCTAACTCATGGAATTGTCCGTGATGGTTCGCATTATAATCCCGCTCACCGACCACGTTCCCGCCGGCCTCGTGCACGGTCGGCGGTACGTTAGGCTGTGGCGACGGCTGTTGTGGTGGGTACCCGGTCACAACACCGTTTTGGCTGTGCTGCCAGCTCGAATTGATTGTTGAAGTCGGGCTTGTCGGCGGCTGCATGCTGCCTGGTCGATTTGTGCTGTCTAATTGCGATACTGGGCTCGTCGAGCTGTTCCTATCCGGCGCCTCGGCCGCCACCGCGACAAAGCCACCAGGTTTGGTCGGGTCAGGGTAATATGCTGTCTGCTGAGGGAATCCGGGAGGGGAACCGGGCTGGGATGGGTATTGCTGGCTGTAGTGCGGGTTGTATGGCTGTTGCTGTTGCTGCTGGAATCCTGCGGCACCAGCGGCGGGTGCTCCGGGAGGACCTTGTTGCATTTGTGGGGCGGCGGCGGCGGCTGCGGCTGCTGCAGCGGCCTTCTTCTTCTTCTGATTCTGGTGTCGGATGAGGAAGAATATACCGAGTCCGATTAGCGCAAGGCCACCAATACCTCCAACGACACCACCGACAATGGCGCCGACGGGTGTTGAGGACTTGGAAGAGTTGCTCGAATTTGATGTATTCGATTCGGAGCTGTTGTCGCTGCTGTCGCTGCCAGACGAGGCGGTGTTTGTGGCGGATGAACCCGCACCAGTCTTAGTGGCAGAACTAGCGCGCGTCGTGCTCGAGTTATCGTCTATCGTGACAACGACCGCAGTGAAAGTCCGCCCGGTTTGGCCACTGTAGGTGGTGTATAGCTGCTGCGGTGTCGAGCCGCTATCGGTATCACAGAAGAAGTCTGAGATACCGGAGGATAGTTTGACTGTGCCGCAATACGGCGCGGAGATGTGTGTACTATATAACTGTGAGTGATATGCTGTCTACTAAAGACCATGGAGTGTAACTCACCATTTAGCTGTGAAAGTATCTTGGGCGCAGTCGGCGTCACATGCGCTTGAATATACGTAATCCATATAATCAACGCAGGCAACTCGGAGACCGCAGTCATTACCATCGCAACAAGCGATGGCACCGATTGTTGATGTTGTGACGATCGCGCAGGTGTAATCCCTACCGTTACAGGTATATGCAGAGGCTATGATCAAGTTAGATAAATAACCCTCTTTAACCCAATGCGATATTTCATACCAACTCGTCCACTAACATATCCACATGTGTTATCCGGTGCTACAAGTACTGTTTGTCCAGTCTGTCTCTTAGCTAGTTCGTGAATAGCCGGGCCGAGAGTGATCTCGGGCATAGAGATTGTCGGATTCGGTATTAAGCCATTTGTCGGCTGCGCTGGCCTTCCATCAAAGGCCAATGCCTGAACGGCGGTGACGAGCACCGCGACAGACAGGAGGCTCGTCATCTTCGTATTTTAAGAGAAACCTAATAGCAGATTCTGGGCTTCCAACTCTTCTATGTCGGGCGTATCGAGGTGTTACTTGAACTCGGGATTTACAGATAATGACGGTCACCTACGAGAACGAGGAAAATACGGCCGAGAGCGCGCGTGTCGGGACGTCCACTCCCTTTTATTAAAGACGAAGGCTTCGGGCAACATGGTGATATACTCCGAGCCTATGCACTACATCTAAACGAGTTGGAGTGGCAACACAAGGCGCATTTCGCCCAGGTCTAGACGAGCGCTTTCGCACGTTTATCGCTTTTTTCTTCATCTTGGTCTAAGATGAAGGGTCCGCTCAGCCTTGAGCCATACCGTTTCCCGCAAGGGGAGATTAACTGACCAGCATCACAAGCGGTCGTGACCAATGGCGAGCCAGTGAGGTCAGAGATGGCTTGCAGGAGCTGAAAAGCCGCCCAGGGACTTTCGGTGGCGTCGCCAAGGAGCCATAGGAGCTATAGGGTATAGCTTCGCACGAGACCCTCGAAGAAGCTTGGGTCTCTGCCTATACTAGTTTGGCAGAGCGGAGCTGTTTGCTCTCCATGCAGTCCATGCGTGGGGTTTGGCATGTCCATCAGATACTTGACAGGTATAACCACGTTCTCTACACAAGAAGAGCCGAATTGAAATTCGGGAGTAGCCAGCGGTTACTGCCGTGGATAATACTCGTGGTATTGAGTGACCTCGCCCGGGTTGTGTGTTGTGTTGTATTTTACTTACCAATGTTACATTTGCGGCTGAGAGTAGTGAGCCAAGACAAGAAAATATTCATCACCCTTGCGTCTCAGCTCATATCTCAGCTTTACTATGCCTACTTCTTCTGCTGTGTGACAGTCAGAAGAGAGATCTGAAAAAAAGCAGAAGAGAGAATGAGTTGCTGGCGGCTTGGCTGTGGAGATTATGTTGTGACTGTTATTCGACTGTTGAGTCCGCCGATGGACTCATTAACAGCCAGTCGTCAAGGATGACCCGATAACCAAGCAGAAACACATGGCCGGATACGATATTGGGTCTTCCGGCCTAGCATTAAAGCTCATTAGTGTATGGAACTAATCTAGCGTAGGGCGTAAAGTTGAGATTAATAATTCGGAATTCTGGACGAAGGTGTAGTGGATCTCGGAGCTCAAATAGCTAGACTCGGATGTGTTCATCAGCTTTCGCTAGATTCAGGAATCCAGAAGAGTCTATTTAGATAGATCAAAACCACCATGAACAATTCTCACAATGATTGCCATCAAGTGGTGTTAAATACGACGTTGGTAAGAAGTTGAAAAGAAACTCGGCATATCAGATTGAAGGGGATATAATCAAATCCGTGCAGGGGCGGGAAGAGAAAGGGACTTTGGTTTCTTATGGGGGGATCTAACCCTAATGAGGCGCACTTAGGCGAAATGTCGGGATAGCGATGGCTTTTGGACTCCACTGATTGGCGGTCAGATTAAGCCTTACAGGGGAACATCTGATTGGTCTACCGGATGTTACCTAATAACCTTAACCCCCCAATCCACGTATCCACCGCCACGGTTTTCGAGCCCCCACCCTACAACAACTCTAACCTTCCTTGAACTTATGTACACCGAGATCAGCTGATATCGCGATATCAGACTCAACTACCTATCCGAAACGGGATCGATATTCGCGAGAGAACACACCGTTACACCGGATCGGCTCGGTACGGCACGGTACTGTGCCATATAACCTATACGTACATATGTAAATCTGCGTGGGATATAGACAACGTGTAGATGCAAATGCTGCAGCCGATCTCATGACCGATCTCTTGCGGATCCTGCCGGACTTTCCAACCGCCCGGTATGCGAATCTTTTACCCACCATCGAGAGGGAAGGTCTGACCACCGCGGACCTCCTCACTCTCCAGGTCCCGGACATCGGCAAACGAACCCAGTTACCGCTTCTAGATATCAAGCGTCTATGCGCTGCTGTGCTTGAAGCCCTTCATGTTGACTTAGGTGTTTCGGACAAACAGCAACAAAAACAACCGAAAGATGATAATGGCGGCAAAGGTGCGGAGAAGGCAACAAGTCCAGGAGCCCTAAAGCGTACCGGCACCGAGCTCCTTGCCGAGCCAACCCGCTACATAAGCACCTTAGACCCGGACCTAGACCTCGCCCTCGGCGGCGGCGTTCCCGCAGGCTACATAACCGAGATCACAGGCGAAAGCGGCGCCGGCAAAACGCAATTCCTACTAACCCTTCTCCTCGCCGTCCAACTCCCACCACCGCACGGTCTCGGGCGTCCCGCTCTATACATCTCAACCGAAGCACCGCTCTCCACGCGGCGGCTCTCCCAACTCCTCTCGCACAACCCATTCTTCCAATCCCTGCCCGCCTCCTCGAAACCCACACTAGACAACATAATCGGCACCGTAACCCCAGACCTCGAATCGCAGGACCACATCCTAACCTTCCAAGTCCCCGTCGAAGTCGCCCGGCGGAACATCGGGCTCCTAATCCTGGACTCCGTCGCCGCCAACTTCCGCGCCGAATACGACCGCGGGGCCTCCAGCAGCGCTAACCTCGCCGCGCGGAGCACCGCGCTGCTAAACCTCGGTCTACACCTGCACGAGCTCGCGCGGAAGCACAACCTCGCCGTCGTAGTCGCGAACCAAGTCGCCGACCGGTTCTCCGGGTCGAGTTTCAAGGGAAGCAGCGCTGCGCAACCGTTCTCTCTCCCGCGCGTGTCGCAGGAAAGCCCGTTGGCGAAGCGGAGTAAAGGCGGACTTGGCACGCCGGTGCATTTATCGGGCTGGAGCGTCGACCCCCCGAGTAGCGGGACCGCGGACCTCGTGCGCTCGAGCATGCCGGAGCCGACGCCGGAGGAGGCGCCCGCGCCGCCTGCGCTGCTGCTCGATCACCAGCAGCGATGGTTCACGGGGTGGGGGGACGCGTACCCGTACCCGTACTCATCGTCGCATTACGGGTCGTCGGAGCAGAATCTCAAGACGCCGAGTTTGGGGCTAGTCTGGTCGACGCAGATCGCGGCGCGGGTGGCGCTGTGGAAGCGTCCTGTGTATGGGCGGAAGGAGGTGCTTGATGATGGGGAGGGGGAGAGCACGACGACGTTGAGGAATTGGAGGAGGTGGATGAAGGTCGTTTTCGCACCGCATGTGGCGGGCTCGGGACCTGGGTTGGATGGGGCGGTTGAGTTTGAGGTTACGATGGGTGGAGTGAGGGGTGTGGATAAGGATAAGGGGAAGAGAGGAAAGGGGAAGAGGAAAGGAAATGAGGAGGAGGAAGAGGAGGAGTGATATTGGGCAGCTCCTTATATACGAATTATTATATATTATATGGATGAAGTGATTGGGTTCATTGGAGGATTATTGGCATATGTGGATCTAGGACGGAGTAAATCGCACGAGATGGAACAATGCATATCACGCAGACAATAGTAATGAAAACATTTATAAAAAGTCCATCCGGAGTATCTCATAAACGTCTTGGGTATTGATTGTACACATTACGTTCTTCAGATGCTATATCGATTCCCAGTCGCAAATCAATCTTAACTGCGTACCTAAGTATTACGCAGATGCCATACTTTTCCTTGTCCCAATGCAGAAGCAAAATGCACAGCAAAAAGTTGCGCCGCCCAATGCAAATCTCACATCACATCATCCAGTCAGTCCTCTCTCCACCACATTATCTCGGATGCGGAAATTCATCCTCCAACTGTAACCGCACGCCGACGTTCATGCTGATGAGTTCTTGAATAAGAAGCTTCGCAGCATACGGCATAGTCATACGAGCAACCTCCCGGCTGCTTCGACAGGTGCTACAATATCCCTTGTACCCAAATAAACCGCAACGCTCGCAGATATCAATATCAGTTGCGTCCGAACTTATCATCAGACGTTCGAGAAGAAGCTGGGAGGCACCATATGCGATTAAGCAATCACGTTCCATTTCTCCAAGACGAAGACCACCATCTCTTGATCGACCTTCCGTTGGCTGGCGAGTGAGGATGGCTCGTGGACCACGAGAACGGGAATGCATCTTATCTTGTACCATATGCTTCAGTCGCTGGTAGTAGATAGGTCCGTTGAAGATATAAGCTTGAAGTGGTTCGCCTGTGATTCCAGACGTAAAATAATCTTTTCCTTCCCAAGAGAATCCTGCATTGACCAACTCTCTGCTCATATGCTCCAGGGGATGCGACCTAAAAGCGTCGCCATATCCGTATTCCTTATGTCCCCTAACAACCGAAGCCTTGCCCGTCAAGCATTCGAGCAATTTGCCGACTGTCATACGAGACGGGAAACCGTGAGGGTTCATGATAATGTCAGGCACAAGACCTGTATCTGAAAATGGTAAATCCTCTTGATCCACAATGATCCCAACAACACCTTTCTGACCGTGCCTAGAAGAGAATTTGTCTCCCAATTCAGGTCTTCTAGTTTGTCTAGTTTGGACCTTGATAAGTTGTGTATCTCTCTCCGTTTGGGTAACCATGACTTTGTCGATATATGCCGGATCCGGAAGTCGATACGACAACGACGTTTCGCGATACTCTTGAGCCTTTTTAGCTCCAACTCCGACTACCGGGTTCACGTCAATAGGAGTCTCCTTCCTGATGAGAACTTCTCCGCTGTGAACCTGGCATCCTACGTCAGCCAACCCGTCATCACCTAGGGCAACATTCTTTGCCTGTGTCGCGTCCTTGTCGCCAATTCTCTCGCGGCTTCCGTTAGCGTACTTCTGAAGATCAGCCGTGTACTTTCGGAACACCTGAACTCGTCCAAACCCGCGATCACAAGATGCTTTGTTGAGAACTAAGGCATCTTCAATATCGTAACCTGAATAGGACATGACGACGACAGTTGCGTTCTGCCCCGCAGGCAATTTGTCGTAGTGAATGAGCTCGATGGTCTTAGTGATGACCATCGGTCGTTGAGGATAGACCATAGTGTATAGGAGGGTGTCGATGCGGTTGAATTGATTGTAAGCAATAGCTCCGATGGCTTGCTTACCCATAGCGCATTGATATGTGTTTCTAGGAGACTGGTTGTGGTGCGGGAATGGGATCAAGCCGGCCACGGCTCCAAGGATTGTGAATGGCTCAATCTCAACGTGTGTCGTCATTTTTGTGATGTCCTTTTCATAGAGCGCTACCAATGTATCGTTTTCTTCATTGACATCGAGATATTCAACGATACCTTGCTTCAGAAAGTCATCGAATGTAGCTTTGCCAGCCTGTAGTAGTCTCAAATGGCTTTCCTTAATTTTCGCTTCGCCGTTTTTCACGATGATATACGGTCGGCAGATGCGCCCCTCATCTGTTGCAATATGAACAGCTGATAGGTTAGCGTTGACGTTGATACCGACGAATGGAGATATCCATCCCCGACGTCTCATGGTACGAAATTTAGCTGCAAACCGCTTCGGGTATCGAGCTAGAGCAAAGGGTGTACCGTTTATATAGACAATGTAGGTACCTTTCCTATGCATCTCGGACCCAGTGAAGTATTGAAGAGGTTCAACTCCAGAGTCTAGTGTAAACGCCCATCTTTTGACTGGGTCTTCCTCTACATTAGTCGTAATATGTGTCATGAGAGCCAAATTTTTGATCAAGCCACATGCTTCACCTTCAGGCGTGTCGGAGGTACAAAGCATACCCCATTGTGACGGCTGCAAAGCACGAGGACCGCTGACTTTTCTCGTCTTTTCAAATTGACTGCTTATACGAGTCATCATTCCGAGGGCGCTGATATAACTGAGACGGCTGAGAACGTGTGTAACACCGGCACGGTCCATCTTGAATCGCTTGACGCTCCAATTTCCGGTTTGGATTGCGCGATTCATGCCTTCGGTAATATGCTTCCCCTGAGCACCAACTTGGACCAGAGGATCGATGGCAATAGCACGATTCTGCTTCCTTAGAGAGTTCTCAACGGTCAATTTCAGTTGGTACATGAAATTCTTGAATAAATCCTCAAAAAGCAAAGACAAAAGTTGTCCAGCCAATTCTAGTCTCTTGTTGCCAACGAAGTCTCGGTCGTCGACGAGTTTAGGATTGTAATGCGCCATAAGCACTCGACGAGCCATAAGTGCTATGTAGATAGCTTTGGGATAGAAATCTAGACCCTCGACTGGGATATGGGCAATGATGAGGTTCGCGAGGGCGTCAAGGCCTTCTTCAATCGTACTTCGCCGAGCAGTTGGAGGACCCCCTGGCTGTTTTCCTCTACCTCCCATTTTTACTCGTGCGCCGATATAATCTAACGCCTGGTGCTGAGTAAAGACACCAACCCTAGTGGCTTCCTCGAAATTAACTCCGAAATCATCCTGAAATCGGGAGTCAGAACCAGCAACCAGCTGCATAATCTCAAAGTCGGTAAGACCACCGAGAGCCTTGAGGATGATGACTATGGGTATAGCCTCAACAAGAACGTTATGTTGAAGAACGATGCGTTCCTTCTTTAGAGTAACATACGTCTTCGACTTTCTTTCGTGGGTAGAACTGGTCACAGAAGCCGTGATGATACTATTCTTCTCGTCGGATTCTACGATGACTCTGTTCTTGCTTAACTGCTCCTGGACAAGAATAACCTTTTCCGTCCCGTTGATGATGAAGTATCCACCGGGATCGAGCGGGCATTCGTTCATAAGTTCCATCCGGGCGTTGTTAGCACCGTGTAGTCGGCATTTGTTGCTTCGCAACATTACAGGCATGCGTGCCAACTCAACATTTCGTCGAATGATCTTCTGCTTCTCACGAGTATATGCAATATCGACGAGGATCTTAGCAGAATATGTCATGTCGCGCAGGCGACATTCCATAGGGGTGATCTCATTTTCGATTCTAAATTCGCTGAAGTCAGAGCGATCCGGCGACACGACTCGGATGTCGATAAACTCAATCCAGAAGCTGCTATCGACATCGCTTCTGAGCGTGCGGTTTGCTTTGACGATTTCCTTAATCTCATGGTCGACGAAGAAGTTGTATGAATCAATATGTCTGAAATTGCTTAGTTAGTATCGTTGACTATATATATATTACAACCCTTTGTAAGGATCTCATGTAAAAACATACTGTTTCACCAAACCTGTTTGAATAGTGTTAGCGTATTGAATATAACTCGCTTAATCATCATGCAGATCTCATACATACCCTTCACCTTCAAGAATGCGGGAAGTAGTTGATTCTTGTCCTCCACAGTAGAAATGGGGTCTGTCAACTTCTTGCCATTGTAAAATGGCTCTAAGAGCGCCTCAAATCCGTCATCGATGTAAGGCATCGTGGCGGTCTAACATTTCCATGCCACTCTGATTGCGTAGATGGTGAAGTTGACGATGGTTGGTTGAGATCGTGGATGACTATCAACATTCAAAGTGAGCAAAGTCTGTGACGGCTCTCGTCCCCCACCAAAGAAAAAAAAACAAGGGTCAGTTCTATGTACCTTCGTACTGTACGTACTAGGTAGGGAAGTTGATTATGTAACGCACAAAACTTTCCCTTGCTAGTCCGGAAAGTCTTCAACTTTAAACCAATTAGAGTTTTTTTAATGTCTTGGACCCCAAAGTACCTAGGTACCCGGCAGACTCCATGGGGAAATGAGTTGACGATGGAACCGATAGAACAGACAAACCGGAGATTTTTCAACCCTACATCGACGGACGCTTACTTGGAAATCTTCCCATTCCTCTGATTCAAATGTCTTCATGCCTAAATCTAATAAATTCAACGGTCCAATTGGAAAAGATATGCACTCTCAATTATGATTAGCTTACGGGCTATCGCATCACATCGATTGTTTTTTTTTTCTACTAGTACTAGGAAGGGTGATATTCGCCCTTTTAGTTGCCATCGAGAGAGGCTACTTGCTGGCTGATGCCTATGCACACCCCCCGATCGGGAAACCTCTCTATTTTTACCCAAGAAAGGTCGGCTTGATGTCCATCAGGGACGCGAGTCCGGGACGTCGATGTCTGAAGAGTGCCATCCAGTGAGCAGATGGGGTTTGGCCAAGTGCCAAGGATCAAGCTCGTTCATCTTAATGAGCCATTTCAGCCCCTCTTTACCCCTCCATCGTCGTAGGTAGAACAGTTGCTGCCCCTCGTCTCTACTACTTCTGCAGCTTTCCTGCAGATTCACTGCAGGAGACTGTACGCTGTGTTGGCAGATCGATCCGTCCTGCATTGACCTGTAAAGTCGCCTCATCCTTGAAGGCTGGACGTTCAGGATAGGAGAGACCTCACAGGTACTTCGCGCGATGACTGCAAAACAGATAGTAATGCAGCCATTTCGTCATATCTCAAATGGCTATCTAGCGAGAAGCATGTAAAGAGGGGTTAAGAGGCGGGGATATGCGAATGGAAATTTTTCATCTGAAGGGAAGTATGTATGCTACCGGCCATACTGCCATGTATCCTGGATCGTCGATGTGCCTACCTAAAATTCCTTCGTTAGTAATCTCATCGACTCACCCGAGCCAGTTCCAGACCTCGTCCGGCTCGAAAGATCGCCAAAATTTGCATCTAGACCATCGTATTTCCGACCTTCGTGACCTCGCCTGAAACTTTAAAGATTCAATCATAATTTCCGAAAGGTCGAGCAACGATGGTATATATATTGCCTGTTGGTCTGTATAGGAAGGTTCATATACTAGTTGACTGGGTCTAGTATATGCAAGCCACAACGCACATCGTGATCCAAAGTATCCGGGGAAAGGAGCTGATTTTCTCCCGGGGCTGGCTGGTTGGGTGACGTGCAGACTCACTAGGGCAGGTAAGTCCTCCGTGTCTGACCCAAAAGTCGGTGAGCTGAACAAGGATAGGTAGTTTGCGTAGCCGCCCAACCCGTTGTGTAGGTAGGCTCGTAGGCAAGTAGCTAAGGGACCGTCCCATTGTAATGTTGCAAGTCGCAACCTACTTCAGGTGTTCTCAACCTCGCCACTAAGGTAGCTTTAGTTGAAAACCAATGATAAATTGTACTTGGGAATTATCTTACGTTCGGCGATCCTCGTGCCAGGAATGATATAGTCTCGGTTTAACACGGTCTATAGTATTGGAACTCACTAGCACTAAGGTAACAAATTCCAGAGTGGCAATAGTGACAGCAACTATTTTGTAAAGAAAATGTATGATGCATTAATAAGTTGAGGGAAGAGAAAAGAAAAAAAGGGCATCGTTCGTCCCAACAACAGCCAACAACGGGGGGGCCGTCCCTTCAACATTAGAGCCGCGCTAGGAGCCTGTTAAGTGCGAGCAGATCTAGGCTCGATCCGAAACTTTAAGGGAGCCTGGAGAGGACCCTAAGCATGTAAGAGACGGATTGCAGGATATGGCAAGATGTCAAGTGGTATTACATGGTGAAGCGTTGCTTAATAGTCCTGAGAGAGCCGAAGATCGATGCTATCTTCGGAATAAGGAACTGGTGAACTTGGCTCGGAAGAAGTAGCCTCTGCAAGAATATGCGTCACTGATGGTCTAAGTTACCAGCTGGATAGGATGATCTGATTAATGTCGAACAATGTCTCAGAATTCGCCATATAGTACCTACATAGTAGTAGCCCAGATCTGTGTTCGCTGTAACTGACCCGAGAAGCTACAAGCTACCTAGCTCCAAGCTGCCTATGAGAACTTTTGGACCAGACACCCGTCCGCCGGGTAAATGCGCCAATTCTAGAATCAGAAGAGCCAGACGGCAGCTCCCCCAGTATCGAGACTCCAAAAGACTTGGTGTTAAAGACCTATGAGAAGCTGTCTCGTAGCAAACTAGACTCGGGCGTGGATAAGGAACTCATCCAACCACAAGTCATTGATGTACAATACAATACCAATTTATACCTTTGTATTCTTGCATGCATAGCGCCCCTGTGGAGTCTGCTAAACCGGGAGAGAGAACGTACATATACCGTCCGAAGATTATAGACGTAGAGGCGTGGATGTCTTCTGCTGCAGGTCGGCATGACGGCATTGGACAACCGAACAGAAACAAAAGATGGAAGGATGAATCATCTTACAGGATTGAGTTGGGCTGGAGTGACTCGAGCGACTCGAGTGAATTTAAAGGTGTCTGAATGTATCCATATGATCCTATACGGAAAACATCATAGAAGTGGTGAGCTGAGTCTCTACCTACTATCGACATCCATTACGGCAGATACCTAGATTCAAAATCGGATTATTTGCAGTCCAGATACTCTCCCCGCACTGACAAAAGGCTAGAGGGACATGAATACCTTGTCCGCATATCGGCCATGGCTTGCGCTGGCGTTTGGAGCCAAAAGAGACTTGGACCACGCTGGTTTGTTCGACGACCTCTGGTGACAGGTAAGGTTCCGCTCACCGCTTCCCCCCTCTAGTTTGAGCAAGCTACTCCCAGCTACCAATCCTAGCACTCGACGACGCCAGGGGTGGCCAGGTACCTAGGTCAGCCACTTACCACAAAGGGTATATCAATATTCAGAACCGTCGCAGCGAAACGGTTACTTGCCTACCTACCTACATATATTCCTACACAATGTACTTTATAGGAAAGGCTACATATGTGATGTGTAACCATCTTTCTGGAAAGTCGCTATCAACTACCTTGAGCAATTGAAATAGCCTGCTCCATTGATATCGTGGAAAAGGAGGATTGTAGAAAGCGGCTGAGTCTTGGCACGTAACTCGAATAAAGCGAAGTGAAGAAGTTCTGTTTTGCTAGCACAATTAGGTTGGACCCCTCGAACTCCACCCATTTTTATTCCAAGTCTTTGGTTAGAGTTTGCGGCCAGCACCGTCGCCATCAAGTCTCCTATGCTGTAAGTTAAGTTTTAAAAAGGGGTAAGAACCTAGAACCTGGACCCTGAAGAACTAACAAAGTCTATCGCATTGAATTGTAAATGTCACCAGCTAAGATATATTTCCCTTTACCTATTAAGTAATTAGTTGATCACTAAACTGTAGCTCATACCTAGTCCCAGATCTGTCTATTGAAGTTTCCGATTCTTCTGTAACGATATCGAACTTACCCAGGTACGTATGTAGGTACCTTGCTGTTTCGTACCGTTGGCATCCATGGGAATCCATGGGATACATGTTCTTCGTATATGTGTGTAATCCATAATCCGTAGGTACCTATGTACCTACCTAGTAGGTGATAACGTTTTCTCGAGCGCTATTTTCCACAGTCTTCTTATGAACGTACATATCTGTAAAACGGTTTCATAATCTTATACATTCATCGTACGAACAAGTAAGCACCAAATACCGTAGGAGCATTAAGAATACTAGGTAAGATCTCATCAGCGACATGGAAAGGATTACAAACCTCAAGCTTTAATATGAAGGTACGAAGAATTGATGGTAGCAATTGACTGCGGCTAGTAGGTATTCTGTACACGTAACATTAGTGTGTTAGGCTCTATTAAGGTGGGTAGAAACCAGGGATATATGAGGGGGCCAGCAAGCCAGACTGTACTTGGAGTTGCCCACCGAAATCCACTATGGCGCATGTACACATTTCGTACCTCCCACAGCACATGTGCACTTATCCCGTAGGCTATCGCTTAGGACCTAGGATGTATCCTGTATCCTGCCTAGGTGTCTGGGTGTCTCCTGTATCCTGGGCGAAAAGTTGTACGTTGTACGTTGTACAGGCTGTACTACCTCCAAACAGACTCGACTAGGGTAGTGGTGGGAAAGCACGATTTGACTGGACTGGAGCCAGGAAGTATTATTGAGGAGCAACTGGAGAGCAGCAAGTGTGGAAGGGTTGGTTGCGCCTTTGTCCTAATTCTAACCTCCTCCCTGTGCCTTGCCTCAATCCACTCGCAGCAATTGAAACATTGAAGTCTCCTTCTCTTCGCACAACTCCACACTCTTTTATTATTATTATTATTTCACTTGGGATTTTGCGATTTGCAAAAAACCTTCTTTTTTTCCTTTTCCTGTACTTGCGCTGCCGCTCCTGGCTCTCCAGGGCCGCATTTTTGCGTTCTGTGTTATAGTTGTTCTCATCAAAGGTGAGTGAAGAGATTCAGTTCCGCGTTGTCAACAGCCGAAGACCACCTTTTCCCAACCAAAAAAAAAAAACCCTTTGAGACATCGTCAACTTGCCCTACCCGCGTAAGTCGAATGCCGAACGAGGGATAAGCAGCGGCGACACAACGGGAACACGGGCGCAAAAACAAAAGTTGCTAGTTTATCCTCCTGAGACCCCTCATTGCGTATCTTGTATATCTTGTATAGACACAGCAAACTCGCAACCTTCCTGCAATCCGCACTTTTAGCTATCAGAAACAATGCTGACACTAGCCTTCTCGATATCCGCAGTTTATAGAAAAACCCGGTGGTTGCCCAATTTGGCCTGTACGAAAGCTTTTGGTGTTGTAACAACAGTAACATGGATGATTACCGTTTTCGCGCTCAGCAATCTCCAAGAAACGAAGCGCCGATGAATTCTCTTGTCTCACCGCAGAGAAATGGCAGGCCTATGCCTCCGCCAGTCTCGCAAGATCCTCGAACAACTTTGCCTCGACGATTCACCACCGACTCGGGGCGTGTACCAACATTGTCCACTATATCCACGCAGCGATTGCCGGAACCCCAAGAATATACTGCCGTGAGTCTTCCATGGCTTTTCCAAGTTTTCCCCAATTCAGTCCAAGCGCTAGTCGTAGCCTTCTGCTGGTGTTGAAACTATCTCGACCAATGTCTCAATGCTCCTAATTGCATGTCTTGCTCTTGTGAAACTCGCAGCTGACATTGGTCCATATTAGACCCAGTATAAAGTACAATTGGTAAGGCTATTATTCCTCTGGCATTTGCCGTCCTGGGATTGATTCCACGTCACGCGTCCGTGCATGTGCTTGATGCCAGCATCTGCTTGCGATTGTTATTCATTGTTTTGATATAGTCGAGTTGGCGCTCACCGGTTGTACAGTTAGAGAAGAAGAAAGTCGAGTATGAAAAGCTTCGAGAGCAAAAACGGCGATTCGAAGCCGAAATGCATAAGCTAGACCAGCAGCAACGGCGGGATGAGTTTGATATTGCTCAGATGCAGGAAGATTTAGGTCGGGGGAATGGGATAGGCATGACGGGTCATCAGTCCGAGCCGACGACGCCTCCCGAGTATCGAGAGACAAGCTCGGGATTCCCTACTATGTTCTCTCGTCCTAATCGATATTCGACCCCGAGCCTCGGTTTGGTGTCTCCGCCAGGACTTTTCAACCGACCGGGTAGATCTGGTTCGCAATTAGCATCTCCTCAGTCCGGCCTTCTTCAATCGCGTTTCTTTGATGATCCTTTACCGTCCCGTTCCGTCCCGGGTTCACGAAGAAATAGCGACGAGGACGAGAAGGAAGAGGCACTTCGTCAGGATCCCACGAGTCATCGATCAACTAATGCGTAAGTCCAATATTTCAAGATTGCACTGTTCATACTTCCTGCGCAGTATATTTTTTATATGAATGTATTTCAAACATGACTATTAGTCATAGTGCTGAGATACAGTCACCACTACATTTTCATATCAATGTACGTTGCTAGGAGACTAGGTCTTATAGTGACGAAAGAGTCATATGACATTTGGCGGGAAAGAGTGGCAGATGGCAGAAATATATTTTCGAGGTGGTCGCTGCTGGGCTGGGCTGTTTGCCCATACTGTGTTGCCTAACAGCCAGCCAACTGCCCTGACAGACACACCGGTTGGTTAAGCATTGGGCATTATCACAAACATTCCCGTCCCCGAACCTTATGACTGATACTCCCACAACATAAAATTCTTTCTCTCCCAAAACTATTTCACCCTCTCTTACAACCTTTTCTTCTCACTTGTACTCCATCAGAAACCAACACTCTTCATTCTCACACTTGGTAACAATACCAACCAACAAACCCACCATCACTTGGGTAAAGTTCCTCAAGATATTCCCCAGCTACACACACTCCTTACCTTCTTCACTTCTAATACTATCCACATCTACCCTTCCACTTTCCTCGACATACAAACCCACCTACCTTAGGTTTGACAACAGACCTGCACCTCGAATTTTCTTACCACATTTTTCTACTTTCATCATTCTCTCACATTCCCATCGCACTGCCAATACGTATTCGTGGGTCACTAACCTAAACATATATCCAGTCTCAATCGATATTCTATGCCTGTTACTCGTCGTGGTAATCTTTACGACAACCTGGATCAGACCAACACAGCTGGTTTCTTGTTCAGGGACGACGAATCATCAATGGATTTGAACAGCTACGCCAGCATTGACGCTGGCGAGGATCCTTTTCCTCAACTCTATGCCCAGAAGGGCAATCCCAATATCGTAAGTTACTACGCTAATACCAATTCCACCATTGCTGCTTCTGTTTTACTCCTTGTCACTTGCCTTTGTTTCGTGCCTTCCATTTTTACTGTTGAATTTTGAGAAATTTTGCCGAACCGTGCTTGAATTTTTTTCTAGTGCGTGTACACACTGGTGCACACTCGTCCCCCACCACGATATAAATGCAACTTCGCACTACACTACCTTCACTGCCCCACATTATCTTCCATATACCACACTACATAACACCATTCATCTTTCCATATTACTTTCTTTCCCCATTCATGATCACTTACTTCTATGGCTTTTCAGTCTACTAACACATTCTTTCCTCAGCTCTCTGCCTCATCTGCAGCAGTCGATCTTGCATCTCACCGTGCTAGTGGCGAAGCTACACCCAACAACGGCTGGGGATCCATCTCTCGTCACCGACAGCAGCAAAGCTTGTCTACTCTAGGATCTTCTCAGATCAACACTCCTGACACCATGAGCCAGGCTGGATCTACCGAGGCCAGTTCGGTCGCTACTCGACCTTTCCGTCACTCTCTGGACATGAATCAGTACCGCGAGGCTAACGCCGAGGTTGCCACTACTGCAACTATCCCGTCCTCGTCTGCCCAAGTCTTGTCAACTCCTCCTAAGTTGCAGACTTCATTCTCTACTAGCGATGCCTCTACTGGAAAGAACGTCGCTAGTGCTACCATGACTCCTTCTAGCAATGCCAATGCCCATGCCCAGCAGCATTTCCACAACCACAACGCGAGTATTGGTCGATACCCTCCCGGAGCAGTCAAGCGTCACAGCCGTGAGCTATCAAGCGACAACCTGACCGCTGTTACTCAGGCCGGTGCCCCATTCCCTTCGATCCAGTCGCAACTCCAGGGCGGTGCTCCAGCATTTGGTCCTATCGCCTCTAGCCAGGCTGGCATTCAATCACCTGTGTCTGCTGGCGCATCCTCTTCGTCGCCATCTAACATTAGTCCTTATACTCCATTCTACAATGGATATGGTCCACAGAATGGCGGTAATGGTTACGGTATGAACATCTTGGCATTGGGTATGCAAGGTATGAACCTTGGAAACTACCCTCAGAACTATCCCGGTTATGGACCGGTCTACCAGAATCCTGGCCAGCAGAGAGACTCGCAGCAACGTGTGATCCAGCAACGACGCGCCCAGGAGAACGAAGCTATGAATAGATTCGCAGGTATGAGCATTGAGTCGGTAGTTGGTACTATCTACAGTCTCTGCAAGGATCAGCATGGCTGCCGATTCCTTCAGAAGCAACTGGAGAATAGAATTCCTGAGCAGGTTCACATGATTTGGTTGGAGACTAATCAGCATGTTGTCGAACTTATGACAGATCCTTTTGGTAATTACTTGTGCCAAAAGCTTCTTGAATACTGCAACGACGACGAGCGTACGGTGTTGATTCAGAACGCAACTCAAGATATGGTCAGAATTGCACTCAATCAGCACGGAACGAGAGCCTTGCAGAAGATGATCGAGTTTGTCAACACTCGTACCCATATCAACCTAATCATCGAAGCGTTGCGATATCGAGTCGTCGAGCTTATCCAGGATTTGAACGGCAATCACGTCATTCAGAAGTGTCTGAACAAATTCAGCGCTGAGGATGCCGAGTTCATCTTCAATGCCGTTGGCAATCACTGCATCGAAGTCGGTACTCATCGCCATGGCTGCTGTGTTCTCCAGCGATGCATCGACCACGCATCAGGAGATCAGAAGTTGTGGCTGATCAACAAGATTACCGAGAATGCCACACGACTAGTGCAGGACCCCTTTGGCAACTACGTCGTCCAGTACATCATCGACTTGAACGAGAGTATATTCACTGAGCCTTTGATCCAGCAATTCCGAGGCAAGATCACTCAGCTATCACGCCACAAATTCAGCTCGAATGTCATGGAAAAATGCCTCCGCTGCGGTAATGATGATTCTCGGGACATGATGGTCAGCGAGCTTCTCACCCCAGGAGAGATGGAACGTCTTCTCCGCGACAACTTTGGCAATTATGTTGTTCAGACCGCTCTCGACCATTGTACGCAACACATGAAGATTCCGCTTGTCGAGGCAATCCGACCCATCATCCCCACTGTGAGAACCACGCCCTACGGTCGACGTCTCCAAGCCAAGATCCAACAGCACGATACCCGCAGCGGTAACACCGGCGGACAGACCACCCCTACCGATCCGACTGGAGGTCAAATCACACTTCGCCCTTCCCAATCACGCCCGCTCATGAACCAGGCCATTGACGCGCCGGCTGGTACTTACATGAACGGCTCCATTCCTAACGGCATCGGCGGTCCTCGTGCTAGAATGGGTTACCCATCGCACAATACCATAACGGTACCTGGTGTCGCGACCAGCGCTCCTCCGCAGCCTCCTAGATTGACGACATTCTCCACGTTCCCTGGCGCTGGCGGTAACCCCGAATTTTTTTAGATACGCCCCTTGCCTATAGCGGTCACGATACTTGTAACGGTATGATATATGAATTCGGACGATAGTTATTTCGGGTAGCTCTCTACCTGGTCGTCGATTATACGATCTGTGGCCCTACGCAAGAACGAATGAGACGTTTACTACGAGCTTGACGACATCGCGTTTCCTTTTCCTTATAACATCATGACATCACCATTTTCCTTCTACGCTGGACATTAGTGCGCAAAAATTATTTGCGTTATCGAGAGTCAACACTGGCGCCCATGGTTCTCTGGGTAACTCTGTACATTAAGCACTCGATGATTCCCGACTCTCGATACTCGTCATAATCAAGGCCAGCACGCTACAGTCACATCGACCCTAATCGTAGCCTGCGCCTTTGTACACCGAACACACCTACCTCAGCATAGATTCTTTTTCCTTGCACTACGGATTTCTTTTTTCGGACATAGTCGTCACTTGGGTCGCGAACCTTTGCATAAAGCTGGACTATTAGTCAGCTTCCTTGCAGGTTCTGTATCAAACTCGGCAAATCTGTATCTTCTCACCACCAGTCTCTTCAGCAAACCCGAAATGGCAGCTTAACTTGGCTGTCTTTTTGGCAGGGGTGTTTCCACAAAAACAACCGCCTATACAGATCGCGATACAACAGACCCAAAGAGACCTACGCCATAGGTAGCTTCCGGGATCACCACACGGCTTCTTCCACAATTCCAGCTATCTCTCACACCCAGTACCAACGATTCACAAATGATTAGGGAACGGATTGATGGCAGGGACAGGTTATCTAAGCATAAGCATCTACTTTTTCGCCATTAGATGCAGACTTACGGATACTGGATACCTGCTCTGGATGGTTGCTTTTGTGCTTGCCCCAACATGGCTATCTATTTGCATTTCTGCGATGTTTATTTGCACGTGGACCGATATTGCTCATTTTACGGATCTGACCTATATTGGACGAGACGTCCGAGGTTAAAGACATCATACTGGATGATTTTCGTCTTGTATGCAGTATGTACACCTAATAAGAGGCTTATCCGTATTTCTCACGATCTTCTTGTGATGTGATTACTTGATGCTTTGTAAAGGAATGAATGAATAGTTTTGGTAATGTAGATAGGCTATGTATTATCCTAATTGTAGATGATAGGTAGCGTGATGTCCACTGAATTTAAGTAAATAGTTGTTGAGTAGCTATAATATCTGGTGAATTCAACAACATATGACAGTAAGTGGTATACCTCTCAAGCGAACCTGCTTGGAGCTGAGTGAAATAATCCCTATTATCAACCAGAAGCCTCCCAGGAAAGTGAGGCAGGACGAGCATCTAGCGAAACAATTGGTACGGGTTCAGGAATCACAGCCTTGATTTCCGGAATGGTCTTCATCCTGGGGGTGTAATATACGTAAGTGCTACTATAACCACGACAGGACATGTCTAATCGCTTGAATCGCCGCCACCTACCAACTCGGTCAAAATAGACATCTCACTCAGACGACGCCTCCTCCCCCATTATCCTTTCCGTGGGTAGTACATGACCTTCTGACTAAGCTGATCACCTACTAATAGCAGTCCCTAAAGGAATATCCCCATCTACCACCGCAGTATCTCTTGCCACGCCTCAGCTGTATAGTCTAGGTAAGAGAAATGGAAATAGGTAGATCACAAGGATAGCTCATCAAGACCCAGCTATTATTTTAAGGCATTGGTTACACACGAGTTACACATGACATCAACCAACCAACAAGGACAATAACTATATTAATTTGGGGGATGGGGCCGGTAGAGAAGGGGCGGGTAGGGGAGGGATGAAGTGAAAGAATAGGAGAGCACAAGCGATTAGGTATGTTGAAGTAGGAAGTCTATGTATGAAACCATGGGTCGAGGATTGAGTAGGTATATACTATCCTTGCATAGGTAACTCGTGTTACCTCCCGTGGCAATTGAATAGATTAAAGTTAATAAGTATCCAAAAGGGGTCTATGGCACACTTGGAGAATTAGTAGTAGGTATCACCAACGTTAAGCTAGGGAGACAACTCGCAGATATTCACCAATGGGAAGCCCGCTTCTCGACTTTAATCAGCGGAAGGAAGGTATACACCTTATAACAGATAGGTCTTTACACTCCAAGTCACAGTAACATAACCAAAAATATCACCAAAACGTAGCAAGAAATCAAGAAGTGCACTTAATAAGAAAATCAATTTTAGTCCCGGAAAGAATTTTATTCCTTGCTCGACTATTTAGTAACTCCAGGCAGAATTCATGAGCCGTACGCATGCCCCATCGACCGTGAAGAAATTTGTCATTGCATGCCGTAATCGCGACCAAGCCGCCATCACCATCCACCCCCTAGCTGCTACCGCCTCTCCTAGCAGCACACGCTTATCTGTAGCGCCACAGAGACAGGGTGTTGTGTCTCTTCCAGGTCTTTCGGCGACCAGCACGGGTCTTGTTGTAGCGGTGACCCTTGTTGAGACCACGGGACTTCTTGCCGGTGGCGGTGAGACCACGAGCCTCGCGGTGCTTGTGGACGGGGTTGACGATCCAGTTGATGCGGGGGTCTTGTCGGATGGCCTTGTGCTGGGGGTCGACGAGGATGACCTCGTAGTACTTGTAGGTCGAGTCCTGGTTGATCCAGTAGGAGTTGAGAACGCGCAAGTTGGCGCAGCGGCGGCCGACACGCTCCTCGGCGGTGGCCTTGAGGGATCGCTGGTACTTCAGCTGGTTAACACCCTGGTTGGTGGGCTTGCCTATAGTTTTAACGTGGTTAGACATTTATTTCCAGAAGTCAGAAAATTCTTTCATGGCAGTAAACTTACCATAGGTGGCACCCTTGGGCACAGGGCGCTTGCGGCCACCACGGCGAACACGCACTCGGTAGATAACATAGCCTTGCTTGGCCTTGTATCCGAGGCGGCGGGCCTTGTCAGGGCGCGAGGGGCGCGAGGCACGGTGGATGACGTTCAATTGACGGAGCTATATTAATGCACTCTCAGCTAATGTTCAACGAGTGTATAGCAAAGACACGTTCTCTCCCCGCCCGAGAAAAGGCGAAGAGAGAAGACAGCGTCCACATAATTATCCACGCCAGTATTTTAGACTCTTGCAGATTTTTCGTGTGTATGCCTTTCGTGTCGAATGGTAAAGGATCGCGAAGGTTTTCAACATACTTCCCAGCAGCGGACTCGGAGAAGAAATCGCAGAACATCAGACTGCTTCTTCTTTTGAAGTTCTTCGACGTACTTGAGGGCACCCATTTTGACTGTCGCCGGGAAAATATAAGTTAGTATTATAATCAATAAGGAGCGAAGTATGGTATAGTAAAAGGATACGAACCAGGTTGGGAATATGAGCCTGCAACAATGGATGGTCGTGTGTCGTTAAGTGTGTGGGTTGAATGAAGAAATGCGAAATCTTCAATTGAGTGTGGAAATTTTGGGTTAAGTTGTGCGGGTGGGTTTGAATGTGAAAATTAAGCGATAAGACGCTAGTCAATATGTGGACTAGCGCGTTTCTGTACATTGACCACCTTCAGAGTCGTTGCATTTTTCTAGTTCCACACCGTTTAGATCCACTATTTTCTAACCGTGATAGCTTCATTTTCTTGAGAACCCGTTTTAATTGCGAGAGCTATTTCCTTGTAATACATATGTGAACCTCCATTAGAATTTGGTCGAAATCCCAGATATCGGTAGCTAAGCTAGTTGTATCCTCCCAAATCTCATGTGCTGGTCTATTCCCTGTGAGTTCGGTACTTTGATCGCTCTAGAATATTGATGGGGATGGTCTCCGCAACAGTAGAAAACTTTTTCATCTGGTCTGCAGCAATAGTACCCCAATTATCCCCTTCCTCTGCCTTGCCGCTGTCCTTGAAAAGCTCCGAGACCATGTTGTCTCTCTCGTCTACTTTAGGCCTGTCGGGGTGGGGAGATGGGTAAGCCTTCGGAGCAAGCTTTTTCTCGATGAGCTTCTCTCCATGCTCACGACCGCAAGCGAGAAGCTCTTTAATATCCCGTCCATCTTGCTTCCACTTTGCCGTGGGAAGATCGAGTTTATAGTTTTTGAGCTGCTCGTCTGTTTCCTTGAACTGCTTGAGGAGGGAGTAACCTTCCGAGATGATGGACTGGGCTTCTTTAAATAAAGCATGATCTTCCTTGCTAACACCCGACGCTCTAAGAGATATCGCGGCGGCTGTAGAATAAGTCTCCTCAAAATGTGCCACAACTTGACCTTTACTTTTAGCGCTATAGGAATCAGTCTTTGACGCTTTGGTTTCGGTAATACCGCAAAGTCCAGTGTACTCACAATTCCTTATCCTGTTCTTGCATCCATAAATGCACACGATCTTTTTGTTTTTGGACCCTCTCTCCAAAGTTCTTCATGAAAGTCTTGGATTTCATCGCTTCGCCTTTGGTATTGCTTTCGAAAATCTCCCCCCATCGCTGGAAATTTCTGGGCATAAGAAGGATCAATATCCAGTTTGAAATCTTGTAGTGATGTACTGGGATTGGCCCTCACCGGCTACCCTCTCGACCCTCGTCCTCCTCATACTCATCAAGACGTGACAGATTCTTGTTCGTATGACTGAGTTTGTTCCGCTTGGCGTTATTGCCCTTGACGAACGGGTCATCCGATTCTTCCGAGAGCACTGTTTCAACGTAAATACATATGCTACAGGATCAAATCTAATTATTTTTTGCGATATGCTTACATTGAACCCCTGGCTTTCCTTTGATCCCTCTTTTTGACATGTTGGCTTAGTATAAACGCAGAATGGCCACATATAGTCTGCCGGTGACTTGGGACTATGGCAACAATTGAAAAGAAAAATAGTCATGAAATCAGGCCTAGGAGCTATGTAGAGGTAGAGTTTACACTAACATTGAGTAAATAGGGAGTACCTTCCTCAACAATATATTCTCATTGGGGGTAGGTACGGGGGCATCCTATAGATCAACTAGTGCTCCTTCCACAACCTAGGATCCTACTAACACCAATTAAAAAACTTCATTGCACAAAGTTTAGGGGGCGAGGAAGCATAATAAAGAAAGTAAAAAACTTTCTAGATATAGGGTCATAGAAGCACGCGTTAGGTAGGCTCGATTCTATCAAACACACTCAAAGATAAATCACTTAGAGACACTCAATATCCAGCGACAATCGTCGTCGGAAATCTTTAACAAAAGCTGGAGATATACCAGCGTCCTCAATTTTGTCAGCAATATCAAAAGCTACCTAACCTGGGTGCCGCCCAGAATGCATCTCTCAAAAAAACAAAGTGTAAACATTCATGCGTGAGAAAGTCTTTTTGGTCGTACAAAACTCGTCCAATCGCCTAACAAATCGTTCAAAGTTGCCCGCCCCTTTTACGTAACAAATTACACCAGTTCTCGTTTAGTAAGTCTATGGTCTCATTTGTGTTGCTGATGTCTCTGGTGCTTGTCTTATGGTCTCGTTGTGATGTGATGTAGGTCGTTTAATAAGTCATCCTCCTTCCTCTCCCGTCTTCTTTCCGCGCCATCGTTTCAAAGTCTCCAAGTGATGCCGACGAACGCCCAATAGTCTGATTATGCCGTCTTATGTATCCTTCTGTTAATGATAGCCTCGTAGGCCGTATAAAAGAGATGGTTGGTATGGTATGAGTGAACTATGGTACGAGAATCGAACATTTACTGCATTAGCGTGCTGAGGTTAGATAATGGTCGAGTCTCGGAAGTAGGACCAAGCAAAAACCGGCCCTAGGGATGCTGTCTTGGTAATAGATCTGTTTAATGACCACTAGGCTTAGTAAGATAGATAGATATGAGCCCGGGTTGTCGTATTTAACGAGTATTCAGAGATAATCCCTGAAATGCTCCCACCCATTCATTCTGTCCTGTCATGTTGGGTACCGCCGGATCGTGTGGAGAAGTGGCGGCATGAGGACTTGGAAAGCGCGCCCTTATGCTTGGAGAAAATTCGCCGCCCTGAGAGAAGCCGCTGGGATATGTCTCCATCCCCTGCACCACTCCCGGGACATATGGCACTCCACCGGATCTCGGAGCGCTGCTGAATGCACCATAGGCAGAGTATGGAAAGCCGGACGAGGGGTATGCCGAACTGGCCACTGACGGACGATCTGGTCCTCCGAATGGCTGAGTGAAGGTAGGTTGAAACGATCGGCCTGACGTACCGCCACCGGGAAAGGCACCCTGAGAGTCCTGAGGTGGGTTAGATCTTCGCTCTGCGTTGGTAGATCCACTCCCTCTCCCGAGGCCGACTGCACCTGGGCCGATGCCGCTGGGAGCCTGCAGGCCCAACGTCGGGCTAGCGAATGAAGCGGGGTTGATGGCCGACATCCAAATTCGAGTTTTGTAAATCTTAAAAAGGTCGGTAACGAGTGAGTTAAAGTTGATATAGGTGTCAGCAAAGTAGTAAAAGGTCAACTTCTTCCAGTCCCTGTAATTTATTAGTTTCGTCGTTTTGAAAGCCAGGCGGAACGACTTACATTTGGAACTCGGCATCGAGGATCTCCATATTGAGCCCATGCTCCTTTACCTTCTGCATACACATGCGTTTTGCCTTAGCTTCATTCCCTTCCTTCTCTCTAAGACTGTGAATCTCGTGGCTCTGCGCAAGGCGTTTGATAAGTTTCGGTTTTAGTTCACCGGCATTCGGCTCCTGCATGTGGTGTTGGCTAGGTGGCCCCATCCCGCCAATTGCGCTACCTTGTAGACCGTTCGATGCGGCCATCAATCCGGCTCCGGTTCCTTCTTGAGCAGCTGCTGCGTTTTGAGAATACATCATCAGCCACTTGTAATGTTCCTCGGAATAATGTTCTTTCAGCTCTTTAGCTGTCTGCCAATCCACGTTATCGCGAGCTACGGTCCCGAGGTCTGTTCCTCGATCCGCCTCAACGATTACGAGATCCCCTGGTTTGACTGTGAGGCCTGTTCCTTCCTGAATGTAGAAAACGTCTGCTCTTGAACACTTAAAGAGAACGATGTGTAGGAGCTGGTTGTGTCTGGGCTGGCTCATCCCGAACATGTTTCTATGAGGTGACTGGGGTCGATTACCAAAGGTGGATGGTATGCCGTACGCCTGCTGATAGGGGTTGCCATAAGCCGAAGATGCGATAGCCTGATGAGCATTGGGAGCAGTAACGCCACCTGGATAATAGGAGACTGCTAATGTTGTCAGTTTCCCGCGTAGATTTATCATCTAAGATCGACTTACCAGGGCTAGTAGTAGTAAAACCGGCACCATCGGGGAATCCGCCGAATTCTTGAGATTGGGCTGCATCTGGAGAAGTTGCGTCATGATGAGATACGGACTCTCCAATAGAGCCAATTGAGGCTTGTCGTGTTGGTACGTCGGCGAACGAATGCCTACGACTCTGAGGGATGTCGGCAATGCCGCTAAATCCCAGAGAACTCTGCCAATAGGCCTTCTTGACATTTTCAAGTTTTCTATTCTCCAAAGGGTAAGGTGAGCGGAAGGATCCCGAGGCATACTCGCTCATCCGTCTCGCCAAACCCCGTTTTGAAAGACCGTCTTGACCCTCGCCCGCTTCATCCAATTCATCAATAGCAAAATCAGACTCCTCGGGGACTGTTCCGCGGACGCCATACCCATTACCTAAACCGTATGTGGCGGCTGTCGATGCACGGGGTCTAACTCTAGCGTTGTGATACTGCTGCTGCCTGAGCATGGCGTTCTCACGGGTAAGCATCTCAATTGTCTTCGCTTCAGCGCTCTGTTGTTGGTGGACCCCTTGGCTCGAGTCACCCGTGCTTTCGTCGTCGTCGTCCTCGACTTCTTTAACTTTGCCTAGCATAGCACCTTCGCTGGACATTTCGCTCAGCATGCTAGGACGTGAGGGTCTGTGTTGTAATCCCGGGTGTCCATGGGGGGCACGTGGTCTACCGGGCAATACCGATGGTGTCGGCATGGTAGGAGTGGTTGCATCTGGATCTAATTGCCCCACCGAATACGACTGAGAACGGTACGTCTTCGGTGTCGGATGTAAAGGAATTGCAAAGGGAATCTGCGGGTTGGAGCCTTGCTCTCTCGGAGTGGGAGACGTCTGTGTCAACGAGCCCTCTCCGAAGAAGCCGCCGTTAGGAATAGTGGAAGTTGGCGAAGGGAGAACTTCGGTCAAACGAGACGGCGGCTCCTTACGCTCCGCATTCCAAATGCCCGTTCCCCAGGGGAAAGACGACGGTCCTTGGTGTCCGCGTCCCATCGTTCCTGGCGCCGTAGAATGGGAACCCCAAGCTGCCGGACCAGGGTCCGCAGACGGGGTACTCGGGTGAGAAGCAGTCGGCGACATAGAGCTACTCGCAAACGAACCCTTTCTTGGATGGGGTAACGTTGTTTGTGAAGTATCGTTCAACCAGGAAGCACGGCGTACCGGCTTCTGTGGCTGTACAAGAGGCTGATGCACCTCGTGTCGAGATGCTGGGTCAGGCTCGTCGTCTGAGCTCGCGAGAGCTTCCGAATCCGGCGTAGACCTTCGAACGTTCAGTTTCTCGAGTAGAAGTGACGGGTTACTTGGTGTAACTCCTGAAAATGCACTTTGACTGGCTCTTGTGGTCGTAGAACCAGACTTGACGTTGTTGGAACTCATGGTCTGCTAGCTGAGGAAATATCCTACCTAGTCGCCGATAAAACACACTGAAAGCGCAATAGATATACAACACCAAACTGACTCCTCAGCAGGATGGCGATTAAAACAATGCCTAGAATTCACAGGGGATTTCTAGGGAAGTAGCGTGTCTATGTTTGAACGTATAAATCTGCATCGTATGTCAGCCTTGCTATCCTACGAGAGTTGGAATTAAGATGAAAGAAAAAAGACCACTCCGCCAAGAATAAAGGCTGCGGGTGATATAAGTCCGAATCAAGGAGGTATGATTAACATTTCTATCTTAAGAAACCAGCATTTGGCGAGCTCATCTCCACACACCCCTTGGATGATGAACCGCAAAAAGCCGGCACAGAGCAAATTACTTGTCCAGAGGTAGCCCGCTAGGTTGAAATGGAAGAGAATCGTAAACGAAAGCTGCTTACCAGTTATGACTTTTCTGGAAATTATGAGGTCTATTCGTAGGGTATCGAAGAATCCGCGTCTAGGAATCGTTGGAAAGAAAAGAGGCCACAAGAAAAATAAAATAAAATAAAAAGCAGGCCAAAGAACTCTCCGAAGTACCTATGGTGGTTACGTCTCCAGAAACGCCACCGTAAACCCCGTTCTTGAAGTGCTGAAAAGTAAGGACCGACAGGATCTCGTCGCAGGAGATGTCTATGTAGCCCAATGTCTTGTATAAAATCGGAAGCGCAATTGTTGTATTTTTAGTTGGTCGTGTCTTAGAGAGGAAAGGCAATCTAACAAAGCTTTTTGTAGCTTCCTTACAGAATGAAAAAAGAGCTGTTTTTATTCTGAATATAGTGTCTTGAACGTATTGCGACAGAGTCGACGCAGCTATTCGCAATAGCGCATCGTTGTAAAGGAGTCCAGGGCGGCGGTCGCAAATGGTTAATAATCCACAGGCGCGTATTCGCAATATTCGCAGTATTGAAACCTGATTTCTTTTTCTTTAGTTTAAAGGCACCTAACTTGGGGTATTCGGCTAGGTTAAAATAAGGTACAAGAGCGAGGTCGATGGCGATCGCTATTCCAACGCACTCGAGGAACCGTTGAAGAAACGTTGGAGGTTTTTGCGAGGCTCGGCAATTGTAGATTTGAGGACGCAGGGCGTTGAAAGGTGTTGAAGGGGTGTTCAATAATGAAATTAGAAGGAAGGGCGGGGAAGAACAGTACCTAAGGACCTAAGGCAGAAAATAACCCTGGACCGCAGAGGTAAGGTAACGCAGCTGGTAGGGTTGGCAGGTCTTCGGTGCCAGCAGTTGGACGTTGCGACACGAGACTCTCGCGTGAGGGAAAGTGGCTGGTGGGGAAACGGAAAGCTCAAGTGCTAGGCCTAGAGGGATACAGGACAGGGATGGTACAGTAGCGGTAACCCTATCCACTAAAACTCGGGCGAGGCACCACTGGAAAGTCTTTAGAGCCGTTTTTTATGGCGAATAAGCTCTTTGCCTTGGCCTATCTGGACATGCAAATCATAAAGAGGACCAGCAGCTGTCGGAAAATCGATCTACCTCGTAGACTGAAAACAAAATCGAGAAATCGAGAATCGAGATTTTCAGCAGGAGGTACGATGGGGATTAGAACATGAAATCCACCTTTTATATCACCTGGGCATTTATAAGAACGGATATGAGCCACGTGGTGATAGGTAAGGTAGGTAAAATTGGGCGAGTAATAGGATAGAGAGAAGGAAGAGTATCAGTATCAGGGTCAGTATCTTGTATCTACCTAGGTACCTAGACGCAAAGCGGAAGAGGTAGGAATTTTTAGGTACTAGGTATGATCAGGTTATGGAATGGAATAGATTTGCGAGGAAAGAGAGAGAAGCGAAAAAAATGAGAGTTTCGCAAATGAATCATAGGATGTTGCTCGTCAAGTTGATCCTGAGCCCGTCATGGACTGACGATGCTTGTATGTACGTGTTGTAGATGTGTATGTGTGTATTAGGTGCGGGCTTGTGGACTGGTGGGCTTGTGGACTTATGGATGGATGAGTGGATTTGAGTGGACAAGCGGGTTTGGTTGAATGTGGAAAGGATATGGACGAGGATGGGACGACGAGATGCAAGCCGTCTGCGGAGTTCGATGTTCGTGCAGAAAGGTTGGTCTCGAAGAAGAAGAAGGATGAATTCGTCGAATTTTACTGGATCGCCATCAGTTGGAACTTTCCTTGTGCAGTTGCTTGTGGTGAACCTATCCAATGTTCCAATGTACCTAGGTACCTATCTTACCTATTAAACCTGGCCTCAGCGGACAAGAGCGACAACAGCCACCACTTGCAGCACTTGCCAGGCACTAAAATAACATTGAACAAAGCATCGACTCCACTTGACCTATCCTGATTAGGAAAGGGCGAGTCTAAAATTTTGGGTTGTCCGGGGATGCCTGACTACCTAAGGTACCTGGGTACTAGTGGGTCTCCAACATGGATTTTTTTTATTAATTTCTAGCGGACAAAGGAAGATCTTCAAGCTTAGCCCGAGCCGCCTAACATGGACATACCTACCTGCCTCGGATGCTCTAGGAAGCTCACTGAACCAAGTACCTACAACTTACAACCTACAATTACCTACCTATTCTTTTCAGGGCAACCAAGGATGCATGGCATTGTATGTAGGTCGATGAATCCGAGTCCGAGTTGAGTCGAGATCTTTTACTACCTATTATTTCTACCATCCATCCAATATTACATCCGACATATGCGACTCAACTTTTCCCATCAACCTTATAACCGGAAAAGCTGATGAACGATGAACAATGAACGATGAACGAACCATCTTGGTTCCAACTTCTAACTTGGGACATAAAATGGGACATTAAAAAAAAAGAGTGTGGGGAAGATTTGATCTCGAGCTATCGAACCGGCAAGAAGTCAAGCAAGAGACATTTATTGGCCCGAGTCAACGGTCCAAGCTCCAGCCCTGGAAGGGTTCTTGTTTGCTACGGGTATCCTAGCTTTTCCGGGGAGACGCACGAACAATAGCCAATGACATGTCAGCTTGTTATGTTGGAAGTCTTGAGCGAAAATCTTCTCCAATACCGATTCAATGAGCAGTCGCATTTTTGAGATCCGTCTATATCCTCGTTCAATTTCCATACAACTACTCACCAAGGACTATATTTGGCAGGGTATAAGCTGACACTCAATTACTTCACAAATAGGGGTTGCAAAAGCTGCCTATACCTAGGACATTGGTATATATAGAATGTCACTTAAACCGCCATGTCGAAACTGTACCGTCTTGATCTTCTGGGGCCATTTCGTTTCCGTCCCCTGAAACAAGTCATCCTCTTTCACCAGCCACCTCGCATTAGAAGTGCAATCTTTTCTTTGTCTGGTCAAAGGAGGCCGTGTGGCAGCTCAGCTGGTGGCCCTCCTAGGAGCTGCACACCCCGAAGGCTTTGCTTTATAGAGGTGTGCATAAGTCAAACCAATCAAGTTTCGAGAATTAGTATGTCATTTCTTTGCGATTTTAGTCCACCGTTGAAGATCTCTCAACGAAACCCATCCTATATGGCGAATAGGGCCTTCTCATTCAGTGCGACATTCTATCCCCTCTCCTGACCGAGTACATGTACTGAAGCCCTGCATGGATGTGAAGCTTGCGGGCTGCAAGTCAGTCCCCTATTCAAAGTTGGATGCATCCGTCTTAACCGGACTTGGCCAGCTTCCATTTTCACGTACATCTGGGGTGGAACGCCGACGAAAGTTGCGCTAGCCCTCCTGCATATCTGATTGATGCACGCACTGCACGTCAAAACTGCTGTTACCTTACTTGACGATGGACTCCGGGGTCGATGTTACTTAGCTAGACTTCTCAACAATCAGAAGGCCCGTTAAGAAGCAATTGGGTCGAAAGGGGAACGAGGCGCTTACCTCTTGTCAATTCGAAGCTTCTCCGTTGTGCATACACCGCATCTCTGTATGGAATAATTGGCGACAAAACGAGGACGGAATAATAGTTGGGTAGGATAACAAAAAAAGTGTGGAGGTGAAAAGAACCTCTCCTGAAGCTAGCCGATCGTAAGGCGACAGGGGAGGGGTACCGAACCTTTCCTTACACGTCCAACAGATGCAACGGGCGAATCCTGCGTTCTCATTCGACCCTCCGAACTATAAAAGCTTCTATATGCTAGCGTAGTGTCGTGTGCTCCAAGAGAACACATAGGACATAGCTATCTAAAGAAGATACTTTGTATATTTGAAGTTATATCATAAACTTCAAATTTCGTTGCTAAACTAGTCTTACCCCTTTCGTTCGCACAGCCAGGCATAAGCATAAAGCATAAGGGAACTTGGATTACGCATATCGTATTCCTAGCCGCTCGTGCATAAACAGACAGAGCTTTTTCCTGCATAGGTACCAAGCATACTTAAGCGACCTTGGCCGGGATGTGGTGGAGGGGTCATCACCCTTTATATTTCTAAGAATTTGCTTCTGCAAGCCTCAGCCTAAATAGGAACTTCGCCGTTTTGAAGATGAGGTCTACGTATACCTATTAGGTTGAGATGGAGGATTTGGTAAAACATACAAACAGGCATTTGATATTTCTGATATATGAGATTCTGAGTTCCATGTTCGTCACATACATAACGCTGTTACACGCCAACAATTTATCGACTATGTCGTCACAGGGTTCAGCTACGAAACTTGGAGGTGGCGCAAGCTTCTCAAGAACCCGTACCCAAACTCGTCGACAAGCATCTTCAGGGGCATTACCCCGGATTTTTCACTTTATCATCTGCCAACCCTATTTGCGAACGTTCAGCCATCAATTACGAGGGTTGTACGACTTACAGAGCATGAGAAGACTCACCCGTGAACGAGAAAAATGTAGTTGAAACTTAAAGGTCGACATCCCTTAATCAAGCTATCCACAAAAGCAGCAGCTAATTCTTGCAATTCGACGGCTCTTGATTGGAACAAGCCTACATATGTTTGCTAGGATCTACGACGCAATCTGGGAGACTAAATACGGTATATTCTAGTCTCCTGTCTCTTGTGTAGGGCGAATAAAGGATCTGCTTGTTAGCCGTTCGATCGCCTCAGCACATGTACCTAACCGATTGCTACCTCTAGGCACCGTCGACTACAGGAAAACTAGATCGCTAGAGGGTCTTCAGCGGATTGACGATCTTACTGAGAGATTATCGAGACCTTAGCAGCGACGATCCATCACCCCTAACCAATGAACAATACAGCTACTAGTACAACGATTTGAAGAAATGACTATATAGCCTATCCTATTCGACTACGAATTTGGTAGATATTGTGGACTCACGGACTCACAAACCTACCCGACTACGGAAGAGAGCGAGAAGTGCGTTGCCGACCTCACACAACATCTGGTACAAGCATCTATATGCACATACGACGATATCTAATACTCCACGCGCAATCTGGTGTCTCACTTAAATGCCTCGTGACTCGAAAAGGTATACAAAATCTCGGGAGACAGCAATCCTTTTTTTTCTCGATGAGATTTCTCTCGATGCTACTTTGCTACTATGCTCCTGTTCTTAAAGGGGGTATCCCTCATCGCCAAGTCTTTATATTGGCGCATGAGACTGCTATGCCGTAGACAAGGTGTAAAGATGACATAGGTACTAATATAGGACCGGTACGTAGATGATCCACGGCGAGGAGGGGGGATCCAGAGCGATCCAGATCCTAAATTCCTAATAGCTTACCTAGGTAAGTTTAGACTACCAAAGCACCTCCAAGCCTACCCCAGACTGCCCAGAGAGGGTAATACATTAATAGGAGAAGGTCGGTGGTAATAACGCTCGGGAAGAAAGCCATGCTAGACCAGACTTGATCATATTAGGGACGGTGGTGGCTTGCCATGCAGCTTGACGTACGTCTCTGGTCGACTTTTTGCGGGGTTGGAAGTACTGTAACCACATTCAACCAATGCAACCGGGCCCTCCCCATCGTGCATAGCTTCATGGGGAGATTCCGTGGGCAGCACGCTTGACCTGCACCTTAAACCCCATGTGACCCTAGCCATCCCTCGCGTCTCATCGCCACACCGGTACGAATCGCCGCCCGCCACAGTCAAGTGCGATTTCTCTTCTCTATTGCCTTCCGGTAGTACGATACAATCCTGCTTGTGAGAGGGAAGAATGAAATACCATTCACCGATGGAAAAAAAAATACACTATGTATCTCCCGCCGCCTAGTGCCGGAACTTGATTAGATAAATGGGGATGAGGCTCGGGGAGCAACACAAGGACGATCCTGGCGACTCTTGGCCAAATATGCAGCGGACCTACCTATCACCTAATGGTTGTCGAAGTTAATATTGACCCAGCTATCAAATGACCTTATGACGGATAGGGTTCTTCTCCGTAGTAAAAAGGAATCAAACCTAAATCTCAGATATTACAGAATAACGTTGGTAGACCGGAGACCGCATTAGCTCTCGCTCTGGAAGTTTCTGACCGAACTCTGCCCCCAAGACACAGCATTGTCAGAAAAAACTTAACTGATTTGGTGACCGACGTTGCATCCCAGAAGCATCAGGGTATTCTCATTTCTTCTAAAATGACGTACTTGGGACGACGTTCTAATGATACATCGGATGAGGCACATCTCCCAGGCTCTCATCCGGGGACAGAATCTAACGAGTCCTTTCCGAGCGTAGTCGGAGCTGCATCTGGCCCTTTCTGTTGTCGAAGCTTCTCTTCAAACTTTGCAAATTCCTGCATCGCGATCTCTTCTTCTGGGTCCGAAATTTGATGGACTCCTTTAACCTCCTCGATCTGTGCACATAGTTAGCGCCGTCTTTCATTACCTGAAGAGCCACTGAGATGAATGGGGTTCAAGGACCCTTAGACCCAAACCATCCCATAGCCCAACGTCTGATATGACGAGGTTTACTCACATAATGCATCAACATGCCCTCAATCCCATTCTTCAACGTAACCGTACTCGAGTCACAAGTCCGACATGCCCCCCTGAGCTTTAGCTTCACATATCCATCATCGAAGCCGCGGAATTCGATATCACCACCATCCTCCTGGATCGCAGGCCGTATCCTCGTCTCAAGCAACTCTTTAATCATACCCACAACCTCGCTATCATCTTCGTTATAACTCAAAGTATCTTCACTCGCCTCCTGACCCCCCTCCCCGCCTTCATTTTTACTCAAAGCGACAATCTCCTGCCCTGCCGTTATGGCCTCGGTGATCAGACTGAAGACCTCCGGCTTGATATGTATCCAGTTCGCGTCGGGGCTCTTCGTCACGGTTATGAAGTCCTGCCCGTAGAAGACGGAGGTCACGCCGTCGATGTTCATCAGCTGCGCGGCTAAGGGCGAGGGATACGGCGGCGCGATCGTGCTCCGCGGGTTCATGTACTCGACGAAGGTCGTAGGAAACTCCGGAGGCAGGACCTGGTGGTTCGGTAAGAACTTCAGCGCATCGGGGTTCGGTGTCACGGCGGTTTGTATGAATATAGTGCGAGCTCCCAGGGGCGCTATCGTTGGTAATCTGGAGGAGGGTGTTCGTAGTGTTGGTCTGGGCATCGCCGATATGCCTAGCGGTTGTGAATTTGTGTGCGCCTGTCGCGCGGCCTCGTATAACCGGCCACATCTCGTAGGTTTTACTCGCTTCGTTGATGCGGACAGAAGAGCCGTTGCTGGCCGAATAAGTCGGGTTGAAGGCATGACGTCTTCTGTGATTTTCCACGTCGCTTGTAGCGCCAATTGGGTAGGAATAATGAAGAACAAGTCCCAAAATATTAATGTAGTTCAATATACAATAGATGCATGTGATGGGGAGAGTTTCTTAGGTGTGTTCAAGTTCAAGAGCGATTTATAATTGTAGGTATTAGTTTGTATCAATGATGAAAATGCCGATTTGCGCCGATAAGAGCAGCCAACAAATTTCGTCGCTTATCAATCAGTGGCAATGACGCAGATGTCAAAGCCGAGTACCATTTGACCGAATTCTGATTGGTCTATCAATCCATTTTAACGTGGGGCTCTTAGCCGGAATTGTACCGATCGGATCCGGTTCCACAGTGACCCGAACCTTGAACTTTTATAGATCTCAAGCCACACTTAGCAGACTTGGATAAACTCGTCCGCTACTTTCAGCCTCACTATTCCTATTCAGCCGCGCTCATGATCTCTGAAGATTTGCGCGATGCATCGCATTTTATTGTCTGACCACCGTTGCTCATGATCCTGTACAGACAACCGTAACACGTTATCAATTGATGATAATACGGCCCCTGGTAATATTGATAACAGGACAGGGTGCGAGATCAAATGTCATCGGGCATCTTAATTTGACCAACATTGTATAAACCTATTATCTTCATGATTATATTGATATTATAATACCTAATTTTCATTTCTCCGTTGGTCTCTGCGACTCTTCCTCAAGAGATCCTTCACGATAGCTCCTTTTCCGGCCTCTTCTGGGATTAAGACCCGAACGTTCATTTCAACGATGGGGCTCACTCGGCCTCAGTGTCTCGTCTGCGACGTAGCCGAAGGCAAATACAAATGTCCCCAATGTAATTTATACACGTGAGTTTGATTCATATCCCAATGCGTATGTATGCATTCTTACACGTTGCGCAGGTGTTCGCTTACATGCTTTCGCGACCATCGTGATAATCATCCACCTGTGGATTCTGATACGGTGAAACCGAACGATGCCATTACAGGGTCTATGAATAATACCAAATCTTCAGAAGAATCACATGACCCTACAAATTCTCAAGAGAACACTACGCAACTGGCCACTATTGCCGATCTGCCAGAGTACAAGACACTCATTCAGAGATATCCCAACCTAGAGCGCCTACTTTGGAATATTGCCGCAGCTACAGACCCACCAGATACCAGCAGTAGGAACGGTGGAAACCCATATGGCCACAATAAAGGTCACCGTAAGGCGAATCAGCCGTGGACGAAGGATGCGGGTTATGAGAATGGTGTGGCGGTACTCCGTCGGACACGAGACAATCCCGGTGATGATAGGGACGCCCTCCGGGAGTATTGTGAGCTAGTCCGAATCTACTCTGCCAAAAAGGAATCAGCGAACTCGGAGGCCGACATCCGACAGCAGATCGCGAGGGAAAACGCCAAAGCTATCGGGGATCTTCTCCGCGTCGAGAGGTCTGAATCATCTAAGTAATGGGCTTTCCTCCCCACGAAATCAGAGTTGTCATAGGACAACGAGTACTATAGCCGCGGGACGCGTTAATTCCCAATCCCCGTATCTACCTGTTAAGCACCTAGGTATGCAGCATAAATACCTACATATGAGAATGGAATATTACCTGGTAAGTCTACTGATTCTGTCGTGTTGAACCTATCTAAACAAGACCAGAGCAGGTTCTTGAACTGTACTCTCTAACCATTATTAGACTAGTCTTGTCTATCGACGGTGAGCAGACAAGGATACTGCCTTGCTTGTGTGTAAGCAGACTACATAAATGCTGGGTCCTGAACAACTCCTTAGAATTGGGTAACGGTTCTAATGAGTGGTTCGGGTTAGGACTCTACGGCATTTCTAAATCATACTCTCTTCGATCAACCCTCTGAGCAAGCTGTTGCTACAGCGCAGACAATAGTGAATAGACAGATAGGTTATCGAAAATTCACCTCTTCTGTGTAGGGGTTTGCCTACATAGTAGTGTCCATTAGCTGCTCTGAATTGAGACAGCTGTGTACGCTTTCTATTGTTTGAGAAATAAATATTTCTATATCCATCTCCAAAAATCTAACAGTAAACGTTGATCACCAATTCAGTAATCAGATGAAGATGGCTTTGGTTCTAGGTTAGTATTCTAGGAGCGTTGCAAAATAACGAAAATCTGTCCATGTAGTTCATTTAAGACTCACAAGCCTCCTATCATCATTCTCTTCATTCGTCGAGTTAAATCTCTATTGGTCGCAACCTAAACATTTAATTTGGTCGACATTGAAGCCCAACCACATCTATTGATATGATAGCGAGATTCCTACCTACAAATAATTGCGGATCCGAAAACAAGACACGCATTCGTAAAATGATCAGTCATATAGTAAATCGAATAGGAGTTACGACGGCGGACCATAAGGACAAATCCGCCAACCCGCCAATTCAATTAATATATTAAAAAATATACTATATAAATACAGTATATAACAAAAATATACTATGCTTCGTAATTCAAAGATTAAAAGGCTTATAAATTATAATACGTATAAGTAAATATTTATTAAATAAATATAATAAGTTTTTTTATTTTTATAAAAATATTAAAAAAATAAATACTTACTTAATAATATTATAATAATTATTAATTAAATTAAACTTTATTATACTTAAATATTTAATAAGTAAATAAATATGTAATTGTTATTTATTATAATATTAAAAGTTATAATAATGAAAATAAATTAATTTAATTATTTTATTATATTATTTAAATTCTTAATTATATTAAAATAAGTAAAAATCTTTATATTTAAACGTAAAAAAAAAATAACTTAATATATTATTAACTTAAACCTTAAATTATCATTAATTCAGCGATTAATTAAGTAATTTTTCAAAAATAAATAAATAAATAAAAAATATATTAAATATAAAAATAAAAAACTTTAATAATAACTTTTTAATAATAAAAAAGATAACTTTATAATTAATAAATAAAATATTAATCGTTTAATACTTTTTTTAAAAAATAAAGTTTTATTTAATAAAATTTTTTTAAACTTAACTTTAATATTTTTTTCTATTAACGTAACTTTTATTTATTTTTACTTTTATTTTTTATAATTATACTTTTATTTTTAACTTAATTTTTTAATAATTATAATTCTTTACTTTATTTCGTACTTATTTAAGTAATAAACGATTATTTATATATTTTTAATTTTTTTATTACCCGTTTTACGTAAATAATAATATAATTTCGATTTATTTCGATTTAAAATATTTATATATTTTTATATATTATTAAAAACCTTTTAAATATTATTAAGTATAATTTAAATACGTTTTCGGTAAAAAATACGATTTTTTTTCATTTTTATAACTTAAAATAATAATTAAAAAACTAAATTACGGTATATTTTTAACGTTAATAAAAATTTACTAAATAAAATTAATATCGTTATTTATAATATTATTATTATTACCATTATTATAATATAAAGAAAATACGTTTAAACTAAAATATATAAAATTTAAAAAATAATTATTATAATTAATTAAATTTTTTTTAAATTTAAAATATACGAAATAATATATATAACTTTATATTAAATTAAAAAACATCGTTTTTAATTAATTACATTCGATTAATTTTCAAAGTTAAATTTATATAAAAAAAATTATAATTTAATATATTATTATATTTAAATAAGCTTTAATTTTTCCACTTTACATTATTTATAATTAAAAATATTAATATTTTATAAAAAACGTAATTAAATAATATAATTTACATTAAATTTCATTAAAACTTAATAATATTACGTAATAATGTATTATTAAAAAAAATATTTTAAATATATTATATAAAATTATAAATAAATAAGTTTATAAAAATTAACATACTTATATAATTTTAATATTTAAAATATTAATTAATATAATATTAATATTATAAAAAATCTTTAAAAATAAAATACTCATTTATATAATGTTTATTATTTTTTAAAATAATTAAAACGATATATTAAATTTATTTATTTATATAATGTTTTATCACTTATTAATAAACTTTTTATAATATTTAAGTTTTAATAATTTTAATCGTTTACGAATATTATATTTAAAAGTTAATGATTTTTTATTAATTTAAAAATTTAAAATATTACGGTTTTTATATAGTTTATTATTTTAATTTTTTTTTACGTTTATTAATTAAACGATTTTATTTTTTTAACGCGTTATTAAACCGCTTTTTCCGTTTTTAAAATTAATAATATTAATAAAAAGTTAATTAACTTTTCGTTTTTTAACATTTATTTTAAATTTTAACGAATGATTTTTATAAAAAAATGTAAAAAAATTTCCGGTAAATACGTAATTATAATTATTATTATATTTTAAAACGGTAATTATAATAACGAAGTTTATATTAATAATTAAATTTTAATTATTTAAAAAAATTTCATTTTAAATAATTAAACTTTATTATAATTTTAATGAAATAACGTTTTAAAAAAATTAAAATTAATAAGTAATTTTATTAAAAATGTTTTATATTTTATAAAAAACGAATAATATTTTTATATTAACGGTTCGTGTTACATTTATAAAAATAAATAAGTTTTTTTTATTAAACGTAACCGGTTTTTTTTATATAAATCTTTTTAAATTTTTTTTATTTATATTATTTATTTCCGGTTTTAAAGAAAAATTAAATTATTTTTATTATAAATTAAAAATGTAAAAGTTTAAAAATTTATAATTTATAACGAACGATTTATTAATAAAATTAATTTATTAACGTATTATATAAATTACGAAACATTTAATTAATATAAAATTTTTTTAAAAAATATTAATAATAAATTAATAATAAAAATAGTTTAATAAAACTTATAATTTTAAAACGTTTTAAAATAAAACCTTTTAAATTTTATTATTATATTATTTTAAAAATTAATAATAATAAGTTAAGTTAATTTAAAATTTCCTTTTATAATATTTAATTTTTTATCGGCGATAAAATAAAGTTAAAATTTACATACGAATATATTAATTAACGCCGTATAAATTAATTTTTTTTATCGTTTTTAAAGAATGGATTATTTAAATTTTTTATTTACTTTATAAATGGAAATATAATAAAAGTTAAAATGCGGGAAATATGAAAATTACGAGGATTTATTACGAATTATATATGTAAAAATATATTAATTTATTTTTTATATATAACCATGAAAGTTTTAAAAATATTACTTTTAATATAAAGTTTTAATTTATTTTAAAGATTTTTATTTTTTTTAAATAAACTATTAATAATTATTTATTTATACCCGGTAATATTTATTAATAAAATAATAATATAATATTTTTTTATTAATTAAAACTTTTTAATAAATTTAACGTAATAATTATATTTAAAAGTTTCTCATTAATTAATTTAAAATTAATTTATAATATTAATATTAAATTAAATTTATAAAGTTAAATATTATTTTAAAAAAAAAATTAAAATATCGCTTTTTTTTAAATAATATTTATAAAAATAATTTTAGTTAAATAAGTTTAAATTTAACTTATATGTTTTAAAATATTTAATTATTACGAATGTTATTTTTATTTTATATTTATAAATATAATATTTATAAACGTATAAAATAATTTTTAAAATTATTTTATTTTCTTTTTTATCGTACGTTAATTCGTTTATTATAATATTTTTAATATATTTTTTTTTAATAACGTATTACTTATTTAATATTTACGTATAAATATCATTCATATAAATTAAAACGTTGTTATTTTATTTATTTAATTTATGTTTATTTTACTTATTACCGGTAAAATTAATTTAAAGTTATATGTATTAAAAAAAATTAATCGGCTCGTACTTTACCGTAAAAAATATATTAAAATTATAATACGTAATAAATTAAATAATATATAATAAATTCGATGAAAAGGAAATAAATTACGGGATTAATAAATTAATAAACTTATTATACTTTTTTTCGTTTTTATATTTATTTTTAACGAAAAAATAATAAAAATAATAATAAAAAAAGTAAATTAAGTAATTTTATTTTAATAATTATAAATAAAAAATGTCGTATAATAAATTAAAATTATTTTTATAAACCTTTAATAATATATATTAATAATCTTTTTTATATACGTTTAAAAAACTTATAATAAATAATGTTATTTTTACGATTAATTATATTATTTAAGTAATATTTAAATAAGTAAATAAATTATTTATAATACGAAATAAATTTATATAAATAATTAATATTATATATAAAAATATTTTATAAACATTAAAAAACAAAGAAAATTTAATTTTTATTTTAAAGTTATTAATTTAAATTTCATTATAAAAAAAATAAATTATTTCGTGTTATATTCGTCCCGTTTTATAACTATATTAATATTATTATATAATTATTTACCGCGCGTTATTATATAACGAATAAAATCATTTATTACTAATTTAATTATATAATAATTTACATTTAATATAAAAATACACATTTTTAATTAAATCCGATTTAAATAAATTAATAAAAATAATTATATTATATTAACATATAAAATAAACATGAAAAATATATATTATAAAAAAAAAATCATAACTAATTATAACATAAAAAAAAGTAAATTTAATTAAAAAATTTAATTTTTTATAAATAATAATTAAAATTAACCGGGAAGTTTTATTAATAATTATAATTATAATTAATATATTTTTATATACCTTATAATAATTTAAAATTTAATTTAATTAAATCGTAATAAAAAGAAAAAAAGGGGTAAATAAGCTAAAGAAATTCACCGTATATATTAAAAAAAAAACTTAAAAAAAAAAAAAAAGTGGGAAAAGGTTAAGGGAAAAAGTGTAATATCGAAAAGTTAAAACTATGAAATAATAACTTGGAAATTTCGAAGGTTTTAATTAAATAATATCGCATTTATATTATACGGGGACTTTATATTTATAAGTTAATATTAATAACTAATTTAAATAATAAAAAAAAATTAATA